ATATTAATTTGCTATCCAAATGTGTGTACTTTTTCGGGAAGGATTTTAAAAGTAAAATAATTTAAGGAATGTGATTGATATTAAATTGGCTTTTCCACCTTCAGTCATTACTCGTATTTATGGGAGCATCTTGTCAAAAAAATTAAAACGGGCATCCGATCTCTCTCTGCACGCTACTTTGCATCACTTCTTTTATGTTTTTTTTTAATTACAATATTTCTGTAAGCCATATAAAACCATAACATGAAGAAATTAAAAATATGTTTTTCTCAAAAACACAATTTTCAAACTAATGTTCATAAGCTTCTCACGCTCACACCAATAAAGCTTTTATTTTTAAAAATTACTTCTTACAACTGTTATATTTATGACCTAAATTTGTACAACTGTTATATTTATTACCAAAAAATAGACAGACACAGGAGGTAGAAAATCATGAAAAATCATCCAAATTAATTCTAGTTTTTGCTAATAATATTACTTCTCTTAAAATTCTAGGATTTATTTGTTTGTTTTGCAATCGTCTACGTCATCAATCAAAGATAATGTTGTTGCCAAAGTTTAGCAAATCTTATTTTTCAAAAATATTCTTTATGTACCATGAAGCGACACAGTTTATTCGGCTGTAGTAAACGACCCATACCGACCATACTTCTGACATGAATTATCTCCTCCCTATATCTTGCTTATAGAAAGAAAAAAACGGGCTAACCGTGTGAGACTTTTGAAATTGTCTTCTCATTAACATAAAAATTGGAGTTTCTTTCAAAAAACCTACCACGAAAATATGTTCATCCTGATACTTGAACTATTTCTGCAGTCGGATTCAAAAGCAAAATTAAAAATGTACTCTCAAGTTTAATTAAACAGTTTTTTGACAGTTTTAATATAAAATAAAACTATGAAACACATTTAACTAAGTTTAGAAAGAGGCATAACCGTTGTTTTAAAAAAGTAAAGAAGAGATAATTAAATAGAGGGGATCAAGTCGAAATGGTAAATGATGAATTTAAGAGTATTGAGTCTTAGCTGTTTCTCTTGATTGTCTTTGCTAGAATTTTTACTTATTTTGTCTGTGTGTCTTTCCGATAAATAATGTTCTTAAATTTTGAACTGATAATAATATTAGTTAGTGTTGAAAGTGTGAGAGAAAATCGTATTCCAACTTTTTTACTGTACTGTTATTTGTGCATCCTTATTGAAATCAAAATTATAGTCAGCTTTTTTGCCTCAAATCAACTGCAGTTTTAAAAAATATTCGATAAGCAGTTTTCGATAATAAAGCATAAACGAATTTATAGAGCTATTTTTATTAATCTTTTCCAGTTTAAAATAATAGTTCTTTTAGAATATAATCTGTCGCTCCAGTGCTCATACGTTTAATAAACATTCAAATCGAAATTACCAAGGATAGTCTCTTTGAGTCATGAAAACAATAAGATTAAAAATGAGCGAAGCAATCAAATGAAGGTCTTTTTCGCAGCGAAGACTTTTTATGCGTTTATACAAAGTTAGAGATGAGGCAACCGTTTAATTTTCTAAAAAAAAAAAATCTTTTTTTTTTAAATCCAGCATTGACACAGCGTGTGATCACCTTGAAGTTTGTCTAATGCCCAAGCAACTAAGAATCATTCAACCTGTCAGACAAATGCTTAAATTTTGAAGAAGAATCGTCAAAAGGGAAAACGAGGATTAAGTCAGGGTCAAGGAATTCCAATACTACACGAATTTACCCTGAGGCTATTTGACTTCGTTAGAACGATGGTCACGTCTTAATCTGCAGTGATGCTGAATGTTTCATGAAAGAGTTGGGGCCGTAGTCAATTTGGTAATAACATTGCTAAGTATCGTGGGAGAAATTGGATTTTAGCTTCAGGTACCTTTAAGAAGACACGGTACCTTTACCTTTTCCACAATTTTTTTAAAAGCATAAGAATTTGTCAATTTAATTCATTTCCTAGTTTGTAATTATAGCTCTGATTTCATGTTCTTTTTTTCAAATTTAGACTTTGCAACAGTCTTTTTAAATCACTAATCTTTTCCAATTTTTCTTACTAATTCTTAAGGCTTTCAGTAATCGCTTAATACGCAATGTCAATTGATAGTTTATATAAATTTAAATATATAATTTAAGCTCATTAAAGAAATATTTTAGACCATGTAAAAAACTCACTAAAAAACCTAGGTATTAGAAATTTTAGAAATGATTTGAAAAATTATAATATTTTTAGATAAGTTTGTAAATTTTATCCAATAATGAATTCGTTTATTTCAAATGTATCTAGTTCGCGGATTAAAAACAAAACTCCTAAGATCGCTATTCACTAATCATATTTTCATGTATTAACATCCAATCTAAATTATCGAAAGGTTTAACCTATAATATGCCTTAATTTATCAAATCAGATTTTATTTTAACTTGCAAAATCAGACACAATAACATATTTTTTCTGAGTAAACATTCCTTTTTTTTCCCGACGGATTCGAAATCTGAAATTATGAAGGAGAATCTGGAATGATCAAATCAGACGAACCTTATAATGTTAATTTTGCATGTTGCATCTCTATAACTATTTAAATGAGCAAGACAGAAAAATTTTACAGCATTTTTCTTCGATCTAAATTCGTCTATCTAAAGATGCGAAACAAAATAAATACTTAAAAATATACTTAATAATACTTTTAAAAAAATTTTGAACATTAAAGTGTTCAAAATTTCCCATAAACTATGTAGTTTTTAATGGTGGAATTCCTTGAATTGTTTTTAAGAAAAAGAACTGTAAAAATGTGAGAAATAAAAATGTAAAATTATAAAAATAAGTGCAAAATTAAAAAAATGTCTTATTAATGTGTAATTATTTTTCACTCCAGAACAATTTTGCCAATTTTTTTAAATTATTATCAATTTTCTGACTTTTTTTTCATTTAAAATAATATTGCTCGAAAGGGTGCAAAACTTATTCGACATACGGTTCAAACCTTTTTCGAACAGTTTTAAATTACATAATAATTGAAAATATTTATTTTTTTTAAAATTAATTTAATTTTAGATAAACTAATTTTAACGTATTGGGTGCAAAAACTTTTTGATCGGATTAACCATATCCAAACATCTGACGAAATACGTAAAAAATTACCATTCACATTTAGGGATTAAATTTTAAACCAATCTCTTGACTAAACTATTAGAAACACATTGTTTTTAACTGTAGATACTTTGATTTTGTAACTTAAAATCTAGTTTGCACAAATTAAATAGCATATTTAATATCGGAATCACGAGTATAAAGAGTGCATCATAAGAGTAAGTGAAAATTCCATCATTAAAGTTATTCAGGATGTTCCGTTTTACTTTCTTATCTTTATTTTACATATTGTGTGCATTGTAAACTGTAAAGTGCTATTTTAACATAGACTGTGTAAGACAATAAGAAAAATATCGACGTATTTGTAAAAGGAAGAATTCAAAACTAAATTTTTATCATTGCTTCTAATTTTGCCCAGCGAAGCAAATCGAAAAGCGTTTTCAGCAACCATTAGATATATTTTTCGAATGGTATATAGCGATAAATTCTCACATTTTTAAGCATGATCTCACGAATTCTACAAAATTCCATACTGATGTGTTAGGAAGAATAGAGTTGACTTCATTTTGAATTCAATTCATTCCCGGAAACTACTTGCATGGAATTCTTTATTTCTAACCAAGTTGCTGCGCGGTCAAAATAACTATAAAGTCATTTTTTCTGAAATTTATAAGGATATATAAAACTGGAATTCGCAAAGCGTAAATAATTTGCAAATTTCTATCATCTGATAATTTCCTTTTATGGATTAAAATACATTTGTGTGTATTGTGTTTGTGTGTATTGTGTTTAAACTCCTAATAGATGTTCTTAACAATGTAAAATAAATACATAAGAGACTTTCAATCATTTTTAAATATCCATTTTAATTCTTATATAACAATTGTATTATATATCATACATTGTAACTGAAGATTTTAATAATTTTTGTATTTATTAATGTGATTTGTTTGTCATATATGGAGATTGTCTTGAGAATAACACTTTTCAGATTATAAAACTTTCTATTAAAATATGACACGGATAACAAAGAAAACGTTCCATTAAATATCCATTCAACGTTCATTTAAATATTAATTTTAATTCTTATATAACAATTGTATTATATATCATACATTGTAACGGAAGATTTTAATAATTTTTGTATTTATTAATGTGATTTGTTTGTCATATATGGAGATTGTCTTGAGAATAACACTTTTCAGATAATAAAACTTTCTATTAAAATAGGACACGGATAACAAAGAAAACGCAATTTTTAAAATATGTATTAAATCTTTTAAAATTTTAAACCGAATCTTTTCGATTAAGTTGCTTATAACCGATTGAATTTTTTTATGAGCATTAGCTGGTTTTAATGAAATTTTGGTTCAATAGATATACACGTTTTTATAGCCACTGATTTTAAAATACCCAGTAACTCGTAGTATTTAATTAGGAGTATGGTTGGATGGAATCAATTAGAATTTTATATTTATTACCATATCTTACTTGTCATGCTTGGTAACAAAAGTAATATTCTCCAAATAAAGGATAATAAAGAGTAAAGAATGGTGTTTCCGAGAAGCGCAAGATCTCATTTCACGGTTCTTAATTCTCAGTTAAGCAAGTGAAATTTTAAGTAACTACAGATTATCACGAAAAGAAGACATATTTTCTGACATTTAAGCGAATAATTACGTGTTCTATCTGGCAACCAATTACGTCCTTTTTTTAAAGGAAATATGAGTAGCATGAGAGATTTACAATATGTTTTGAAAGAAGTTGTTTATGATTTCTAAACACTTTTATAATACCATTCTTAATTACGATTGTGAAAGCATGAATTAATCATTTTTCTTATTTTATTTCACTTATATTTGAATATGATGTTTGTTGAAGATGTATTGTCACTATTATGAATATTTCTTCTAGAAAATCTGAAAGACATGATTCGTCATTGATATATTCCTCCAACTAGCCTCTCAAGATTTTTATGGAGCTTTTGAATTTTAAATGAATGGTAAAAAAGTCAGTATGTGGCCAAAACACATGATGCAGGAGGGAAAAACGAACATAAAATCCAAGGGATGACATCTATTCTTAAAGCATCGAGTATTTTTGTACTATTCTTCACTTTTATATGGCATATAAACACGGGTAAGTCTTATTTATTTCTTTATTTATTCCCACCCTCTTTCTCACTCTCTCTCTCTCTCTTTCACTCACTCTCTCACTTACTCACCCACTCACTCACACGAAAGCAAGTATGCACATGCACACATCTACCTTTTTGCGGATCCCCATTGATTAATTCCAAATCTTATAAAAATTATAAAAAAATCGTGATTACGGATTTAATTTGAAATGCAACGAAATGCATAATGAGCTCCTGTATCTGGTAATAATTAATTAAACAAGCAACACATAAATAAGAATCAGAGCAATGAGGTTTATGAAGACCTTAAATGCATAATCGGGTCAAATAAGGCTGATCTAGAAGTCCTACGTAGTCAAATAAAGATATGTATGGGTTATATATATATATATATATATAAACACACGCAGTCCTACCCATATCATTAGACACACTATAAGATTCTATGTAAAATTATAAATATCAGGTGATACTATACAGCAGTATTATTTTTACTCGGATGAAACCGGTTTGCACTTGTTTACATTCGTGTATCGATGGGCTAACATTGTAATGCAATACGTTAAAAATAAATACAAATAGGAAGTATATAAAAAATATCCTGAATAAAAACCCATTACATGTATGTTTAAATATAANAGAGTTTATACTGTAGTGCATTTCTAATAGGTTTAACGAATTACATGTCATTTATTTGAATTCAAATTTATTTTAATGAGTTAGTATTTACTAAAAAGGTGTAATTTTTTTTCAAAAAAAAGGTTGTTACATGGATTTGAATTATTGTTTTGAGTTCTTAGAATTTTGTGCATTTGCAATGGACCTAAGTTAGTAACGAGCGAAGCGAGCTTGGTTTGCGAAGCGAACCATATAAGATTGCGTAGCAATTTTCGGGGGTTGGCGAGCGTTAGCGAGCAGGGGGTGCAGCCCACTAGTATATATATAGATAGATACACGTAAAAAATTCAACGAAAAAATATCTTCTTATCAACGATGTCTTAACCATAATTATGCTGACCATGACGCTGCTTCTTAAGCTTAACAATGCTCATTTTAAAAACTAGATCTGAAAATTTTTTTGGAAGTTAGGGATACCTTTCCTCGTTTAGAACACTTTAAAAAAAATTTAGTGTACTACTGTTTACTAATTACTAATTTAGTACTACTTGGGACAAAATAGAATTTCGATGAACCAGCACCAAACTGAGATAATAAGAGACTTCTTCATGGTAGCGACAGAGATATGAAACATATTCTGAAGTACCGGTTTCAATCCCAACCGATTTCTGAGATATTCTCCTTGAGTTAGATACAGGTTCCACAAAGCCGAAACATCCTAATGTTCATCCCTCTTTTCATTTTGTCCCCCCTCCCATAATGTTTCTTTTTCTTTCGAATCGAACTCAATTTTTAAACATCGTTCGATTTCGTTACCTTGAACGCTTGATGTGTATTTTGTAGTTGGTAATGTTGTGCTATTAAACTTAATACATTCATTCGAATCGATCCATGCCAGCCATTATCGATCCATTATCATATCAGCAGTGCCCACTTTTTAATTTTAGTCTGATAACAACTAATGTCCAACAATATACTTTTCTTTTTAAAGTTGTCGATTATAATATTTAGCTTGTGACTTTAAATACGCCTGCCGTTAACTTTCTCAGCTAACCGTTACGTGATTTTGTTTACTTATTTGTTTATTTTTGCGCCTTTCAGCAAAATTTATACTATTGATTTATATAACTAATTGTTTCATCATTATGATTAACTTCTAAGCATTCTATATGCTAGTGCCGCAAACTCTGAAATAAAATATCGTAAGACATAAATGTTATTCTACATCAAAGCTTTAGCTTATTATTGTTGCTTTTTGCAGTTATAAAAATAACAAAAATTTTGACAGACATTTTGAGAAGCCATTTCACCAATGGTAATCCAAAATAGAAAGAAACGTAAAGATGTCCAACTTTTAAGCTGAACTATAAGAATATTAATTTTTTTTATATAAATGTTTCAGAAATTTATTAAATTTACAAAGCTGCAGCCGTTGATTTAAGTAATGCACGCAATAAAAATTTTATTTATAAAGTTATTGCATGGAATTTCAAATCTATGAAGACTTGAAATTTAGAGCTTGTATATAAGTTTTGATTTATAAAAACTTAATTTTGATTTATTATACTTTAGAGTGCCCAAAATATCGTCAGCAACACCAGCCTTTTACAATTCTTCATTTTCGTTCTCTCAATAACATATCAATCGATATTGGCGTTTTTATTACAAAACTCGCTTTCGTGCTGGTTAACCATTAGCAAAATGAATAAATTACGATAACTTTAAGGGAAAAATTAAACTTTTTTTAATGAAATATAAAGTTATTAAAATATAAAATTTAGCTCTTGGCCTTGACGTGAAGCGAAGAGCCAAGGTAACAAACAAGGTGTGTGTATATATATATATATCGTAAAGAAATAACATATTATGTTAATTTTTTATAGCTGCTGTGTAAATATCTTTTAACGTCATTTTTATTCTAATATACATAATCGTGAACAGAAAAATAGCATATGAATCAGTATTATAGAAATATTTTTTCTTTGTGGATTTATAATGAATGATTCATTCTACTCGAAACTTCAAATATTTGAATTAAATAAAGTTCATGTAATATTTGATCACATTGAATCGTGTAGTTTAATTGCTCTTCGCAATTGTAAAACCCTTTAATATCTTATAATAAAAAAAACTAATATCGTGTCTAATAACAATATTACATAATATAAACCTAACGTAAAAACTGCCTACTAATACCTAATTTTGTACAACAAAAATAACCTATCTGCAATCTTATTTCAATCAATAATCTAATAATTGCAGCATCGTGATGCTCAACAATTGGCCAATTCTTTTGAAACTTACTATTATTCTGCAGTTTATGTTGAAAATTAAGCAGACCTGCGCTCTCCCAAAACTAAAAAAATTGTAGTAAAATTTCTGAACGGATATTTGAAAATTCGCTGTTTTATCTTTTAAATTTAATATTCTGTGAACAGAAATCCCACGCAGAGATTCACAAACAGTATTATTATTTTTTTTTTGTAATGAGTGTGCAATTTTCAAATGTTTGAAAATCGTAAAAATGCAAGTACTATTTAGAATACTACGAGAAATAAGGAATAGTATAAATATTAAGAGTATAAGGAAATAAAGAAATAAGGAAATAAGGAATAGTAGGAATAGTATTAAATAATAGTATAAATATTTATTCCTTTTATTATAATGTCTAATAAATCATTAGAAAGTTATATCTTTCATTTCTATAACGCTTTACAAATGGCTGCCTTTATTACAGAAAAGGAACGTCTTTTAAAAGCCAAAGACTATAGAGCCAAAAGTATTGCCGATTTTCCCGGAACTAAAAGCAAATATTCGGCACTTGCATTTGATTTTTGAACTATATCACGCGCGCGTATAAAGAACCCTTCAGTACGAGATAAGACAAATCCAGGATTTTAAACTTTATATCCAAAAACTTTTAACTAAATTTATTTAAATTCTTTTCTATACCTGACAAATATGATTTTTATTTTGATTTATTGAACTTACCAGCTTTTTAATATTATATAAAGTGACAATAAAAGTCGTCTACTCCCTAGTTAAAAAAATAAACACATTTTCATACTCGATACATCAATGGAGAATTTTTTATCATCCGAAATTTTTGATTCCTTTTTGTTCAGATATTAAGTTTTTTTTTTTTTCAAAAATAATTGTTTGTCAGTTTTAGTTTTCCCCCCCGCACAACACTGATTTTTTTTTCCGACTTACTACTACCACTTACGAACTTTTGCAATTTTAAATCCTCTATACCCTTCTAGTGAGATTTGTTTACAAGAAAGTTTCACATTCTGCAGTTTATGTTGAAAATTAAGCAGACCTGCGCTCTCCCAAAACTAAAAAAATTGTAGTAAAATTTCTGAACGGATATTTGAAAACTCGCTGTTTTATCTTTTAAATTTAATATTCTGTGAACAGAAATCCCACGCAGAGATTCACAAACGGTATTATTATTATTTTTTTTTAAATAATTGGAAAAGTAAAACAGTAAGTTTTCAGATATCCGTTTAGAAATTTTTCTTTTTTTTTCGGGTGGCGGGAGATGTGGGTCATCTTAGTTAAACTCGTTATTTAAAATGGTTTTGTTGCATAATCTGCAAATAACCATACAGAGCAATTTCATCTTTTTTTAACCAATGCATCACACCCATCCATTATACTCATATTCATTGCTTTTCAATCTAGATTTCATTACTAATAATGTCTTTTTAATAAATTCGAAGTATTTACTTTATCCAAACATTTGTAAAAATTACATGATTTTTCAAATTCTTGCTGAAATGTATGTCAAAATCTAAATAATGAATTTCATTAATTATTAATACAAGTATAATTATTCTTCATGTTAATAAAAATATAAATTTTTATAAATAAACCTTCATATGTGCTTTTTTTAACAGCAGTTCTAAGTTATATATTTTTTGTTTCAGAAACTACGCTAAGTACCTACAGTGATGCGGAAGAGGAGGAAGAAAAGATGGCGAATGTCTTGTTTGGAAATGGATCTTCTGTGGACAGTATCACATTGCCTCCAACTGATGATTCCTCATCTAGTCTAGTCCTGGATGACGATACAGACTCTAAAAAAGAACACGTGTGGTGGGAAAATGACACTAATTCAACCGATTATGACGAATTAAATGATGAGAAGAAGAACGACGCTAGTCCCGAAAACAGTGTTGATCGAGATTTGTTGGAAAAAGTAAATTACTTCTTACCAGACCAGCCTGTTTCGGACACCTTTGTCTTCACTGATTTCAAACGCGAATCATCTTCCCAAACCAAATCTGTTCTACTTAGCTACGAAACTTACACATCCTCTATGCCAGATATGACCACGAGTTTATCTTGTGGTTTTGGTGATCGGAAATGCAATATGCTTGGGGAAGATTCCCCCAGTGATCTAAATTCAAAAGCTAATGAGGAGCAATTGCAACCAACAGTTGAAACATTTCACCCCACTTCATCAGTGAAGTTATTATTACCCTCAAAGCTGGTCGAAGAAACATCTTCAGAAATATTAAATTTTACTTCAGATATTGAATTTTTATCTGATTACTTGACATCTACTCCGGCCAATAGTGCTACAGCTCAAACATCAGAAAATCTCATTTTGGAGGAAAATACTGACAGGATAAAAGATGAAATAGTGATTCAGGGTTTGACAAACAAGAGTGATAAATCTAAACAAGTTACTAAAGAGCGTGAGAGTCCAAGCACCATGACTGATGACTTACCAGTTAGGACATTTTCGAAGACATCTGAAAATACTCCTTCAATGCCAACGAAAGAGTTAATTTCGCCATGGAATGCGCCTTCGGGTGAATCAATATTATTTTCAAAAATATTTAGTACATCATCATCTCCGCTTTCTAGTCCCGTTCCAGATAAGACTGCTGACACATCGACAACCGATTCTTATTTTTCACTCAAAACAAACACTTACATTTTTCCCGAGTTAGAGTCAAAAAAGAAAGAGGAAACTGACTTGAACGATGACGTTAAAACTTCTTCAATTTCACCAACTTCTCTCTTAAGCTCATTTTCTACGATCTCTTGGCATTATTCTAAATCAGATATGACTATTCAGGATGATAAATTTTCCAGAAAAGAAAAGGTTTTGGACACTACATCTGTTCTCACATCGTCCTTTAGTCCAACACCTGTGCTTACAGAAACTGAAAACTTTTTCAGACTCAAATCTTCTTTTTCCCAAACTCAACAAAAACAGCAAATTTCACTTGAGTCTTCATCCATTTCAGAGAGCACTGCAAAGCCTTCAGTTCTGAGTTCACAAAGCATTATTACTAATCTCCATACAGGTATTTTATATCGCTTCATCTCACAAAGAAGCTTTTAAAACAATTTTATTGAAAGTACTTTTTAAGTATAATAATAAATAATATAATAAATAAGCATTAATCTTATAGCTTTTCACAGACCTATTTTTTTATTTTTAAATGTTTTACTTTTTCGAGTTTTTATAATTAACTTCTCAAAAATATAGTGATTACTTGTGCTGGCCGTATTATTTAACTTAATCATGTTTCTTTCAAATAGGTTCCTCATACCACCTAATGAGGTACCACCTAACTCTAGAATTTCACAGTATAAAAAATATCGATTGACTACACGATTATAGTCAGCATAAAATGAAAAAAAGAAAATTGCCGATATTAACTTCCATCGTTGTTCTATTTATCTATTTATTTTTTGTCTTTGTTGTTGCTGACAATGTGGTACTGTACCCGTATTGAAACACTGTATTTTTGTTCTTATAAAATGAATTTAAGGGAATGAAATCAAATAATGATGGAAGCAGCTTTGAAAATTTTGCGAAATTTTAATCAACTAAGCATATAACGTAGTTAAAATATTTTTATTAAACTATGTTGAGTTTTCTAAACTTGAATTTAAATTTTCTGCCCGTATTCAAATCTGGTAACAAACACAACGGTGATGAATTATTTATTAGACCTATAGAAGCATTTTTTAATAGTATGAAGTATGGTACATATGAAGTATTATGAAGTACATAGTATGGTACATAGAAATATTTCTCGTTAGAGTATTATGTAAATTGTAAATTCAAAGTGCTTATTTACGAGAGAACAATTAAAAAAATTTTTAAAAAAATTAAACAATTACATTTTGTAGCATAACTTTTTTGAAATTTACTGAGAATTTACTTTAAAATTCGCTTTGAAATTCACTTTAAATAAAATAGAAATGGGAAATGTTTCTGTATAAATTGGTTAGTTAAAAAGAATTAAAAGGTGTCAAAAAGCAAGATGTAAACTTAATTTTTTTTAATAAATATATATCATTTCAAAGATTACATCTTTAAATATTTCAAATTCATTAAGAGAATTCTTATATATTCTTCCTTTTTTTTTATAAAAACAAAAATAGTATTTTTAATTTTATTAAAATATTTGGAAATTTTTTATTTTTTATCGATTTAAAATAATTTATACAAATGAAGTTAAAACAGGGTAAAAAGAGCTCAAATAATGTCACAATGCGATCGTTTCGACAGTGAAACTCCTTCAGCGTCGAAACTCTGAAAACACTTAAGTGTTTCAACACTTACATCTTTAGACTACCATCATTATATAACATCATTTGTATTTTTTGAAGTTGCATTAATTTTATTCATATACTGGGCAAAGTTAACTCTTCTTCATTTCAATAACATTTAAATTTGATTAAAATTAACTATTTTCGATATCTTCCGATAAAAGTTAAACTCATTTGTCTTTTTAACCCGTTCAAGACTATAATCACATGTACGTGATCAGGCGATGAACGGTAGTCCCCTTCACTTGATAAAATTAAAATTGATAATTTAAATTGAGATTTCACTTGATAATTCAAATTGAGATCACTTGGGCGTGATCTCAATTTGGTACTCTCGTATTACATCTTGTATTGATACGTATACTCGTTAATGCCTGGGAAAGAGCTTCTTCTTTTGCTGGTTCTTAATAGGTTAAATTCATTAAATAAGGAAGAAGATATCTGATATCAAATAAACATGTTGAAACATTTAATATTACAGATACTTTTACCACCATTGTTCCTCTAACGCGGGAAAAGGAAACAGTTCCTCCTCCAAGACTTACAAATCCTGGTTGTTCTAGTCTACCAGTTTGCGTCGAGATAACGTTGCTGGAAACAAACTGGGAACATTTCTGTTCGCAACAACAGGACTTTCTGGAGTTCTTATCTACATCTCTTTCCCATTATACACGTCCTATTCATCCCTACCACATTGTGTTGGACACAGAAGTTTGCACTCTCAGCTCAAATCTCAGATCCTCTCAAAATTCACCAGATGTTACCGTTGCTTTTTATGTCACCAATGAATCTGGCGAGTATGAGGAACGAATGACCGAGCTATGTGGCGTCATTTTAAGAAAGTGGGCACCTTCTGCTTTTAAGAGTTCGGTAAGTTTACATAATGTTATTTATCATATTTTCAAATGCTATTGCTGTTTCTTTATTATTCGTTTCTGTTTGATATTTTTCCTTTGATTAGTATTTTCGTGAATATGCAAAAAAACTGTGAGAATACTTCACCCCTATACAGTGTTTCTTTTTTTATAATAATATGAAGAAAACTAGTTTACTTGACCGGAAATCAAGCAAGTCAAATATGATTTTTTTTATTCTGCCAAAAGGGGATTTCCATACCTGCCAACTCTTCCGGATTTTCCGGAAGATTTTATTTTCTTATTTAAAATGGTAGTAAATATATACTATTTTTTCTTTTGTAAACTTAATTTTTAAATGATTTTGATCACCACTATTCTTACAAAAATTAAGCACATATATTAATATGCGTTACTATAATGGTTGTCAACTTAAGTTTTCTCAAATACAACGTATTTGTTTGCTTAAAATTGAAGTTTTAATTTCATTTTAATACCACTGGGAAAAATGATAATGGAAGGGATTAAAAGTTGGCAGGTATGGATTTCACTACCAGTGCGACATGTTCATTGCGTGGAGAGTTTTGGGCACAAAGAAAAATCGGTATAAAATAACTTTGGTTCGAAGAGAATTCTACACAAAATTTCAATTACACGAAGCAAAGCAAAGGGACAGAAACTGTATGTGTCATCGTAAAAGTTTGCTTACGTTGAGTTTATATGTTTGAAATTCCACTTATAATCCCATTGTCATTCTCTTGACGTTTTAAAAGATCTTTAAGATGTCTCGCAGCTACTGTGATACCAGAGACTAGGTCTTTATCGAAAGCAACTCGGGTTCCAACCTCAAATCCTTCATTCAACCAATTCAGTGCTATACCCTTTTATAGAAAGAGAATTAAAAGTGTTTACTTTTCCAAAAATGATCGAAACTAACGTCCTTAAGCTCCGTTTACTCTTCCCAGATCATAACGGAATAAGATCCGCGCGTAACACCATTGGATTGGTGTGACGAATGAACATGAGTCGATAATTATTTAGTAACGCGGACTTATGAAAATTAAGGCTTTACAATTTCGTGACCAAAGTCATGATAGGGATAAAGTGATCAGCATTGTGCCTCGACCACCTTAACTTCCGAGAAAAGCTTATACCCATTGACCTGAATCTGAGTGTACCTCAAACCGCCACCAAAAGTAGGGGTAGTCAAATCATTACCAGTTCTTCACAATGACAGTTCAGTGTTTTAAGTATTGAACCTTCATAGCTGATCAGGTTTAAAAAAATTTTAATATCATTAAAATATAAAACAAAAATAAATTTGTATTAAACAAAAATATCACTTAATGAGTTTCACTAATTATGAAACTTCAGACCTGAAAAGCAAAATTTCTCACAACTATAAAATCTAGACGTTATATGTCACTTGAGAGCCGACTATATATATATAACATCTCTTTCATTCCTTGAACAAGTAACAATACATTTCCTTTTTATAGCATATAAAGTAGAAAACACGAAATACAATGTTGTTTAATCACAACATAAATATTGTCAGTTGTCTTGCGATCAATGTATTCAATTCTAGAAATTTTGTCGATGAGGAAGTAGTAAATTCTTACGATTGTGAATCGTGTAGTGACTAATGTTTTTGCCATTCTGCAGGTCATTGAAGTGCGTATGTACAGCCGCGAAAGCATCTCGACGCCTCTGCCTATCATACCTGAATTAAATTCTGGATTTGTCGCAGCTGTCTCAATATCGGCAGTAGCTGGTGTTGCTCTGTGCTTACTCTGCATACTATTGGTAAGTTACCTGTCACGATGTATTTTATATATATATATATACATACATATATATAAATATATATATTTCCTCTAAGTCTAAGAAACTAGTTTTATATAAACAATAAAATCTGTCTTATATTTGCATTTCAGTTTTGCCCGGTTTCCATTAAACAAAGTAGTGCGATGTGAAAAAATAAAAAAGTGATAGCAAAATAAAAATGTGCAGTTATCTAAAAGTAATGGTAAAATATGCATTGATACTTGCACTCCCGTGCAACTGAAAATTAACGTAAGTGCTTCACGATACATTTCAAGAAAAAATATTTTCGAACAAAAAATCTATTTCCGAATATTTTCCTTCCCTTGCTAATATTAATAACGCTAAAATGGAAATTAAGAACTCGGAAGAAAGTTGATTTTTCAATAATTTTGCTTCTGCAATATGCAGCTAATCATATTAAAGTATCAAATATGTAAAAATCCCAATTTTGAACTTTTTGTAGCTTATGTTGATTTTTCTATTCCGTGGCAGTATACTATGAATGCAAAAATATTAGAAATTTAGAATGTTTAGTAATCTCGAGGACCATTACTTACAAATTGAAAATCTTCTGTCAATTTCACTGTTTTTTTAATTGAAACTATTTGAAATTTATTGAAATATAGTATTAATAAAATTCATTTTCATACATTTTGTTTTAGTTTGTTGTAAAAGAGCAGCTTCAAATCGTCCCAGGAGTAAAATTTAGCAGGAAAAAAACTTAAGATATGAAATTCATAAAAGGAAACAAAAATGAAAAAAGTAAAAAGAAATGTATACAAAAAAGCAGATCCGGGCAATTTCCCAGCTTTTAATTTTAAAAATGGCGTTTTCCAACCTATGCACCGCGAAGTTTTTCAAAAGTTCCGCGAAAGTTCTTCTCCCTCATTTTTTAAATTAATAATTTGTTTTCTTTTGTCAATAATAAATTATTAATTTGTTTTTCTTTGCTGATGATAAATTATTAATTAGTTTTATTTGCTGATAATTAAAAAAAAATTCATGCATTTTTTCAATTTTTATATTCAAATATTCTGAAAATAATTCCAAACATTTTTCATGTGCTATCAAATCATATAGGGGGGGGGAGGCACTCAGTTATAGTTTCAAACTTTATTAACAATATAAAGAAGAAAAACTGATAATTATACGAAATTATCAGTCTATCTATACGAAATCACTTGATGTTATCTATACGTTACATTATACGTTATGTTATCTATATACGACTTGTTATTATCTATACGAAATTCTAAACATCATTCAAACCCGGTGGCTGAGTGGTAGCTCTTCACGCTCCCGTGCCACAGGTCCTGGGTTCGATCCTCAAGCCGGGCAAGGTTGACTCAACCTTTAATCCCGTCAGTGGGTCGATAAATGAGTACCAAGCATGCTTGGGAATTGAACACTGGGGGTTCCGCGTTTGGCTAACCACCTAACCGGAACATCTGCTCCTGCAACCCCAGTGCCCAATGTCAAGAAAACGGAGATGGGCACAATAAGCCTTGGCCCTCTACGGGCTGTCGTAACACTGAGTTTAGTTTTCTTTGGTTGTCATTCAAGCAATTAATGGGAAAAAGTTTGCATCTTTGGAACATTTTAAAGAATTGGTTTATTTTTTATGAAACAATATATTTTCTTTCCTATAACTATTTCTTAACAGATTGGAAAGAACACTTGTATCTTTGTTAGATACAAGTAAAAATGACTCAATTGTTTTTCATTCATTTCCTGATGATACAAAAGAACTTATTTCTTTTTCTAAAAACTTTGTAGATCCCTATTCTATACATGTTTTAATGAGAGCACTTTAAAATAAAATAAAAATTCACATTTTTTTTTCATTATTTTTAAAGCTCAATTAGTCAATTTTAAGCACAATATTTCATTTGTGAAATTCCAATTAAGCACTTCAACGGGATTCCCCTACAACATACTATCAACTAGATAGACAGATACGCTACAGTTATCATTCGAAACTTTTTAACCCATACAGGGTGTTCCATGATGCAATATTTATTTCCATGACCACGGGTGTTCCATTATGACCTTTAACAAATATTTTTAAAATCCTTGTTTCAAATGAAGTTTTGAAAGAAAGATACAGATTAGCATGTATACAGAACTGCGTAAGTTAATATTTAAGCGGGAGAAAACGTAAAGTCTATCAAAATCTGTCGAATCACTAGTGAGGAAGATGGGACGAAAAAAAAATCTAAACAAGTTTGATTACCTGATCAAAATTACAGGTGAGTCTAACAATCGCATTTTTACTCCTCTATTCCTCCCCTGACAATCAGGCAGGTGTGTAAGTTTGCGTCATACCTTACTCAGAAATGACTTGTTAGAGTTTAGTAGCATTTTGCGTTTTCTTTGCTTAAATATTAATTAATAACCATTAATGTGATAATGATATAAAAAAATTCTTGGCAAGGTTATATAAAATCTATATCAAAACTGGTTATAACGGAGCATGTTGTAAGTTCTGATTCTCCATCTTTGGTTACATTGAACTATGTGTAATTCATACAACGCAATGTGCAATTTATAATTCATGTGGTTACTTATTGTGATAGTGAGTTCTAAATTCATAAATTGTATGAATACAAAACCCAAAACAATTATGCAAATTTTGATGTAGCGTATAAAACAAACGCTTCAAGCACAACTTTAGCTACGATAAAATATTTATATGCACTTAGATAAATTTATCTAATAAAAAACTCCCGATTTACCAATTATTTCGACTGGGCTGTGCCTTAGATTCTAGCGGCATGGACAAACTGAGCCCTTTTAGCTTCAATTCAAAATACGAAACACACAAGAATCTTGAAAAAAAAAGTTGATTAAAGTTACAATTATAAACGTAAATTATTCGATGAGTTGGAAGCATTATATGTTTTGACCTGCCATAGTCGGAATTCGAACACTAGTCGCTTCATTGAAAGAAGACTCTACAAACTACAATTACTATAAATATTTATTCAAAATAGTTCCTATTTTAAAGTTCATTAAGACTGTTTTTCAAAAGCTCTATCACGTGAAATATCACTTTTCATCGAATAACATGCTATTTTTATAATTTTTGCGAATTTGTAACAGTTATTCATAATTGTTAAGTTATGATTTGCTGATCTTAAGTTAGTGATGCAAAATGTCATTGTGAAAAAGAGTCGCTGATTTGTGAAAATGAAAAGTGTTGAATGAAAACTGCGGAATGAAAATTTGTGAAAAGGAAAATTGCCGAGTTGAACATTGATAAGTAGTAAACTCAAAAATGAGTGCTCAATACCGGTTATGAAAAAAAGAAAATAAAAATGCCAGTTTCTCAGGCTCAGGAAAACTTTAAAAAAATGTGAGAATTGATCGTCAGTTTTAATTATTTTTATCTAATTAAAATAAATCGTCAAATTTTGCTTCTCGATTTGCCCAATTCACCATCCCTAAGATTGCTTGAGCATTAACACTCATTATTCTAGAATAAGTAACGCTGTGAAGTGTTCTTATTTTGATAGTGTTATAACAAGAGGTTACTAATTTATTCTATTTAATGTTAATAGCAATGTAGAGTATTTAAATGCATAGTATTGAGCATAACACGCTGTTTGATTTCTTAAAGTGGATGGAAAGTTGTGTCATTTTGTCAAAATTATGTCATTTCAGGTAATAATGAAGCAAAAATTGATCCAGGGTCGTCATTCGGATGCGACAACTCCAACAGCAGCCGATGCTTACAGCTTAGATTCACTGTCCATCAGTGCTAGCTTTCGGAGGAGAAGGATTAGACGGTCAGCTAGATCTTACCTCAACCATGCTTTTACTGATCAGGTATTACAGCAATAAGTAGCTTTATTAGTCAGTTCTGATTTATCTTTTAATAATCTTACGGTTGAGAGTCCAAGGTGAAACTACTTAATGTCATTATCTTTAGAAGCTTTATTAAAGAAAGTATTGTATTTTTTCATTAATACTTATTGCGAAATGTTTTATCTCACTCAAATCCATACTTTTCTTGGAAAGAGTCAACAAATATTTTAGCACTTAAATCACGATTTTTAGATGTAAATAAAATGTCAGCATAGCTTAAAATATTATGGACTGGTCGTTATTCAAAGCAGAATCGGAACTAAATCTTTTTTTAAGATCTAAATAACTAAACAGAAAAGAAGCAGAATTTCAAATATAAAATTTCTAAATTTTAATAACTAATGAGCTATGTCGTTAATTACTTTTTATTTGTAACTAGTTATTACCTCCGTGGCAATTACAGGTTGAGTCTGTGGTTTGACTTTTTTAATTAGTTATTCCTTACATTTCTTTTCATTCTTGCAAGGTTGAGTCAGGAGTTAAATGTTTTTCAGTAAATCATTTTTTTCATCTTTTGTTAACATTTAAATACATTATTGAGAACTTATTGATGTTTAAAAAAGCAACAGTTTATTAAAATAGTTTATGATAACTCCATGGATTCCTGGAAATAAAGATAGCTTCCCCCCCCCCCAATATCTGAGATTTTGGTGGTCCTTATTGCAGTCATGCAATAAAGTTGTCAAAGATACATATATTCTTAATTATTTATCTATAGTCTTTTGTTTACCATTTCCTCAATTTTCACAAATAATAGATTAATAAGAAATTGTACCCATGTTTAATTTTGTTTTGGAAGTTGAAACTCAGTGACTGACCTGTGAGCTTTGTCAGCTGTTTCTTGTTTCATACTTGTCATGAGATAAACATCCAACATTACGTAGAAATTGTAATTTAAGACGTTTAACAACGCAGGATTTAATCAGAAATAAAGCTAAATGTAGTTTTTTATGAGCAATATTAAATTTAAAAAATTGTTTCGACTTAGTTTATAATACTCAAAGTAATAGAAAAAAGGCTTGAATTGAGGACGTAGGATGTCTTAAACTTAAGTTTTTTGTTCAGTGCTTTTGCAAAAATTTGAAATATTTATTAAGGAGTTATTACTCTAGCCGTGAAAAAAAGAAATCATATTTTAGGAATTTATTTTTAATGCGATGATGGACTAAATAAAAGGCTTGAAAAAATTTCTATACTGTACAAGCATTGAAAAATAGTTTTTTTAATGTGATATGAAATTGACAGTTGAAACAAATTGACAGCTGTGTAGTTTCTCTTCAATGAAGCCTTTCTTTGTGAAGATTGAACAGCAGGGCTAGCAGAAATACAATTTTTAAGTCAGAATAAAAAGCAATGTTTACCCTTAATTACATATATATCAACTACAGATGTGATTAGCAGTGACAGTAATGACAGAAATTTTTTAAAAACAAAAGCTATAAAACAATGATGTTTTTAACTATACAACAATACAATTGAAATTTGAAGTCAATTGGTGAGGATTTGTCGGAGTAACGCAATCAGTTAAACTGCAAAATGCAGTTTAAATAGAATAGGCTTTTGAAGGCATTTTTTTTTTAATATTTTTTTTATAAGAAATAAGCTTTTGAATTTTTGAAGATACTTGCAGTAATTCTGAGCAAAAATTCAAAATTCAAGTACTGAAACATTTTCAACCCTTCATAAAAATTTTAGTACATCATTTCAAACATCGATCCCTAAAGAATAATTTAATTTGTTTCAGATTGCTAAGCAGTTGCTAAAAAATCTACTTACATTTTTAATAACAATTTGCTACAAGTTACTCTTAACAAAGTTTGCTTANCTCAATACCGGTTGTGAAAAAAATAAAAAAATAAAAATGCCAGTTTGTCAGGCTCATGAAAACTTTAAAAAAAATGTGAGAATCGATCGTCAGTTTCAATTATTTTTATCTAGTTAAAAAAATCGAAACATTTTGCTTATCGATTGCCCAATTCGCCATCCCTAGGATAGCTTGAGCATTAACACTCATTATTCTAGAATAAGTATCGCTGTGAAATGCTTTTATGTTGATAGTGAGGGGAATTATAAATCGACTATGCTAACCTTCATCTATCAAAAGGTACCTCTATGATAAATGAAGGTTAGCATAGTCGATTTATAATTCCCCTCATTGGTGACCCGGACGTGATAAGAACATACCAATATCGATGGATGGTCACATTGAAACAGTTGATTTGCTTAATATAAACTGCTCAAAGAAAAAAAAGATCTAGTGAAGTAAATAAAATCTCCCGGTAGTAAGCAATATAGAAAAAAATGAGCGAAAGTGGCGTAATTACCACTATAAATATTAAATACCAATTCACTAGTATATAAGACATGTTAACTTGATTCTATCATGAGGTACCTTTTGATAGATGAAGAGTGGCATAGTAAATTTATAATCCTCCACAATAGTGTTATAACAAGAGGTTACTGATTTATTCTATTTAATGTTAATAGCAGTGTAGAGTATTTAAATGCATAGTATTTAGTATAACACATTGTCTGATTTCTTAAAGTGGATGGAAAGTTGTGTCATTTTGTCAAAATTGTGTCATTTCAGGTTATAATGAAGCAAAAATTGATCCAAGGTCGTCATTCGGATGCGACAACTCCAACAGCAGCCGATGCTTACAGCTTAGATTCACTGTCCATCAGTGCTAGCTTTCGGAGGAGAAGGATTAGACGGTCAGCTAGATCTTACCTCAACCATGCTTTTACTGATCAGGTATTACAGCAATAAGCAGCTTTATTAGTCACTTCTGATTTATCTTTTAATGATCTTACGGTTGAGAATCCAAGGTTAAACTGTTTAACGTCATTATCTTTAGAAGCTTTATTAAAGAAAAGTATTGTATTTTTTCATTAATAGATATTCTCTCATTCAAATCAATACTTTTCTTGGAATGAGTCAACAAATATTTTAGCACTTAAATCATGTTTTTTAGATGTAAATAAAAAAGCATGTCAACGCAGCTTAAAATATTATGGACTGGTCGTTATTCAAAGCAGAATCGGAACTAAATCTTTTTTTTTAGATCTAAATCACTAAACAGAAAATAACCAGAATTTCAAATATAAAATTTCTAAATTTTAATAACTAGTGAGCTATGTCTTTAATTACTTTTTATTTGTAATTACCTCCGTGTTCATTACAGGTTGGGTCTGAAATTGAACTTTTTTAATTACTTATTTCTTACACTGCTTTTCTTTTTTGCAAGGTTGAGTCAGAAGTAAAATGTTCTTCAAATCATTGTATTTCAATTGCATTTCAAATGTAAATAATTTTTCATCTTTTGTAAATGATTAAAAGCATTATTGAGAACTTATTGATGTTTAAAAAAGCAACAACCTATTAAAATAGTTTGTGATAACCCCATGGATTCCTGGAAATAAAGATATTTTTTACCCCCTCCCCCATACCTAAGATTTTTGTGGTCCTTATTGCAGTCATACAATAAAATTGTCAAAGATACATATATTCTTAATTATTTATCTATTGTCTAATATTTCCTCAATTTTCACAAATAATAGATTAATAAAAAATTATACGCATGTTTCATTTCGTTTTCGAAGTTGAAACTTAGTGACTGACATGTGAGCTTTGTCAGCTGTTTTTCAGCTTGTTTCAAACTTGTCATGTAACATTAGGTAACACTCAGCATTAAGTAGAAACTGTAATTTAAAACTTTAACACACAACGCAGGATTTAATCAAGAATAAAACTAAATGTAGTTTTTTTTCGAAGCAATATTAAATTTAAAAAATTGTTTTTACTTAGTTTTTCAAAGTAGTAGAAAAATTCTTGAACTTTGAATATAGGATGGCTTAAACTTAAATTCAGTGCTTTTGCGAAAATTTGAAATACTTATTAAGGAGTTGTTACTCTAGCGGTGAAAAAAAGAAATAATATTTTAGGAATTTATTTTTAATGCAATGATGGAATAAATAAAAAAACTTGAAAAAATTTCTATACTATGCAAACATTGAAAAATAGTTTTTCTAATGTGATACGAAACAAATTGACAGATGTGTAGTTTCTCTTCAATGAAGCCTTTCTCTGCGAAGATTGAACAGCAGGACCAGCAGAAATACAATTTTTAAGTTAGAATAAAAGCAATGTTTACCCTTAATTACATATATATCAACTACAGATGTGATTAGCAGTGACAGAATTTTTTTAAAAACAAAAGCTATAAAACAATGATGTTTTTAACTATACAACAATACAATTGAAATTTGAAGTCAATTGGTGAGGATTTGTCGGAGTAACGCAATCAGTTAAACTGCAAAATGCAGTTTAAATAGAATAGGCTTTTGAAGGCATTTTTTTTTTAATATTTTTTTTATAAGAAATAAGCTTTTGAATTTTTGAAGATACTTGCAGTAATTCTGAGCAAAAATTCAAAATTCAAGTACTGAAACATTTTCAACCCTTCATAAAAATTTTAGTACATCATTTCAAACATCGATCCCTAAAGAATAATTTAATTTGTTTCAGATTGCTAAGCAGTTGCTAAAAAATCTACTTACATTTTTAATAACAATTTGCTACAAGTTACTCTTAACAAAGTTTGCTTAATAGGAAATGCGCCTATGAAATTTTCAAAAAGGAATTATTTTCCTTCATTTTTACATAATTTGACTAAATGAACAAATATGAATATTTTTCAAAAAAATAAATAAATAAACAGAAATTTACAAATAAAAATGTGATATATACATTATACAACACGATATAAAAAGTAAGGGTGAATTCGAATTTGATCTGTTCTTTTTTTCCCTGCAAATATTGTGGTTGAGCAGTGAAACAGTTTTACAGGAAAGCAAAATTGCAGCATTGGCGTAGATTTTACTTCACGGTAACTTTTTTTTTCCAAATTAAATTTAAATTCACTGAATGAATAAAAAAATTGCTTTATTTTCAATTGCTTCATATTAAAATCAACGTTTTGGTAATTGAAAGGATATGTTTAATCAATTCAAATTAACATGTTATTGTATTACTCTACGTTAAGATTAAACTTCGTTATTAAATCAACGTTTTGGTAATTGAAAGGATATGTTTAATCAATTCAAATTAACATGTTATTGTATTACTCTACGTTAAGATTGGAATGAAATGAAATGTCCAGAAATTCAGCGCCACATCGTAATCCCCCCAATTTATTCGGTTCAGCAGTAAAACAGATTTACTGAAAGGCACGAATGCAACATCACAATAGTAACTTTAAAATCTCCTTCTCCAGTTATTGTTTTCATTTACACCATCCAGTATACCCCGCAAAATCTTTCTCAGAATCTTTGAGAGAAAAAAAGACTACATGGTTGTAGTAAAAATAATATAAAATCTCATAAAGTTCTGCTTTTTTTTCTTACAATAGCAGTAAAGTTTATTAACACTCTCAAAAACTTCAGATAGTCATACAGACCCAAATCACTTCTTAAAAATAATTAACAGCTTTCCCATTAATATTTCTGTATTCAATTAATCAGCCACGGGCCTCAAATTTCAATATCATATTATATAAAAATTGACAAATTAACCATAGATCCGTAAATTAATTTTGTTTCTGCTGTCCTTAATGCTTTATTTTCAGAAAGTTTCCGACTTTTGGGGAAGGCACTTGAAAGCTGTGCAAAATTTTAGTTTCCTGACACTTTAAGGTCACTTTAAACGCACACCAATCTATGAAAATAGCCTTAATTTGAATATTTGCGGATAACCTTTGACCTTCAAGGGAAAAAACCACTAAAAGTTTTGGGTGTCTTAATAGTTAGTGTGGAGGTTGGGGAATATATGTAATAGTAATAGTCAGTAGCAGTAAGAGTATTAGTAAGAGTAATAGTCAGTACCATAGTTCCCTCATTTAACAAAAACTATTGCTACTTGTAAACGGATGTATTTTTTTCAAAATTACAGAAAATCTTTAATTTTGACCCCAAAACTTTGAAATTTTTTTTTTTCTTTTGGAAAAAAAAAACAGAAAACTGTTATGGATTTACTTAAATATATCATGAATATTTCAATAAAATCAAAAATGCCAATTCTGCCTGATTCTTAAGAAACTGACTCTGAAACTTACTTAAGTAATAGTTGCAGTTTTTTTTTTGTTGTAAAAATGTTGTTTTTCTTTCATTTTTAGGAAATTCCATCTCATCCACTAAACGAAAAAACTTTAGCAAATAGCTTAAAAAGTAAAGATTTGCTTGAAGAAGAATACAAGGTATGTTATTTACTGATAAAAAGCATTGAATATATTCCTTTGAACGAAATTTAGAATCAAATCAGGACCAAATAATAATTAAAGAAGAACCTCTACCATGTCCTTATCTATGAGGGAGATGGTAAAACACGTTATATCTAAACCTTTCTACTGTTATTTTATTATTAATATTATTATTATCTTCCATGGAAAATATTTTTTAAACTGATTTGGATGAAAAACAATTTTAGCTACTCGTAAAAATGGTTAAAAATAAATTTTATGCATTTAAAATTAGATTACTTCATTTATCGTATAATTTTGTTATAACAGAATGAAATGTTGAATCATATATTGAAACTAATGTGTTTCAGAGTAAAATGAATTTAACTGTTTCACCAGAACTAATGATTATAGAAACTTTCCAATGTCATAATTTCCAACTTCGCAATTTACACTAGAACAAAAAACTAATTTTGAAGAACTGTAGCAAGTATTTGCTCACAATTTGAATTTTGTAGACTAGTTTTAATTAAATTCATTTACTATTCAATTTACTATAAATTTTTTTACTATAAATTCATTTACTATATTTTTTTTAAGATCATTCTAAAGTTGCGCATCTTTTTATTTTTAGAGATTACCAATGAACATGCCGAAGCTTGATTCTATCCCAGAAGGAGCGCACGTAAAGAATAGATATTCAAACATACTTCCCAGTAAGAAGCTTATTATTTCTTACATATTTTAAAGCCTCAATTAATCGTCTATTTAAAAATTATTTCATATCTTTTACTATCATTGGATTCACACACAAGAAATTCCTTATAATTTCCGGATAATCCTATCTGAAAATAGAAAAAATGAATGAATGAAGAATGAAGAAAAAATATCAGTAATATATTCATATTATTTTCCTTACAGAGGCTGAAAGTCGGGTCATGTTAGCCGATCCCTCAGGAGATCCATTAAAATGTTACATCAACGCCAATTATGTTAAGGTAATAAAAAATATCTACATTTTCTGTTATCAAATATTTTAGAGCACTCCGTTGGTATTTTTCGTAATTATAAATTTTTTACAGGGTTACGAAGGCAAATCCTCTTTTTATATTGCATGTCAGGCCCCTTTGCCCGAAGGTATTGAAGATTTTTGGCGAATGATCTGGGAACAACAATGTCGAGTGATAGTTATGTTGACGATGTTCGAAGAAAATGGAACAGTTAGTATTTTTTTTTCAACTATATCTTTCCTTCTATTTTAATTTTTTTCTTCTTACAAATACAAAGTGTACCGCAATCGTCACTATGAATGTATGTTTTTAGAAAAGTGAAGTAAAATGAAGCTCACACATTGGTGGTGGCAAATTAGATTCAAGTGAGAAATTTACAAAACCATTATTGAAAGCTGTTGAATCACAAGCGTGGAAAAAATTAAAACCAGCTAAATTAGCTGAAGGAAACTAGAGATATGTCTAATAACTGCTCTAAACTCTTGGTTTAACAGGCAGTCAAACAGTTTTTGATGTTATCAAATCTTACATTTCAAAGGGTTTGCGAAAAACTAAGTATTACTATTAAAACCTGCACTGTAACATATTTTTAGTAGCATAATTATTTTCAAAAACAATTCTACTTCTATAAAAGTTTGCGCTAAAGCATGAAAAAGTTTCTTAAACTGATATACTATGTATGCATTTTCATACAAGTAAAATAATAATTAATTATTTTTATGCTCTTTAATTCAAAACAATTTTGATCATTATAAATATTAAAGAGTCATTTATTTGATATGAAATCATATTTTTTCTACAAAAAAACTTTTAAAATCTCCTTTACACATACACAATCAAACATGAAATTAATTAACAAGATAGATTGTATGTTTAAGGTCTCTTCCGGGCGATAACTATTAGGGGTCATCTAATTCTAGTGACGTATTCTACTAAGCACAATAATTTTCTTTTTAAAGAATTCTAAAGCAAATCTATAAAAAAAACTATGTTTGCACAACTAATTAATTATTTTTATTTTAAAATCATTTTGGAAATTAAAGTAATCGTTTACTTATCACGCAATTGACCAGTGTCTCTTGGTTGATTCGTATATTATCAATCCTGATCTACACTGACCACACTACACACAAAAAGTATTTGCTGTAACTAATGCATCATGTCATCTGGGTAAGTTCAAATACCGTCAGGCTACCCGTCATAGATTTTTTGTATTTTCTTTTACTTTTAAGACAAACACATAATAGTTTTACTCAAAAATCAGGGGAAAAGGTGAATTTTTTCTAACGATTAACTTAGTCACCTTGTCTTTTACTTCTTGTTAAAAATTACAAGGCTACACAGTTGAATATCTATTTAAGTTTATTGAAGAACAGTGATAAAATCAAAAAAGAAGGGTATGTCAAACTTTGGGAGGTTTTGATCCACAGGAATTAATTAAAAGGTATTCATCAAACCTACTTACAGTTATAATTAAACGTCTAGAAATGTTACACGCTATAATCGTGTCGAAAGAAAAATGCTATATTTATTTACTGAAGAAAAGTAACAAAGCTTATTAATATTTTTAAATATAGTTCGAATCAGTAAACTCAACTTTCAGAATAAATTAATTACTTTATTCGATTTTTTTGCTTTCTTCCATGCATTTTAAATATCTTATGAAGTTTTCTTTTATTCTATGTTGCGATTCCTGTTTTCTTTTTTGGCAGAAATAGCGGTCAAAATCCTTTATTTGGCATGCTGAATAAAATCTTCCTTTATACGCATTTGAAATGTATATACAAAAATTTAATGCTATATTTATTTACTGAAGAAAAGTAACAAAGCTTATTAATATTTTTAAATATAGTTCGAATCAGTAAACTCAACTTTCAGAATAAATTAATTATTTTATTCGATTTTTTTGCTTTCTTCCATGCATTTTAAATATCTTATGAAGTTTTCTTTTATTCTATGTTGCGATTCCTGCTTTCTTTTTTGACAGAAATAGCTGTCAAAATCCTTTATTTGGCATGCTGAATAAAATCTTCCTTTATACGCATTTGTAAATGTATATACAAAAATTTAATGAACGCTTTAAAATTAGAAAGAAAAAAAAACAATAAGGGTACTAACTTCTAATATACTAATCTAAGTACATTAAGAACTCAACTTTTCGTATTTCAATACTATATGTTAATGGTAGATAGCAGCACAGAAAAGAAATTTCTTTCAAAATGACTTTTCAGAATAAAACAATCACACGTGATTTCTTCTTGAGTTTATTTGCAAATGGCTGATAGACAGAAATAACATATGATTCTATTTGATCATGCTCTAATCTGCTGACAATTGCCAAAATTGTTTTGTGTTCGATGACCATTTCTGGTAACTTCATGATCCCATGCTCATAATACTTTTGGTCCTTATCACAGCAAAGAACTCGAGCAAATATGATTTAAGGACATCGTTATGACTGAAATTTTTAGCATTTAAAAAGTTTTGTTCGATAAATAATAATCCGATGATGCAAAATCGAAGCTATATGGGGAATGCAAGAAAATTAACCAACCAAGCTTCAGTAATTTTCTACGTGTTGTTGAAGATGAATTTCAGAATTTCAATCACAATTTCGTATCAGAACATGATTATTTTGCTATTTGCTATCTACAAATACTTCCAATCTTGCATCATCGGATAATCAATTATTTAGAAATTTACAAAACTTTTTAGATGGAAAAAATTCAGGTCTTGCCCAGGACCTCAAGTTACGCTTACTTGAATTTTTTGCTGTATTGTGGAACAGATGTTCCTTGAGATCGGGATCAAGAAGTTATCAGAAAGCTGGCAAAATGCCATTGATCAGAATGGAAGATATTTGACTAATTTAAGTTTATCTTTTGTACAGAAAAAAAAAAATTCACACTAAAAAACGAAATTACTTTCTTGCTAATTCAGTATTTATATTTTTCTCAAAGCAAAATGACTTTGAGTTATGTGCATGAATAAGAATGTTTTATTTATTGCAGTCCAGATGCGCTGTCTACTTTCCCCAAAGCACCTTAATATCTCAACAGCCTTATGGAGATTTTCAAGTGTCACTTCTAAAGAAGGATGTGTATGAATTTTATACACTATCTACTCTTCGTCTATTGGATTTGGAGGTGAGGTATGCTTAATGAGTATTGAACTCACTTAGTCACAGGTCAAACGTCGATTTCACAAGCTTGTGAAATCGACGTTTGACCTGTGACTAAGTGAGTTTTTATATTTCTGATGATTTTGCTTGAGTTTCTTTTCTTAATTTGTTATTTGTATTTCATGTTTTTTTTCCTGGACTTCTATACAAAACCATCGGGGTACTGAGGGAGTTAATTTAGGCATTTGCTTCTCCCTCAATTAGAAATGGTTTTGTTTTTATGGCTACCGGGGCCGGTATCCCCTGAAGACGTCGGCTTCGGTGGTCATATTTTTATTTCCTTCGTTTCCTTTATTGATACTTTTTCCTGAAATTTCTGCTGCTTTTTAGTGCGTTTTTTTTCAAAGAAGTTTTATTTATTTAGAATTAAAAATATTTGTGTTTTCTTTTAGTACTTATAAATACTAATTTGGTCACGTAGTCTACCAATCCTACAACGATCCCGTTGATCATTCAGATAACCTGGCATAACGAATAAATTACATTTAAGTATTACAGAACACGAAATAAACAACTTTTTTGATTAGAGCTATAAGCTAGCAGGCATTATTGATGTTATCTTTAAAATATTTGACAAAATTGAATCATTATCACTTTACTTAAAAAAAAAAGCTTCAGCTAAACCAATGAGAAAAGTCAATTTTTTAAATGAATAAAAAATATAATTGAAAAATACTACTTAGTAATTTGTTTACAATTAAACTCATTTAGCTTCAAGTTGAATGTCGTATTTTTAGAGAATACGGTTTACCCGTGATCCGGTATGCAGACACACACATAAATTCTTTATTTCATTATATATATTGATAAGTGATGGTAATATCAGATAATATTTTTTATACAAAAATTAATAATTTTTTTAGTGTTTGGTACATAAAAGTTTATTGATATAATACAAAAACAAATGCCTTTATTTCTGAATAAATAAATATTAATATTATATCTTGTCTTCAAATTTCTTTCGTGAACTGATCGTTAAGACACGGTTCCCAGCAGATCTCCGAAGTCAAGCATCACTGGCTACGGTCAGTGTGCGGGTGGGTGACCACTTGGATCAGTCTACGTAGGGACCGAGGGTGTGCGGTATTTTATTTTATAACCGTCGTTGAACAGCCGACCCAATTTCATGGGTTTACGACTACTAATGTTCAACTCCGTAGCCTTGTAATTTTGAACCAATCCAGAAGACAAGGAAACTCCTGGATCNCCATCCCCTCCGCAGAGGATCAAAATTGCGATGGCATGTCTTCGGATCATTCTCCGAGATGTTTCCCAAACCGTCGCCAATAGCCCATTGTGCAGCTCCAGTGCGACGTAAATTAACAACAACATCAAATTGCTTTCATGAGTAGCTTGCTACCCCATGAATATTTGTGGCGGACCTTTGGGAGCCCTACTTAAAGTCACAGTATTGATTACTGTAATAAGTTTAACTGGATAAGCTTCAATAAGATATTGAGCGCTGCATAAAAGTTTTAATGCTTAGTTACAGAATGGAATATATTCTGGGTGAAATTGTGTGTGATCCTTATTAATTGCCCAACATTTTAGAAATTTCCAGAGTTAATTGTGAATTCCAGTGGTATTTTTAAATTCTCAAAGAATTTTATAGTTTCTCTGTTTATAACGAGAGTCACTTTTTGTAGCTTTTAGAGTACAATTTTTTAAATATTTAATTTTTAAAAGCACTCAATCATTAAAAAAAATTCATAGCATTTTCTTATGTAAGTGAAGGTGATGATATGTTTGATAGCTGATTGCCAAACTTCCTCATTTTGAAAATAAGATGTAAAATATGATTTAATAAAATTCATTTTCATAATAAATGTAATGTAAATATAATAGTACAATTCCCAAGAAATTTTTGAATTTCACGAATAATCACTATTATTATTTTTAGTAGCTTAGTAACTAAGTAGGAGCACTTTTAAAAGTGTTTATTAGTTATGAGTACTTAAAGGTTAAAAAGAATTATTAATTTTATTTCAAAATGTTTAAAATCAGTTATTTATAATGACAGTAATAGGTATATGATTGCATTGATAACTATTTATGATTGAAAATTCAATATATTTATCTGGAATATTTCTTTTAGAAAAATTTATTTCGAGATGTAGTGCATTTGTGGTTCACAGGATGGCCTGATGTAGGTGTGCCAAAAGATTCCTCGAGCTTAGTAACATTCGTGCAACAGTGTCGGCCATTTATCAACTGCAACTCTGGTCCTACAGTTGTCCATTGCAGGTAGGTCCTTGAAGACAGTTTAGATTTAGGGCCAATCCCTTCAGCAAGGCTCTTCCAGTTTTCTTTATTAGGACCTATTTATAAATATAAATAATTTTGCGAGCAATATTTTTTTAAAAATAATATATAAAATTAAAGGTTAACTAATTAATTGCAATAACATTTATGTTTTTACAAATTTAATGAGTGGACAAAATTTAATATTTTCGTTTACCAAACAAGCTGATATTTTAAATACAACTTATGCGTATATCACTTCGTGTATGAAGCTGATCGAATTTCTAAATCATTTAACGAATCTCTTTAACAATTATTTAATATGCTATATTAATGTAATTGGCAATGGTTAATAAATTTAGACACCCATTCAAATATGCTTATCTTAAAAATAGCGTATTAAGGTAATAAAATAGAATTAATTATAATGAAAAAACTACATTTTTAGTTTTAAACTTTTAATTTAGAAACCAATCATAATCAAAAATATAATAATAGTAAAGCAGAATAAGAAAAATAAATATTTCAGGTAAACACTTTAAATTAGGGATATAAAAATATTCCATAGAAAAACGTTACCTTTATGACTTTTATTAATTTTATCCTGATGACAACCAAAAATATTCGGAAATTAATGTAGGAAAATTGGATCCAACCATGTGACTTTCCGGTTTATAAAAATGCAGACAACGAAAAACTGTGTTAGACTATTCTACTCTTTTATTGTATTGATATTTATAGCTCGTATTTGAAAAGGCTCATTAAAGTAACAATAATTTCTGATTTAATAGCGTTCCCATTTCTGATTGGCTGGTTGATGCATATGAAGCGTAAGACTTTACAATGGGCCATTATTTCAATTTCCATACATATTTTGCAATTATCATTTTTGAAAATTCATTTATATTTGAAGTTTTATGAACTAAGTAATAATACAATAATAAAATGCAATAAGTAAAATAAAATATTAGTAAAAAAAATTAATAAATTAAAATAAATGTTTAAAAACAATATGCAATTAGTGGATGGTCCCTCAGATAAAAAATTTACGTTTAGGAAACTCAATTAATTCTTATCTTTATTAAATTAAATGAATAAAAGGGAGATGGAAATTTTGAGGTTAAGAAGCTTTGTGGTTCTTGACTGCTCTGAGGATCAACATGAAAATATGTACTCAGTGAATGATCCCTCAAGTTAATTCAAAGATCATGGTACTAATCTATAAATAGAATAGATAGAGCAAGAAGGCCATTAGTTTGCCATTGACGAAGACGATAACACTTCAATAACGATGAAATTCACAAGAGAAATAAAATTTTCTTTTGCTATTAAAATTTGGTCCCCGAAGATTCGATAGAAGTTTCGGTTCCATTTCAGAGAGTGGAAAATGAAGCCTGAAATTGAGTATATCTTGCGAAATAAAGCAGAGTTGTACACGAGAGTGCAAGAATCCTCCACATGGCAGTAGCTTGGTTGCCGAAATTTCTGACTTGGCGATACCCTGGGGAAAATATCCTTTTTGGCGCAATTTAACTCAACTACTTCAATTTGGAGCATGTAGGCGCAGGTTTCCACAATTGGCGCAGCACTTGCACCACTGTGAACAGCAACTAAGCGATAGATTTGTTTTAAAATCTGATTTAAGAATAAATTTGATACAATGTCGAGTTAGTTTGTTTAATAATTATTATTATTGTATAATAATAATAATAATAACTAGTGGGCTGCGCCCCCTGCTCGCTAACGCTCGCCAACCCCCGAAAATTGCTACGCAATCTTATATGGTTTGCCTCGCAAACCAAGCTCACTACTAACTTAGGTACATTGCAAATGCACAAAATTCTAAGAATTCAAAACAATCATTCAAATCCATATAACAACTTTTTTTTTAAAAAAAAATTACATCTTTTTAGTAAATACTAAGTCATTAAAATAAATTTGAATTCAAATAAATGACATGTAATTCGTTAAACCTATTAGAAATGTGCTATAGTATAATTCGTGATATAAATCAAAAATCGTCAAATAAATTCGTAATATGTAAATTCGTGAAAAAAAGCGCTTTCGACAAAATACTAAAATAGAGATCTATCGACAAAGACTATCACTTCTGCCTTGCTTATGCTCTCTCTGATTATTTCAGTTTCCGTTTTTAAAAGCGCTATATGTTGAGCTATTTCAGCTAGATTTGGCATGTGACATTTTTAGCTGCAATCATTGGTCGATTTTCTAGCGTTGCCATTCAGGGAGTTGTAATGAAGCTTTTTTTTATCGCCGTGTAAGAGAAATATATATATAGATATATATATAGATAATTGTTATTATAATATAATTGTTATAATTATAATAATATATAATAAATATTATTAATAAATATAATTAACATTATAATAATAATTGTTTATTAATTTCATATAATTTACTGACATTATTGATAGTAAAAACACTCTAGAACGGCAGCAGGAGCTGCAAATTATCACAGCAGCTGCATTACATTACCTAAGAACGGACATTAAAACTTGGTCATTATTTCGCAAAGTGCATAATGCCATAAATATTCATTAATTAAAAAATATTAGACTAATTTGGAAATAACAATACATTTTAATAAGAAATAGGAAACTAACTAAATAATCGATAATTGGTGCTTCTTTTCAATGTTATAATACGTAAAAGTACCATTTAAAATTGTACACTAAAAAGAAAAAAATGCAATTAAAATAATTATCTGATCTGGATAGCCATTTTCGACATACGTCCGGGTAACAATGACATACTTCTAGATAAATGCCAAGACCTCATATTTTAAGCCGAAAAATAAACCACGTATAAAGAAAAAATTCGTATGACAAGAATATTGATGAATTTATTGCACCCTTTAAAAAGAAATTTACGAAAATATTAAAAATATTTTTTTAACTAAAATAGAAACTTGAATATTTGGCCCTTTTTCTGTGACATCCTTAGGCGGTTGCCTTGGATCACCTTATGGCAGATTCGGTTTTGGTTTCAAATATTTTTTACATACTAATATCTAGAGTAAAAAAAATTTCTACTTAAGCATATATAAATTTTTTTTTAAAAGTTAGAAAAAAATTATATCAGTAAAGAATTTTATTAATACCTTCTAACCTTTGAAAAAAGTACTTAATTTAATGGAGAATTATTTTTATATTTAACTGCTTAAATAAATTATTCTTATTTTTAACTAATTAAACAAATTATTTAAATTAGTATTCTTTAAAAAAAAATTGATAATATTACAACCATTATTTTAATCTATTAAATGTAAATTATAAAGAGTTTGCAAATTTATAATAAGTAATTTTTCTAATAATTATACCACATAAAATTAAAAGATAATAGTAATCTAAAATGTTGGAGGGGACATCTAGTTTCTAATATTATATCAATAAGAATAAAATAGAAAATTAAATAGTTTTTCTCTTTTTCCGTAAATTTTTTTTACACTACATCTAAATTTATCACTACAGTACTATTTATTGAAAAAATTTAAAAGTTTCTAAAAATTAAAAAAAATCAGATTAATATCATGTAAAAAAATCCATTTCCTATTATTTTTCAGTACTGGAACGGGACGAACAGGTGTTTTCATTGCACTGGATATTTGCATGAGAGAATATGATCAATCAAGATCCATCGATATTCTGCAATGCATCTCCCAAATTCGAAAGGATCGATCAGGAGCCGTGCAGAATAAAGACCAATATATTCTTATTCATGACGTAAGTAAAAAATACAAATTTAAATTTTAGTAGGTGATGATTCCGGATAGTTAACCTTTAGCATTTTACCTCAAAGATATTTTGCAATATCAATGAATCACTTTTTCAAAAAGAATTCTTTTTTTTCAAAATAAAGATATTGCTAAAATAGATTAAATTCTCGCTCATTAGAATTGAAATCAAGTGATAAAAATCTTATTTTATTTACCTTTAACACCCAAAGTGTTCAACGAAGAAATACAAATTTTACAAGGTAATAAAATATGATGAACTAAACATTTTTCATTATATAGAGCATAGGTTGCCAAATGCAAAGGATGTGAAATCTATGATTCAAAATGATTTTATTTTAAATAACAATTTTTTAAGAGATTTTTATTCTCAAGAACTAGACCATATACTTTCGCATATTCTGGCTTTAGTATATGAAAATTACTTTATTAGCTCATTACAACCGAGCTGAACATTTCATCTAAAAACATCATGCCTTCATTTAACCCTTAATAAAGCCACTTTTTTTCTAGTAATGTAATGTTAAAATATACTTCCAACAGCCATAAAGGATTTATACAATAACAGAGAAGCTTGTAGTGATTAAAACTTACAATCATTATATTTTGTGGTAAAAAATGTTTTTTGTCATGATTAGTCATTCATAAATTTATAAACTTCTGAAGATAATAAAAGTGACACCATATACATAATTGTATAAAATTATCAGAGTAATGAAATTGTATATAATATAGTATGTATAACTCTGTTTAAATTATATAAGTAAAATGAGAGTTTATTTTGATGTTTTCTTTTTTAAATTACGCCCGCCATCGTCTTCGCAGACATAAGGCGTCTTGCAGTCCAATACAACGCTGAAGTAGCTCCAGAAGGTGAGAGGGCACAAAAGTCATCACAGGAACGAATGTCAAGAAGAGGGGGGCAATCAAATAGATGCTCCCCAGTCATAGGCGAAGTGTTACAGAGCACACAAAGAGGTGAATTGACCATGTTAATTTTAAATAGATGGGCCTGCAAGTAGTCATGTCCAGTAATTATTCTAAGGCAAGCAACTCCCTCGGCTCTGGGAAGGAGGGAAAGGTGAGAGCGCTGCTGGTCATCAAGAAGGCTAGCCCAGGACTTTCCATCAGCTAAGTCCCTAAGAGCAGATATTGTTCTGTGCCTGAATTTGCTCTTAAGAAGCCGCCTTGCATTTCTAAGGGGAACTGGATGAGAAGATGGATGCAATGCTGAAGCCTCTCTAGCCAACATGTCAGCCTGTTCATTTCCATAAATGCCACAATGGCCAGGGATCCACTGGAGGAAAACCTCTCTTCCAGAACAAAGAAGAGAGTCGATGCGTTGTTTATCGATGTCGATGCGTTTTGATATGGGGGTATGAATATGATGAAAAATCATCATTGGCACTTATCTTTTTTACCACCTAGTATCATTTCCTATATCTTCCTTTGATTTCAACTTCTATAAAATGCCTCTTTTAACACGTACCATGATTTTTTTTTTCTAAAAATTTATATTGAACAGAAAGTATTACAACTCATTTTGTGATTTTTCTAAATGGAAATAAGGTCTGAAAACTCAATTCTTAAAATAAAAAGTTATTTCATTTCTATCTGTTCAAGAACTGCATAATAAGTTTGTGCGAAAGTGGTTAAAAATATCATTTACTGATTGATCCTATGCTAATTAATTTATTTCTAAAAGTATTCATTTGTTTTTTAGGCCATGCTAGAGTATATTTCTCGTGTGATAAATCAGTCCCAACGACCCTCAATAAGCAGCTAGCATATTTCAGAAAGTGATCGCCACTGTGATTTAGGAGTTGGACAAGAAAACATGAATTGTTGAACTGAAAGATATTTAATTGTTTGTACAAAAAATGTATTTTATGCAGTGTTGCGTGTATTTTAGCTTTTATGGCAAAGAAATTTAAGAATGTATTTATTTTAATTATCTTCAAATTGATATGATGTTAAAGAAATAAATAGTATATATTTATCATTATGTGTCTTTAAAAATATAATGGATGTAAAAAAAGATTAGTATTGCTTTCTGTAAAAAAAAAAAGATCAAACAAGAAAAAGATTGAGATCAAACAAGAGCACTTAAATGAGAAAATATACCCTTTTATTTTCTTTACATCAAAATAAATAGAATATAACATCACAAACATCCTAGATCTCCCTTTTGTACAACAGCATTGTAGCTATAGTCAAAAACTGATTTGATGTAGGCAGCTTTTTTAGAGTTGTTCACAGCACGAGCTGTATTCACTTGCTCAAAAGGTTCTGTAAGAAGTAATTAATGGCAAATAAATATTGTGATAAGTAGACAAAATTCCAAATAAGATCAACTAACAAATCATAAACTTCTTAAAAAGCCCAACAGCCCCTTATATGCCTTAGCTGCCTCAATTATGTATTCCTTACAACATTATCTATCTACAGCAACATTTATTTTTAAATTTTCAAGTTTTTTTCCGGTGTCATCCAATCATCTATTTCAGGGGTTTCCAACTTACATGAAGACGTGGGCCGCAATTAAAAACACCAGTCAAATGGCGGGCTGCTACTTTATCAAAATTTTATATAGGATTCTTTTATGCTTGAAGAACATTAAATATTATTATCAAGTTGTACAAAACAAAAGTATTGAATTATAAATTAAAATAACAAGTAGATTTTTAAAAATATTTAATTGCATATTAAAATTTTTTGGCTACTATAAATTTAATGTGCACCTATGTATTAAAAAATTAATGTGCAACAGAACACATAGGTAGCACAACTGACACTCATTGGCGCCTGCAACAGGGACCGAGGAAGTGTACTTGTATTCGAATGAAAACTTAATAAAATAAGAATTATATTTTACAAATAATGTAATTATGTATCATTTTGAATCTTCTCTTAATCAGAAACATAGTGACAAGATTTTATTTTTTTAATTTAATTTTGTGATAAAGTAAAAAATTTTTTGACTTATTAGGAATTATAGCTATAAAAAAAAATTTCAAGCATCTAAAAAATGTTTTCTTCTTTTCCGCTCAGGTAATATTTAATTAAAAGAATTTAAATAAAACGTGATATTCAATACCTCCTTTATACGTTTTAAAATTTACAAATGTAAATAATTTCGTCCAAAAGGAATGGTTTCAAAAAGTTAAATCGGAGAATTACTTCGAGAAAATTTCTGATACGCACATGCTAAATTATATTCACAAAATACAAAAAAACAAAATAAAAAAGGGTGACATACACGATTATTTTTGTATTTGAATAAATATTTTCTTGGGTGCAAAGCCTGAGAAATAAATTTTTTTGCACCGTTAATATGTTAAATTTCACAGAAATTAAGTTTTTTTTAGCGAAAAGTATTTGAAACTCATATAGATTTCTTACGAAAATTGTCCACAGAAAAATGACAACTAATATATTTTAGTTCGTGGGCCACAAAAAAAGGTTTCGTGGGTCACCAGTTGGTAACCACTGATCTAGTTGGTGGACTTCCTCTACCACAAGATCCCTCAGGTTTTTTGAATGTTAAGAGTCTAGTGGTATTTTCAGAGCTTTTGTACACATACCCCAGCAACTTCAATCTATTACTACTCCTACCTACTCGACTTATTTGTGGTTGCTTATAAAGCTTTTACTATTTAAAGTTGTGTCTTGTTCTCCAATGCTCTTCGTCCTGCACTGAACCAAGGAAGGCTCAGAAAATTTTTCTTTCGAACGTGTGGGTTTTGCATCACCCTTTGCTTATAACACTTACATGGTAAAACCTGACATCCTGGTCCACTTGTTGTAGCAGACATATGCAAAAGGTTAAGATGTATCACTTACAAAAAGTAAAACCGTAACAGTGTCTTATATATTTTTAGTTTCGTTTTGTGACTGTTGAGATAAGATTACAATTGTCTTCTCAGCCCAAATAAGCATTCATTAGCCCTTCTGATTTTGTTATCAAGTAGCATTAACTACTTAGCACCAAATAATAAGATTTTGATATAATGAAAGATTTTGCATTGAGTATCCCCGTTTCTATAACCATTAGAAATATAACTATCTCAAGAGTTTGCTGCATTCATATGGTAAATGATGAGAAATTTTCAGTAATGACATTGAAATCCATCAGTAAAGAACACTTCACACTTCAATAATTTTTTAAAACTATATTGTAAATAAATTACAAAAAATGTGAATAATCATGTGATTGATATTATATTGAAATTTGTTTATCAAAGTTTGACAGCATTATTTTGACACAATATAATAATTTTAATATATATCATGTGCAAAGAAAATTCAAGAATTTGCCTCTATTCATAAGTGTGAGCACCTTCAAGTTTGTGAATTCTAAATAGTTTCAGCCTGATAATGTATTTTCATTCTTTTGTCATAATTTAGCTTGTGAAACACTTAAAATTTCATCTAAACAATACTGTAATTTCAAAGTAAATAGAATGTTTTTCCTCAGCAATAATTTAGATGTACAGAACTTTAATTCGAGTATACATGCAGTTATTTTTTTTAATCATATTTAAAAGAAAATTTAGTTACAAGAATATTAAGTTAAACAACTGTATTAGATTAAAAATTTCTTTTCCATAATTTTGAATTCTAACACTTAACATTTTAATTTTATTATAGATATTTTGTTTTACCTTCAATATCAATCCAATGTCTTAAATTCTTTTCTTTGGTTAATATTTTATCAACTCTGGGTAATAAACAACCCAGACGTACAGATATTCTTTTTTCTTTATAGCTGAAAAAGAAAGAAAAAAAAGTTAAATAATGTAAAACCTGTGGTTGGAACAAAGGAGTGAAAAACCAAATAAAATAATTAAATCCAAATATGCACTTTATTAAAAGAAATTAAAAGCTGCTACTTTCTTATGAGTTTATTGTGACTTTAATTAAAAGCCCTATTTTATCCCCCTATCGAATTTTAGAAGAAGAAAAAACATTTATTTTCATCCTCTCAATTAAAAACAATATAATTTAACAGCACATCTTTCAAAAAGGTTTCACTTTAATAGAATTTTTTGAAATTATGCAAATTTTTCTCAAAAACAAACATGTAATATTATTTGATAAGTAACATAATTCTATTCAATAGTCTGTCTTAATTATGTGTTTGAAAAATCACATTTGTTTTAACTGGTGAAAGCTTATTTGGACACTGAAAGAAAACTTTTTTAACATAACCTGAGCAAAAACAGGAAGATATTTTTATTATTAAATAACCATTTTTGAAAATGCCGATTTTGAAATTGTATTGGTACAGTTTCTTAGAAAAATTCTTAACGAAACTCTAGAGCAGGGGTCCCCAACCCTATGCCTGAGGGCACCATGGCATCCGTCGATCGGTCTAGGTGTGCCCGCTGCTTGTGTCCAACGATAAAATATTTCAGTTTTCCATTTTCCTATAAAATTCTATGCAATTTTTTTTTTCTTTTTCAATATTCAACACAACCAAAGTAGAAATCGCCATGAAAACGACCTCCATTCCCACAGATATAAGCACAAAGCAAAATATAGCTGACTTCTATACTATATAGCTGACTTCTATACTGACTATATACATCGTATGTTTTGCAAGCATTTTAGTAATAATTTATTTTGCACAAGAATATTAATATTAATTATATTCATATATTGAATTAATTTTTAAAAATACATTTTTTGTGCACTATATGTAGTGTGTATTATTACCTATATCTATCAACTATAAATTTATCTTGAAAAAATAAATGGTGCCCGCCATTCGGCCGATATTCTGGTATTTGCTCTAAGGTACAAAAAGGTTTGGGACCCCAGCTCTAGAGTAACAACCATTACATCACTTCCAATCTGATTATGCAACAACCTAGAGTAGTCAACTTGCTTCAACTCCAAGTTGCATAACTCCACAATTACTGTTACATGATTTTTTTTCCATGTTCAGAAAGAGCATCATCTATCTTCAATTTCATGCTAATAATTTTTGATTTTCTTTATTTGAAAATCTGTCTTCTATGGGTGTAGAAAAATTATGCTAAACCAAGGAGGCAACAATTTATCACCCCTTCTTGCAATCAATGCACTGATTGTACATTGATTGCAAGAAACCAGTCAAAACCAGTTAAGGAAGAAAGGGATAACACCAGTATAAAATCAGAAAACTTGCCTTTTTTTTGTCCTTGTTGTTTGCACTTTTAGAATCAATACTGCACTGCATTGAATTGGGATTGATGACAAAAAGAATAATAGTTAACGTTTGAAGGGAAAACAGTCAGCATAAGAAAGTTGAACCTCCAATAAATCAAAGTTTTTTGTTAATCTATTACATTGATTGTATTTTAAGTGTTTCAAGACACTGAAGAAAAGGATAATCGTAAATTTATTTGTAAAAATTATATAAAGATGACTAAATGTGAATTTTGACAACTCTCTGATGGTTGAGTTCATTTGGGATGTAAGAGACCTCTCAAACATTTGTGCTCAAAACTTTTTTTCCCCTTTTCCTGAACTTATTTTAATTTTATTAGTTAGATAAACATTGAATAAATATGAAACTAGTATGCATAGCTCATTTTATAAAGAGTTACAGATTTATTTTTTTAAGTTATGGGTGAACTTTGAAGAAAAAATGCCCCCTCAGCTCACATTAAAAATCTGCATATATTTTTTGCATAATTCGTAGCGAAAATTAACATGGTAAAGGAAAAAATCTCATTTTGAAAAAAGGAAAATTAAGCACTTTTTAAAAACATTCAATAAAAAAAGCTCATTTAAGGGCTTTTAAAAATCGAAAATAAGCACCTTTAAGCACTTTTTAAAAATGCTACGCACCCTGTAGAAACATACACTTTCATCCTTTGAACATTTTTTTTTTGTATGGATACAAATAAACTATTTCTGAAAATTTTGCTATGTCTACACCAGTGTCTTCTTGTGGGACATCTGTCCAATAGGAGGGCAATTTAAAAATAGACATGTCAAGAGTCAAATTTAACCTTATAGTGACTTTGAATTGCCATTTAAGCTGTGTAAACCTCCCGTCCAACCTACATAACTTACGTCCACAAGGTTAGTATCTGTAAGATTGCTAACTATAGGGAGACTGTTGAACTTCATTACTCATTGCTAAATCTGGAAAAAAGTCATACTATACACAAATGCAATATGCGAGAACTTTTGTTACCATCTTCATTTTTCTATTTAGCTGTAAGTGGATTTAGCGTCATAAAAGACTGGCAGCTATTAAAAAAATTGGCCAGACATAACAAAATGGGGAAACTTTAGACAAAAGTTAAATAAACTAGGTCCTGACACAATATTGCTTTGCAGTAAGAATCAAGTGCAAGAATCTTGCTAAATTTAAATAATAAATAAATATTAATAACTAAAATATAGAAAAATCTTCCATTAAACTATTTTGTTTTTAAAGTTTAGTTCCTTTTTGTAGGTTCAGCTTGTATGAAAACTCGCAGTTGCTTAGTAATTTCCTAAAACCTACAGTTCAAATTCCTTTTGTGAACATTTAAATTTTTGAATATTAAAAAACTATGTAGAGGTGAGGGATTAAGAATTTTAGAAAGGCTTAGATTGGGTATAGCACAAAATTTTCAGGGAAACACTGGTCTTAGCATATTTTGCACATGAAATACTTCAGTATGTTTCTTAAAATTTCTTTCTCAAAGTTATATCACTAGTTGATTCAATTATTCCTTCACTTAAATATGACTATTCACTTTGTTAAGCTTTTGAAGAGACAGTAATAAATTTGAAAGGTGATAAAACCATAACCAAAAAGGCACTTTGTACAATTTATTATTCCAAGCTGCAAAGAAACAAAATATAATTTAAAACATGAGTAAAACTAGAATGAAAAACTTACTTAAAGCTTTTAGAATAATAATGTAAAAATCCTACAAAAAGTTGACCAAGGTTTTCAGTATTTTCGGATTTAAAATTAGGTAATATTTCATCAAGTTCTAACAAACTAACGTCTGAATTTGGTGAGTATTTATCCTGAAAACAAATATAAGTTAATTATTTTAAAATTAAATAATAAAAAATACTTAATTTTATTGTTTTCTTAAATAAAACCTACATTATAGAATTATGCTATTCAACTTACTGGTTGCAGAATTTGAAGAGATGGCAAAACCGGAGGGTTACACCCATCTAAATTTAAAAGAAAAAAATGTATCAGAGAAATTTAAAAAAAATAGATTAGTTTCGTTTTTATTTGAAAGAAATTACATTAAAAACTAGTTTAATATATTGTTTTTTAATCAGTCAGACTATAAAATACAAAATATGTCGCAGCGCCACCCGTCAATTTTTTCATGCAATCACAGAGCAATATTTCCATAGTTTGCAATAAATATAATTCTGTGACAATTGCTGCAATATTAAAATGAAAATTACACCATTGAAAAGAAATTGATTTTAAAAACTATAAATCAGATTTTTTGGTACTTTGCAAAAAGTATTAGGGTTTATATCAAAACTACTAAAAAGTACTAAAATTAAAAGGAAGTTCATAAATTAAACAAAAAGAATTTTTCAGCTATTTTTTGTAAAGATTTTTAGGAATTAGTAGTTAATTATTACCGTATTTGATATAACATACAAGAGTGTGCCAAGGCTTTCTGTTGAAGATTTCTCTGGTATTTAACAAATTTTTTTTGATTTGAACTGTCGTTATCTAAAGTTTGATTCAACAGAATCAAGCCATTATTGCTTTGGCCTTTTTCTGTCCAGGGATACAAAAATTCATGCATTCTGTTAATGTGAGCAGCTCAGTTCACTCTTTTTTCAATATGAAAAACAATAGCTGAAAGAATGTTTTCATGTTGTGCTTCATTGGATAAATCAACTAAAATATGCTTTTTATTAAGTAAATTCTTTCAATTAAACATTAACTAAATAAATATAAAACTAAGTAAATAAAAATAAATATAAAACTAAATAAATAAAAATAAATATAAAACTAACTAAATAAAAATAAATATAAAACTAACTAAATAAAAATAAATATAAAATAAATAAAAAGTAAAATACAAAACGTTTATAAAATTACAGTCGACACTTACATTGCAAATAATGAATCAGCATCAATCCTAGACAGTAACTTGAAAGCGTACCATTTTTAGCATCATTTATATCATGTTCACGAGCCCAAAATTTAACAGCTAGAATTAATGGCCTTACCCTGTCATCCACTATAAATTTAAAGAAAAAAAATTAATTATGATGTAAGGAACAACTATAAAGGTTTGGCAGAAGTTGTATTATTATTACAAATGCATACACTTTATAGGAAAATAAAAATAAAGCCCTTTCAGTTTCATTAAAATATCAGAAAAAACTTATTTTCATATTACGAATTTCATATTACGATTCAATACTTTTACTAACTGATTTCATTCAAAAAAGTTATGTTTATCTTTTTTGATTGATATTTATGTGATATTTTACTTGAAATCATGCCTGAACATATAAGGCTAATATTTTATGCTTAGAGCATCATTTTTCAATAAACAAATTATTCATTAAGTACATCGACGTGGTATATTAAAACAATAAAATGTAAGTTTATACCAGTTAAAAAGGATAGATGAATGAGCCTTTGAGTTTGCTCACAAATAAAAGAATATTTGAGAAAAATAAATATTTTTTATAGAAACTTTAAAAAAATTGATACAAATTTCTTAAAATGAATGAATTATACACAAAAATTCCTAAAAGATTTACAAACCTCTAGCATAACTTCGTAGCAATTGAGAGTTTCTGATACCAGTAGGATTGTTGATATTTAAATCAATTTCAAAACCACTGCAAAAATATGAAGTAAAATTAATGCAAGACATACATAACTTAGATACCTTATATTCAATTAATTAAAATTGAAACCTTAGTTTATTATAACTTTTTCAAAAATGTGTAAAGGTATTTAGAAATGGTTTTATAATTTAATGAGGATTAAAAACAACCAAATCAAAACTAAAGATCAATAAACAAACAGTCATTTATCTTGAGGCTCAGGAAGAACAGCAACTTTATAAAATATGTTTAATTTTACCTTTAAATTTTCTTCCATTCACTTTTGTCCTTTAAATCAATTGACAAAAAATTTGAATTGAAAATATTTAAAGAATTATGAATTTATAAAAATTACAAATAGAATTTAAAAAATTATAGGCTTTAGCCAGAGCAGAACAGAGTTATTAAGAAGCATTCAAACAAGTCTAAATTTGTAGAAAGGGTCATTAAAAATAATATAGCTCTGTTTGAAATCTAGAACTAACCTCGAACTAACTAATAATTAACCTCGTGAATAATTTTACAACATTTAATGCCAATAGTATGTCAGATTACAGAATTAATAAAAAAGTTCCAAAAACAGGTAAGTTATCTTTACTTTTTTTAATTAATATAAAATCATACACAGACAGCATGTTAAAGAAGAGCAATTTTTTAAGAAAAACAAAGTGAAAATGAAAACAGTTTTAAAAGAATAATATGATTATGGTATTTATGATATTGCCTTTATAATTAACACATTTATTTAATACACATAAAAAAAATTATCAATAACTATGCAGATAAAAAATTTACTAACCTTAAAGTATCTTTAAATTTTAATATAGAAACCTTAGCACGAATTACTTGCAATTTTTTGAAATTTTCTAAAAGAAAATAGCAATAAAAATCAATGTTTATAAATATATAATCTAGACACACATACATAAACATTAACTACACATATATATATTAACTACATTATAAATTTTTCTAATTTTACATATATATGAAATTATACAAATTACATATGAAATTACATATATGAAATTAGAAAAATTAATATTGAAAAGACATATTTATTTTATGAACTCACACAATTATATCCACAAATATTAGTGTTTTCTGTTATAGCATTAATATAGCTAAAGCAAAATATATCAAAACAAACTTCAATATTCTGTGATATATACAAGTTAAATATACAAAAAGACAAGGTAGAAATGTATAATTTTTTTAAAGAGAAGAAGAAAAATTATTAAGAAAATAAAATATTTTTAAAAAAGAATATTTAGAAACTTTAAAAAAAAAACAGTAAAAAGTCATAAAACCAAAGAAGGAAAAGATATAATCTTGTCATCAACTCACGTAATTAGTTTTTTCCCTTTTTCTTATTTCCGGCTGTTTAATAAAAATTTTTTAGTTTTTAAATATTCTTTTTAAAAATATTGTATTTCTTAATAATTTTCGTCTTCTATTTATAGAATTTTCTTTGTATTTTAAATTTATTTTATGGGTTCTATGTACTTGCAGCTTATGTACAGTAAATAAAAGTTATTATTATTTTTCTTAAGTTTTTTCGAGTCAGAGTTTAAGGAGCTAGCCAAAGTATCGTAGATCATTCCAAATTATATAAAGGTCCATACTCTGATTTGAAAAATATATTTTTGCAAAGTATGATGGCTTATTCCTTTGAGGAAGCTACTATTAATGCTGGAACTATTACTGGAATTGTTTATGGATCAATACTGCTTTGACTTGAAAACAATTTTAACTTGTCATTTGCTTGCAAAAAATTTCAGTTATTATATCAGTCACAAAATCTTGCAATAGATCAAAAACAGAAACAGCAATATAATACCTGTAGAATCCCACGGAGTTCAGATTACACCAAAACCTGATAAAGATGGATCAGATTATTATATAAATGTTACTTTTTTTCAGAGATTTAATAAATTAAATGAGTTTATTGTAACTCAACATCCTACAATGGACATAATTGCTGATTTCTGGGAGATTGTCTGGAATCACAACTGCCAAAACTATAGTACTTCTTTCTGATGTGGATGAAAAGGAATATCCTTGCTTTTGGCCAGATGATGAAAAAGAAAATTATTACGAAACTTTTAAAGTAAAGATTAGCGAAGAATGTACAAGATTGTAATATAACACGAGACTTTATACTTCAACCAATGCAAGATGACTATGAGATCATTTGTCAGTAGCTCTTGGTGGCCACAGCATTTTTCTTCTTGATGATCTAGTCCATTTAGTTCAGATTAGCATTTAGAGTATCAAAATGGTCCTATTATGATTGTAGTAAACTTAGGAGGAACAGAAGCAGCAACATTTTGCTATTTAACACTTAAAAAAAGAAACTTAAATTTGAACATTCTGTAAATGTGTATAAGTATACTAAGTTATACCACATGCGCTGACCAGGTATCTGGCTAACAAGAAATGATTATTACTTTTCATATCATGCTGTGGACAAAGGATTGTCAGCAAATTATGAAGTTACACCAGCTTTAAATAGTCCAGTGACTAATGGACATATCTTTCTATTAAAAGAGGATTAAGCTATCTGAAAATTTCTTATCACATCATAAACATGCAATTTTTAACAGTATAATTTGTGTGCCTCATACAAAGTGGCAACCAGAACAACAAAATCTCTCTATTTTTAACTATATGGAGGTCACTTTTTATTGTTCTGCATCATATTAACTTGTGATATAATGCACATTTTCTAAGTGATTGAAAGAATAAAGGTGACAACCTTGATAGATAAAGAAAGATCAGGGTAATATGTTTTTGTAAACTACTTAAATTGAGAGAATGGTTAGTAACTTTGTCTACTATCTCAAACAAAAGATATGAATTTATCACTTCATTTCAAATATATACTTAATCACAAATAGATTTGAGTGTGGACGTCATTCTTTTTTGTATCTTTGTTTCAAGATGGAAAATACTTTTCTTAGATTTAGGATAGATGGGGAAAAAAACATAAGTTCCATAAGGGCAGGAAAAAGTTATTTTTTGGTATTACAATAAATAGTATTATTAATTATATAATTTTATAGATATTACAAATGTTTTTAATATACTATTTTTCCAATGTAACTTGAACACAGAGATTCTTTTCAATAAAAAAAAAGGTTTGTTAAAAAAAACTACTGCAAAAATTTTATTTTAGAAAGTAACATTTATATTAATTATTTTGTGTGACATAGTGAGAAAAATCAAATATATCTATTAACACCAATTGTTACGTAAAATGTTAATTTTAGCCATGTTACATTTAGCTTATCAAAAGTAGTACTTTGTTTTAAAAACAAACTCAATCCATTTGATAAACTTTAAAATATATACATATATATTTGTAATCGATGTACATGACTTTAGAAAAAAAATAATGAATTTAGAATGAATTACAGATAACTTTTCTAATTCAAAGATAACTGCCTAAAATAATTTCTCTAATTTGAAACAAAAAAAGTTTTTGCATGAAAGATAAAAGCGATGAAAAATAGATGAGGTAAAATTCTAAACTGAATACTTACGATGTCTTGAAAATAAAGAATGAAGCTCCCAAAGTATTCGAACTACTCTGTTTTGAACAATCTACATAAATATCAGATTTTTTTAATAAGAAAAGCAGGAGCAAAACAGAGACAAAAAATTGAAAAATTAAAATCATGGACAAAAAAGCATTTTGATCAAATAAATCACTTAATGATAATTGATATATTTTAAGATATCTATAACATTAATATTTAGGGTTGAAGAATTATTATTAAAATTATTCTTATTTCTATTGCGTAATATTTCTACATAATACTTGAAACAATAAATTAAAATTAAATTTTTGACTGCTCAAAAGAAGAAAAAAATTTTTTTTTTAATTTCTTAACTGGTCCATGTGTTTTCACTTCTATTTCAAGATTAAAAAAAAAACATATTAGTACTAAAACAATTCTTTTATTTAACTTTTTCCCAAGTTTAAATTTTACTCCCTTTAATTACTTATTTTCAAAATTTTCTTTTTACTTTATTTTACTACCAGTCAATCACTGAAGATCCATAAAAAATAATGACATTTTTTTAAATGACTCTCTTCTAATACTTTTATTCTCAATACTTTTACTCTTAAATGTAGAGGATTGAAGGTTTTGTTAATGATATCGTTTTTTTAAGTTTTAGTTTTAAGTGCTTTATCAAAAGATCACATAAAACTAGTGATTATCAATCCAAAAACCCAAATAAGTAAGAAATATTAGTAGGGTATATTTTGTGATATGATGCTGAATTTTTTCAAGCTTGTTTGAAGAGAATTTTAAAATTCTATATTTTCAACTTAAGTACTATCATTGATAAAAAGGTTTAACTCAAAAGAAAAGTAAATAAATAAATTCAGTTTACATTTAATAATTGAAACTTAGGTTTGAGAGTACAGAGATCAATCATACACCAGAGTAGTAACGTACAAAGAAACTTAACTTTCATTCAGACTAAATAGAAAAATATATTTTTTATATTTTTGCTCTTAAAATTTATTTAAAATTAAGAGTACTTATTGCAGGTGCTATACAAAAGAGAAAAATATTAGCTTTTTAAACTATTATAATAAAAAAAAAGTTGATAGCAGAGCATATGCATGAAAGAAAACAGGAAATAAAAAATCTTCTAGTAAGATTTTAAATAGCAAAAAAAGAACAATAATAACAAATAAATAAATAAAAATTAACTAGAGAATAATGATACACTCAAAATTTCATCTAAGTTTTATATTGTACAAAGACAGTTCTAGAAAATGAACTCTGGTTCTGTTATAAAATTAAAGATATTCTCTAAACATATGCACAAACCCTTTCTTGTGACAAATTAAAAAAACATTCATAAGTAATAATAAGTTTATATTGTCCATCTCATACTTAAAAAAAAATAATTTTACTATAATTAGATGTATTTGTAACTCATCTCTAATGCATCAAATAAATTATTTATAAAAAAATTAAAAGAAATAGTGCATAAATAAAAAATAAAAAAATAGCATCGCAGATGAACAGAAGCAACAAGAAAAATATTTAGACAAATACCTTTGCATCAGAAAATATGAGGCTCATGTCTGCATCACTATTTTTAGTAGCAAACCCTGTCATAGAAGATCCAAACACAAAGACATTACAACCTGAAACAGAAAAGAAGAGACTTTAGAAGGAAAAAGTACTAAATATAATGTGAGAATTCAATTTCATTATTTCATAAAAAAAAGTTTACAGTGTCAGCACATTTTCAATGCTACCCAAATACCTTAGTCCTAATAAGTAGTTGATTATTTAAAAAAATTTTCTGAAAAAAAAATGGCGCCATCTGGAAGAATAATCAATTAACTATGAGTTATAAGCTTACAGGGCAGTTATTAACTTTCTATGCATTAAACATCAAGGTAAATGTGTGTATTATGCTTCAATCTCCATGCATATGATATCACGTTTAAATCTGGTAAAGCCTTTGGCAATCAGGTTTAAATTAATACAGAAAAGTTCATACCAAAAATAATTGTTCTTTAGCATCATTCCTGATCCAAAGTTAAAAAAAATATTTTTAGTTTCCTTCAAAATTTTGTTTATATTGAATAAGAAAAAGAGTTTTGAGAATACCTATAGTTTGAATGTAGGTATGTGATCCCTTCAAAAGTCACACATAAAAAAAAAAAAATTGCTTTCCGAGGATGAAATGAATTACGCTTTTATGAGCATTCGAAGGGATTATGTATTTAATACAGATAAAGTGAGAAGTAACATTTTTTAACTTAAATATAACTCAATAAAAATAACATAATTTAAAATAATAATTTTAAACATTATAACGTAATAACTTTAAACTAACCTTAATAATTTTACTAAAGTTATAATAACTATAACGCAATTTATTAATTTTCTAATTAATTAAGTTATCATTCAATATAATAACCTAATTATTCCTAATTGTAAAAAAAAAATATTAATCTGTCTTAAAAATTAAAAAACAATATATGTGATGATTATTTTTGAATTAAAACCTTTCACTTTTTTAATAAAACTAAATTATGGCAGGTTTTCAACTTTCCTGAAGAAAAAACTTATTTTATTAAATTTTTATTGCCTATAAATCACTTAAATCTCTAAATTTTAAATTAATCTTTGAACTACACTTGTTTTAAAAATGTTTTGGTAAAAAAATATTGAAATGCTAAAAAAATTAAATCTTCAGACACCCTTAATTGGTACTTTTACTTCTTAGAATTTTAAAGCTATAATTTTGTCATTATTGCGATGAGCATAAAAAAAAATTATAAAATTTCTTATGAAGTCAATAAGTTCTTTTTCTTCCTATTAACTCATGGTTGCCCCATTGAATGTTGAAGGGCCCAAATTGGTTGCGAGGCTAGACTTTGTGCACCTATCTTATGTCTTATCCCTTTGATCATGCTAACTTCCTGTCACATTCCAAGCACGAATATGTCAGGACTTATTAAAATGATTTTTTTTTTATTAATATAGCAGATTTTTTGTAATATAAAAAATGTGTTTTAAATGTATTGCAGAACACAATTTTAATATTTAAAAACAAGTGTTTGAATGATGTTATCAAAATCATTTGCACCACATATTTTTGTTCAATCTCAACATTGAAATATTAGAAAAATACTATTTTTAGTCCGTCATAATTGATGCAGTACCTAACTATATTCACATTAAAAATTTGGTAACTGAAAAATTGTTTTTAACAAAACTCAGGGAAACTAAATACTTTTTTTTTTAATTTGTAGAAGTAATATACTATTGGATAGATTGCACTTTTTAAAATTATTATGATCATAGATCAAACTTTTTGAAGGGTGAAACAATTGGAGTTGAACTTTTAGTTAATAATTACATCATTATACTGAAATTTTCTTTTTTGTAGATATTAAACTTGTTTTACTTAAATTATATTATTATTACTATTGCATTCAAAAGGATTATCCATTTACTGCAGTCAAGATACCAGAAAAAAAAAATTTTTTTCACTAAAGATAAGGGGAACCATTTATATATTAAAACAAATTTTTTCCCATCTGCTTTCTTAAATATATATATTACATTCATATACTTCATTTTATATTAAGAGATTTACAAATTTTCTGTGAAAAATTATTTCATCTCAATTATTCTTATAACTAACAATAGCCCATTAAAATAGCCCTAGTGTAAAATTAACAACAAAATAAAAAGTTATAACTCTATATACTTATATTTCATTTATTAAATAATTTAATAATGAAAATATAAAATCAAACTTATAAAAGAAAATAGTAATATATAATTATATAAATTAAAACATAAAAAATTGTGTTTATCAATAAAATTAATAAATTAAATTAAAACAATTTAGTATATTTTAAAAGCATTTTTAGTTAACAAATAATATGTATTAGGGCATACTTATTTACAAATTAATATGCATAAAAGTTATTTTAACTTTAATATATACCAACCGGAAAACTTTCTCAGAATTATTTGCTGCAATCTAAAACGCAGTTCCATTTTTTTATCGAAAACCCAATCTGTCTGCACATTATCTCTAAAGTATGACATGATGTTTATACTCAACTGTAAAGAGAGAATAATAATAAAATAATAAATTTCTTAAATTTAAAATAAGATCAGAATTCTAATATATGAAAATAAAACAATGTGCTTCAAGGAAGAAAATTTTCAATTTTCAAAAAATATAGCTTAATAATAATATAGTAAACTTGCTTATTGGGAGACATCATTTTCTACAAGATCCTGAGCTTAAAAAGGAAATATTCATGAAGAGTTAGTTTAATGTTTAAAAAAAACCTAAATAAAGCTCTGTTATTACTAGCATAACTTGTACTGAACAAGGAATTTATTTTGAACTTCTAGAAGGTTATTTCATTGAATTTGTCAGAGAAAAAGTATTTGTTTTAGTCCCTTCAAAAGTATTTAAAATTCCTTTCAGTTTGAAAATTATATTTTAATGAGCAATAAAGTGTAATAAGCCTCGATAACACAGTGATTAAGATACTGGTTCGCCACAGTGATTCAATCCCTTATTGAATCTTAAAACCCACCTAGCTTCAGATCAATGGGTACCAGATTGTCCGGGAAAGTAGAGGCGGTGTACGTGCAATGCTGATCATATTGCCACAATAATGTTATTTGTTTTGAAATAGTGGAGACAAAACCTTCATGACCTCCTGGCTATCAACAGTCTGTTGATGAAATAGTTTACTTTTATAAAGAGTAACAATGAGAGGCAGTGCCGGATCAAGCGTACGCAGGGGCCGTAGGCCATTCAAATTTTTGGGGCCCTTAGACTAAATTTTTTTTCTCATATTTTTTTTTTTATTCAAATACAAAAGTATTTATATATCTTTTCATTTAAGAAAGCATATTTAAAATTAAAATAAATAATAATAAATTAAATTTTACTTTATTTTGTTAAATTAGAGCTAAAAAATAATAACATATATATTTGAAACTGATTTTTTTTAAATCATTGTTCCTCTTAATTTTCTTTAATTTATTTTCAAAAAATCCATTTTAAGGGGGCCCTTAATCACTGGGGGCCCCTGGCCATAGTCTGGGCCAATGGGTAATCCGGCACTGATGAGAGGTCTCCCTACAGTCTTATTGTAAATTACAAAGTATAACATGTGTCAACAGATTAATAAGAAACTGGAGGTAATCACATTTCAATGGCTATCAGAAGATATTCCTACCAATAAACAGATTCAAACTCTTGTTGATTCCATAGGTCATGTGCTTGCTTTCATTTTCCTGTCCGACTTTTCAGTAATTTATATTCATCCAAAATCTACTCTTCTTTTCCAATCTAAATCTTCTTTTTTTAGCGTTGCATTCATTTTATCAACACATATCATAGATAATTGGTAAACGTAAAGTTCTTACTACACGAGAAAAAAAATCAAAATTTTTTGAAATATAGGAAGTATGATTTAGTTTTCTCGAAAAATTCAACCCTATTGAAAAATAAAGAGAAAGTTTGGAAGGTTTTTAATATTCAAAAATATGATTGAAAAGATTTCAAAGAGAGAGGGAAAGATTTTGTGATAATGCATTTAGTACCATCAGTGTTGTAAGTCCAACAACTGCTTGAAAAAAATAATTAAATTATGAACAAAGCTGCTTAAATTATGAACAAAGCTCAAATAATTTTACCAGCAGTATAAAAAAACTAAAAAAAGAAACCAATTTTTAGATATTTCCTAGTTCATATTTAGTGCTTAGAGCTCATTACATTTCAATGAAGCAACTCTAGTTCATCAAGACTATGATGCAAACAAATGCTTAATTAAGTGTGAGGAATTTGTAGATTTCTGCTACTTGAAACTTGCAGGCAAGAAATAAGAACAAGGCAAGAACAAAATGAAAGTTAAAACTTTCAAACACTCAGCTTAAAATTTCTGATTGCATTAAAATTAAAAATGTTAAAAAAAATCTAAATAACCAAAAAAATATGACATAATTTTGACAAAAACATCAACAAAATTTTTTGAGAGTGGTTCAAACAAATTAAAAAATTACTCACTTGATCATATTGGCAAATTTGTGAAGCAGTTTCATAGGGTGAGGCTCTAATTCTTTTAGAAGGTGCATCGTCGGGCTCCCTTTTCCTTTTATAATCTCCATTACGACGAGAAGGAAAACTTGTTGAAGGTGTCTGTAAATGGAATGTAAACATTTTAAGGACTACATCATCAAGATAGAACGAGTATCTCTATAAAACATAACCTAATGTTCTAAATCAATTTGCCATTGCTGTTGCTGCATTTTTACTAACCAGAAAATCACAAGGTAGAATCTAATTTTTCCATATTAATTTCCATTTTTGGTTGTCATCAGCATAAAATTAATAAAAGTTAAAAAGATATTGTTTTCATATAAAATATTTTTTATCTCTAATTTAAAGGTATCTACCAATAATATTTATCTTAATATATAAAANCACTAATGATATCCTAGAGAATTAACTGCTTTTTTTCACCATTAAATAAAATTTGCAGTTCAAATCATAATCGAAAATGTCATTTACACACTTAAATACAAAATTCAAATTCAAATTGAAAGCGTTGCAACGCACGCAGGGTACAGCTAGTTTTATATATTTCTTGTATGCAGTATATATTTCTATATATATATTTATTCTCTATATATATTTCTTGTTTATAGATTATACTATCCCTAATATAAATTTGGCATTAGATAATAATTGTATTAAAATTTGAATCTGCAATTATTATATTTTTGATTTTATTAATTAAAAAGGTTATCTGGTCTAGAAATTTTATCAATTTTCTTATGACATACTTCGATACCATACACTATGGTGTATATATGGACGTATATATTTGGCATAGGGTGTTCAAAAATAAAATTTGAAAATTAAAACAAAAATTTATGTATTAAATAACAAATAGAAAAACTGCTAATACAATTTACTTTTAAAATTATTAATATTTAAAATAAATAATTACAGTCAAAATGAGAACAGCTAAGCTGCAAGAATGGAAACAAAGGAAACAGCATTTTTATAAAAAGGACAATTAATATTATATTTCACACGAATAATTTGAAAATATATTTAATAGGATAAGATTTCTGATTTTATTCAAACTTGGCATATCTAAGTTTATAACTTAAGGAATCTAGAATCGAACTTTATATAAAACCAAATTAAAGTATATTTTTTAATTTAAGCTAATAATTCTTTTAAATAGTTAAATTTTTTCTTTAAATGCATATGATTATTTAATTACTTTTGAAATATCATGCATAATCACTAAAAATATTTTTAAATAAAATAATTTTGAATTAAACGAATTGAATATTCTTTTCTTTTTATAGTGCTTTTATATATTATTTATTGGCAAAAAGTAAAAGAGGGTAAAACTAGGAAAATAAATTTGGACAACACAGTAAGCATTCCTACAGACAGTTTTTGAGTTATTTCCTGAACTTGTATAACACAATATTTGTCTACCAAGATAGAATTAGTATTTTTATCAACATTATTACTACTGCATTCAGTTCTTGCTTTTTAATTAGCTAAGAATCCATAATTATATAACAACCTCTAGCACTGTTAAGATACTTTCAAATTGTACTTACAAAAAAACTAAATTCCAATTGAACCAAAAATATATTTGCTTATTTGTTTCTGCTTTGCTGTTTGTATTTTTACCCCCACCCTCCAAAGCTGAAGAATGGTTCAAACAGCAGCCTTGAAGCTGATCACATTAGCAATTGGTCACACATGAGATGAAAAGAAAAATTCTCTGCATCAATGTAAAACATTCAATCTATAAAATCATCATTTAAAAAAAAAGCTAGTAAAATAATATAAATCAATACTTTGAGGTTCGATATATTTTGAAGGGGGGTTTATCCCCCTCCCACCAAAGCTATGCCACTGATCATAAGAGCTGATCAAAGCTATGCCACTGATTATATTGTTTGGACGTAGGAAGTGGGGACACCAGCTTAAGTAAACATAATGCTTTTTAGCACAAATATTTTAACTTTGTAAAAAAACTGCTTTTTACGAAGAAACAACAATTATTGCGAAGCAATCATAGGGATTTGTGAGCGACAGTGACAGGAGGCTCAACTCCAAATATACAATAAAAAGCATTAAACATAACCACCATATAAGAAAGTACTTACACTAGACAACTCATAATTCGATGTGGCTTCATAAACTGAAAGTGATGGTTGAGTATCATGAGGTGATCTAGAGCTAACTGTTCTTTGAGATGGAGATTGCTGATAGAAAACTTGAGAATGCTGTGAGGAAATAAAAACATTTAAATATACAAAGATGTTTGATTGTTCTGAAAATAAAAGTCTGACACCAAGATAGAAGTCTCAAATTTCAGAGAAAAGGAAGAACAAAAAAATTTTAATTTAGATATTTTGTAATTATTTGGGTAATGTGCCTAATTTGCATTAATGCTAAATAACACGCTCTTACCATGATAAGTCTCAAGTTTGTACCATGTGTTCTTTATAATATTAATAGAAAAACTAAAAAGTTCCATTTTCATATTTTGTAATTAATGGGAAAATTACTCTAATTGAAGAAAGGCATGCTAAATAAAAGTTTTCCTTTAAGATAGAAGTCTCAACTTTTCCCCAGGTGTTCCTTATCAAATAAAAGGAAAAACTAAAAATATTTCATCTTGATATTTTGTAATTATCTGAGTGGTTAGGGGTAATAATCTTAATTGGCAATGATGTGAAATAACGCTTTCCAACCAAAATCTCAAAATTAAATCCAAAATTAATCCTCCAGGAGGAATTAAAAAAAATTTTTTTTTTTTATGTATTTAACAATTATTGCAGCAGTTACGCTAACAGTAATGCTAAATAACCAGTTCCCTCCAATTACTACCATGTGATTGGCGCAGTATACATTATTCCAGTTTGTGCGCTGTTAAACTGCAAAAAGAGGTGATATTGTGCAGGAGAAAAACTATGTGGAACCATGAAGTGGGAAGTTTGTACAGGTAGAAGAGTTGGAAATATTTATAACCTTCTCTAATCAGTGAATCTTTCATCACATTATACCTTTCTTAACTCATCACAATGTAAAAAATGAAGCTCAAAGATATGACATTTTCTAGAGTCTTTTATAACTTACTAAGTTTTCAACAGGTGCATAAAGGATATAATTAAACTTATTGCTTTTTCTCAACTATAATGATTTGCAAAATGCCCAGTGCACTGTTAATTATTTTTTGCATCCAAATTTTTGTATGAAAGCCAGAGATGTTTTGACATCATTGCTTGCCTTTTTTTTTTTTACTTCAAGTTAACTGTTTACTTGTTTACTTATCCTCATGTTGCTCAAAACATCTTACCATACCTCACTGTGCACTAATGTTTTGTCTCCAGCAAATGGGAACACTAATATTATAGATAATATAATAGAGCAGGAATAGAATTGTGAAATGGTAGGTTTGTGTAAGGGGGCCAACCAGTCACCGAACTATTGCACTAAAATACTAATGTTAAGATGAAAAAACAATGTTTCAGAAGGCAACAAATGCCAACTGAAAGTCATGAAGTGTTGAAATCATGCAGAAGAACAATGAGGTAGTTGAACTAAGACATGGTGAGTTTGAGCTGGCAAATCAAACTTTTTTATTTGGCAAAAAACATGGTAAACCAAATCAACGAATATAAATTTTAATATAATTTATTCAGCTTTTGAAGTATAAAAATATAGCTCCATTTTTAGTTAGTTAGCAAAATGTTCTTCTAAAAAAAACTTTTTTGGCAAGAAATGTTTGGTTTTATAAAAAAACTACTAATTGTTTATTTGGCATTTAATAGAATAAATAAAAATAAAAGTATCAATTCTCGCTATCATAGTTCTCAAAACCTAAATTTTTATTGAATATTTTATGTTCTGATTTAGCATTTGTGCAAGATTAAAAATTTATTAGATTTCAAAAAACTTCAGTCATTCTAACCTTAATCATACCTTTTCAATTTTTTGTTATCTTATATACTTTAGGTCAGAAAATTTTTCGATGTTCTTAAGCATATTTTAAAATTATCAATGGCATTAAATAATAAATAATTCGAATTAATAATACCATTTTAACACTGTGGTTCTAGAGGAATTATTTGTACCCAACATTTATTTACTATTTTAAATTATTTAATTAAAAATAATCAACCCTATTATAAATAAAATTGAAGAGTATTAAATAAATATTACAGAGAAATTTGTTATCAAATTAAGTTTAATTGAATTGATCTTTACAATTAAGTTTGAAGAATGTTAGTATAATAAAATGTTTTCTTTACAAGTTGAATACTTATCTAAGAAAGCAATCAAACTCTTGCAGATTTTTTGAATAAGAAAATATTTTCTAATTAGAGAGCAACTTAATCAAAGAAATTTTAAATGCAATCCAATAAATAAAATAATTTAATTAAACAGTACAAGATGTAAATTAAAAGTCAGAACATGTAAGTCAATATGAATTAAGCATACATCAACTAGTAATCAAGTAACTCATAATCTTTATCATGATTAATAAAACAAAGACTGACTAAAAAAAGTTTTTTCTCATTTCTGAAAAATTTTTAGTTTTTAATTTCTCAAAATTTTAATCTTATGCTTATTGTCTAATTTTTAACAGTCACTTAGAAGCGAAAACAGTTTTCCAGATTTTAGGACATTTGTAATTATAATATTGTATATACATGAAGATATTAAAATGCATGGTACACTCCAACACTTTACCTGAAATAACGTTCTATAAATAACGAGAGAAATATTAATATAAAAATAAATATCAAAACATACCTCATAATTATTGAAACTATGTGATCTTTTGTTAGCATCAGAGAAATAAATTCTTCTCTGCCAACCACCAGAGTGTGCTCCATACTTTTCTTGGGGAAAAATATGGTTATTCTGCCTAAAACAAAATAACTCATTTCATAAAAAGTCCTAAATTGCAACAACAAAAAAAAATATCCAAGCCCTTTAATATGCTTTCCATCATTTTTAAAAACTGTCACTGAGGGGAAGCACTCACAGCGCACATTTTCATAGTTTTAAAATAAAAAAGCAGGTGGTAAATTTTAAACACTAACAAACTTTGTCAAAACAGTAAGAAATCCATGATTTAGCAATTAATAATTAAAAATTATTGGCAAGGCCTTTTAACTGATGCATTGGTCATTAGAATCCACTTAATAACATTAAAAATATCAGAGATGAATAAGATCGAGAGAGTGAACTGCCAGAGGTAAAGAAGTTATGATAAATAATAATACATTATTAAAAAAGTATTATTATTTATCATAACTTCTTTACCAAAGACAAAACATTTTAGCAAACATATATATATACATACATATCATATATATATATGTTTATATGATATAATGGCAATGTCCCCAATGGCAAATAAACCTGCTCCAGGTTTTGTGAAAGTTTATAACAAGACATGTCAAAAACCTGTTGCAGAATTTTTAATCTTTTTCTGTAACAAACCTTCCTAGGACTAATTTACCTTTCTATAGGATATTTCTAATTGAGCCTTATGTTTATAAAAAAGACCTACATATGTTAAATAAAACTGTATATAAAAACATTTCTTTTCATTGTATTAGTCAAGTTTAAACTTTTACAGAAAATAATCTTTTGAACTGAAAAATTAATATAATGTCATATCTTTTATAAGTCAATAATATTTTTTTTAAAATTAATAAATACATTTATACAAGTGCAGACAACAATGCAAATATCTACACAATAAAAAAATTTCCAATATAAAGCTTAGTAAAAAAAAAATCTGAAACATCTTTCAAATATATCTACTGGAACTATAGTACTATATACTAGAAAACTTTGCTTCATATTAAGTGCTTCTTAGTAATGATATCTTATTCATAAATTTCTAGAATTTATAAATAGTTCCTTCTTATTATTAACCAATATCAAATAAAACAAAATAGAAGGGCAAGAATTCACAAACATTTACTATAAAATAGTTCAACTTACTGGGAGTTCAACATGTTATAACCTTGAAGAGAATCATTAACTGGACCTGATCTTGATTGTAAATGAGCAAAATCCAGAAAACCAGGACCAGGGATTTGAATATCACTTTGGCAACTTCTTTCATCTCTACTACAAATCTGACATAACTGACCAGTTCTATAAGTATAAAAGTTTAGATTTCTACCACACTTTTGACAGTAATGTGATTCAGTATAATGACTCCTTTGATTTGAACTATTCTGCAAACTTTTAGGGATACTTAGTGTCCTCCACTTCGTTTTCTTATTTCGAGGCATCTTTGCAGCTAAAGAATGAGCTCAGGATAACACTTTGTCCCTCAAACAAGTTCTATTAAAAACGAAATTTTCAAAAAAAATTTAAAATAAACTATAATGAAAAAAATATCAAGCAACCAATAGAAATCTCAAACTCCTAGAAATTTCATAATCAGATAATAGTAATACTTATACAGTGTTTTCATCATAGAAAAAAAATGGGTGAGAATTTTTCACCCCTTCTCAAAAACAGGGTGAGGTTTTAAAAAGTTAAGTAAGATTTCTAAAAACTAAAAAAAACACAAAAACTCTCGGAAATTTTTTTTTTCCTTATTTATAATACATTTTTAACGTCTTCTATTTGTTAAAGCATTGAATATTTTTGGTACATCATCATAGAAGATTTTGCCTTTAAAAGGTATTTGTCCATCTTACATTAGCACATAAAAAATTTGAAAGTCTTACATGAAGAAACCTTACCTACAGTAAACACGTGGTTGTAGAGAAATGTGTTCTGAAAGGGGTTCCGTGGTCGTGTTCTGTTGTTCGAAAAGGTTCTGAACAATACTAGTAAATAGGGAAGCTAGATAACGGGGCAGACGTTGAATATAATGAAAGATCCAGGAAGAAAAGTGAAACGGATTTAATTCTATATGGCGTAATTCGAAGCTTTTTCCAAAATGCGAGAAATTCGCGAATGTTGAAATTGATTTATAGAATGTGTGAATTTCTCGCAGTAATCATTTTTTAATGCAAGAAAAGAAAAAAATATATGAGATTCTCGCATTGTCACGATGCAGTGAAAACACTGTTATAATTGCTAAATTTTAATCTATATTTACTACAGCATAGTCACAAAAAAAATATTAAGGAAAATCAGCAAAATTAAATTTATATTGGGGAGAATTGACCTATTATTAGATATTGTGCGATTTACATTGCATAGGTAAAAAAGTATACCAATATAAAGTAAACGACTGGGGATAGTTAAAAACTTTAATCCTCAAAAAAAGTCAAAGTGAGTCATAAATTGCGCATTTTATTGATCACTTTTTGCAGCACTTCATTCAGAGCTCATTCTGGGCAGGGTAAACAGGGCGCAGTATCCTGCTGCCCTTTTAGTCAAAAGAATTCACCCTGTTGCCCCTGAAGTAAATTAGTGCCCTGATGTAATAGACTCCATACCCTCTTTGCCCTTAACCCTTCTTTATTTTTTCCCCAAACTCTACAATGTATTTCTTAAACTTTTGTTATTTTTAACTCGATTTATTTAGTTTGTCATTGCTGTCAATACATAGATTTATATGGGAAAGGAAAAACAGCCATCACACCCCCTTGTTGCACACGTCTTTGAAAGTTTGCAGTTACTTCCACTATCATTAAATCATAATTATTATTAATCATATTAATTATTAAATCATAACTACAGACATTCAAAAACATTAATTTTTTATTTTATTAATATATGCATGCATTTTAAATAAATTACTAAGCTAATTAGCTCGTTAACTCGATATATATGTTAATTTATTAATAAAAATTAGTTATTAATATGATTACTTCGCTACTTTTAGTAAATTAAAAATAAAAAAAATTTATTTTACTAATTGACAATGTTATTTAATAGAACGTGTAAAGCCCATATAAAGAAATTATTGCCTTTTTAGAATAATAACGCCCTTTTTTTTAAACTTTTGCACCCTGCCCTTTTTTCAGCCTAGAATGAGCTCTGCTTCATTTGTGCCGATTGTATTCAATATTTCTGATAGTATTAATTCCAATTTGTTTTTCAATAATTTCTTTGGCAGTTTCTGCAATGCATTCTCACGCACTTTTAAAAATTCTGATTTTTATTAAGACATGCTAATTTTAAATCATGCATTTAAATAGTTATTTATTGGCGAACTTTACTCGTGTTAATATAATCGTAAATGTAATGATTGATTTATTTCATTTTTATGCTTTTCTTTGTGATTTTAACGATCCCATTACTTTAACTGCGATGTTAATATGGCAAGCGAATTTCTAATTGCGAATTTAAATAATCACTATTTGATAAAATTTACTTGTGCATATTTCATCAGAAATATAAGTTACTTTTTCGATGCTTCGGCAGTTGACCCCATACATTTGTATGTGGTATTAAAAATCCTGATATTTTAATATAATATTATTGCAACATGAAAAATTTGAAAAAATTGAGGAAAACGCCAGTTTTTAAACTGCTTACTGTTTAAAATTTATTTTGGTTTAAATTTTTATTAGCATAGGAGATTTTCTTTGGAAAAAAATAAAAAGAAAACGTTTTTTATTTAAAGCCTCTTATAATTCAAGAAATAGAAATAATATCTGAAAAATAATATTAAATAAGTATATAATATTATCTTGCACTATAATGGATTTGTTTTAATTTCTGGATTTCGTTTTAACATTTTAAATTTTCTTTAATCAAAATATTTAATTCAAATTTATATTACTACATAAAATGTGTAAATTTTTTTGCACTTTCATTTCTGTAAGCACTACATTTTTTTTTTTTTGGTTAGAATTTATATCNAAGCACTACATTTTTTTTTTTTGGTTAGAATTTATATCCCCCAAATAAATATATATATATGAAAAATTAATTCTTATGAAAAAGTTTTTTTTTAAAAAAAGAATTAGTTTCTCTTATTTTCAAATAAATTCAAGCAATTAAAAGTATATGAATTTTTTCAAAAACTTTTATTTAGTTTACTAATAAAAAAATTTTGTGTTCAGAATACAAATGGTAATATAAAAATTATTATATTTGCGGTTAACATGACTAAATATGCATGCAGCTCTTTGTTAATCTGCTGTACAAGTGGCCCGTCACTCAGAAAGGTTGTGCACCCCTAGTTTAAACGATTAAATCAGTTTTTAATTTTTCTACATCGATACATTATTTGGAAACTCAAAAATGACAAATACTAAGGGACTCCTTTGGGATTCTTTTACATAAGCTGGGAAAAGAAAATTCCACCATAGTCAACTTAGTTGACCATAGTTGGGGATATTCCTGTATCATATTTTGGTTGTGCAAACTGCAATTGCCTAAATACCAATGCTTGGTTCTTGTACATGGAATAATTGAAATATACATGAAAATCAAAAGGTAAAAACGATTATGTTTGTCAATTACGTTATGTTCTGATACTACGAGAAACAAATATCAGGTTTAAAAATTTTCAGGAGCAAGTATTCAATTAAAATCATAAAAATAAAAATATACATGAATATCACAAGCACTTATTAAGATCTCTTGGAAATTTCAAAACAAATTTTACAATTTTTGATGAAGAGAAAAATAAAATTAGAAAATTTGGGTGGACAAGAACTCTTTTTCCTTAAAAATCTTCCCTAGTCAATACTGCTTTACTATTATTCCTGTCGTCTTCTTCACAACACTTACATTGTTCATAATCATTAATGATATAATTTCAAACATTAAACACAAATTTTAAACTATTATTTTAAACATATACTAAGGATAACGAAAATTATTATTCCAACAGCACTATGATTCTCTCAGTCTCACTTTAATAGAAATTTACAACAATTTTAAACGCGCGACAGCTGTGTATTTTTTGTACGGTACTTTCCGCTGAATTTTTTACAAAAAAAATCAGAAATTTTTGCCGCCTTTCTTTACTTACTTTTCTTAATACTGACTTGTCAACTACCTGAAAATAGCCTAGGGGAGAATTCCATATTGCAAGCTGCAATAGAATAATGGCCAAGTCTCGGCAACTTCCAGAAAAAGGACCGTGACACACTAAAAAATCATCACAGAAGGAGACCAACTGGAAGGGTACAACTCATACCCATTCTCAGGCAAACCTCTACACATTTCTTTTTTAGATTGCACATTTAAAATCCATGTGGCACCTTGGTGATTATCGTTGTCGGGACACATTAAGACACGGAAACATCCCCATAGCCTATTTGTAGAGAAGAAACCTCATAAATGCAACAAAACGGTTAACTTCAGAAGTTTAGGCCTGTAACAAAAAAGGCACTGAAACTGTAAGAAATTAATATTACAGTTAGTTCATCGTGGGCCGCTTCACAGAAGTTGCCAAGACTTTGCGATTATTCTGCCACAGATCAGGATTCAGAAACCCTCTGCTTAAATTATTATTATAATTCAAACGAATTAGATTCATAAATAAAATTAAGTTTAAAACCTTGTAACAAAATCAAGAGAGTGTTACCAAACATTAAGCCTCAAACTTACTCATAATATAATTTCAAAGAGATTAGTTAGAGATTCCTACAAAAAAGTTTGAAAAATACATTTAAAAAAATATATAAGTCGGTATTATTATAAGACAGTAAAATATTTGGTCGCAAGTCAAAGTCGAACAACAAAAACAACCACTAATTTCAAAATTGATTGATTGATTAGATAAATAGGTTACGGGTATAATTGTCTTATCTATATCTTTAAAATTGTACGAGCTTTTAGCTTACTATTTTATAGCACTTGTGTCAAATGTAAGTTACAAGCTGAATTTCCGAGCAGTAAGTATATATAATTCAATATTTCTATCAACATCACTCTTGATATCACTTTTGAAACGTAAATAAATTGCTGACCCTTATCATTTTTATGTATAAATTGTTATTTTCAATTTATCTTATAATTTCTTTTTCATTTAATGTTCTCTGTTTTTTTAAAATAAAGGAGTCATTGAGTTTACTATTTTGTCATTTGTTTTAGAAAATTTGTGTCCTATAAATATTTATTTGAACTTACAGTTTTAGTTATTTTTCTATGGATCGTTTGCTTCATTGCATATGCGATATATTTTATCAATTTATGTAAATTTTTTAGATGATGGGAGATACACAATTATTAGTAGATGCAGTTTCGAAAACATGTGAAGGTAATAATACGATAGAAACTTACGAGACGAAATCTAACGACGCTTCTGTTGGAGCATTAAACGGACCCAAAATATGCACATTTTTTTCAAAGTATAAAAATTGTAGATATGGAAGAAATTGCAAATATAAACATTACCAACAGTCTCCCGAGCATTTATTTCTTGAAAATAAGGGCAATAAAAATATTGGCTTTCCTGACAGAATATTTGTATCAAAGAATAATTCGAGTAGAACATCATTGCAAACACTTTCAGATAGAAAATTTATAACAAAGAAAGTAGTCTGCAGATATTATAAAGCTGGAAATTGTGGTAAAGGGGATCATTGCCTGTATCAACATTCCTCAGAAATTACTCAACTCTCCAAAGAAGTCGCCGAAATTTCTTTGAACGCAATAGCTAAGAAAAGGCGTGTTCCAATATGCCACTACTTTAAAAAAGGTAAATGTCATCGGGGAGAAGATTGCAAATTTTATCATCAAAATGCAGTAAAAAATGTGGAAGGAGTTCAGGAAATGTCATCAAATGATAACAATGAAAAAGGCGAAAATAATGTGGATTATGTTGATGTCTCTGCTTCTGAGGAAACCACTTCAATAATGGCTGCTTTTAGCACAATTGAAGCCATTGATGTTGTCAAATGTCAATATGTACCTCATAAAATTTCGCATGGTAGAAAACTCCACGATTTGTCCAATCTTTCAGTTCATGAGCTTGCTAAAATAAGGTAATTTACAGGTCTTGTGTTAATGATATTTTTCATGTTGTGTAAATAAAATCATTATGTAGTAGTCAAAGATACGCCCGGTGGCTGAACGGTAGCGCTTCGCGCTGTCGTGCCACAGGTCCTTGGTTCGAGCCGGGCAAGGCTGACTCAGCCTTTCATCCCTTCAGTGGGTCGATAAATGAGTACCAAGCATGCTTGGGAACTAAACACTGGGGGTTCCGCGCTCGGCTGACCACCTAACCGGAACATCTGCTCTTGCACCCCAGAGCCCAAGGTCAAGAAAACTGAGATGGGCACAGTAGGCCTTGGCCCTCAAGGGCTGTCGCGCCGCTGAGTTTAGTAGTCAAAGATAATTTCATCAGTTCATATTGTTATGTCATGTTTGAAGTGTCTAATAATAATTTTGTTGATAATTATTTGTATTCTAACTAATTAAAAATTAAACAAAGCTTTTTTAAGAAATAACTTTTTTTGAATTTTGATAAAAATCATGGCAAATAATTCTGAAGTCTTTTTTATCATTTTTGTTGCAAAATATTTCATTGCATAAACATTAAGTTCAATTTTTTTCAGTTTCCCATTAAAATTAATTATTGATAATTATTATTTAGAATCAATTATTAAATTAAAATGTTACATCTTTCTAAATGCATTATGAAAATTATTTTAAAACTGCTAAAATTAGAAAATAACTTAAGCCTTTTTTTCATTACATTAAAATATAATAAATTAATTTTATTATCAAAATTGACCTTGAAGATATGAAAACAATGTCTGTTTTTCTTAATTCTGACATAAAGAATTAAACCTCTGTGGACTCTCAAAGCCATCAGAAGTTATTGGATTTTATTTTAATTTAATATTAGTTATTAGGGGAGAGTGGGGATGAATGGGACAAATTTCATTTTATGATCAATATTNTTGAGTTAATATAGTTATTATACTTTAAAAACAACTATTATATTTCAAACAACTGTAAACCTTTGAAGTCTTGAAAACATAATTGTGAAACGGCTTCGTTACTTAGTTTCTACGAGATATTAGAACTACTTTTTATTTTGAAATTAAATTTTTGTTGAATTTCTTTTAAAATGTTTTTTGTAATCTTCAATTCCATTTATTTTCCAAGGGACACAGAAATCACTCAGCTGAAAAAGAGATATCCAAAACATGTTGCATCAGAACAACAGTCCATCTTAATTACATTTGAGCCTTCGGATCCTGATTGGGTTAGTATTAATAGTAATTTTATTTGAGAAAAATTCTTTTTAATTTTTTATTTTGCTCCTTATAAACAACTTAGCAGTATTTTAATTAGAATATAGTTGCTCTGTTGAAAAAGAATATTTGCTGGAGAATAACATACTAACTAATAACTTTATGCCGGTTTATTTATGTTTTACTGAATATAAATCTATTGATTGATAATATTTAAAATATAAATCTATAAATTGATAGTAAAGAAATCTACTAAAAATATAACTTTACATTTTTTATTTTATATGGAGTTTAATATTTTATATTAATTCAACCAGAATTATCGTTTTATTTAAACCAACCATGTTCATGTTTATTATACTATTATTTATCAGTAATCTTGATGAGTAATGAAAAATGTTATTGTAGTTTTATTAAGAATATTCACAAACTATTTTTTTGAAGCATTTGACCATGAAGTCTTTGTTATTTAATCTAACCTGCTTTCCTGTGTAACCAACTAGTTTCTCTAAATTTTTATCAGTAAGAGGATTGTGCATTTTCAATAAAATTCTAAAGTAGCTTGCATAAATGCACAATATTTATTAAGATATAAATAAAAAGAATATATTTTTTAGTTGCCTACTAAAAATGTTAGTAACTTTTTTCAGAAAAAAATTAACTTTGTATTCCAATATTAAGAATTTTCTCATTGACTTAACATTCATTCTATCTTGTATATACTTTAAATATTTTTGAACTTTATTTTAAAATATTTTATTCATTACAATTTCTTACATGTGTATGTATTAGTTTTTACAGTTTGTTGTTCAGTTTTTGTCTTTTCCCAGTTTAAATAACCTGTGCAATATTATAACAATTTCTTTCAGCCTTTTGATCTTAAAAGCTTAGACCTGGAAGTTTACTTTCCTGATAAATATCCTATTGAGGTAATAATTCATATTAAAATTTTTATCTTTTATCTAACTATTTATTTAACAGTTTACTTCATTAGTTCTGAAGTAAAGTTGATTTGCTTTTATAAAAATTTAGTTGTCCTAGGCAGCTACCTTGCCAGAAATTTTTCACTGCTAGGAAGTAAATTCATGATTCATATAAGGACTGTGACATGAAAGCATAACTTGAATAGCAGAATATAATTTAAAAAATTTAAGAACATGAAAAATTCTTATCCTATAATTTTTCAGAAATATGCTGCAGTGTTGCCTAAAATTTTAGTATGTGTGATGTATCTAATGAAGCAACCTATCTCATGATTTTTTTTCCTCCTTAAACTTGAGAATCTATTTTGTTGAATTGTTTCTCAAAAATGTTATTGCCGCCCTTCCCATTTTTATCTTTTGCAGTGATCTATTTTTATACTTTAGAGTCAATGATAATTTAAAGAATTAGCAATGCAGGTGAAAAACAGGTAGCAAGAAAGTAACATGCATGATGAATGCTCTCCCCCTCAACTAAAGAAGCCATTTACTTATTCTCCTCGTGCAATCATCTAACAAGGATCTACAGAAGTACATTACCCATTCCCTCTTTCTCCTACTGCAAATGTGAAGAAAAGTGAAAGGGAAATATGCAAGTCATTCTTCAAAAAGAATGAGTTGGGTGAAAGGCTATCTGTTTTAATGGTCAAGTTTATTCCCACTTTCAGGAACCGAAAGTTAACGTTATTATTTTTCTCAGAAATACATGATTTCAAATTTTTAAGTTGTACAAGTAAAATTATGTAAAACATATTAAACAAGTGGATAAAGCAGAATACATGAACTGCTGGTTTTAGATTCTATCAAGCCTGTTTTTTCTCTGTTTCCTTCTTCTTTTTTTATTTTTTTTATTGTTGATTTAAAAGAAATATTGTTTTTATTTATTTATTCTATATTTAAAGTGCCTCTCCCTGAAATATTGTATTGATCCATCGGAGGGATTAAGGGGAGTATTCTTCCACACCGAATTACAACAGGCTGTGAATAAAACAAGTACAGTCCCAGATCTTATGAAACAGTTAGCACTTGAGATAATCAACGAAATCCCTGAAGAAATTTACACAGATGGGAGCAAAAATGAAGAACATCAATCTGTGAGTGGAGTATATATTAAGACTCCTGATAGCGAAGTCAGAAAAATTAAAATTAGAAACCCAGACAATTACTCGATGTTTAGAAGCGAACTGTTGGCTATTGAGGCGGGTCTTGAGGCCGTTTTGAATTAAACTAATTATAGAGCGTTATGGATTTTGTCATTGAAGCGCTTGAAGGACTGGTTGAATGTTGGTGACCGCACTAACATCGCTATTTTGAAATTACTTAGACAGATTGCTGAGGTTCACGAATTGCACCTCCAATGGATTCCCTCGCATGTGGGGATTTGCGGAGATGAGGTCGCTGACGACTTGGCAAGGCAGGTCTCGGTTGAGCCATTGTATTCAGTCGCCTCATTGACTTTTGACGAGCTATACTCCATCATAAAAAACAGTGACTTAAAGTCTTGGAGGGTCCCTCCATCCCATGATTGGTATTTGCGGAGATGTCCTGCACGCTCCATTGGCCTTTCCTGCAATAGAGCCGACCAGACGGCGCTGTCGAGATTTGCCAGCAGCCACCCGAGGAGTTTTCCCGGTTTGTGCAAAGTGTGGAGTGAAAAATGCGACCCCGGAGCGCATTCTGCCTTGTCTTCGCATTTCTAAGGAGACTTTCGCGACAGACCCCTTGCTTGCCCTGGATTTTTTAAGAGTGTATGGACTCATGGATAATGTCTAGCTGGCGCTAGACAGTGAGGGGATTAGTCACACACATATTTAAAGTTAATTTTAATTTTTAGCTGTTGATCATTTTATTTATTTATAATTTTGATATTATATTAACTATTTTCTACATCAATTTTGCACAAAATGAGATTTTTTTTAATTAATATTTTTCAAAAATTATTTTATGGGTTTTTTTGCTGTTTTGTAAGGTTTTTTTCGTTAATTTTTATATTTTTAACTATTTTTAGCTTTTTTAAATTATTTTTTTATACTTAATCACTTAATTTACGTAAAATAGGAATATTTTAAATTAGCATTTATTGATACAATGTGTTTGAATGATTTATCGATTTTAAATTATCTGTTTGTTCATTTGCATGTTATCTGTTGCTCAGCAAAGCAATGAAAATATTAAGACCATTTCAAAATCTTTGATCAAGGGTTGTCATATTAAGAAGTTTCACTGCACTTGTAGTCTAAAAAAATATGAATAATAGCAACTGTTAACTCTGTTTGATTCATGCAAATGTAAAGCAAACTGATGATTTCAATGTCTCTCTTTCAAACTATCATTTTTCAATGTTATAATTAAATTTCTTCATAGATGTAGTCAAAAGTGTTGTATTCCTTAATGTAACTAATGTTATGTGTTGTATTTTTTCTTTTAGGCTTGTAAAATAACAGTTGTCTTGTCTTCAAACAATATTCCAGATATGCTGATAAGGTTTTTTTTTTATCTCAATTTCTTTTATAGATTTTTTTTCTTATTAACTACATGCATACTTTTTTTTGTTACTATATCTCAGAATTATTTTGTATGTGAAAGGATTCTTAATGTTTTTTTTAAACTTTTATTTATTTTAATCTTCTTATAATTAATTGTTTTATTTTGATATTAAACTTTCTAATAATGACTCATGAATGAATTAAATTTCTAAAAATGAAAAATTGGTACATTTGGAGAGAATTTTTTTTTTTTATCCTACTCTTAATTGAGTTAATATAATTTAAAGAGTTAATAAAATATAAAAATATAAAGAGTTCAATTAATTGTAATATCACTGGTATCTAAAATTTATATTAGATTTAAGATACAAATACATTATGTTTTTGTGATCTTAACAAAATTCTTCTGACGTTTTCTATATTGACTTTTGTTATGCTATGCAATTTTGTATTTGAATATTTTTCCAACTTTTGTTAACTATTTTATTAATTTTGATACAATTTCTAGTAATTATCTACATCTTTATGAAAAATTATCAGAGATTTTTATTGCCTGTGCAAGCATTTGTAAAATATGTTTCTTATTTTCTATAAATTAAAGTAATAAATATTTTAACAAAGATCATAGAAAAGAGAAAGACTTATTAAATGTTAGTTCACTTGCAAATTTTTAGTAATATAGAAAATGCTGTTTTACTTACATTAAATATTTGTAATTATTTAGTTTGAGAGACAAAATAAAACTGTAGAATTATTTCAATACTTTACTGTTAATTGAAATGTTTAAATTGCTAAATAGCAATGCTGAATTCATATGTAGTAATGAAGTAATACTGTAGTAATATATAATAAATTTTCTTTTCTTAATCAAAATGGTTTTAAAATACTTTTTATCTAATAATTTTTTAATTATAAATGTCTCTTTTTAGCTCTATTTATTTATTATTTTAAAAAACAGAATAGTAAAAATAAATTTTGATGTTATTTTTGTGCCATCTAAGGTATAGTAACTATTTTTTTCTAACTTCAATAGATATCTTAATCAAAGTATCAAGAATTGGATTGAAAAAAGATTTGAAGAAGTAAAATGTTCTTCCCAAACTGAACTAATGTTTCGCCCTTTTCTTAAATGGTTTGATAGGAATTTAGAGGAATTGTTCATTTGTGGCTTAAGAATGGTATACATTTTCCTTTGACTTCATTTTGTAATTGCTCAAATGTCTTCCTGTATAATTGTATTGCTGTTTGAAATAATTTCTATTATTTTCAATGCAACTAGAAATTTGAAAATCTAGCATTGTTTCTTAAGTTTTTGTGAAAGATGCATTTTGTTTTAAGATCATTGGTGTTTAGAAAAGCATAACTATACTTTGTTATAACAATACATAAATAATGTGTATGATTTATTTTAATGCCAATTTAATCAAGCATTATTAAAAAAAATTTCAGAAAGCAAAATTCCATTTTCTCCTTGAGTTTTTTTTTTCTACTTTTCTTAATCTATATTATTTAGACTAACAGAGCTTTCACAACATCATTAGCATTTTTCTAATAATTTGCAATGCATTTAGCATGTTTGTAAATAAAATTCAATGAAGCTAATAGCAATTGTTGGAGCTAAAACAATTCTTATAGCTGTTATTCCAGTAAACAATGAGACAAATGTTTAACCCTTTGCTTACGGTGTTCTGTGTTGTACCATCACATGTTGTACCAGCCGTAAGCAAAAGGTTAAACTATAGAAGTGGTAAAAAATAAAAAGGAATTAGAGCTGTTTTTTTTTATAATTTTTTTTATCTAAACATATTTTTGCATGAATGTCTCATATAAAACATAAGCATATGGCACCTATATGTATTAACAACCATTTCGATGTTTAAATAAAAATAAATTTTTTTTATAGTTTTCCCTGTAGTAAAGAAAAAAAGCTGTTTAAAATACCTTAAAAATTTACACTGTTAATATTGCTATAGCTTTATGACTTACAGTTAAAATAATTAAATGTCTTTAATATAATTATATAAAAATGCTTAAAAAATCATTTTTGGAAAATTATTAACTTATTATGCTTCTTTTTTTTTTCTTTAAGTCACTAGTTTACATTCATGTAAGTCAAGATATTTTAGCAGATTCAATAATACCAACTGATTTTTCTTACTTCTCAGCCAGTTCCTAAGGATCAAATAATTGTATGAAAATAGGTGAACTTTATTTTTCTACTTGAACTTTGTTGTCAAAATGCCAGCCTGAATTATAAATACCACACTATTTAAGTTTGTGTAATTGAATTAAATGTGCCCAATTCACTAAAAAAATAATAAAAAAAGAGTTCAAAAAACTTCAGTGTGTTAGCCTAACTGTTCCTTCATTTGCAAAATAGGACAATTTAAAGTAAACACAAATATCTTTTGGATTATACGTAATATAAATTGAATATTTTTTATTTATTTATTTAGTTTTTGTCTGAGTGCTTTTTCTTTACAATCTATTGGCGTATATATCACTTAAACTTCCAGGATAAATATTATTTATCTCTTATGCTGCCAAGCAATTGAAAAACAACACAAGGGCTTCATAACAGATTTCAAGAAAAGTGGCTTGACTACTATTTTCTTTTTCATGCTAATACTATCAATGTTAAAATAGAATTTCAGAAAATTCATAAAATAAAACTTATTTTGGAAATAAAAATTGCAATATTTAGCTCTTATATAAAAATACCAAGCATGTAAAAATCTCAATTCTGAATTTTTTGTTACTTACATTGATTTTTCTATTGCATGGCAGTATACATGAACACAAACATATCACAATACACAAAACTTTAAGTCTATGTCTGTTCCAATAAAAAAAAAGAAAATTATCACAAATTTTTATTAATTATTAAAAAAATATTATTCATTTAAATAATATTAAATAATGTAGCATATTGCTCATTTAATCCTTCTTTTTTGTGGTTCTTCACCTTTTCTTTCATTATTTCTATACATTATATTAATTACTGCTAGCATTTATCATATAGTTCTTGTAATAAGTAATAGATTAAGTTTTGTTCTAATTTCTTCACTTATAGGTGAAAAGAGATATTGAAGCAAAGAAAAATGGTATTGACTTTGTTCCTGTGGAAAAACTCTTTTGTTCAACCAATGACACTCACAACTCAGACTCTGCAGAAATAGTCCCAGAAGCTTCTGCAGAATATAATTTAGATTCTTCTGAATTTCAGACAAAAGATGATATTATTGATAATCAGACAAAAAATTTTTCAAAGAGCAGCATATTACTTGATAATTCAGCTTTAAGGCAAGGTATCAAAGTTCTATTTAATGGCCTTGAGTTAGTTGAAGGTATTGCAACTTTCTCCTGCTCTAAACTGTCTATAACAGTCCATTGCATACGATGCAAAACTTCTTGCAATATCAAATGTTCTACAGGAAAAAGTAGTTCTTCAAAGTGTTCTAAATGTAGCAAAGCAATAGAATGTAGCTTTAGCCCATCAATGATGCATCAATTCTCTAATGTTGCTGGAAATCTTCACTTGGTAGAGTGTCAAATTGTAGACATAAACTTAGTTGAGTCATGCTTTGTTTTAGACTGCCTCAATTGTTCTAAACATATCACAATTGATGTAAGTAAATTCTTAAATTTAGAACTATTCCTCCATTAAGCATTATTCTTGATTAGTATGCTATTTGTCATAATTTGAATTTAAAATCTAAAATTATATTTTAAATTTAATAAAAAAATTTTTTTAATTTATTCAAATTAACATAGATTGTTTAGTTCAACTCTTTTAATTGTTCTTATAAAATAAAACTAAGTAAAAAGATGGCTTATATAAAATGAAAATTTAGCTCTTTTAAAATGAATTTAAAAAATCTTATGTTAATTTAATTTTATTAGTTTATTTAGTTCTATGTCATATTATTATTTTCTCGGGTAATGGTATCTCTTACAAAGAAATTGTTAAACTAGCTTCATTTAACTGCTAAGGCTTGAGGTGTTCTTATGTGCACTTTGTTTTAACAATGTTTTCCTTGACTTCAACATTTCAATTAAAATAAAATTAGGATTAATATGTTACAGTCAAACTAACAAATCAGATAATTATTAATAATGACTGGTAAAATTGATAAACTAGAATAACCCAGGATCACATTAACTGGTCCTCAGTAACAATTACCTATGGAGTTATTACTTACAATGTGCTGTTGATATGATGAATTTTTACAAATTATTGACTTTTATTTTCTTAATCGTTTTATTAGTGCCGGTTATTATTAATAATAATCAATTTGGATAGGTTAAGAAAAACATCAATGTGTAGTGAATCAGAACAAATGAACGAAAGCATTCAATGTGAACGAAGACATTCATATTTGCCAAAAGATGTGATTATTATTTATTTTTGATTGTTATTCACAGAAATAATAACCCAGCAGAAATCTATATATTATCATTTTTACTGATATTTTCATATATATTCACTAATTCATATATACTGATATTTTTTCTAATTTGATATTATTAATAGTTGGCAATTTTATAGCAACCAAATAAACAGTTAAATTAATTTATCACATTACTGATCCTTATTAATATTAACCAGATTTATATTATTATTATTAATATTGACCATTATTAATATTGACCGTAGCATACATTAATATTGCTATGCAAAATTCTCAGTTCATAAAAAAATTCTATCTTTAAAAAAATTTCTATCAAATATATGTATTAACAATTGTCACAGTGTAAACATGTGCATGTAAATATTTGTTCGTCTAACTAAAATGCTTATGTAGTACCATTTGTTATGATTGTAGTCTGTAGGTTTTCAATGGATACCTTTCTAACATTTTATTTTAATTTTTAAGGGTCTGCATTATGGTCAAAAACAAAAAAGATGGTGTACATCTTGCAATGAAAAGTTAATCTTTAGTATTGAAAATGTCAAATTTCAAGCAACTAGCTCAACATACATAGGTAAATTTGTTAATATATTTGTTCTGAAATTTAACAATTCTGACAATAGATCAGTGGAATTAATCTTTATTTTTAAAACATTATCAAGCAGATTTTTAAATAATGAAGTCACTCTCAATGTAAATTTTAATAAGATGCACCTCTATGTTTTCACTATCAAATAACCATACAAGTTAAAACAGAAGCAAATATTTTTATGTATTTTGTGATCTGCATATCTAGATTTAAACATTATAGGAATATAAAGTCTCGGTTAAGCAATTACTGTTTCTTTGTTTTAGCTTATATTGTAATCTATTTGTTTTGTTTTTTCCCTTTTATTGCCAATGACCTGTTCTGTGGGTACCTTGTGTGTCACTTAAACTTTCTTTAGATTTTATTACTTACAGTTTTAACAAGATTTTTGAAAAATGGAACTTTTCCGATAAACATTCTTGTCATTACTCTAATTTAAAATCTTTACTACATTCCTTACTCTGTATCTGGAAAATAAATAGGAAATAAATGTTGTGTGTACTTTAACATATTTTATTTCATTTAAAATTATACCAAATTAAATTCTTTATAAAACTGCTTTGTCTACAATGTACTCAAGTAAAGAATAATACAAAATAAAATACATCTATAAACATTATATTGTTTTTTACCAAACGATATATGCAAAATCATATTTTAAAATTGCTCATTTAATTTAATTTTCTTATGAAAAAAAACTATTTTTAATGTGTTAATTGGATTAGAAAATAATGTTACTTATGTGCATTTCGATATTTGTTTGCAATTTTTTAGCTCATTGTATACTTCAAAGTCATACTGAAGACATTAAGGTTAGAGTGACTTTAAAATAAATATCAGTTTTTTTAATGATCTGACTAGTCAAATAACCGAGGTAGCACATATCCGGCATTGAGTTTCCGGCAATACTTTTTAAGTTTCACAAAACAATTGTAACACAACAATTACTATCCAAAAACCTTTTCAATATTTTTATCGATGAACCTAAGATGTTCATTAATGTCTTAGGTGGTTTCCTAATTTCAAATCCAGTAATTTTGTTTTTTATGCTTGTGTCGATCAGGAAGACCAATCCAGGAAGAAAAATTTTTTAATTTGAGTGAGAGCTTTTGCCTCCCTGATAATATTCGCCCACTATTATGCCATCAAATTTCCATTTATTTTATACATTTATTCTATTTATTTATAATTATCAAAAAATGTGAAAGTTTAATGATATCCAAAATGTCATCTACAGACATTTTCTCAACTGCCCATTGATTTTTATTTATCTGGCTCTGAAAAAGTGCACATTAGATGGCAAAAAGCTGTTGATTACAAGAGTGATTACATCATTGATTGGAAATAAAAATTTGTCTGTTTATATCAATGAAAAGAATTTTCTTTTCTGGTTTTAAAATGAGTATAAGTCATGCTAATACTCATTTTAAAAATTTATAAAACTCTTACCCTTAAAGTGAATTTTTTTCTTCTCTTTTTTATATTAATTGAAAAATTCTCTCTTTTAAGCTGCTAAAAATGCTCCTACGAAAAAAATGGAAAAAAGAAAAGACCCATTGTTTAAGGAAGGAGAACCATTACCTGATTTTGGAACTTGCAAGCATTACAAAAAAAGCTACCGCTGGTTAAGGTGACAAAATTATTATAAGTTACCCATTTACTAGGCATGCAGAAAAATCTTTTTTTTTTTAAATCTTTTTTTAAATTTCTTGAAAAAATGTATGTAACTAATGTAAAAATATATGTAATATGAAGGTTCACTTCTATAGTAGATGTCTATTTCATTTCTGTGGAAAATCTTTTTCATTTATGATAAACTATTTAGTAAATAAACTTTAAGTCATATTTAAATAACGCAAAGTTAAACAGATTTAATTTATTATGGTTGAAAGCACCTCGTATACTAATTAATTAACAAATACTGTTTATATATTTTTTTTAGCTGCAAGAGAAGGAAGTGGTTCTCGTAATGTTCATAAATTCTATGTTAGATTGTCATATACACTATCTGGAAGAAAGTGACGGGACAACTGTAAAGTTTGGTGGAGGAGGATTGATGGTATGGGCCTGTTTCTCCTGGTATGGGGCTGGCCCACTGGTGAAGGTTGATGGTATGATGAATGCCGATGGATACTGTGATATTCTCGACAATCATGTCCTTCCTACCTTGTAGGCAACGTACGGTACGGATGATTGCTTGTATCAAGACGACAACGCAAGATCCCATGTTGCAAGGAGGACTCTTGATTGGTATGTGAACAACAACGTTAAACGCATGGAGTGGCCGGCGCAGAGCCCTGATCTTAACCCAATTGAACATCTCTGGGACGAATTGGACCGTCGGTTGAGGGCCTGCACCCCACTCCTCAAAAGCAAGCATGAACTATGGAACTTCCTGTTAAACATTTGGAAGGAAATTTCTCTTGCCACTATGGCTAATTTAGTGGAAAGCATGCCTAAAAGGGTAGCTGCCAAAGGAGGTCCTACCTCCTATTAATTTTAATAAATATGGGTTTATGTCGTTATAGTATCGTGTCCCGTCACTTTCTTCCAAATAGTGTATAATGTTGCATGTTAGGTTCAAATATTTTTTAAAGATTTATTATTTTTGTTAATTCTACTAATTTCTTAGAATTAGATACATAAATTTAAAACACTCTTCCAGACTAAAAGGATTTTTTTGATTTAATTAATTGATAAATAACTTAAAGTAGTATGGCCAAATATTTTTATATTTTGTAACTTTTAAGATAATTATTATTACACGTCAGCAATAGTCCAAGTTTTATTTTTTTTTTCTAAATTTAAAATATTTCGAAAATAATTGCCAAATATTTTAATAATTTATATAAGTAATTGGAATTTTCAGGAAATTTAATATAATTTAGCAACTAAACAGCTTAACTTTAAAATGTAGTTGTATAATTTATATATATAATTCATTGGAGGGGGATCATGGATGTATGTCCCCTTTAATAATTAGAAATCTCTAAAAAAAAACCTCAATAATTAGAAATCTTTAAAAGTATCCCTCAATATTTCAAACAAAGAAGGAAAATTTTTGTGAATTATCATCGACTTAAATTCTTTAAAGTTAAAAACAAAAAAGAGATAAAAATAATTGTTCTTTTTTCAGGCATTTAGTACATTTAATAAATTTTTTTCTTATGTGTGAGCAGAAAACTATTGTGACTGTGTAATTTAATTTTGTCCCTCTCAAAAATTGGGCCCCTGCAAATCCCATGTGTATCATATTAGATAATTTAATATCTATTTGTTTAAATAATATATTTATATGTTTGTTTATATTTTATTAGATTTTGCTGAAACTTTTAGAAATATTTTAGATAGTTTTCACAAATATTTGTGTTTTAATCTCAATTCTGTAATCTCATAGTAAAATGTTAGCCCTTGCATATAAAAAACACAACTTTTTCATTGATTTCATTGCAAGTAATTTATGAATCCCTGTTTAAAATAACTTTAAATTACTAAAATATTAACTGCTTAATGATTGTTTTTAAGGTTTCCTTGTTGTGGAAGATTATATCCCTGTGATATTTGCCATGATGAAAAAGAAAATGATCATGAAATGAAGTTTGCTTCCCGCATGATATGTGGGTTTTGCTCTAAAGAGCAGGTATGTGCTCTTAAATTTTATTCACTTTTTTAAAAACCAGTGATTCTTTTACGAAACGTATAAAGTTAGTCAAATTTTCTAGTTCATATTATTGCTTTTTTAATTTTGTTATGAGATGCTAATTTAAAATGTCTATTAGCAATGAAAACATCTATTATTACTGTATATAACTTGTTTGAATTATGCCAAAAGCATAATTATCCTTTTTTTAGTATTACTCATTGTGTATGAGATATAGTAGCAAGCAATTTTTTATATTAATGTTAATGACTTTGGGGTATAGCTGTTCAAACGAAGTAAAACTTATGGAGCCTCTGTTACCTTTGGTTGTATATTTCACTTAATGAATTACACTCATAAGCTGAAAATCCTTTTTTGAATATATTTTCTGGTGGATATTTAATTTTCAGGAGTTGTTTTGGTGTTCTTTATCAGCTTCCATTCCTTAAATAATTCTCCATAAAGTATAATTTAAAATCTGCAAAGCATAGTTTAAAATCTACATAAGAAATGTTGCTGCATATTAGAAATGAGAGTCTTAAATCTCTTCACCATGAAGAGATTGTCATATTTTGGAAAAACCAACCACCATAGTGTAAAAATTGTTGAAGTTATGTATTATGATCCTGTTATTATTTGTATACATTTAAAAACAAAATTGTTTGCACTTAATCTTCAACGGTGATCTAAATGTTTCTAATCATTTTTAAACAATCAAAAAATAATTTATCTTCATTTAAACTGTAGTTTACTGTTAATGCTCTGAGGAAATTTGTTATTTTTAAAAGCTGTATGGGCCACCTTTTCCCAAAAATTAGCATGCTAACACATTGACGCTTTCATTATTTTATTACTAGATTAACTAACTTAAATTATTACATCCCTTACAAAATGCTTACTACTGAATGTTTGTACATGTTTAATTGCACATCAAAATTGATAAATGTAGTAGCTCACATGATTTGCATATTATCAAAAATTATATTAAAATAACGCAAAATAGTCATAATGAGATGTACTAGTTAATTTTTTGAACTATGGTTAGTGAAAAATTATGAGGACTAATAAAAAAAAATAAGCAACTTTAAAAAATCTGAGAAAGAGAGCATAGGATTTAAATCTTATGTTTATCAAAAAAAACAGCTTATGCATATAAAAATCTCCAATCAGTCATCGTGTAATAAAGTAGTATACAAGATTAAGTCTGTCATCCAAAATTCATACTTAATACAAATGTGTTAATGTATGTATTTAATTTGCACAGTCATCCCCACTTAATTGTATATTGTATAATCACACCATTGTACGAATAAAATTTGCTAAAACCAAATTATTTTGTATGAAACCAATGCTAAATTTCCTCAGGTAAAGTAATAATTCATGTTGCTAGTCCTCGCTTAATTGCATAAAGAAGAGGAAAACATTTTTTTTTCTATTTTATGAAATATCACAAGCTAGAATGGAATTTTCATTTAGTAGTTAATTAAATGCAAAAATAATTCATGGCAACTACAATAGGGACTTCCTATCTCCTTTCTATTCCAAACAGGTGTCAAGCAGTGTTTAAAAATTGATCAAATCTTTTTGTCAATGAAATAGTAGACGAAGGGGTTTTTTATTCCTCTTTGACACACTTTATTCACATTCCATTTAGAATGTGGGAAGGTAAGATGTAAAGAAATGTTCTACGTGTAAAAACAAACTACTGATTTCTTTGGAAGGAAATAAATAGCATTATAGTATGTAAATAATATTTTTCATTAGCATTGATTTGTATTTATATAAATTTAAATATCATTTATATTTCATGATACTAATACTAACTGCTCAATTTAAAATTGTTTTTGATCATTAAAATAAGCCTATTTCCTCAAAACATCGTACTATGTATTACATACCATATCAAAATAAAATTTCGTAAAAACATGGCATTTAAATATTTAAAATTCACTCTGTACTCCCCTCAGAATCAAATAACCTGAATAAAGTTGACTGGAACCAATGATATTCCTTTAACCAGGGATGAATGTGTTTAGAATATATTATCATACCTGCCAACTTTAATTTTCACAGAGAATAATTGTGTCAAATGGTAATAAAGTTACAATCAAATTGCAATGATGGGCAGAAATATTTTTATATTATGCTAGAGCTTGTATTATGCTAGACCAGGGATGGACAAGCTACGGCCCGCGGGCCAACTGTGGCCCGCCAGAAGGTTTTACACGGCCCGCGGATAGAATTTTAACTTGCCGATCCGTGACGAATCTAAACAAGATACATTATGCATACATTATTTTGTCTACTTTGTTTAAAGCTGTTTTTGTTCTTTCTTTTTTAACAAAGTACTGATGACGTTTTTACTTTCTCTATTGGTGAAATTGATGGAGATGAAATAGTTAGCACAGACAGCTTCAATTGGTAAAATGTTGAAAGCAGAAGTTCTTTATAGAATAACCACAGATTATTTCCAACAAGCGTTTGCCTTTCTCGAGGATCAGACGTATGGAGTCTAACATAGGTGAATTGTGCTTCACATGTGGCAGACAGCACATTTTAAGCTCCAATGAGCGAATTTTTCTGCCGGTGCGAGTTCTAACATTATTTATTTAGTATGGAAGGATTGCACGCAATTGTTGTTTTTAATCGTGCCAAAGTTTGAGTTTTGGAAATCATTACCAAAAGCTAGTTTCCAAATATATCTCATGCCCAGAATATCAGTGCTATGTTTGCTTCATCTTATATATGTGAACAAGTGTTTTCAACTATGAACTTTAGAAAAAATCATTTCAGAAGTAGAATAACAGACAAGCATTTAGCCTCATTCCTTAAAATAAACACATCTCACTTCGAACCTCAATTTAAGGAATTTTTAAAAATGAAATCGCAATTTCATTCATCTCATTAAATATTTAAATTACAACTTGTATATCGTGTTTTTTTATTTCAGAAGTTTTTGCTCGGCCCACCTAACTTTTTCTTCTCGATTTTTTGACCTTGACCAAAAAAGTTTGCCCGTCCCTATGCTAGACCATAGTACATTATCATGCATTTTATATATATGCTTAGCTAATTTTTATGTAGTGGTGATCTAAACTATTTTAAATTAAATTAATAAAACTGAAAGTTAAAATAGAGAAAATTAAATTTTACTATCATTTTAAATACATATAAAAATAACAACTTACAGAAAAAAGAATTGTCAGCTATGATATATATATATATATTTATATAACATCCTGAGGAGAACCTTTTTAAGTTAATACCATAAAATTTTTATTATATTTCTAATTTTTGCATACATGCATGCACGCACAACTTATTTTTAAAATTATTATAAATATAATAATTTAAACTTAAATTTATTTGATCTTGCTATGACAAACATAGTAAAAGTTCTTCAGTGATTGCTAGGTCTGAAATAATATATGTCTGCAGATTTGTACCACCATCAAGATCACTTTTAATGATTTAATTGAGGAAAGATTCAAAGAAATCTTTTATGCCCTACTGTACTTGAAGTTTTTCTTACTGTGTTAAGTATGTATATTAACAGAATTCTTTAATGTTTCTTGAAAAATTTATAACTTTTTAAGTATGTCTATATTATTTTTTTATATAGATTGGTTGAACTCATGTGTTTTGTTGTAAGATTTTTTTTCAAGTTGTCTAATTTCAGCTCAAAAATTTTTTCTTAATTATGTATTCAATATTTTATATTCTTTGCCTGTTCTTATTTAAACTTAACATTTAAAAAAAGTTATTTTGATTGGGGAATGTTATTCTTATATTTTCATATAGGGAATATTATTCTTATATTTTCATAAGGGAATATTATTCAAACTGCTTAAAAAATATTATTTTTGTTTTCCTTTTGTATATCATATTTTAAAAACATGATTTATGTGCATTATTTTTAGCCATATAGCAAAGAAAAACCCTGCTCTTCATGTTCTGGCAGTATGACTTCAAAATCTGGAGCACATTGGGAAGGTGGAAAAGGCTGCAGAAATAAAATAAAAATGGCAAAGTATAAGTTAATTTTTTATTTAAAAATTTTAATTATTATGCTTACATGCTCTTTCATTAATGTCCTTGTAGATTCTTAATTTAAAAGTTTTAAATAAGTCTCACAAAATAATTCATTGTTTAATTATATTATAATAACAAATATGCCAGCTATCATAGATTTTCCGAAATTTTATTTCTGGATATGATGTAATGTAATTATAGATAAATGTAATTTTTAATTGATTCCTTTATTTATTTAATAATTATTTTAGTAATTATCTTCACTAAATAACTATTGTAAGTTTGACTACATTACTTTTTTTTTCTTTTGAGGAATTCATTCGTTTCATAATTAAATTCAAAACGTTATTCATGATATTCTGGTTAACTCTGATTGATAAACTATGTACAATTAATGGTTAAGTTTGTTTAGAAAATAAGTTTTACTTATAGAATCACAATTAACTTTAGATCTTTATGTTTCTCTGAGAAATCTGTTTCAATGTAACTTGAAGTTGGAATGTCTGTAAAGACATAAATATTATTATTAACTTTTTTTCTACAGTTATTTTCCCAGATTTTCAAATGTATTTAATTGTTAGTTGGTTTTTTATTCTGGACACGTCTAGAAATGTATGTTTAAAAAAAGAGACATAGTTATTTGAAAAAATGTACATAGCATTTGATTCCATTTTTCAAACTTCTTTTATGAGTATTGTTCTTCTTTTTAAGAATTAATTAATTCATCCAAATAATTTCTTAGTGTGGTAGTGTCCATTTCCAAAAATCACTTGGTTTATTTTAATAAATTAGTCTTCTTTTTAAAGAAAGATTTAAAAAATTCATTGTTGTTTTTACAAGGTTGCTACTAGTCCTATATACTCATTTTAGTGATATTAAATTTATTTTGTTGGATTTAGTTTTTTAAAACCAACTTTATCTTTCAGTGTTCTGAATACAAAGACATCACTTTAAAAGTTATAACTGTAATGTACTTTGTGACTCCCATCTTGAAATCGGGGAAATTATACTGTAATGATTATGTTTAGTGTTTAAATAAGTTAGGAAAAATGAAAACGAAATTCTTAGTTTAGTTGTTGAATTTAGATTAAGTATTGAAAAAGCACATTTCATGCAGTGTCCATTTTCCTTAAGCCCACATTTTCGTAAACGCATTTTGAACTGTGTACAGAATAAAAAGTCTTTTAATCTCTGAACTTTGGAAAAATCTTTATCTTTATTATTCTATAAAACAATGAAGTTTTTTTTTTTACATTTTCTGTGAAAACATGATTAGTATAAGTTTTTATTTTTCTATTTCTTTATATGCAATTTTTGTCTCATATTTAACTTTTCATTTTTTTTTTAAGTTTAAGTTAAGGCATAATGTTGTGTTACCTGAAAAACGTTCTGCTAAGATAATTGAACTTAAATCTGTTCTATTTGCTGTAGAACAACTATTTATTATTTATTTAATTTTTTAAAGACATTATTTTCGCATTATGAGATTAAATCTAAGCAGTATTCTTAACTAAATAAATTAAATTTTTTAACCAAAATATTTTTATGATGCATTTCTCCTATTTTCCTTTAGGGATGATAAACATAAATATTCTGGTACTTCTAAGACTGTGTCAAAGAAGGCTCAAAGCACAAAAAGTGGAAAGAAATAATAAATATTTTTCTTGAAAATTGAATTGTTTTAAATATTTTTGTTTCTGTTTTATATTTTTAAATAAAAAAACTTATAAAATGTCTGATGCTTATTATTATTACATACACAAGATGTAAAATCTTTATAAATCCATAGATATATACAAGGTTCGTTGAAGGAATCGATACAGCTTTTGTTGATCTTATGTGCTTTGACTCAATTTTAGTTCAGTGGCTTACATTTACCCTCTCTAGAGAAACAAATTGAATTTTATGGCACATGCATGCATATAACATGTAACATAAAGACATTATATCCTAAAATATTCTGCCACAGGAATAATAGCTTAATAATAAAACATCATCTTATGCAGTGGTTTATGTTTTATGACTATACAAATATATTTGTGTGTGCGTGCGTGTGATTTGAAAACTGGTTGTTTATTTAACAAAGACGAAAAGCATTTAGTTGTACATCTGGCATGTATAAATTATCCCTTGTATACATTTGCAACTCAGTATGCATGGACATTTGCTATAAAAAGTTTACATTTTTTCCTACCCACCTTAATATGCTTTTAGATACTAGATTATTAATAGTCTTTTTTTTTTTTTTTTTTTTTTTTTTTTTTTTGAGAAAAAAGTTTTCTTTCTAACACATTTCAAATGTAAATGTGTAAAAAAAATCTAATAAAATAATTTCTATCTAAATAATCTAAACTATAGAAATCTAAAGAATAATTTCCGAAATATTTAAAGTAAAAGACTGATTCTTTATATTAGCAATTATAGTTTCAGCATTTGTAAGCATATTCTTTTCATTTTTTCCCTTTTTTTTGTGCTAGTCTGCAATATATAAAATATGGGGTATGGCAGTGATGAATATTTTCTTTCAGCTTAGGAGCAGACGCATAGTTTTTTAAAAATGCAGTAAATTTAGTGGTTTATTTAAAAATTTTAAGATCAAAACTCTCTCCTGTGTAGCAGACATTAGTTCTATTTACAACTTCACATTTCGAAGCTAACTTATCCATATAAAAATATAACCAAATGCTGTTTCACGTATCCAATGCATTTGTATATTAAGAAAGAAAAAATTTTTTAATAACGTTTCTTGTCATTTCTGAGGCAAGTAATAATTATTTTTTTGAAAAATGAAAAAGTTCTAAATTGCAGGAGATTAACATTTGTCAAAGATTTTTTTTGTTTTTGGTTAAGGTGGGCGCTTGAATCTATCTCCCATTGCCCTCAGAATTGCTACTCTCTTATCGTTACCCAGTGAGCACCTATGGCTAAGCCATGGCGGTAGAGCAGCGTCGCCCACGTCACACAACCACAAACCCTTTTTTGTCAAAGATTCTTTTTGTGCAAAAGATTAAAGATTTCGTTTATTTAAAAAAAAAAATTTTTTTTGTTCTTTTTTTATGAAACTTAAAATCTTAACATATGATTTTAAAAAAGAAGCAACTAAGAGTAAAACGAGGAAGAGAGTGAAACAGGACTTAGGTGAAATCTCATAATAATAATTATAAAAAAAAGCATAGTTCTCAATGTAGACAACACTTTTCTATTTATTATTAATTAAAATAAAATCAATTATTTTATAATTACTTAGTGTCTCATATGATTTTATTTTGTTATATATATATATATACATTTTGAGAGCAAGATAGTGAAACTTTTATATTCTTTTCATCAAATTCTAACGTTTTATTTTTTTTTTATGCACGACATTAATCATATCCCTGGTAGTGGGGATTTTTGCATTTAAGGACCTCTCTGAAAACATGATTTTAAGATGTCAAAAATAAATTTAATTTACTAATTCTAGAATTTTTATTTAGGGAATATATAGGGCACAATAGAGTACCATTCGGAATGAAAGTCGATGTTTTTTGAGGTGGCGTATTGACATTTAATAGAAATTGGTGAAGATAGAATACTATTTAACTATGGAAGTTTCAGAAGCTATAAATTAGTCTAGTTTTCTTGAGTGTTGATTCTTTTAGTTTTTGTTATGGAATTTGTTGTTTCTGACTGATGATCTTATAGCCTGCAAGGAAAAGTAAAAGAGTGCAAGGAAAAGTAAAAACTTGAATAACTTTTGATCTAGTGATTGGATCTACAAATAATAGCATTTATTCTAAATGGTTTAAAGGGGTGACCTCAAACATGATGAATAATTATAGCAGATAAAATTTTAAGTTACAACATCAGACAGAAAAACGTACTTTTTGTGTATAAATATACCTTTTTTCCAACGGATTATGATTTTTGACCCTCAGAATCTAGGCGGTAGCTGTAATCTAAGAAATACGATCGCAATAGTTTGGTGAGGAAAGTAGTCTAAAGTTTGAACCCCTTTATTTTTTATGTATTTCGGAATATCTCGAGACTTAAGAGAATCTAAAAAATTTTGCACGCAATTTTAAAGCTCTTTTTTAAAAAGTTTTTTTTAATTGTTAATAGTCAAAAACAATTTTGAATTTTAAGAAATAGAAGTCTTTATGTCATTTTACATGGCATTATTTTTCATGGTATGCAATTTTACTCAAATGCAAAATTTGAATAAAATCGATCAAATATTTCTTAAGTTACCAAATTTTAAAAAGTCTTATACTTCACATCACTTCATCATAAATTATAATAAAAAGATAAATTATAGAATAAAAAGCGGAGTTCTCCAAATATATTTGCAGAGCACAGACTTTTATTCTACTTTATATTTTGTGCACTGTACATGTTTTTTACAGTTTAAATAAATAAATAAATTCGGAACATGTTAAAGTATGTTTGATTGTCTCAGTTTCATGCACTGATACTTTTGTTTACATCTTATCTCCAATAGGAGGTTAAGGCATTGAGGTATGCTTAAGCACCGGTTTCCCCTAGGTATATTTAAGCTTTTTTAACCAGCTAAGGGAAAAAAGTATAACATACCATTCTGAAAAGACCTTGTAAACTGAAACATGACTCTGGAAAAGAAGTACCCTATTTTATCGATTTGTTTAGAAGCAGTTGTTATCTACTTATTTCACTAAAATTTAAAATGCTAGCTAATAGAAAAAGCAAGTTAACTTAGTTTAAACCTGATTTAAAAGAAATATACCACCGCTCTTACACATTGTTAACATTTCACTCTAACATCAACTCTTCAATTGGCACGAATTTTATATTTTTTTATAATTACCTGTCTTTACCTCACCGTAAAGCTCCGTACCTGAAGCAAAACAGGGTAATTGATGTAACTATCGCTTTTAATAAATTTTTTAGGTTTTTATACTATTTGTTATTTTTTAAACAATTTAACCCTTACTTTTTATACAAAGACGAGATCTTTCCTAAAGCTTATAAATTTGCCGTTAGATGTCGCTTACCGTCTAGCTGGAAAACTATTGGTATTTGAACTGAGCAGAAAGCAGCAATTAAAAACGTTTCTAATCAATTCATCAACCCAAAAAAAGAGCGACCGTCATTCCATAGTCATTACTTTTTGTTTAGTTCGGTTTAAAACTGGTGGTTTATTTCTCTTTCAAAGGGGGGAAAAAAACTGTTCTTTTCAGAAATATACCTCTTTTCTCAGTTCCTAATTTTTAAATTGATTTCTGTTTTGTTATAAGATAAAAGACTTTTAAGGCTTATTATAATTTCAACCCAAAGCTGATATTTCAGCACAGATAACTCTCGAAACATGCATTTAAAATGCTGACTCTTCTTTTTAATAAGTTCCAAGACACATATATATTTACAGAATATTTCTAAAATAAATATTCTAATAATTATAACAAAACAAAAAAAATCCTTACTTTTACATACTTTGAAATTGTTATCTTTTTAAAATATTCAAAGTAAAAAAATATGCAATTATACTGATCACTTCTAACAACTTGCAACTGGATAATTATAAAAATACATATATATTTATTGAAGTTTCTAATTTAAATATTCTTAAAATTAAAAAGACTTTGGCATTTTTTTTTTATAAAAATTGAAAAGCAGAAAGAAAAAAGTTTGAATTAATAAAATTATTTCATTTTTACAGCAAATAAAATTTAAACAATTATCTCACAAGTTATCTTTAGTATGATCAAAATCTTAAAGATGGCAGCACTACACTAGTTGTTTTGATCAGTTTTGATGATATCAATGAAACGTAGTAGTGGGCGTGTCAGTTGCACAGCTTGATTCCCCCCTACTAGCCTTACCCCCTCCTAGTCGCTCGTAAAAAAAAAATACGCTCCTCCAAATACTAAATGTAATTTGTTTATACTTAAAAAGAAAAAGATTTTAGGGCCATGAGCTACAAATTCAGGTAAAAATGAATTGCATATTTTTTCCGTTTCAGCTATAATATTTTTGTTTGTCATTGAGTTTATTTTCCTATACATAAAAGATAAGCTAGTGTTGTAGATATTATTTTTTGTGATTATAGTGTTGTATTTTATAAATTCTGTGTATATTTCAGTCATGAACTATGAGATTCATAATCATGTCATAATGTCTTTCGGGTCTTATTATCATGCCAGTTTAAAGAATTATTTTCTTCTAGGAAAAATGCTGATCCAGGCGAATGGTGTTCAGTTTTGTTGCCTTCATCTATGCTTTCTTTAAGTCTTTCACATGGTGGAGGTGAGGTTATGATTATTCTGCAAGAGAAAGTTTAAACTAGAACACTATTTAAAAATTTATTTTTTCCATTTAAGTTAAATGTTTTGATCTGTGTAGTGTTAAATAAGTGTTAAATATTTTTATTTTGAAACATGAATTGTCAATTTTTATTAATAGAAATTTGGTATTTGTAGTTATATTTTCTGTATTATTATATTAAATTGATTTATAATGGTTCTTTATTAGCTGAACAAAAAATCCTTTTTAGAGACTATTTTCCTAGCATGATCAGCAGCAGAATTATCACAATTTTTTGGTAATTTTCCGAAAGTGACACTCAAGAAACTAAAAATAAAATGAAAATTATGAAATGTTATCAACTCAAAGGGTAACCAAAAGCAAACCTCTACATGCTTTAAAAAAAAATGTTTTTTTTGCAAGTTTGGAATCCATTTAGAGCCTTGGTGATTGCAGTGGGTGTGACAGATCACAATATCGAAATATACCCTATTTTATTTTCCATTTTTCGAGCTCATAATAAAAAATGAAATTGTTTACTACTTAATTGGTGTTGATGGGGATGTTTCCATATTGCATCAGTTTAGGTGAACTGAGATTGATGAATGTCAATATTATGATTGTATTTTCAATAATTTAAAAAAAATATACAGTTGCTTGCCTATAAGGAGCTATCAGCTTTATCTTTTGAATTGGTCTAATTCTCTAATGTTTTTTTAAAACAAATTTAAGCCATTTCCCCCCATAACACTTGGCCTACATTTTGGCACAAATAACGATATGAAAATCTTTCTGCTTGCTAAAGCACTGATATATTGTATTTTTTATTTAAAGCACTTATATTTACACTCAAGATAAAACTGAAAAAATTCCTCAATATGCAAAATACTATTTCATATTTCTGATAAATAATAGTTATTAAATTTTTCTTTTTAAATTATTTGGCGACTTTTCTTGTGTCTCCCTAACAAAAAAGTACCCTATTGTTTTAATATTGTTATCAAAAGTAAAAAAAAAGACCCTTAAAAAGTCAAGATCTATTTAAATTAATCAAAGTTTCATAAATTTACTTATTTAAAATTTCTATTTTTGTGTAAGTAAGAAATAAATATTTTGGTTTATTCTCTGCCTATATCATAATAAATTTAAATTATAAGTTACATTAGTTTTACATTAACTTATGAAGAATTTTTTGTATGTCACATCATTTTGCTACAATCTATGACTAAAATTTTCTATTTGATTGTTATAAAATGACCCTCATTGGTCTTTGTCATCAAATTTGTTTTTTGTTTTTCAGGTTTATATTCATTCCTATTTGTTATATCTTCCTGGCTTAGTGCTGTAGATTTTCTCACAAGACATGTCCTTAAAAATGATTTTAGAAGTAAACATTTTACCCATGCATTCTATTTAATTAGTTCTGTAGTAATTTCATTATTTGTTTGGAAATACTTTTCTTATTACAGTTGTAAGTAAATTTTTATTTTCTTGAACGATTTTTTTTAACTACAATATTTAACAATAACTTATTTCTCTTTATGCTCATATTTCCTAGGTTTTTTCCATGTTATTACTTTGAATTATCTCATTGTTTGCTGCTACAATTATATAGTTAGAATATTATTAGAAAAATGTCCTGGAAGTTTTACTATGGGTGAAGCTCAAGTATTGACTCAAAGCATTGTGCTGTTTTTCTTAAGCAATGAAATCTTTTTATCAAGAAAGGTAATTATCTAGTTTTTATTATTGAGAATTTTGTTTTAATCAGTTTTAATGGAATTTATTTTATTTAATAGTCACATGCTCAAAATATTTTGATTTGTTCATCAGAGAAATGTTTATGCAGTTAACTTTTTCAAAACCTCTGATTCTATTAGGATGCTACTTATAACTCTTTGCCTAAAATGTAAAATATTTTTCAAAGTAATCTATTCTATCAATTTAGTTGTAATTTGTACTTGGGTACAAAATACAAATGGTTTCTTATAAGGCCACCTGTCAAGGAGAATTTCTTTCAGAAAGAATGAAGCTTTATGTAAAGTTTTTATTTCATTTTTTACGTATAGTTTTTTTTTCTTAGAAATGCATTGCTTGCATTGATATCTGAGGATTTTGTCCAGTTTCTGTGGAGCGAATTTTTTTCCAAGAGCTTAATATAGAGTTTAGCATGATGGTTCAATAATAAATGAAATGTTTTAATCAAAAAATGACTATTTATTATTTTTGTAATAAAATCTTTTGAGAAAGATCTCAATTTAAATACAAATTTCAGGAAGTTGCTTTGATCAAACCATATACTGGTTTTGTGATAAGATTTTCGATTGTTCATGCCTTATGTGTAATAAAATATTTCTCTTTTTGTAGCTGATTCAATAATATAGTGTGCATAGATTCCTTTTATGAGTCTTAAAAAATTTACTTTTATTAAAATTATTATATGACAGTCTTATTTTAGATTGTCTTAGTTATTTTAAGTTCCTAAGTAAAAAATGTTCATTTTCTTTTAGAGTATAAAAGTTATTAAAAATAATAATAATTATAATATATTTTTTTCCCTAGATAAGTTCCTATAAAAATATACATAGTTTCATAGAGATTCCTGACCATGCGAAATGCTTACAGGTAACTATTCATTTGGTGGATTTAAATAAAAATAACTAATTGAACTTTAAATATCTTCATTTATTTATTTTCTTTGTAAAAATCAGGTTTTACTTTTAGGCTGTTTCTCATTGATCTTCTTAACCTATTCAATTCCATCTTTAAGAAGAGTCTCAAAATTTTTTGCTCTGTTTATTGCGACATCTGTCATCATGATGTATGCTTGGAGATTTTACCTTAATGAGAATATTTTCATTTGGCTCTTGAAATTTTGCTTGCAGTCTCAAGAAAGGGTATTTATATTTTAGTTACACTAATCATTACATACCAGTAAATTCTTTGAATATTTCAATTAAAGTAAATGAAAGTACATGACTGTAAATTTCAATAATATATTTTTAATGTGTAATAATTTTAAATGATAACTATAAATTTTTGAAAACTATGTTTTTCAAGTTAATTAGAATTTTTTTGGTAAAAATACTTTTTCAAAAAAATGTAGTCTAGTTTTCTGCATGTATGTTTGTTTTTATTGAGGAAAAGTTCCAAAGTTTGATTCACATTAAATCTTGTTTGTGATATTTAGGAAGTAATTGTAATTTGTTTTGGCATAAAGCACAAAGCTCCATTTGAAATTTGAGCACTCTAGCTAGTTGGTAAGTGATCAAAATTTTTGTCTGAGGATAAATTTTATTTCACAGTAAAATGACAATATAGATTCTGCTTCTAGGAAAACATTGAAACTTGTTTCTTCATTTAGCACAAAGTTATAAATGAAATGCTGGGACTCTAGTTTGTCAGACTCAAGAAGTGGATGAATTTTAAATTAATAATAATAAATTGTTAATGCCAATAAATCCAGCTTGTAGCTGTCAGGAAATAAAACATGTATTTTCAGGAAATGATGTATTGTCATCATGCACAGAGAACACCATGGTAGATTTGGGAATTCTTGTTGGAAGTTTTGAACTTGATTGATGGTAAATTTTATAGGGTTATAAGAGCTGCTGCTTCTAACAGGAATTTTTTTTTGTCTTTATCATATGACTTTTTTTTAAAAAAATCAATTAATGAAAAAATCAGGCAACATGAACAGTAAGTCAGAATGTGATCTATAGATAACATTACAAAAACAAGAGCATGAGCACAAGCAGCAGGAACAATCAGTAATAAAAAATTAAAAAATTAAAGAAAAAGCGAATGCAAAATGTACTTCACTGAGTAGTAGCAACCCAAAAAGGCACAAGAATTTAACAGAGGATTTATAATATTTCTAACATCACAATATAATCTGAAAAAGTCATTGCTTCAGTTATCAAACTATCGACACATATTGTCATGTGATTAAGAATTCCAGGTAAGATTTGAGTGTTCTTGTTGTTTGAAAAGTATTGAAAGTTTTAATTGCAAGATCACCGTCACAAAAGCAATTTAATGAAAATGTAGTGATTAAATTCCCTAGATAAATATAAAAAGTTTTTTTGCAATTATATGTGATTCTTGTTATATGATAAACATATGATCCATAATCATGTTCACTCTTCACTATTTGTATTTTAGCACTGTCAATGATTCCTAATACTTCACAAATGCATTCTTTAAGTTCTTAGTGTTTTGAAGAACAGTGATTAGAATTTGCAAGTGGTTTATCCTTAATTACATAGCCACCAAATTCTATGCTGTTATATCATGTGATTTTTTATGGGTTTCTTTTCTATAATTAAATTTTTTTTATTGAGGACACTGTTAATAAACCATGTATGCTGAAAGCATCGCTAGAATATAAAAGCGCCTCTGTGCAGCCTTAAGGATCATTGACAGTGTGACATTATAAAATATGTAGAGCATACTACTTGATTATGAATTAGATGTTTGTCACATAACTAAAGGGTTACTTATCGAATATTTGTAATTCAAACGAAATTTGATATATTTTAGTTTAATTTCTACATCACTTATTATAATGTGTGTAATAGTTTATAAGAATCACAGGACATTTCTTAAGATCTGAATAACATCCCATATAAATTTAACTTCTAAGGCTGAATTCTTGTATAATTTTTATAGTTTATATTATATATTTTGCTTTTTTTGCAGGTTTATCTTTTACTTTTCTGGGTTGCTTGTACCTTCATTTGTACATTATTTGTGGTTTTAATTAATTTGTCTTCAGTTCCTAATGGCTCTGCATTAATAAGAAAAGTGTTTCATTTTATAATTACTGCTGTGTATGTACCAGGGATTTTATATGATCTAGAGTTGTTGAGACTTTCTTCTGGCATTGCGTTTGCAGCTTTTCTTATGTTAGAAGTAAGTTCTTACTGCTGAAAATAAACCAACTCCAATATTTTAATCTCTTTGTATATTTATACTATTTTTTTAAAAGTATTGTTGCAAATTTCAATATAATATAAATTTACATACATCTTAGTTTACAGTTAGTCATGGAAATATGGACATTTTTATATTAAAAAGAAACTTTTTTTTACATTTTCTTACTATAACTATAGAAATATTCTATAAAATGAAAAAAAAAATTAGGAGTAATTTTTAAACAATGACAAAATTATCGTTTAAAAAATTGCGCAAGATACGAGCATTTAAAGTTATCCTTTCATTCTGCACTTGCCCAAAAAACTGTTTTTTTTCTTCTTTATTTTCTTCTGAATCATATTTGGTAATGTATCAAAAAAGTCTGATTTGAATGTCTTGAAAATTCAAAAAAATTCTAGCAGTTTTTTACATAGATTTTGTAAATTGTGAAAGAAAGCTTTAGTAAGATGCTGAAATGAGAAAATAAATGTAGAAGATGACAAAGAAAGCCAATCTAATTTAATTACAAATTGTGCAAAGCACTCAGACACTTACAGGAGTTAACCACCTTCAAGGAGGAAGATAATATCTGGGTTGATGAATGACTTTAAGCTACCTCTGTTTCAGATAGATTGTTACGAGATAGTTTAGGTAGTAAAGGGCGCAAATGTACAATAGTGACCACATTGCCACCATCATGCTCATTAAATTATGGCGTTTTAACCTCTATGGCTACCTTGGCTAGCAGCTGGCAGTTGAGGGGTGATTTATTTTATTGTATATTTTTTTAAACACTTTTAGAGAACATAAAGATTTTAAAAAATTATTTATTCTTTTATGGTATAAAATTAAATTTATTTTTGAAGTTAAATTAGCTCTGAACTTTTTCTAGTAATATTTTTTTTTCATTTTCTAGTTGAGTCGAGTGCTTAAAATACCGCCAATTGGATCTACTATTGAAAATGCATTTCAGATATTTCTAGATGAAAAAGATACAGGATTATTAATTTTAACACATATTTATTTGCTTGTTGGATGTTCATTTCCTATTTGGTTGTGCGGTTATTCTAATGAAACTAAAGGTATCATATTTTTATTATATTAATCTATTTAATATCAGCATTCCATAAAAGAAATTCTTGTTCTTTTAGTTTAGTAGAGTCTAATAGTTAAAAATACTGCATTTAAGTCTATTTACTTTGCTACAGCTTATTTTCCACCTTTGGTGATGGTAAATTTATTAATCTATAAAAAATATCTTATACTTAAAAAAACAAGAAGTGTGAGTATTATTTCTTTCTAAAATTTACATCAGAAGAAAAATGGCTTTCATTAAAGTTTGAAATAAATATTAAATGGTAAAATGTTAAAAGACTGGAGAAGAGGGGAAAATGTACACAGCACTGACATATAAAATGAAGTATATGTTTTAGAGAAAAGAGATATTAAAAATTTTTTATATACATAATGATTTAATACAAAAAATACCCTAATATAAAGGGGGAGAAAACCTGCAAAATCTCAAAAATTACCATAAAAGAGGAAAGGGTTTAAAAATGCAAATGTCATCAAAATTTAAGCCTTATTTATCGGAGTCTTAAATAAAATTGGATAGCTGAATTTTTTACATGCTCAAATAAAATGACAATAAATGAATTGGATTTTAAAATTATAAATTTATATTGCATTGTACTCTACAGAACTACAAGAATTTTCAGAATCAGCTTCTAGAAGGAGTAAAATAAAAATTTTCATAGTTAGTATCATTTGAAGTGTTCCTCTCAACTTAATATTTATAACTTATTAGACATCTTATGGAAGTACCCCCCAAAAAAGATTCTAAAAAACTGGATAAAATCTTTAAAAGAAGAAATTTCTAATAATAATGACAAGAGAGGAAAAAAAAATAAACGTCAAAACAATAAGAAAAGTTATGTATAGAGAATACTGAGTAATTTTAAGGCTATCTTTTGTCTCTTATTGAGATAAATTTTAGGTTTAAGAACTTAAGTGCATTTATTTTTAAATTTATTTAAATCTGGAGAATTAATATTTTTTGTCGAACCCCCAGTAAATTTCCACAAACAGTAAAAGTTATCATTTAATATTTATTTTCTCATAATAGTATAAAATTAGATAGTTTAAAATTGTGTTTCTAGTTATGTATTTAATGACAAAATTAAAAGATGAAAATCTTTTTAATAACATTGAATATGATTTGGTTTTTATAGAAGTTTCAAATATAAAAAAAATTTAGTTACTGATTCATACTCTCTAACCTTAGCAGAATTTCTGTAGCATCATATATTTTTCCTACTGGTAGCCAAGGTAATGTGTTAATATTTTAACGAGTTTAAGTTAAAAGATTTTTATCGACCAATATGTATAAATAATTAAAGCAAATACTATATATCCCGTTGTATAAAAAGGTTAGATGGACAAACAGTCATGTTCTTAAGTTCTGATGAGTTTAATTAAAATTCTATATTCTTTAAAAACTCCACGTTAGTAGTTCACAACTGCTAAAATATTATTTACAACCTCAAATGTAGATAGGTGTTTTGATATATATCTAGTTTTTCACATCTTTTCCTTGTGTAGGTTTCCACATCTGTCTTATGAGCGGTATACTATCAGTTGGAATTGGAGACACAGTAGCTGCAATGTGTGGCAAATCATTTGGTCATCATAAGTGGAAAGGTAAAAATTTGAAGTTCTTTCTTCACTTCATTTATTGATATAGTTTATGGGAAGCCCCAATTTATTTCCAAATTAGTAGAGCATCTATGATGATAAAATAAAAGAAATCAACACTAAGTTGAATTTTAAAATGTGTATTTGGTTTTCTACTAGATTATAATTCCATTCAGATAATTAGGTTAGAAATTGTTACAACTAACTACTGATAATCCCTGTGGTAGAATTTTTTTGAGCTTTCTGTGAGAAATCTTCTGCAAGATATTTCTTTTAGTAACAGATGTATGTTACTAATTAAAAGTAACAGAAGTTTTTTGTGTTTACAATAAATGTCTCAATGTATAGAATATAAGTTTTTGAATTCTAAATCTAATCTTTTCCATCCATTTGTGTAAAAGAATACAATATTATGGGTGATATTCTTCCCATTTAAAGAAGAAAAACACTATATCCTTTTTCACCTTTTGTAACTCATCATCACATAAAATGAAATTTAAACATCCGTGGTGTGGCAGTAACTATCAAAAAAAGATCGATGATGAATCAGACTCTTCAAAGGGGGTTTCTCAAGTGTGTGGTTTGTTTCGAGATTCGCTTGTTGTAATAAATAAAATAATATTGTATTAAAAATTTCACATTTTAAAAAAATACGTAGAAATCAATAGCATGAATTCCCAAAACATCAATCAAAAACAAAAAACGATAGAATCATTGCGTCAAAAATTAAATACTCTAACAGTGATTCCCATATTATCGGAATCTTTAAAAACCATGTGAAAATTAATTTCAATAATTTATGAAAAAAACAATCAAAATACCAAATGGATTTACAATTGGCATAAATTAATCACATCATAAGGTGATTAGTCTGAATCTGACTTCAAGTGGCAAAATAATATCAAATTAGAAACACCAGAATTTTAAAAAACATGTGCGAATTGGTAGTGATATCTGCCAAAGAAGCAGTGGAATCCTCATACTAGAAGTAAATTTATCAAGTGTGGGACTTGAATTTTGTATGTAATAAAATTGTATAAAAAATTTGTCACTTTATTATTTTCTTTAGATAAACAGACAATACAAATAAATATAATAAATTAATGTTTGACAAGAGTGATTATTACAAATAATTTCTTGTGAATTAACTCTAAAAAGCATAATATGCACAATAGTTTTAGAAATAAATATTTACAAGAGTCAGTTAAAAGATGATTGCCCTCTTCCCAAAAAAATAAACATAAGGATACCATTATTGACACTTCTCGAGTGGGTAACATTCAGTTCTTTATCATGATATTTTGAGAACTTCTGTCACACAACTTTGTACTGCCTAATTTACGAAGAGCTTAACTGTTTAATTTGTTCAACCAATGAAAGTTTTGGTAGTTCAAAACTTTTTCTATATAAAGGAAGTGAACTTTTGGCAAAACATCCTCTCACTATATCTTATGACAAAAAGATCACTTAGCAATGTTTTGATTCTAGTAAAGAGATTTGATAGTTACAAATTTATTTATTTTTAAACTCTTTATTCAATAGTTTGGTTTGACCTTCCACTTTCACTAAAAAATTATATGTTATAGGTAATTATTTTTATTCTGAAAGTTTATTAAAGTAGATGATTTAAATAATTAACCTCTGTAATCTGAATATTTTGATTATCTGAAGTTAGGTCTAGTCCGAATTACTTTAGATTTTCATTTATAGACTTTTACTATTTCTCATTTGCAGTCTTTTTTTATTTTACAGCCATAGTCTTGTTAGATATTTTCATAAGCAATGAAAATATAACAAACTATCAAATTTTATTTTTGAGAGTCTAATGCAGTTATCATAATATTTTAATAGGTACAAGCAAAACTATTGAAGGTAGTATTGGTTGTTTCCTGGTACAGATGATCTTTGGATTTATTTTTTTCTGCTTTGGTAAGCATGTGTTATTTAATCTTTATTAAGTATTTTGGTATTGCAATCAAAATTAATACTTTGTAAATTACAAGTATCTAAAAGTTCTAATGAAATTTTCTAAGCTATGTAAATTGGTCATTTGTAGTCATGAGTTATCAAATCCATTGTTTCCATTTGCTTCATGTAAATGGGATAGTTGTATAAATCATGTAAAGTCATACAACTATCAACAGTTAGGTTGAAAAAAAACAACATAAAAGCAAGACAAATTATCAAAACCTGGCACTTTTAGTGAGTGATTCTGCTAGACTGAAAATATTGCCTTTAAAAAATAAAAAAAATAAAAGTGGGTCCAATAAACCATTTTAAATTTAAGGATTTCACCTATTAATAGACAAAGCAAAGAATTTCAAAATATGGAAGCGTTTTTATTTGGAACTGATCAAATACTTGCATTAAGCAATGAAAAGCAGCAATGTAATTTGATGCTCAAAATTACTTAAATTTCTTCCTTCGCCTTTTTTCTGCAGAAAAAATGCATTATTATTTTTCAAAGCTAGTTTTAATTCTGCTGACATAAATCTGCTGGTTTGTTTTATTTTATTTATTTGTTTTTGATAAAGAATTATGTGTCATAACTTTTTTTCTGATTATTGTGGTATTTCACATGCCAAAGGTGTTAAGAAAATCGCTGTTTACTGCAGAAAAATTATTTAAACCTCATGGTTTGATGTAAGATGTAATCATAAAAATACATTTAAAAAAACAAAACAAGCTAAGTTATTATCTATTTGATGTTTTATTTTATTACTGTAATCAACAAAAAATTTGCAGCATTTTTAATCAATAAATTTATTTACCTCAAAAATAAAGAACATTTAACTCAAGAATTGCTCGAAATACCTTGCTATAATTCAATACTCATTAGAAAAACTAGATAATTTTATTTCAATTCGAAAATAATTAAGTTCTTTGCTGCAATGTTACATAGTATAGATTACACAACACTGGAAAGTGTAGGTTATAATTTGCAGTCTTTTTATTATTATACATTCCATTGTGCACACTAACTGCTTAAAAACTGTCATAAATTAAAAGTAGAGGAGAAATTACTAAATTATAAAAGAAATAAGGTTTACATTTGTACTTTTCTATTTGATTTTTATATTACATCTAAGGTTTATGCAAATGTGTTCTAATTTTTTCTTTCATTTTAAAATAGCTGGCCATAGTTACACTTGTCGAAACATCATTTTACTTACAATAGCTGTTGCATCAACATCTTACCTTGAGGCTAAAACTAATCAGGTGGATAATTTAGTTTTACCATTATTTATGTTTCCCATACTTTCTTTGATTCATTGAATGTAATATTCTAAATTGTAAATACGTAGTAATAAATTTTTTTCCTACTTTCTGCTAAAAATAAATACTATTTAATTATATAAAAAAAAGGCTTTTTCAATTCAATATATATGTATATATGAGTACATAATTTAAATTTTTAAAAGAAAAAAATGAAAATAATATACATAGTTTTTTTTTGTAGGCTGTTTTTAAATATAATTTTGATGTTTTTAGAAATTGTCTAACAGCAGAAGCAAAATTTTACAAAAATGCCTGAGGTCGAAGGATAGATTTTTTTAACTTTGTACTTAGAGTTAAGAATGAATTTTTAAGTATATGCGATATTTCATATGTAACCTATAAGAGTGTTTAAAAATCCTACTTTTTTTTATATTTAAACAAAATTTTTGTAAAAGCTATTTTAAAAACTATGGTTTACTATTAGTTACAATTTATAAATATAATTAAAATTAATTTGAACTATAAATTTATTTATAATTGTGACAATAATACTATAGGCATAATTCATATTTAAAAAGGGTATAATGGCAAATAACTTGTCTTAACTACAATTAAACAAACATTTTTTATACATAATTTAACTTTTTTTTAAAAAAAAACAGTATAAGAAAAAGCAATACGAACTATGAACAACTTTTCTTCATACTATATTAGTATAATTTTTTTTTAATGTTGTAAGAATTTAAAAATTTAGATATATATTTAAGATTCATAATTATATTAAAATAAAATATTTTTAAAATTGATACAATATTTTAAAATATTATAACAATTAGAATATATTTCATATTTTTTACTGCTATATAAATATGGCATTCTGGAAAGAAAATTTTTTTTTTAAAAGCATTTAAACTTATAACTTTTCAAGTTAGAAAAAGTGCAAACTATCTAATAAAATAGTGCTTTTATAAAATTTTATATCTGATTTCTTGAAAAATAAAGCTGATTTGAGTCAATGAACCTTCCCTGATGAACAGTTATTTTTTAAATAATATTTGGAATTAGTAGTAGCCAGGTTATGTTGCTGTGTAGCTCCTTTTGATTATGCATAATGGTTGCATAGTAGTACTGCATTAGAAAAGATTTTTAATTTTGGCAATATTTTCAACTTGCATCTAATGAAGAAATGAAATGTAATGGAGGGTATGTCTGGTGATAAAATAACACAATGCACCAAAATACAAAAATTTTTACATTTTATTAAAATAATCTAACACTTTATAACAAATGTTACAAAATACTGCTTTTATAAATATAACATAATATTGCTGTATTTTCCATGTCCTTGACATTATAAAAAAGTTGAATTCAAGTAAAACTTAACACTTCTTAATGGAATTTTTTTTATAACATATTCTAAAACACTATCTAAACTTGCTAAATTACAATTTTCTGATGAAACTAAAAAAAAACTTAATGATATTTTAAAATGTAAAAAATATATATATAAACACATATATAAAACATCAACATTATATAAAGTGCGTTATAAAAATATCAGGTAAAGCTTAATTTTTTTTAATAAAATCTAATTTTATTTCTTTTCTTTAAATAGCTACATATATACTCATACAAACTAGTTTTAGTTTGAAAATTAAACCTTTTTTATATTTTTCATGAAAAATTAAGGCTTCTGAAATGTAACAAAATTCTTCTATTAAGAATGAGCAAGTAAAGAAGATAGCAAAACTTTAAAAGACATTATAAAACCACTTTAAACGTTATTAAACTATGAGGAATCTTAGAGAAGAGGACTTTTATTTTACAGTACTGATTGTCAATAGAAACCCAACTGATTTCTTATTTATTCATTAGGTTTAAAGGAAAACATTAACAAATTTTTTAAGCATTTTCCCAAAGTGAACAATCAATCATATTTTTGTTTTATTTTATAATTTTATGAAGTGTCATTAATGCTTGTGAGATTTATTTTCGAATTAAAATTATATCATCTGATTTAAATTGATTTTAGACATTGCAGTTCATTTAGAAGTTATTTTTCTTCTTCAATGTTTTGGAAATGTAAATGCCCTTTTTTATACAGATAACGCTTTTAAACTTAAAGTTGAGTTAAAACAAGTTTAAATATAATCTTTTGTTATCAAAACCAAGCTTTAATTCACCATTAAAACTCAATAGCATTTACTATTTCTTACCAACAAAAAAAAAGTGTTTAAAAAAGAAATTGAATGCCTAAATCAATTTTTTTTACCAAAATAAAAAGTATAACCACTATGTTTATGAACTAATCATAAATATAAACTAAAATACAGTTCAGTATTAATAATAATAAAATAAAAAATACAATAAAAAGGCACTTGTGCTATGCTATAAAAATTAAACATTGAAACAAAACTGACCAATGCAATTAAAATATTATTCTTATATTAAGATTGGAAAAAATCATAGAGGGCTTGATTTACTTAACTATGTTGTATATGTAACTCAATAAGAAGGACTCACTGGGTATTAAAAAAAATTTGTGGTTATGTAGTAATAATATAACAGTCAAACCATAGACCATACAGACAGCAATGAGATTTTAAGTAACCCTTCATATACCATAAATATATAGTTTTTGAAGGGTTACTTAAAATACCTGACATATATACACCTGACTTTTAATCTAATAGCTTCCCTGCATAGAAAACTAGTTTCGTCCTATGTTGTTAAATGAGAAAGCACAGAATCGAGAGAAAAATTGCACATATAACGTAACACTCAGATAATTAAATATATCAATATCATGAATATTAAATAAAATTAATTGTTATACTTTGAAAGGAAAGAATTGAATTTGAATTTACCACTTTTACATAGAGATTACCAATTTTTTTTTCCAAACAAGGAAACACTGTAAAAGAGTATAGGGAAGCAGAAAATTATTTTAACTTGGTGTATAATATGAATCTAAATTTATAATCTTAACCTTTTCTGATACTACTCTTCCTTTTCAGGGGTCTGTCTAGGTTTTTCTGAGAGGTACCTATTTTGTGAAAATTTAGACATAATTTGTGAAAATTAAAAATTATATTAAAAAATCAACACAAAAATAGGGATTTATTGTTTCTTAGAGGATACAAAAATAAAATTTTAAGAAAAAGTATTTTGTGAAGGTACTGCTAAATGGTAGTAAATTTGGCCTAGACAGACCCCTGCTTTTATACTATGTATGTGGCTTGTCGAAGGAGTGTTCTCAAGTGAATGATTAAATCAACATTAAAAGTACTACATTAAAAGCTGAAATCAAATGACCAGCAAACCAAATTTTAGATCATAATGAGTTTCCTTCAATGATAAGTGTCCCCAGATGATTAACAAATAGTTTCAAATCGGTAATGCTTTTCACATTAATCTTAACACTTGCTTCAATACATTTCTTTGCTCGAGGAAACTTAATAAGTAACTTGCAATCAATTGTTTCACCCTATAATAATACAAAAAAGAAAAATATTTACTTTTATGGACCTTGTTTAGGTCTGATAAATTAAAAAAGTGATATAATGATTTTTAAATATATTTTATAATTATATGTACACAAATTTGATCGAAACAACTAGCACTACAAAATGTTGATTGCATAACTAAAAAGTATACTCTGACAGTTAAAACATTTTCCATTCAATAATACATAATTTTATTAAACATAATTTAAAAATATCCTATATTAAACAGGGACTATATAAATAAATCCTTTAGTTTATGCTTAGCCTCCATAGCAGTCTTATGTCACTAGTTATCCCAATTTTTTTTTTGTTAAAAAGATGAAGAAAAAAAAAATTAAAAATAAACACATTTTCATTTTTATATGTGTTAGACAAATTTATTTACATAGAAATATATCTTCTAAAATATTAGTTAGAAAATTATATGATTTTTAATATGATTTAATATAGATGTTATAAATAGATCTCACAGATTCCAGTTTTTATCTGGTACCTGGAACTGGCTGGGCAATAAATAAAACTTCTACCTGATACTGAATGAGAAAAAGATTTAGTTTTCGCTTTGTGCCCGACATAATTTTAGAACCCAGTTGTATAAAATATTAAAATTTTTTACTAACTACAAATTTTATTTTTTAAAAATGCAGAGCATGAATTCTGCATTGAAAATGCTTATTTTCAACGAATCTATTATTAAAATAAAACAAAAAACTGATTTTTTAATTGAGAACTAGTGTCTCAATTTTAAAAGTATTTAATATCTTAATAACAAAAACATTAAAAATTTTCATATTAGTAAAATTGTTTCCAAAAATTGAATAAAATATGTACCTGAAATTTTTGAATGCCAAATGCTTGTTTTTTCAACAAAAAATTGTTCTCACTAGGTTTCTTTTCTATATTTCGCAAACAAACACTTGTAGCTGGCAAAAGTTTAATTTTTTCCTAGAATAAAGTAAAAACACAATAATTAAAATAATTTATAACTCAAGAAAATAAAAAGGAGCTATGTTTAATAGGAAATACCTCATCTGCTGATATTAAATCTATTTCCATTTCATCTAAAATATTTAGAGGGGCTTTCATGTTGATAAATATTGAAACCAAAATGTCAATGTCATTCATAAAAACATCTAGATAAGGACTAGCTTTGATTATGATAGTAGATCCAGCTGAACTAAGTGGAATTTCTGTCGGAGATGGAGCTAAGTTTTCTGCAATAAAATAGTTTAAAAAAACTAAATACATTTATTAAAATATATTAATTAAAATAAAATATTAAAAATAATGTTACCTCTAAATTTTTTTAAAGTAAAATCTAAATCAAGTGATTTGTTGGTACATTTTTTAATTTCATCACAAAGCTTTCGGTTTCCAGAAAGTGTAGTTCTAATCTCAGGAAACTGACGATTTTTCACTTTTTCCTCCTTCATAAAATCTAAAATGATAATTGAAACAATGAAAATAGAATGGAAGAATAAGCCATTATAAATGGTTCTACTTTGTATAGTTTCAAACATTTATTTATAATAAAATCAGACTGAATTAAAAACCAAATATTTTGCTACTTGAACAATTTTGTAAGAATTCCTTCCTATTTATCATTGTTTTAAATCTAATTTTATATGCAGTACTGACAGCTGTTTTTAATAAGTGATAAATATTTATGAAACTGATTTTTTTTGTCCTTTAATCAACAAATATATTAAATTCCATAAAACAAAGCATAGCTTTTGAAACTTTATGTAGTTGAAAAAAATAAAGTTACAGAAAATGTCACAATTGTTTCCATATTCTGGTTTTTGAAGTGAAATTATATAAATATGCAACCAAACATCAGGTTTATTTACAAAAACTTTACTACAGCTACTTTTTTTCAGTTGTTCAACAATTTATTCTTTTACTGATAGAAAAGTTCACGAGCTATTAAAAGAATAAATTGTTAATGCTAAGAAATAAATACTAGTATTTTACAAAGCACAGATATTTCCATTTCTCAAAAATATTTCAGACTAATATTGAATAAACAATCAAAAATATTAGATGTTTTACAAAAGTACAAAAAATTTATATACTGTACTATTCAGAATAAACGAAGAAATAGTTCATAATAGAAAAGCATCGAACGGCAACATTTCCGGGCATGGGTACCTATGCAATTTTAATCCTGGTAATGTGACTTAACTTCCCAAGAAGTTTGTTACAACATTTAAGCGACTCCCTGTTGCATATTGTCTGTCTAAGCTAAGAACTCCTCCCGCCACAAAGTCTGAGGCCATCTGGTTCTATGGAAACAAGACTGACGCATTTTAGGGAGAGTAGCTTCACTTTGGGACTAACGCAATAGACCAAAGAAAAAGATTCGCTTTCTCCCACCGACCCGAGCCAAAATCACTTAAAAACAGTGACCCCGCACCCCTACTTGAAATAGTCATACCTCGTTACCATAGTCAGCGCCACAAGTCTAGACGAATGTCTAGAGGAGTTCTTATTTTAGACAAACTATATAACCTCTTTGAAATTGTACATTTTGTCAAAATATAGATTAAAAATATCACAAAAATTCTAGCTTTAAGAGCAATATTAATTTCAAATTTGAAATCCCCACACCCTAATTAGGTAAGATCAAGCATTTGTAAAAATGCAACAAAAATTTTTTTACCCTGTGTTATTTTATATTTTCCGTCGTTTTTATTTTGATGTTGTGAATTTAAGATTCACTCTGCAGCTATTTTCTTTTGATATATAGATTCTTGCTGTCATAAATATTCTCACAGAAACCTTTGATATCAGATGTAGACAAAACAAAAATAATTTTTAAAATTAACCTACAAACTTTGAAAAAGTAGGCTTATTTTTACTAGAGGTGATCAACATGAGGATAAATAAATAATGCCTATTTTATATAAAACTTTAATAAGGTAATTATAATAAAAATAGCAAATTTTTTTCACCCAATGTTACTATTAAAATCTTTTTGATTGTCTCAAAATATAATTTGCTAAGTAAAACAAATTTTTATAAAATATTTTCTTTAGAACAAGTGTGATAAATATAATCTAACTTGTTCACATCTTACATATATAGAGAGAAATAAATCATTTCTTAATATTAAAAGTAAGATGTACATTCCAAATTAAATTTCAGTTTTTGGATTTCAATAATGAGCCATAAGTGATAAAGAAACATTTTTGTAAGAAATTATAATTAAGTTTTTATAAAATATTTTCTTTAAAACAAGTGTGATCAACATATCGTAACTAGTTCACATATTATACATATAACTACAAGTAAATTATTTCTTAATATTAAAAATAAGCCTTACATTCTAAAAGAAGATGGCAGTTTTCAGGTCCCTTGTAGGACCCAAAAGTTATAGATAAACATTGTTTTTATAAGAAGTGATCTTTACCTTTATCAAAAAAATTTTGTAATTTTATAGACTAAAAAAATTTGGGTTTTGAGTCATCTTTTCAGCAATATTGTATTTAATGACTTAGCTGTAGAAATTTTGAATTGTGTTGCATGTCACTTTCGAAAGAAAAAAAAAATTTCCCATAATTTTTTAAAAAGTTTGCAGGACATAAATTTTTACATTTCACATCTCCCCATTGTTTGATAAGAAACATGGCAATACTTCCTTCAAGAAAACTCCTTTGATGCATAGAAAACATGAAAATACCTACCTGTAAGGCATCAGGCCTAATAGAGTTGTTGTATTTACAATTAACCGTTTGTCAAGAGTCTGAATAAATGTTTAATTTAAATTAAAACCTCAATGAATATATTTCTATTATCTTCCTTTTTAATCCAGTTGTTTTAAATACTTGATTAGAAGAAGAAAGGAATTTTTAGTGGGGAAATGGAACTAAAAATTCAACTTGTGGGGTCTCATAAACTGAGTTCTTTAGATGAAAAAATCAAAAGATGCTAGCTGCTACCTGAAATATATCATGTAAACAGTATCACTTCTTTGCTAAGATGAAGAAGGGGGACAGGAAAATGATCGATTCTTTAGTAAAATAGCTTGACAAAAATTTTAAGTGTGAATAAGGCAATATATTTACATGCTTTAAAAATGGAGGGAAACATGCAGATTTTTTTTAAAGGGGGGGAGGGAGAGAATTTAGAGAGAAAATAAATTTTTTTTTAAAAATTGGAAAAGTGGTGTTCAGTTTGAAGAGATTGAAAATTATGTACAAATGACTGTCCACATCTTGTTAAAGGAAGTGCCCATTTTGCAGAGATGGTACATAATGGTTTATTCAGAGAAAATTTATGGGAAATTTAAAAATTTTCCATAATGAGAGATGCCTATTTTGTAGGAGTGTCCATGACATGAAGTTTCACTGCATTTATTTATAATTTTTTTGTTCATTTTCATGATTTTTCAAATTCTGATGTACTCAAAATTAGTTTTCAAGCAACCCACCTATTTGTTAACATTTTTTTAAATAGTAGGCTTTTATTTGTAAAACTAGACGCCATATTTCTTAGAATAGATTTTTGTGAGAGACAGTAGCGATAGTCCCCCTTGGTCTTAGTAGCAAATAGTCACCAGGTGAGGCCCTGCACATGAAGTTTTTTTGAACCAAAACCTGGTAGTTAATAAAATTATAGTACAATATAAATACTTAAATAAATAACTAAATTACCTTGTTGAACTAAATCCAATATATCATTAATTCTTTTATTTTTAGTAATGTGCTTTTTCAAATTTTTGACAAAGAAACTGTTAGGTTCAGAATCACATTCATAAGCAGAATATAGAAATGGCCTATAAAATTTATAATGAATTAGCAACAAAGAAATAGAAATCAAATATCTGAAAAATTTCAATGAAATATTTAGAATACTATGCAATTGTTATGTGAATAATGATTGTTTTTATTTTTTGTGTGATGTTTTCCTTATGTCATGCAAAAAATCAAAACAATCATTATTTTATATGGTTCAGTTTCTTAAAACAGAATATTTTTTTGAAAATAAATTATGATTAAATTATCATTTTGAAAGGTTGAGGCCTGGGCATAGTAAATTAAGTGATGGTTAAACGTATTTTGTAATCACAGCATACAGGATTTATCACAGGCTTATCTACAAGTTTACCACAGGCTAATCTACTTAGTTTTCAACATTTTTAGGGGTAATAAATTAAGTTTTTCTCATTGCTTTTTTCTCATTTACTGGTAGTGTCACCAAAGCTGGACAGGATAGTTGAAGAGACATCTGACATAAATGAACATCCTGTTCCTCAGGGCTTGGGATTAGGCATGGGGCTAACAACTCTACCCTCTAAAAACTTTTTGTAACAGAAAACCCCGTGGCAGAAACACGGCGACACAGCGACATTGTCGCAGAAAGCGACTGAGTTCTTGCAGAAAGATTTTTTTTATTGGGGAAATAAAATTTTTTGGTTTGCTACAAACAGAAGTTCTCAAAATAAATTCTGCAGAAACAGAAGCTGTTTTATCAACAAAAAAAAAAAACATTTTCTTCAGAAACAAAAAATTTCTGCAAAATTTTTTTCTTACAGAATTGTTTTAAATATTTTTTTTTCTAGCGTANTATCTTGCAGAAAGATATTGGTTCTAGTTAGGTTTGTCGCAGAAAGTCAGAAAAAATTCTGCCACAGGGACAGAAAACAAGGTAGGAAAAAACGATGTGGCTCATCTGAACAAGGAAAGTAGTATACTGCTGCAATTTGGTACTTTATTTGTATCACACTAGAGCTGCACAATAGGCTTTTGGTGACAGTTGATGCGAAGAAGTATATAACTTAAGGCATTATGCTCTTTTAAGGACTAAAGAGGTTGAAAGAAAAATGCTGTAAGGTGTTCCTTTTTTAATCAATAACTTGTAAATTTTTCATTCAACTCCACGATGGTTTTCTACATTGATTTTAAATTTCAGGTTGCTATGCGTAACAGCTTTCTTGTCTCAAAATAAAATTTAACAAATATTGAACATTTAAAATAGTGGCACGATTTCTGACAGTAAAAACACTGCATCCACATTTTTCCAGAGATATAGTTTACAGAATTGCAGCTGTCATCATAAGACTTAATAATAAAAATAAACCATAACACTATTTTAAAAGTTCGGCATTCCTGACATGGAATTACTTAAAAAAAAAGAAAGAGAGAAGTTGAACATAAATACTTACGTGGAATATCCAAAAATAGTGTTTCTTCCCATTTTCCCATCAAATATCTTAAAATTTTCAGCTTCTTGAACATTTAGAGTCAATTTTTCACCGTTTCTAAAGAAAATGTAAAGCTATAATTACTCAAATATTGAAACAAAAATGATTGTGAATAACTGCATATAACACAATTGGTTTACTTTAAATCTATAACATATTATTTTAGCAAATAATGGCATAACTATGAGATGGGGTGCTTAAAGGGGTAATTCCTGAAATAACCACAAAATAATAAAATAATTGGATTTAAAAAAAATAATTTAAAAATGTTTTACTAATTTTTTGCTTTTTGTTCACTTATTATCGATTTTTTTTTCATTTCTGAATTCTGGTTGCAGTTTTGATAAAGAGATATGTTTTAGACTTCTTGATAAAAACAGGAAGAATCTGTCACCTTTCTGTACAAAATTCTGTTTTTTTTTCTTTTTTTACAATACCTTTTACAATAACTGTACTGAGAAATATCAGAATTTATGCCTTATGTCTGACAGGTATACAAAGTTTTTTACTTTCGGATAGGCGAAATCCTAGAGAATTTTGGAATTGTTTGATATACCTGTTGTTTACCGAAACAATGAGATTCACTAAACTGTCATTCACAAAATCCTCAAAATATTTATTGTAAAATGAAAATTTATATATACCTGTGGTTTTCCCAAAAATTTAAAACGTGTGTGGGGGGGGGGGAGCATGATCTACTGAAGTAGATATAATTTTAATTCATACTCCTCCAGGCAATAATGCAGATCCATCATCACTGTCGAACTTTTATAACAATCAGTTATTTCAGAGTCACTCTCAAATCTATACTAAAATTAAAATCTAATCCACTTTCCACCTCTGTAATCTCCATAATATTAAAAAATATTTTATCACTGAACACAAACCATGTGTATTCACAAAGAGCATAAGTAGCTGAGCTTAGAGATGAAATACATATCACAAATACATAGATTTGGATAGTGCTGACATCCAGTTTTATATTATAACCATCTCACCAAGCACTTTTCGTACTTGTGACAATAATTAAAAGTTAGAGACACATATAAAATGTGTAAAACAAAATATACAAATTGTTCTAAGAATATTGATTATGCATATTAAAGCAGGCAATCTTACTATATCTAAAGAGATAGATGGAATATAAGGCTTGCAAGAAGATATTCCACAACAATTTAAAACTTTGGAAATGTCAAAGTTTTTACAATAAAGCAAAAATGCCCATGAAAAATGTTCATCTTAAAAGCAAAATAAAAAATAATTAAAAAAAGTAAAATTAGTAGTGTAAAGTAAGATCGATAATTAGGAAAAGTGAAGTATCGCAAAAGTAGAATAGATAATAAAGGAATTTTTTTAATACAAATTATGCTTATTTCTAAAATTCCAAAGATAAATATAATATAATTTGATAGCCATCGTATCAACAAACCCTACCGTATATGATCAGGTAATTTACGACATGCATCAATCAGGAAAACATTCAATGCAGGTTTTGCTGTTTGCAAACATTGTAAAATCTCTTCCGCACATACTGCCTTTAATGGGTCATATTTTTCACTGCAATCCACAGGCTGAAGATACACTTGTCCAAACTGTTCAAAGGCATGCCCAGCAAAATAAAATAAAACTGAAAATAAATAAAGATTGAACTTATAAAATTATAAGAAATAATGCTTGTTTTAATATAATATTTTTATTTTAATAGAATAGATAGGTTTACTCCAATTAATTATAATTAAATATTAAAATGATGTTTCAGTATTTTAGTCGGAGATTTTACATAACTTAAAAAATTGACATTTTTTTAGTTTTTTTTTTAAAGTGAGCCTTTAACCCATTGGGGGAAGAGAAAAGCTTAGTATTAAAAATCTTTAATAGATAACTCATGAAAAATATCGCTGCATGATTTTAAATTAGACAAATATCTTCAAGTTTAAACTTAATAAAGTTTGAAAACATCTCTTTTTTTCTATACTAATTACAGGAATGGAACAAGCAGCATAATCCTTTTGGAGCAGAAAAAAGTGTTTAGGAGCAAATAAATTTGGTTTTTGGAGCAGATTGTAGCAAATAGTCTTTATATTCAGAGAAGCATAGTGATTGTAAAATTAGATTTTTGAGCACATTAATTAACATTTTATATCATGTTTAACAGTAGCTTGAGAAAAAATGGGCTGTTAAATAAAGAAAGATGTAATAGAAACACAACAAAGAATTACTTAAATAAATATATAACAGAAATTTACTTAATGGGTTTTCTGAGGAAATAAAATCTTATTAGAATTTATTTCTGCAGGCTTATAACATATTTTTAATTACACAGGACATTTTTTTTCTCCTGCTTCCACTTGTTCTTTCGATTTTCGATATCATTACAACACATATATGTTGATTTTCAAGGGTATTATTTTTGGACATGCTTTATTTGCTCTGATTCTATAGTAAATCCTCATCAATTCTTTCCAGTTGGCATTCTTAATTCAGATAATTAAGTACAATGTTATACATATATATATTATGACAACAGTGACACCACTTTACTTTGAAAAATATGTGTTTCATGACTCAGGATTTTCATGTTTCTGGTTCCTTTTATACTAAAAGCAGGACCTTATTTAAAATCTGAATTCTCCTTCTCTTTACTCATCGATCAATATACACATTTATCAATCTATCTATCCTCTTTGCACCAGCTGGCACACAAGGCCTAAAGTCTTTGTTTCCAAGCACCTCTGTCCTAAGACAGTTCTCTTGCTTCCTCCAATTTATTTAGCTTTGCTTTACATAGATCTTAGTACATGCATCTTTGCCAAGTCTCAGTTTTCTTTTTTTACGTTTATCATCAGGTGACCTAGTAAGTTCAATCTTAGTCGGCCTTTCCCCTTTTAGACGAAAGATAAGTCCAGCCCATCTTCTTTAAAAAATTTCCTCTTGAATGAGGGATAACTTAGCCATTATTAATAGATCTTTATTTGAAATAGTGTTAGGCCAGAAAATTATTTAAATTATTCTTAAACATTTGTTCTGAAATGTTTTCAGTTATTCTATTTCAGTTTTGCAAAGGTTCCAAAATTCAGCACTGTACAAAAGTAGGGAAGGAATAACAGCTTTACACATTCACATATCAGACGATAGCTCTTCACATTCAATTTATACTAAATTGAATATCGCAATCAAACTATTTGTTTTTATAGTGAATTTCTCCATAGTTCAAATGTGAGAATTTCACCCTATTTCTAGGCACAATGTATTCTTCTGAAAACTTAATCTTGTGGAGATTTTTGTGTTTGCAGAGGAAATTTTTTAAAGCTTCTGAAACAGGTAATTTATGATTCTTTGGCTTATATATTCATAGCTATCTTCTTGTTTATTTACTATAGCTCCAAGGTATGTGAAAGAATCAATTTCTTCAGAATTTATTTTTATTTTATCATTAGAGTTTGCATTTATTATCATTGTTTTTGTTTTATTCTCATTAATTTGAAAACCGATTTAATTTGCATACTTATTAAATTTTTCAGTTTTCTTAAGATCAATGAATCTAGATGAAATAAATGTTGTCTGCATATTTTTTGCAATGTACAATTTTTCTGTACAAATTTGGGTCTTCTCATACAGTTGGAAGAAGAAAAAAACTTTTTTGCCAAAATGAAAGTTAATGATATTAAAAAGGGTAGATCAGGGGGAAAGGGTTGTTGTTATAGTATATATATTAAAATGAATATTACATTTGAATAAAAAACACAATAAAACATTGATGGCTTAAAATAAAATGTAAAGTTTTTAATTGCAAGAAAATTTACCATAGCAACCTGGCTCCAATTTTGTGTAAAAATTCTTAAATGCATTTTTAATTTCTGCTAAATTCAAATTTCTATAGGCATACACTTCAAAGTCCATTTCTTCAAGAAGTATCGCCAAATCTGAGATATCACGTGCAGGCTTTTTTAAATGTTGTAAATTGGCATAGGTATCATTGGCAATCATGAAAGCATATTTGCCTGTAGCTAAAAGTAAAATAAAAATTTTATGTAAGTATTGATTCAATTGGAAAGGTGAAAATAGAAAAATAACAGGAAATAGGAAAATAACCACACAAAAAAAGTAATAATAAGATATGCAATAAGATATATATTTATTATGTATTGATCTAGATGTCTGAAAAAGGGTTCTTAATTTGGCTGAAAATTTGTGATAACTATTAGACTTGCATAAGTGTTCAATAGAACATTTACACTCATGAGATGAATTATGACTAAGAACAGCACACCTTTTTAGACTTTTGAAAATTAGGTTGAATAAAAAAAGTTAGTTAAAAATGAATATTATAATAGAACTAAAATATCATTTCTTTCAGGTTAAGAAGACAAAAACTGTATGATAAATTACTTGGCAAGACAAGATAACATTCTTCAATTAGTTTTCGAAAAAAAAACATTTTAAGTAAAAATGTAGTAGCATTATTAAGCAGAATGTAGTTGCTTATTATTATTGGGTAAATCTATCTGCCATGTTAAATACAAGAAAATAGATTATTACAGCTAAATTAATAACTAAAATTAGTTAAGAAAATTATTTTAAAATATTTTATGCCTGATTGCTACATTCTAAAGAGTGAGGGCTTTTTTGAATAGATTATACATATTAAAGCCTAGGACTATTGGGTTAACAAAACAATAGATCAAAAAATTCTTTTCAATTGCAAATGAAATAATAACCAAGCAAGATTTTTTTTAAATCATGGCAGTTAAATTTATTGATTTAATTTTTCTAAAGTTGAAATTTTCCTGATAAATTTTATTTTAAACAAATGTTAGTTCATATATATTAAGCTATGTTTGTGCTTTAAATAATTATGTTTTTATAAAATAGCTTTTTAATTAAAAAGTCAAAATTGTTTATAACAAGACATTGTTATAACTTTATGTCTGAGGAAATTTACATTGGGACTGAGGCAAAAGCAGAGTATTCATTAATTCTCAATGAACTAAAATTATCAAAAGTCTATGATTTACAAAAATGAACTACAAAATGCTTAAATGCAACTTTTTTTCGAATACTCTTTATTTACAAAGAAAGGCATTTTTCTTATTTACATGAACAGATTAATTTTTTATGAGTAAACTTTATGCCTTTCTTACATGATTATTCAACGCACACATAACATACATTATGCCAGAAAAGTTTGCAATTTCTTAACAAAAACTTTGTACATTTTACCTGCTTTCAACTTTATTAACTGTTTTTTAACTCTATTAATGTCAGATTCTGCATTTTACAAACTGCATTGATGAGGAATGTATTAGCAAATACATCGGCAATATAAACAGCAAGGAGCTGCATGATTCATGGCAAGATATATAAAGGAACTCACATTGCTTATCTACACACAATTTTTGAAATAATTAAACTTGAAATAATTAAACTTTTTAATACACTCCATTCTGGACTCAAGCCATAAGCCTGTGACCTGACTTGCAAATATAATGTAAACTAGAATACCATAATATGTGGTTGAATCTTTTTCCTCTTCCAATTCAACTTCTACAGTATTTGAAAATTCTCTATCGTAATCATCAAAAGCCAGACAATAATACTGCCATTTCATATCTCCAGTAACTGGATCAGGGTATAAATAATTCAAAGGGAGATCACAGTAAGTTGCACCTGATATTTGTCATACAAAAATAATATATTAGAGAATATATTAAAATTTAAAAAAACAAATCCTAGTTGTTTATCTATTGCAAGTTAAGAAAAGACCAAAGTAATAAATATAAGTAATGTATTCATAAATTTCATATGATTCCATCTGTTTTATTATTAAATTATACAAACATGCATTTAATGCAACAAACCTGATGTTATTAAAAGCAAAACATGTCCAGTAGATATTTAATTTTTGTCATAATTTGTGATATAAGAGGCAGAATTTTTTTTTTAAAAATCATAATTTTTCTACTATCTATATTTCGGAAGATATTTTTGCTTTATAATGTTTATTATATAACATATAATCAACAAAAATATTTATAAATTTTTAATCTTATTGGAATTTATATTTAATGACATAGTTCTTTCAAAAAAAAAATATTTCATACTTAAAGAAGAAACAAGTATGTCAAATCAATGTTAGAAGGCATCTGAATGAATGGAAAAAAAAGATGGCTCTCACTGGTTTCTATGGAATAAAATATTTGCAAGATGAAGTTGAGTTTTTACTTTTGTTTTGCTGAATTAGACCATCTCTGCAATGAATATTTATATTCTTACAATGGTTTCCTTCTAATAAACATACAAGAAGGGAGACATACACACACTGGCTAATAAATTAGAAACTCTAGATTAATATTTTATTGGAATTCTTTTTGCACTGCTAAAAACCAGCATGTATGAGAACATTGATACTACAAGCTTCTAGAGTTCAATAATGTCGAGAGAATACCATACATTGGCTATACAAACTAAGATCCTGTATATTTAAAGAAAAAAGAGATTGTTGAGGAATGTACCTTTCCAGAATGTCTCCAACAGTTTCAATTGTGTTAAGATCCGGTTTTACTTTGGCAAGGAAGGTATTAGAAGTCAGATTTTTGCTCATTAAACCAATATTGAAGGCTTCTTGCAAAATGCATAGTTGCTTTATTGTTCATAAAGTATCTGTCACCTTCGAAATAAATATGTAACGTTGTAGGTTGCACTTAATCTGTCAATAAGCCTGTATTGCATAATTGCATGTATTTTTACTTTCCTTCAGAAAACACCAGGATACCACACCATGATAACCACCAGACCTTTGTATAGTGCACAGACCTTTTCATAGGTTTTTAATTCATTGGCCAGTGTGAGTATTAGAAGCAATATTAAATTTCAGATTCTTTTATTTTGTAATTACAGTAAGACCTCGATTATCCGAGCTAATTGGGACCGCTAGTACCTCGGATATCGGAAAACTCGGTTAATAGGAACCATGTATAAAAACCTTCCATGCTTGACTATTTTTAAAGTAAAAAACAATAGAACGTTTTTTAAATGATGAAAATAAACATATATGAACTTATGTTTCACAGCTAAAAAGGCTTAAAAAGGAAATCAACTCTAGTAGTAAATTTTAAAAAGTAAAATGAAATTTTTTTTAACTATACTTAGTTAAATGTCGAAAGATGCATTTTCAAAATTAACATAAATCTCAAGAAAATATTGTATTTTTAAAATTTACATGCTTAAACTTACATGTCACTTGACCACTGTTAACAAAGCATTCATGGATGTTGTCTTCTCAGGGTGTAATATTTCATGGAAGTTGAGTGCTATTGTGGGTAATAAGTGCCTGTAACACGGACAACAAACTAATATGTGTATAATTTCTTCAAAGCTCATTTTGGAGAGGAGAAAAAAAAATTTAGACTTCGTTATTGCCTTGGTTAACAGAAAACTCGGTTAATCGAAGCTCGGTTAATCGAGGTTCTACTGTACTCACTAATTATTGTAATAAAAATATTTATTAGTTTATTATCATTTAAAACTGTTATTCTATATCAATCATCATTAGTGCTGAGACAAGGCTACCTGAATCATCTGAACAATGAACTCCTCCTTTTAATCACTTTACCTTAGTTTGAGTTTACTATATTAATTAACCACCTATTTTTACACTACTTTTGCTAAAATATGCTTTAAAAAATGTTATTTAAGGAGAAAAACTTTATAAAACAGAAATTTCAAAAAAAAAAAAAAAAAAAAAAAAAAAAAAAAAAAAAAAAAAACACTTGGAGAAAAATTTGCATCATTTTATAAATAAGTAATAAAATAAGAGGTAGAAATTAAAAATTCACTTTCTTCTAAAGAGAAAGATATATAATAATTCCCTAATTTATTTTAAGAAGGTAGATTTTTTCCTGGAGAGGAAGTTAAAAAAATAAAAAAAGTTTTTTAATCACTTTAAAAATTATGGATTTATAAAATCTTCTCATTTTGAAATGGAGATGTGCTTTGTTTATTTTATTATGCTCTCTCCTTTTTGAGTAATGGGCCACTACACAATTGTCTCTTTCTTCCCCTCTATTGAGCCCCAATTTTTATAATTTAAATATAGGAATTTTCAATTAAATATTGATAATTTAAATAAGTGTTAAAAATATTTTCTTAAATAAGTGACTTTATGAATATTCACTTTTTTTTTCCTGTTAAAAGGAATTTGTTTATAACCTAATAAATCTGCAGAAACCTTGCTGTACGTGATTCTCAAAAACAATGTTAATTTTGTTTTGTTAACTTTTAAATAACTAAGAACTCATTTTATTTATTTCAAATACATATTCTGAATTATTTAAAATAATACTTATATGAACAGCAAATATGATATATCTTTTTAATTATTATTTTTTTCCTCTTAGTTTTAAGTCTTCATTTTTTATTTCCCATAATAATATCAAGTAAGCAGAGAGAATTGCCCCACAAGGTGATTTCAAGAATTAAAAATTTTGATTTATGTTCCGATTGGAGCATTGAAATTAATTTAGCTTGTGCATTACTTTACCTTTTTTCAAAAATGGCGATACTATATTAATTCAGGTTGAGAGCTTGACATTAATTTAGCATGCATTTACTGTAAACATTTTCTACATTGAAATAATGGTCTTTTCATAACTTGCAATAGAGTATAGATAGAAATTTTGAAAATTATGAACTAAATAATTACCCTCAATTGGACGTCCATTTTTGTACCATTGATATTGTATATTGTTGGATGACTGTTTGGGAAGTTTTGGATCCGATTTGATGTACTTAGCTCTACAATGCAATATTATACTAGCACCTTGAGGAATCTTACCATCAAGAGGATGTACTTTACTTTTGATTTTTGCTAGAAATTTAGATATTCGTTAGAACAGTTGCTACTTAGTGCATAATTTAGTTAAAAACCATTAAATAGCTAATAATAATTACCAGCTCTTTTCTGATTTTCAGATAAAGGCAGTGTTTTTAAATTGTCAGAAATGGATATCAAGCTGTCTTCTGGCGAAAGCTGGAAAAATAATTGACTTTTAGTGCTATGAATGCTTCAAAATATATATCTTTAAACATAATATCTATTGAAATATACATCACAATCCATTAACTTTACTTTGGCATTAAAATATTTAAAAATTAGAAAGTCCTTGATTGACTCCTAATTGTATACATTCAAAATAAATTTCACTAACAATGAATATAATTGCCACTAAATGAAAAAAAACAATTTAGTCACTAAATACATAATTGAGTACATTTATTTCATACGTCTTTACCTTAAAATAGAAGGAGACAATGAGAATAAAATGCAAATAAAGTCACAAAAATAAACATATAGTTTGGTTTAATAATTTTAAGAACATTCCTCAGTTAAAAAATAAATGAAAAGAGGGAAAGAGGAAGATAAATTTACAAACAAGTTGTAATAAGAAAAAAAATGGTTTTACCAATAAGGTTTGAAGAACAAATTTGAATAAGAATCTCAATCTCCTATTATAAACAAAACAATTGCAAAAGACCAACTAATCACACAGGATATGATCATTGTGAAAGATAGAGGCTATATAAAGCAGCATTTATTACAAGTGTTTGTATCATAAAGAATGGAACACAAAAGGTGTAAAATAGAGAATGCTTTTACCAAGTGACTTACAGACATAGTTAGGAAATGAGGATATTAAACAAAAATGCATGAGAATATCATCAATAATATGAAGTAAGAAACAGTTACAGTGTAGAACAGTTGATTGATTATTTTATTTTAAAACAGCCGACCCAATTCTGAGTTTACAACTATCAATGTTCAACTTCGTTGCTTTGCAATTTTGAACCCTTCCTATAAAACAATGGAACTTCTGTATCCAGTATTAGTACAAACTAGCATTCACAGAGGACTTTTTTGATGGAAATAACCGGCATTTGCGTTATAGGGAGAATAAAACAACGAAAACCACACACAGTTAGCTCGATGGCAAAAGGATACTAACCCATGATCAATCTACTATTGAATATATTTTACAACAGCACTCTAATTGGTGTGAGCAGGGAGCAGAATTTGTATCAACCAGCCACTGCTTTTATTCGAACCTGGATCACCTCATTAGGTGACTCTTCGAGCGATAATTGTTCTCAACACATTTGAACTCAATGAACATTTTGTACTCAAAGAATAAATAAATGAAAGGCATGGTATTTAGGTCAATACAAAACAACATAGCGTACTACTGGCAGACCGGAAATTCTAAAAGCTATAATCTTTAATGCATCAATACGTTAGACAGTTTATTACAAATTATAAGGAAGCAAAGATTGATTTGTAAACGAATTTTAATGCCATATTAGATTATTTTTAAAATCAAAGAAAAAAAATAGCTTAAGCAATGTTAAAACGTCATTTTTACTTTTGAATATTTGGTGATTATGTAGTAACTGCACTAGATTCAATCTTCAATCTGTTCTTTTAAATAGTTTCACTAAGTTCATTTCCAAAAGGGAAAATTTATAAGAATATGTAAGAGAAAAGATTGTCAAAACAACTGATGCTTGTTTATTATTATCTTTAAACAATGATAATTTCTCTATCTGAAAATTAGTTCAGTCACTTTTATTCCATATCAAAATTGCTTTGTTAATGTACAACTTTCACTTTCATATGGAACACAGTTGATAATTTTTTTACTGACTTTCAAGTTCATTAAATTTTAAGTGATCAAAAATTGGTAAATCCCATTTATTTGCATTCATAGTATACTTATAAGTTCATGGAAGTTGGTTTTAAAGAAAACTAACCAATTAGAACAAATAACAGTATTAGTATTCATTATTTATCCAGCTTAGTATTTTACTTTTTATTTATTTATGAATATATAAAAAAAAAGAGCAAAAAAAAGAGTGAAGTTTTTGAAAGCAATATTTGAAAATATGAAAAATAATTGTAATTTTTCTTCAAATGTCAGAATATGCACTTATTTAGATTTGGCCATTTAACTAGATTGTGATGGATTTGATTGCAATTTTGATTATAATGGAGATCTAGGAACAAATTAGTCTATAAAATAAATTGTGACAAATCTTAAAAACATTAATCTTTATAAAATATTAAGAGAATATTATTTTAGTAAAACTTTTTCATAAGTTGCGTGTTTTTCTTTTCTTTCTTCCAAAAGTACAAAAAAAAAAGTGAAATGAAAAATATTTAAAAGTATTTGAACTTACTGAATCTGAAATTGAGCTAGGAGTGGAAATAGAATGTCCAGTAAAAAGGCAATTTTGTGAAGACACTAAACAAAACAAACTCATATTATAAAAAAAGATAATGTAAACAAAGTTAACTAAGATAAATGAAAGGTTAATAAATTGATTACAATTACACTACTTTCCATAGAATAAATTGATAAAAGAAAGACTTATAGGTGAGAGTATTTCATTAATAAATACAGTTTAGTAAGGTAATTAATTAAATATATTAGGAACAAAATTAGTTGGAAAATTTTTTTTTACCTTGTGACAATAGAAAAGTAAAAAAAGAATTAAAATTATGGTTACGTTCCTTTATGCACTAAGACACAATTTCAAGGATTTTAAGGTTTACCAACAAACAATATTTTTGTATTAGGTGGTATAAATAACAGCTATAGTTTAAGTATGTATTTAGTTATACTTGATAAAGTTGTGTCAAAAAATATAAAAAAAATTAAATACTAAGAATTCTGTGTTAAGGATAGATGTTATTTCTAAATACCATATTTCCTGCTGTATCTTATCATAAATTGTATTTCAAAACTCATTGATTTTAATTTGACTTATGATTAAAAAAATATTTGTAAGGGATGTAGCTTAATAATAATTAAAATGCTTATGTGACAAAAAAACAATTACAATCAATTACACTACATAAAATTATGAATTTTAAAGCTAATATTTAAATTTTTAAAATTATTAATTGAATAATTTTTGTAAACAGCTAATCACTAGTTTGACATGGTGGCTAAAGGCCAGCTTTGTGATAGACTTTGATTCTTTGTGCTAAAGGCTAAACTGAATTGCATTTTTTTCTGATTTTGTCTCAGTAGTTTGGAATACACTTTAATTCCAATTACTGTCCTGAATAGTCCCCGGCAATTTCTGAGCTATAAAAATCAATCCACAATAGGGTGGATATGGAGCAGGATGTAAAGACCGGGTGATTAACAGTCACCATCTACCCTCTTATCTAAATTGTGACAGTGTAGTTATTGTTCACATGCACCAGTGCTGTCTGTGGAACTCATTAAAAAGATGAGCCTAATATACTGTTAAGATAATTCTAGCTAATTGCTTAAAACGAAACCAAAGTAGGTTAAAAATATACCTTAAAATTTTTTAATAAAGCGTAAAAGCTCAATTTAAGTTGTATACATTATTTATTTATTTAACTATACATAGCAAAACTCTACATAAAAAAGACTATCGATTCCAACCAGTTTTACAAAACAAAGTTATTAGTGAAACATTTTTAAAAATTTTAAATGTAAATTTTTATTGCCTTTTTTAAAGTAATTATTCTTTTAATTTCTCACTTCTTTGGGATAGAAGATTTCTTGAATAATTAACTACAGAGTAATACTAACATTTTCTTTAATTTTTTTTTTTAATCTAGGTAATACAAAATCCTTTGAACTGAATAGTCATTTACAAAGACCAGAAGAATAAAAATAGCGTTTCATGCTTCAGAGGGTAACCTTTCAAGTGATTGCAAAAACAATGCTCAATTCTATAAATTTTGGCACTTCTCAATTTCAATGTTTTTATGTTAAGTTGAATAGGTTGAAACCATACAATTGCATAGAAAAAACATTTTTTATATCTGTCAAATATTAACTCTAATACAAACAAACAATAACAATGTACTTTTCTTCTAACCACGATTACTACAGCTAAGCATGCAAAAAACTCCTGAAACTAAAGAAATTCACATGGTAGATAAAGGACGATACACTTTTTTACAAGTTGCAAATTTTGTAATAGTTCATTTGAGTTTTGAAGTAAACATGATTTTTTGTTTTTAATCGCATTAGAAAGAAAACTGCACCTAAGAGAACTAAAATACCTAAGAAAAGTATAAGATTTAAAATACATTTTGTAATAAGAAGGATGTGTGTAAAATCTGAGAGTAAATTTTAGATAAATATAAACCTATTTTTAAATAAGATAGATAAATTTTGACTCACTTTGATGATTAAGTAATTTAATAGTTACAATTCTATTTTATGAGATTTAGAGATGTTAGTTGAGAGATATTTAATAATTCATATAATTTCTTTGAAATTTTTTATTTTTTCAATGCTTGTTTAAGGATGCTCTCACTGATTAGTTTTCAAGTCAAAAATAATGAAAACAGTATAAAACATAAAATAATAAAAATACCTTCTGAAACTTCAATTTGAACAAGGTTTGAATAAGTATAACTCCAAGGATCACTATTAGGATCTAAATTTGGTTTTGCCACAAGACAAATATATAAACCAGAATCCTCTTCCCTTTAACAGAAAAAAAAAATTATAAATGAATAATAAAAAAAATAGTAATAATAAATTTGACAATAAAGCAATAATTATTCTATAAGTAAAATTTAAAATAAAAAAATCAAATATACTTTATATGCTCAATCAACAATGTTTCATTTTGCTGTAATAAAAGTTCTTCATCTTCTTTAAACCATTGGTATTCTGGAGCAGGAAATGATGTTGCTTTACAAGTTACCGATAATGTTGCGCCCCTCTGCACATGAACAACTGATGGTGGTTCTTTGATTATTGTTATAGGTACTAAAATAAAACAAATGTGATTAAATTTCTCAATTTATGTATCGAAAAGATTTTAATCATTATTACAAAATTAAATATATAAATACTGATACATACATACTCCATAAAACAGATCTTTACAAATATTTCATAAAAATACAGCAAAAGCCAAAAATAATACAGATTTTCTTTTTTTCTGTTAGAATCATTGCCTATTAATTTCCTGATTAGCTTGGTAATATATAACAATTTAAAAGTTAAAACCTGTTTTAACTTAAAGGAAGTATCTGAGATGAAATTTTCAATCTTTTGATTACAAATAATAGCTGTAGTTTATATTATACTTACATATTTTAATAAAAGTTATATTGTTATAAGAATTTGCTTTAATTTATATTGTTCTATAACAAAATGCAGTCAAACTTCAATATCATAAACTTGAAGGGAGGCACTAAGAATTTTATGATATTGTTTATCAAATATTTTTATTACTTTAGTTTCATTAAAAATCATACTGACATTTTAAAAATTGTATAATAAGCATTGACTAAAAAAAATGTTACTTCAAGCAATGTCAGTACCCTTGAATCTTCACTTAATTTTAAGCTTTGCTGAAAAATGCATAATTGTATATGCTTTGCTGAATTTTAAGCCTTGCTGAAATTTGTTTTGTTTTATAGTCTCCCTCTTCTAACATAACTATAACCTGATGCTGTAATCCTTTTAAAATTTTTGATTATTTCTAATCACCACACATAGAGCAAGATTTTTCCTACAGTAATTAATTAAGTAACCTCATTAGCATAAATTTTTTCTGTGTTCGTTAAATTAACGAATCAGATGAGCAAGTATTTTTATCTGTGCTTGCATATCTTACAAATTTACTTCTCTAGGAATGGGTGATTCTAGAGATTTCTGTTCACTCTGTCAAACATCCTTATTTCTTTTTACAGTTTCAAAAAATGAGTCATAAAATTAAATTATTCAAGAAAAGTTTTCAGGAAGTTCAAGAAAGCATTTTCATTTCTTCAAAAACTAGGAAAAAAATATTTGAGTAATGAAAAATATTGAACTTTTTTGTTTTTTCTGAGCATTATAATTTCCCATAAATGAATAATAATGTATTTTTGTATAATATATTAACATATATGTCATTTTAGAACTTTTGATTAATAAAAATAAAAGTTCATGCACAGCATTTTAACTTTGCATTTAACTATACTCATTAACGAATGGGATAAAAGTTTTGTTTCCCTATAAATGCTTAAATAAAATGTATTTATTTAAAAAAAAAATTTCTAATATACAGAGTTATCATAACAAAAGTATAACAATCTCAATCTTAACATAACTTCAAATGATAAAACTGCCATTTCATATTTTTGTGATTGATGACATTGAATTATAATCAAGAAGAATGGAATTCTCTTTTTTCTTAAATTTCTCAATGAAGTTCTTAAAGTGTTAAATTTTTGAGTTTTATTCTTTTAAAGTTAAATGGTTGACAGAGCTATAAAGGTGCTTATCGCTAGTTGCTAAAAATGCTTTTCTACGTAATAATTCCTTTTTTTCTTGGGAAATTAAGAAACAATAACAGATTACACCCCATAGAATTGTTGAATAATAACCAAAACTCTTTATATAAAGTAATTTTAGCAAGAAAATGTTGGTTCATCAAAGATTTTTTTCTTCAAAAATAATAGAAGGAAATTTTTTTAAAGATTATTACAGAGTTTGACTGATTATAGAGATTGCAATACTGGATTTTTATGAACTTGTTTAACAAAAGGAGAAATTACTGTTTATATTAAAATTGGAGCAGAAATTCTTTTTGGTTTCAGACTTCGAGATATAATACATCAAGTGGATTGAGTGTAGAATTTTTAAAGTATAATTTAAAAAATGAAGAAATTACTATTCATATAAAAGTTAAAGGACATATAAAATTTTTTCATATACTTTTTAAATGAAATACTTCATACCATCTTTCTTTAGAAGCATAAGTGCTTTTTCTAGTTTGGCTTCTTCTAACCATCGAACAAATTCTGAAACACGAACACCCTTATTTCCTAAATGAAAAAGTAGCCATTTCCCAGTGCTCATATAATGTTTATATGACTCATTATCCATCAGTTGAATCGATGTAGGACTGTAAAAATATATAAATAAATAATAAATAATTATAATAATAAGCAAATTTTACATTTAGTTTTAGATTACTATTTAAGAGCAACCTTGATTTCCAATTCGAATAGTTCTAAAACTTTTTTATTTTAATACAATATTACAAAATCAAAAGATAAGAATGACACCCTATATTTTTGAATATTTTCAACATCACAATTTTAACCTCAAGCTACTATATTTTTTTATTTCTGGAAATAAATAATTAATTTAAACAAAACAAGCATAATAAAATGCCGATGTAAAATTATTAGGAGCTGATAGGATAATGTTGAAAAATGCAATAAATGATAAAGATCTTAAAAATGTTTTATTTGTTGTAATAACAAATTTATATTTATTTAAAAACTAAGTTTGACTTAAAAATAATCTGTTAATTAGCAAAACAAAAATTATAAAGGTATATTTACGTAAAGATAGAGGATGGAATTGATCGTAAGAAGTTATCTCTTGTAGACTTATTTTCTAACATTGTCTCAATTTCCATGAACACGTGAGAATCGATGTCAAGTATATTAGGATCTTCCATACTGAGATCAAACTTTTAAATTGTCTGGAAAGTAAGAAATTGTATTAACTTGAGATGATCAACAATCAATATAAATATGAGTAACAGTTAGATTTTACAATAATCACAAATAATCTCTTACCATAAAAATAAACCGGCAGAGAATTATTAAAATGGTACAATAGGATATGTATTCAGTGACTATAATGATATACATAAAATTACTTATAATTAATTTAAATATTAATCGTCAATAATAAAATAAACTTCATTTGCTTCAAAACCAGATGACATAATACTTTTGAAGAAAATTATGTTTTCTCATTGACATGTATATCTTACCATCTCAATTTTTCCAGTTGATTTATTTCATATTAATACTTATATTAAAATAAATTCAAACTTGTAGTATACAAGTTATGAATTATTTTTAAAATCTATAATTCTATTCTAAGCGAACTAATATTTAGATTTATTCCAAATTCCATTTTCAATAAAATTTAGTATGAAAATAACTAAATCTGTGAAACAAAGCTTTGAAAAATTTTTGATTGCAACTCTCAACTATACTTTGACTATAAACACTCTCAAATTTTTTCTAAATTTTTTTTTTTTTACCTATTTTTAAACTTTGATATAAAAAATTTCTTAATTTAAAAGATTCGTCTTTCATATTTGTTTAGTTCCAAACAAAAATCTAAAAAAATAAACAAACAATTTCCAAATAAGACTCACAAACATAATTCAAGACATTATTTAAAGAAACTGCATTAAATCAACCTATTATTAATATATCATTTATAAATATTTTATTAAAGTAAAAAGGTTACAACAAATCATTATAATGGGAAAAGTGTTTTTTCAATATAACATAACAAAAATTTATTAGAGCATTACTCATGAAGAATATACTCTATATAGTCGAAATAAAAGTTCTAAGAAAAATCAAATCAATTGGAGATGAATTATATTTTCTTTTAATATCTTTATTGAGACTTAGTTCTAAAGAAGTCAGAAATGAGAGAAGAAAAGGAAAAAAAAGTTTTACATGCGTATAGTAGAATAACTTTATGTCCTAAATAGAAATACATACAAATAATTATTAATTTCATTGGAGCTGTATGTTTTAAACTCAATTTACAAATTATTAATGACCATGATTAAAGTATTATCAGCTATAATACAATTTATTTATAATTTCATTCAGATGGTTTTTGTCATAAATAGCAGTTTTCAGCATTTGTTTTAACGAATTGCCTAACCTATCGAACTGATCTAAATAAGGTAACTAACATCTTATAGGAATAAACCTTTTCTACACAATGGCTAATTGAATTACATTGTTTTATTCAATTTGTTATTAATAATTTAATGACTTGAAAATAATGAAAGAGAATGCAAATTGTCACAAAACCGTAAATTTTTTTTTATTGAATTGAATAATTTTAAGCCAAAATATTTATTCGCAACATTTGAACTAACATTTCCAAAATAATGAACTAGAAAAATATTTTTTTCTAGAGATTTATCAAAAGGGGACGTACATGATATTTTTTTGAGAATATCAGCTAAGCAGTTATTTAATAAATTATTAACAATTTTATACACATTTGAAAAAAAAATACGGCTTCATGTTACTATAAAATATTTTTAAATTATTTAACTGAAAGACTTTTTAGTTTTCGTACAAATAAAACATGATTTTCTTTCAGATAACTTTAATCATTTTCACTTTCACATTTTTTTTTTATTTTATTAATATTTTAAAGCATGTAAACTAACTTGATAACTTAACTAAAAGGACACTTTTAAAAATAACTAGAAATATATTGAGCAAATAATCATCACTTTACTTCCACGATTATGACTTTTATTACGTCTCATGCATAAACTTCTTTCAGTTTACTGTTGATCATTTTTGTTTACGACATGAATCCCTTATTTTTGTACGTTGAAAGGACTGTTCATCAGCTACAGAATTACAGATATTTTTGATTTCAAAACACTATAATAATTCTTAAACATAATTTAAAAATCAGAGATAATAGTTATAACAAATATCAAGATTCAATTTCTGTATTAAACTAAAATTTTCTAATGTTTGGTCAGCAAAAGTATTTTGTTTGTAAAATCAACTGGAAAAACCGTTTAAACGGGTTTTTAAGGTTCGATATTATTGTACTTTTCAGAGTATAAATGTATGTATGTAAAAAAATGCAAGGAACTCAGTGAGTGTGATCAGTTGTTCGTAGAATAGATTTATGAAGAATAAAAACAGATGTTGCGTCATGCAGCATTTAGTCAGGAATTTTATTTTATTTTGATAATAATTGTTGCCTTAACCCTTTAACTCTTAACTTCGAGATAAATTTTTTTAGTAATAAAAATCACATTTTTTTTCATGTCCCTTAACCAACAATGATTGTTCATTTTTGATAATGAGCCTTCTTGAAGAACCCGCCCGAAAACTTTTTATCTGCCAGTGTTTGCAAACTGTTTTAGATGAGTCCTGCAAATTTAAAAAATGGGCATTGACAGATCATAATAAAGTTGACCCTTTCCGGCTGATTTGGGTACAGGGTATAATTTTTAATGTAAGTTCTGCATATATAATTCTGAGGTTATAAATAAACAGTTGGTTATGTTTGGAGAAAAAATATTTTTTCATTATTTCTAGTTTGACGGTGTTGCTACTAGATCATTTCATTTCTCTAAAATATTGCTATTTCTTTTCGTAAGCACCGATACAGAAATCTTGCATTTTAGTTATTTCTGGATTAAATTTTTTTTTTCTCCACTTAATATAAAAATAAATCTTCGAAATGATTTGAAAATACACTTCAAAATTAAGATTAACATGGTTAAAAAAAATAAAGGAACAAGATTATTTTCCATTTATAATGAATTATTTTAATAAGTAATATCAGGTATACAGAACTCATGCTAACACCTTTTTTAATGAACTAAAAAATCATACTATTCAAAACTGAAAAACTTCATCAACTATTAACGATGTTTCAGTGGTTACCATTGAAATTTAATATATTATTAAAATTAATTTATTTAGCCCACATTTCCATTAAGCTACATTAGGCCACAATTAATTAATATTTGTTCTCACATAGTTATTTACCATCTAAAATAACTAGATTTAATAGCGATAATTCAAACGAAAGCTAAAACATAATGACGTTCACAGCAGAGTGATTGTAAAAGAACAGCAATAATTAGCACTCTTAGAAAAGTAATGAAATATTTTCTGTATGTTTTGAGCGATTCTGAATGCATTAAGATATTTAAATAAATTGTCAGTTATGTCAGAAAATTTTGGTTGACTATAAATTCTCCTTAAGGGTCATATTCTGATAAATTCTGCTGGTAGTGGCCGAGAAATGATTGGATTTTGCATCGACATTAAACATTGAACTTCAGTACATTTCTAAGTGCTTGAGGTAGTCAAAAAGTAATCTAAAAAATTGTGGCTAAAAGATTCCATTGACTTGAACATTTATTTATTGTAAATATATAAATATTTCTAAGAGTTGATAAAAATTTAGTAAAATAAAAGGGATATTTTATGAAGACATTTATATAAGTTATAAAAACGTGTTAATAAAAATAGTAATTTAGAAAAATTTTCAATTACATTTTTGTAAAGTTATCAATAATTTATTTTTATCTAAATTGTTATTTGTTTTAGTTTTCTTATTAACATATCTTTAACTTAAACGTGGCATAGCACTAAAAAGAAAAAAAAACTGGTGCAAGATAAAAGTGTCCAAAATGTAGGAAGAAAGTGAGAGTGGAAAGTAGCGTCACTTGTTTCTTAATTAGCATGTTTCAAAGCTTTTCATGAAATAAATTAATACATTTTTATAGTTATTCTTATAGGCATTTTTATACTTATAGGTACCTGCCTCCTTACGTACTTTTACTTTAGATGACGGTACAGGCCTAGCAACTATTGTGTCTGTAAATGACGCTCCTGGTTTTGGACCCTGGATTAAAGATGGTATGAAATATTATATAACATGTTTTTTGTAACAATAAAATCAACATAAATGAAATTTTCTATCTTAGCATATGGATGTTATTTTACTCGCACATGGTCACTTGCGATGTTTGTCATAGCTAGAAGGTAGGTAGCTAGTCCTTGGTAATCTCTATATATTGGCCAGGTACCTACCCTGCAATGTCCAAGAAATTGATCATATGACTGCAGAGGTTTGACGGTATAAGCAGGCATCGTGTTGGGTGGGCATGGTTGAGTTTTTACCAGAAAAAACAATGTGAAAAATAGCTGAATCCTTGTCTCTGTCTTTTGTATGCCTGTTTAGGCAGAGGGGTGCGATTGCTCTTGTTTTCCTGGCGCCATCTATGGCCAAGAATTTGACTTTTGTCACATCTATTCACCACGCCCGTTTATAGGCCGGACCCATTCATTCATCCACAGATTGTAATTTTGACCTGAATCAGAGAACGATCAATCTCCAATTCAGTACCCCCAGAGGTATTGATTTGTTATGGGAACATGGAGAACTTTGCTACTCAACAGATTTAACGTGTATCAGTCACCATTTTACTACACAGAGAGTCTTCGGTCGGCAGATTTGAACCCACGAACTTCAGGCATGGGCCCAACGCCCTACCGACCAGGCTATCCCGGCCCAGTAGAATCCTTGTAAATATTAGTCTATGTTCATATATTAGCAGGTAGTAGTTTCTTAGTTGTAACTGAACAAATGTACATTATTTTGATGTAATAAATGATAGTAGGAACTATTGTATGATATATATGTATTAGTAACTAGCCACTGATCAAGTTATATAATGTAAGCTATCTTCTTTCAGTTGTAAAGTTAATTTTTCAAAACAAGAGAAGGTAAATTTTTTAATTAATAAAAATTTTAGAACCTTTTTTACTATTAAACCTCAACTACATCCAGATGGAGCTGATCCAGTTGATAATTTGCTGATAAATATATTATGCCATGTGTTTGTGATATTTGTATTATGCCATGGGGGGGGGGGAAGATGCAGACAAATAGAAATTTCTAAAAGTACAACTCAATATTTCAATCAAGTATAGAAAATTGTCACGAATCATTATCCATTTAAATTCATCAAAGATAAAAATTAATTTAAAAAATAAATAAATAAAATACAGTGAAACCTCTCAGGAGAGACCACTCTCCGTTATACAGTAAAATGGTCGTTCATGGAGGTTGATCGTTATTTGAGGTTACCTCCATTAACTTCAAAATTGTTATGGAAGGTAGAAAATTTTTCGCTAACGATTTTAGTTTCAATTTAAGGGGGATTTATAAATAAAAATTAGCATCTATAAAAATGATCCCAACTGATATAGTTATGTGTAAAAACAAATTCACCAATCATTAATGATGAAGCTATTTTTAATAAATCAGAAATGATTGTGCTGTGGAATAAATCTGGATTTTTTTCTTACTGCGACCCCGAAATTTCTGGAAATCCAAGATCCAGAAGTTTCAAGAAATCATCGATCACATTTATGTATAAAAATTTTTGTTGTATAAAAATTCTTGTTATTTAAAAATATTAGAACTAGAATTTATACTCAGCATCTTTTTCATTTGTAAATATGTTTTCTGGTAGAATAACAAGTGTGATTAGAGATAAAAGTTAACTTATATATAATTATTAATTTAAATTATGCTGCATATAATTTATTTAGAATTTCACGTTGTGAAAATATCAATGATATAAATTTATAAAGACATTAATTTTTTGAAATGAGCTATTAATGATTTTACTCAAGAAATTTTCAGGATTTTTGAGTTGGGTTCACAAACACCTCTGAATAAATAAACAATTATCTTTTTTGTTCAAGCAGGGGTCTGTCCAGACATTTTGTGAAAGGTCCGTTTTTCGTGAAATTTTGAAAAAATTACTCACATTCTTTCAACCAGGGTCCGCTTTTATGAATTTGTGCAAATAGGGTCCGTTATTGCAAAAAAAAACTTTTTCAAGGAGTTTTTAAATTGTAAAGATATACAAGATTATGCTCAACACTGTAAAATTATAATTTAAAAAATTAAATTTTAAAAAATAAACAACAATTGCTGCTTCTAAATTAGAGATGCAACATACAAATATTCGGTATTTAGCCTATACTGCTGAACGCAGAATATTAATTTCGAACGAATAATGGAAGAATCGTCTGCCGAAGACAAAACTTAATTCGTTTACATCCATCTTTCTTGTTTTCTGCCCTGGAAAGGGTTTTTTCGATTAACAAAATAATAATGAAGATAAACAAATTTGTGAAGGGTCCGATTAAAAGAAAAATCATTTTGTCAAGGGTCCGTTTTAATGAAAAGATATTTTTTGAAGGGTCCGTTAACGGACCCAAATTTCTTCTAAACAGACCCCTGTCAAGTTTTCATTTAATATTATATCATAAAAATTAGTTAGCTTTAAAATACGAGCCGAGGTTTGTTTGTTTGAGATTCTTGTTTTTTCTGAAAAAGCATTTTTTTCTAATTTAAATTGGGAATCCTCTCTGAAAGTAAATCATTGATTACATCATATTTAGTGCACTCTGTCTGCAACATGAGGTTGTATTGTCAAAAAGAGCTTTCTAAATAAGAGCCTTGCTCATATTTTGTATACATTTTAATCTATTTATTTGTTTTGTTTTGACATTTTGTATTTCCTTATTTGACCTTTTCCACATTTGGTGTAGATATTTGTCTGATTGCTGAGAGAGGTTTGTTATAATGGTCTTTCCTAAAAGTTTTCTTCAGCACAAAGTCTATGGAAAAAATTCTGTGCCTCCCAAAAGTGGTCGCTACGTAGAGGTGGGCTTTCTTGGAGGTTTCACTGTAATTATTATTTTTTTAGATATTTAGCAGTTATAAGAAATTCATTTTTATGTGTGAAATTTTGAGAACTATGATGACTGTGTATTTTAATTAAGTTCCTCTAAAAAATTGGTCTCCAATTATGCTAGTGTATTATACCGATGTAGGTTAATATGAAATTCCATTAAAATCTGTCCAGTGGTTCTGGAAGTAATAAAAAAAAAAATTTAAAATTTTTTTTTGTACACTAGTGTGATATAGGGAAATCTCAGATAATAGGTGCTCCTCTAAAACGGACAGCTCAAATTGCAATTTTTGAAATTTTGGCAATTTTCTATTAATAAACCATGTCTTCGTAGAGCAAACACTTTCTTTACTGAACATGGATAAAAAATTTTAATGAGAAAAGTGCTATTTAAGATAGACCTCCTTCATGTTTATAAACAAACTGTAATCAAAGCCATTTCAGTCTTGGCAATAGATAAACTGTAGCCAATAGATCTCAGTGAGTGGGAAATCGCTATAATTTAAGCAACAAATTGAAAAAATTACAATTTGCAATAATACATCACAGCCACAAAACTGAATAGTAAAAAAGGAAAAGTTTTTTTTATCTGGAAAGGCTGAGTTTTCCTTTAGAAAGGTTAAATATTGTATAATTATTAAATTTACAATAAATAAATACATTAGATCTTATTTTAAATTAGAAATGATGCATTTCTTTAATTCTCCTAAAAACTTTTCAAAATTGAGCTAAATTTGATTCCAATTTCCGAACCCCAAAATTACCTCGCCACAATCTGAGAAATATGGTCCGAATAGTTTCGTCAGGAGGACGGTCCAAATTTTTGGCTACATAATACATTACCTTTTGCCTATTATACAGTATGTTGTGAACTTATAGAGTGAATTGAAAAATATTTGTGCACAATTATAAAATTAGTTTATCCGAAGATAATTCTATGCAAAAAATAAATTTTAGTAAATATTAATAATAATTATATTACTATTTAATAGTAGTTTAAAAAAAATTTGAATTGTATGGTGTACAATTTTTTACATCATTTTAAAGTATCTAATTTTACAAAGCATAATACAAAATTTGAATAAAAGTGGCTGAATGGTTCTCAGAAATCGAATTTTTAAGAAGTTATATATTTGAAATTCAATTTTTCAGGAACTACTTAACCGATTTTGCTCAAATTTTGCCATGTGAAATTAGATGCTTTAAAATGGAGTAAACAAATAAGCTACAATTGAAAATTATTTAATTTATTATTATATAAAATAATAAAAAATATTAAATGTTTACCAAAATTAATATTTTGCATGGAATTATCTTTGCATAAACGAATTTTATAATTGTGTACAAAGATTTTTCAATTTGCTTGAAAATTTCTCAAAATATTCAAAAAATTGAATAATGAATTTGTTGCAATTTAATACACAGTTCTTTAAAGTACTCGAGAGGGCCAAATCCTACATTTAAGTTTATAGGATACATCTCATGTCACTAAATTTTGAATAGTTTCATATTTTCCTTTTCTAGGGCTGAATGATATTATTATATATTTTTTAAAGTAATTTTTATGAATTTTTTGTATATATTTATGAAAATGTTGTGTAGTTTTGTAATTTCCTTTATATATTTATTTAATATTTCAGGTCTATACTGTATGGTTATTGGAGAGCTACTTTCAACAAAACCTACAATCACTGTAAAGGCAATGAAAATAACAAAGCTGGTTAATTCAAATGAAGAAACACTATGGAATTTGGAAGTCATAGATTTCTGGAAATGCATGGATAATAGTTGATAGTATTCTATTAATATTTATAACCAATAATTAGTTATTCATACACATTTATACAATTCCACAAGACTTATCATAAATTTAGTGAATCATGTTTTGCAGTTATAGCAAACTTCATCATTCTTTCCTAAGGTGTGTAAAAAATCTTATTCACTCTCGTCAATGTAGTAAAAAAGCTATTTATGATATTAAAATTGGTAAAGTAACTAAATCTGTGTCTTTACCCAAAAACCCACATTTAGTGCCTTTATTGTACCTTCAAAAGAATCCATCAGAAACTTTGATAAACCACTTGTTATGGATCATGAAAAAAGATATCTTGGGTCAAGATATGTTTTTGATTGGCTCACCAGGACGCTACAGAGCTCGTACAATCTTACAGTATCTTGAGATGATGCAAAGGGAAGTGGAATATGTTATCTTATCTCGTGATACAACTGAAAATGATTTAAAGCAAAGAAGAGAAATTTGTGATGGTACTGCTCACTATATAGATCAAAGTGCGGTAAGGGCTGCTATTGAAGGTAGGTTTCTGATTCTTGACGGTATTGAAAAAGTTGAGAGGAATGTATTGCCTGTTTTAAATAACTTGTTGGAAAACAGGGAAATGCAACTTGAAGATGGACGTTTTCTCATTGCACCAGATAGATATGATATGCTTCTGCTTGAACATTCAAAAGAAGAACTGGACAAGTGGAAATTAGTTAGAGTTTCTGAAGACTTTCGGGTGGTTGCGCTTGGACTACCTGTTCCTCAGTTCAAAGGAAATCCTTTAGATCCTCCATTTAGATCAAGATTCCAAGCACTTCATTTAAAGATGAGCTTTGAGGAACAACTTTCTGAGTTTTCTGAATCATTTCAAAGCATTCAAAAGGATGAATTGGAAAGATTTCTTTCTGCTTGCCATACATTTTTATCAGAAGAATCTTCTAATTTAGATCTACCTAGGTTTCCAATTGAAAATTTGTTTCTCATCTTCAACATCTTGAATAAACTTCCTGGCTTTCCTGTGGGACACACATTTAAATGGCTATATCCTTATCAGCTAATTTTACCAAAAAGTGCTCAGAATTTAATATGTGAAACTTTGCAAAAATTTTCTATTCAAACCAATTCCGTCAAAGTAAAAGTTGGTGTATCCAAATATCTTGATAATGATGACTTTACACATGAAGTTAAACTTGAAACAAAGAAAAATAAATTTACAGCTAGAGCTTTGGGACATAACATAAGTGTTGGTTCAGTGAATTTTGTTTCCAATTTATATCATAATAATGTAATTGCAGACCTGTGTTTAACTCATTTATCTCATGATTTCTGCATTATTGGAAACAAAGGTAGTGGAAAAGGAACATTAATAAAAAAATTTGCTTCACTTTTTAACTATCCTGTGGAAATGGTGATGTTGTACAGTGATATGACAGCTAGAGACTTATTACAACAAAGGATTACTGATGAAAAAGGAAATACATTATGGAGGCCATCGCAAGTTGTGCGAGCTGCGAAAGAAGGAAAGTTATTAGTGTTAGATGGATTGCATCGGATTCATTCTAGTACACTGTCAGTTTTACAAGGACTTGTGCATGATCGCGAGATACAGCTTTATGATGGTACCAAATTATTAAGATCTGACCGTTTTGATGCTCTAAAAAATAAGTTGAATTTATCTAATGAACAGTTAGAAGCAAAAAATATTATATGTATACATCCAGCTTTTCGCATTGTTGCATTAGCTGAACCTCCTAAAATTCAAAGCTCTAAAGAAAATTGGCTAAATCCACAAGTGCTTTCATTATTTTTATTTCATGAAATTAGACCTCTTAATATGGAAGAAGAAAAAACTGTTATTAAAAGCATTACAAACTGTTCTAGTGATAAAATAGATATTTTATTGAACTTCACTCACAAATTGCGTAACTCAAAAGATGATGTTTTAAAAAATATTAGTACTTCATTTTCTACTCGTCAACTTGTTCGAATGGCTCGAAGATTGGAGGCTTTTCCTCATGAAAGTATTTACGATTTAATAAAACAATCTTGTCTTTTTGAATTTTTACCTCAATTAACGAAGCAAGGAGTGGAAAGTGTTCTTGAAAGTTGTTCAATCAAAAAACCCAAACCATCTGTTGTGGAGAAAAATATTCGTGTAATAAATGAAGAACTTTACATTGGAGACACCAAGATTCCAATTTGCAATGCAGGTTCAGATAAACTTAAAGTCCCTAATGTGTTGTTTTATAATAGCCAAGAACACATCAAAGTAATGGAGGCGATGTTACAAGACTTCATTTTGGGTGAGCATTTATTATTAGTTGGTAACCAAGGAGTTGGAAAAAATAAAATTACTGATCGATTTTTACAGTTGATAAATAGGCCTAGAGAATACATTCAATTGCATAGAGACACAACAGTTCAATCTCTTACTCAGCAACCAACAGTTCAAGATGGAAGAATTGTTTATGAAGATTCGCCTCTTTTAAAAGCTGTTAAATTTGGCCGTGTATTAGTTGTAGACGAAGCTGACAAAGCACCAACTCATGTGACAAGTATTTTAAAAGCTCTTGTCGTGTCTGGAGAAATGTCACTTTCTGATGGACGCTGTATTGCTCATCATAGTGATCAGAAAGTTAATGGAAACGATCAAGTGATAATGCATCCAGATTTCAGAATGATAGTTTTAGCTAATAGACCAGGCTTTCCCTTCTTAGGGAATGATTTTTTTTCAACACTTGGTGACATTTTTAGTTGTCATGCTGTTGAGAATCCTAGTTTAGAGTCAGAGATAATGATGCTTCAGCAGTATGGTCCTAATGTGCCAGAAAATTATTTAAGAAAATTGGCTAATCTATTCGCTGAATTACGTTCAATGTCTGATGCTGGTTTAATATCATATCCTTATTCTACTCGAGAAGTTGTTAATATCATTAAACATTTGAACAAGTTTCCTGAAGAAGGTATACCATTTGTATTAAAGAATGTCTTTGATTTTGATGTTTTTAATTCTGAGTTTAAGGATACCCTTTCTAAAATATTTGTAAAACATGGTATACCTTTTGGAAAACAGACAGTCACTATAAAAGTTGCTAAAAGGTATAAACTTCCACAAACAACTAACAATACTGAATGGATGTTATCTAAAGATATAAACTCGTGGGAAACTGAAAATCGTGAATTGTATCTTAGTAATAAATCCCATCTACCTGTAGTTCAGAGCCATATTGATGAAGTTGAGCCTAGGGCTACAATTTTTTCAGAGCAACAAAGTTTTTATCAGTTACCTTTAAAACAAAATGATGTGCCTTTAGATATCAAAGCTACAAATATTGATGGTACTGATATTTTGTATGTTGTTACAGCAAATCCTCTTTCAATTTATAGAATAAATACCAATAAAAAATTAATGAGTAGTATTAATTTATCAGGCTATTTTCCCAACATAAGAAGTGGTTATAAACCTGAAATTTACACATCAGTTATTAATTCTTATAATGATTTAATTTTGCTGCATGAAAAGTTTACTAACCAAACATTCTTAGTAAATATAAAAGAAGGTATTATAAATAGGATTAACATCAATTCTCTTTTAGATGAAGCTATTTCTAAATTAAGTAACATAGTGTCAAATAAAGCTGATCAGTTTTTTGAATTATGCGAATTTCCAAATAAAAAAAAAGTCCTATTGTTCCATAAAAATGGTAAAAAAATAATCCTATTAAATTTTGAAGAGAACTCTACTCAGCAATTGAATTTCCCTGATAATATCTGTAGTATTCTTGTCAAAGATGAACACAGCTTACTAATTAACTGTGAAAAAAACCATTTTTTCGTCGATCTTTCTGACTCAAGAAGTTGGAAAAGTCGTTCATTACAATCAGAAATTGATGAAGCCATTCAAATAAAAACAATTGTACCAGATAGCTCACAATCCACAGCTCTAATGTCATCTTCAACTGATTATGCATGCCTTGTTACAGGATCTTTTCTACTTGATGATAAGTTGAAAATAATAAAATTTCCCCGAGAAGATGGAAACTTAACTGATATGAAAAGAAATTGTATTATGCCTAATAATCAACAAATAATAACATTTGTACATGAATTTCCATCACACATTAAAAATGAATACAGTCAGAATGATGCCGGATTTTTGGAAATAGTTGATTTGAAGAGCTCAACGTATGCATATGTAGATGCAAATATACCTTTCAATTCTTCTTCTTTTGCTAATTGGTTGATCAATACATCAAAATCATATCTTTTAATGTGTTTACTGCAGAATGAAACATTAGTGACGATTGATGTTAGAGGGTGCATTCGAAAGTGGGAAACTAGTGAACAGTCTCTAGTTTCATCTTTTGAGGAATGGAGAAGAATGATTGGTGCTGGTAATGAACAGCAACTTACAATTGAACGTATAGACAACAAGGAAGTTTCTAACCCTAAGCATGGCAAAACTGACCCAACAGGAGCTCCTCATGTAGGTGGAAACACATGGGCTGGTGGTACTGGTGGAAGAGACACTGCTGGGCTTGGAGGACGAGGTGGCCCTTATCGCCTTGATGCTGGTCACAATGTCTATCAAGTACCTGATCATATGAAAGATGCAGTTCCAGAGGAAGTAAGAAAAGCTGCCAGAGAAATGAATAGAAAAGCATATAAAGAAAAACTAAAAGATATTGAAATGAGTGAATATGATGCTGAGTTATATGGCAATTTTCTAACTAATGTTGAGAATCAAATAAAATCATTACGTGTTATATTAGATAGTTTACAAGCAAAGAGTAAAGAAAGGCAGTGGTTAAGGCATCAGACTTCAGGAGAGTTTGATGATACAAAACTAATTGAAGGGATAACAGGGGAAAAATCCATCTATAAGAAAAGAGGTTTGCAAGAACCTGAAATGGGAAGTCCTCAAGAGAAACCTAAACTTTTAAGGCTAGTTGTTGATGTCAGTGGCAGCATGTATCGTTTTAACGGACATGATCATAGGCTAGAAAGAGAATTAGAATGTGTGGTTCTTCTTATGGAAGCACTTGAGAACTATGATGAAAAGTTCCAATATGAGATAGTGGGTCATTCTGGTGAAGAATATTGTTATGAATTTTCCAAATTTCGCCAAGCTCCCAAAAACAGAAAAGAGAGGTTAAATATCCTTAGGAATATGATTGCTCACTCTCAATTTTGTGCTAGCGGAGACAATACTTTAGAAGCCACTGATCATGCTATCAAAACTATTACTAAAGTTGAAGCTGATGAATATTTTGTAATTGTCATGAGTGATGCTAACTTTGATCGCTATGGTATATCACCAAGATCTTTTGCAAAACTGTTAGTAATGGACCCCAAAGTTAATGCTTTTGCTATATTTATTGGGTCTCTTGGAGACCAAGCAATGATGCTGAAAAAACAGTTACCTGCAGGAAGAGGATTTGTATGTTTTGACTCCTCCCAACTTACTCAAATTATGCAAAAAATTTTTACTTCTGCATTGCTTAAAGAATAAATCCTGATGCTAAAATTAAGTTAATATGTATTATTGATGTAGTCATACTTTCAAATTGTATAAATACAAATCTTAAATATTCTTAGTAATTTTTTAAAATATTTATAATTGAATTATATTTACAATAAAATTATTTTTTATATTGTTTAACTGTATTCAATGTGTTATATTATTTATAGTTCTATGACATTTATCTTCAAATCAATAAAGCAATGTGTTTCTCTGGCTTTTAAAGACGAATTTCAAGCTTAACTTGTTAAGAGTTTTTATTGAAAATTTAAGTAACTAAAAAATGATAATAATAAATAATCACATAATAGTTTCTCCCTTAAAAGAGTCAAATCAGCCAATTTTTATAAACAGAAAATCTTTTTTATCACACTTTGATATTTCAGTTTATTTAAATAGATATTTACTTTTTTATTTTGCTATTTAAAGCCATTAATTTTTGAGAAAAGAACTGTTTTACGAAAAGATGAAGTCAATATTCATCTTATATCAGTATTTAAGTATAAGTATGGTATAAAAAAGTATAAGTATGAACAATTTTGCCTATTGCCATCAAAATAAAATGCAGGTATAAAAAATTGTACTTGTTACAAAAATAATTTATTTTATTGAGATAAATCATTTTACATATATTAAATTTTGGCATTATGACTTGACATATAAATAACATTAACAATTCTCAATTTATATATAAAAAAATTCAAATTTTTCTTTAATAATCTTTTCATTCATTATACAAGTAACACATACAGGTACAAAGTAATGATTATAATACAAATGGAACAACATATGAATCAGATCTCTAGTGTTACATCTATGAATATTAAAGATAAATTTTTACTTTTGTGATTTAACTTTATTCTAAACAATTTATAAAAATTTACAACAAAAAAAAATCTAGAGCATTTACTTCTAACAACTTTAAAAAGTAGAAGTATTTACATTTAAAATTGTAATGTTTCATCAGTACTATTAATAAATAGTTGAAATAAAAGTTTCAAATACAGCAGAGCGCCGATTATTCTGACCACTCTGGTCCAAAGTAGTTCCTTATAACAGAATATCCAGATAATTGGACAACTATAAAAAACGGCTATGTGATTGTTTTTAAATAACTGCCTTTCACACTTTTTCAAAACTTAGGATTAGTGCCTATAATAACATATAACAAATGGCATGTTTAAGTTTAATTTTTTAAAATTGTTTTAGAAACCTGTTCTTTTATGACAAACCACTTACCCACATTGAAATTGGGCGGAAAGAACATAAGGTTTTTTTCAAGTTTAATGAGAGGCAAAATAAGGCATTTTTCAATCCATTTCAGATATTCTGAAAACAAAGAATTTCCAAGATTTTTTTATGTAACTTTCTGAAAAAAATGGGAAAACACATGGTCCTTGAACTATCTGGATAATGGGACAATCGCATAAATGGGCACTCTGCTGTATTATTTAATAAGCAATCTGATTAAATAGTTAAACAGATTTCAAGTGAAAGCTTTCCAGGCAAAAAAAGCAGATGTTTACATTATAATTAAAAACAATATACTAATTAAGCAGAGTTGTATCCAATAAACAAATGTTTTTTTATAAATGTATGAATATAGAGTTTGATAGGAGCAGAAACAACTATGTAAGAAAAAACAAAAATTAGGTAAAATTTTATATTATTTCATGGTTACATATATAATACTAAACTAAATATATGGATTTTTTTTTTCAATCACTGAAAAGACATGAATTAATAACTTTCCATAATGATGAAATGGAACAATTCAAAATTTATTTTTTTAAATTTGTATTAGATAAGTCACAGCTTTCTTTTTTAATGAATAAAAATTTCAGTTATAATTCTAACTTGTATGTTTTTACTGAAGCTAAATATACTTTGCATAAAAAAAAAATACTTATCAAAGTAGAAAAACTTCAAACATTATTAAGTAAATAAACTTGCATTAAAATGTGAACTTTAATTAATGTAATGAATTTAATTCATCAGTTATCATTATTCAATTCAGAGTTTCTCAACAGCTTAGTGCATGCAACACACTTTAAAATTAAGATTTTTTATTTTCTGTACATAATTAGTTCAATGAAATTATACAATATAATAACACCATAATAAAATTAATGTCATAATTTGAAAGGAAACAAATATAGTTCCATTATTGAGTTTTTCTCATGAAAAATTTCACGGTTTAAAATTTATCATTATTTCTCCTATTTAAAATCATACATTTTTAACCACAAATTGCTTATTTGAAATAAGTAATGAGCTGTTAACATAGTGTATATAAGGGATGGAATGTTTCTAGCTCACGAATGGTTAACAATGAAAAAGTCAGATTCATTTGAATTAAGGTTTAAAAAAAAAATTATAAAATAAAGTTTTAACAAAAATCACCATATTTCAGTAAAACTGTTTTTGTACAACATTTTCATAATGCATTCAAGATATGTGTTGCAATAACATTTAAGAAACAATGCTTTATCATAATTAATGTTCTTTTTAAAAAAAGAAAAATATTTAAAAAAGAATAATTTTTGAGAAGTCATTCATGTGAATTCAAACTATACTCTCTTCAATTGTGGAAAAAATATAAATTTGACGAATATAATGTAAATTTGAAAATTATCTACAGGAAATACTTATTTTTAAACTGGTAAAAATATTAGTTTTTTTTTCCTCACAAAAACGAGTATTATTAGACAGTTAATTCATAGAACATTCTAAACATATAATTGGAAGGAAAAAACTACGTAATAATTCATTAAGAGTTAACTAAAGTCGGCGATAAATATAGAAAGTGGTATAAAAATATTTGTGTCGAAACCAATTTATCATGCATTTCTCCAAAGACAAAATAATGATACACAAATCTCAAAATTAAATGAAGAGTACAAGTTAAAATTGATGTATTTTAAATAGATATACAGCAAAGCTACAAACTGTAAAATCTGGAATGATTCTTTAAGTATTAAAAAAAAGTGGTTAGTAATACCATAAATACTGCTATATGTATTCCAATTACATGAATAACGTACACTTTCCTTCCTTATAAAACAATAATTGAGCAAATTCTATGAAATCCACTTCAATTATATAATAAATATCAGTTAAAACAGTGAAGATGGTTCTTCATAAAATGTATCACTCACTTTGCTACAAATGTACATAAACTACACAAAATACTTTTTCTATGATATTAAACATTCTGATGATTGAGTTTCTCTTTTTTGAGAATCAAAGCTTTCTTCAGAGTCATTGGATGATACTTCTTCCTCTTTGTCAGGACTTGAACCATGAAGAACTAATGTACCCTCAATTCCAGGGATATCGCTGCTGGTTGAAAGTCTGTGGTGGTTTTCTTCACTGTCATACAAGATATCACTGGAATAGTCTTCTGTAGATCGCTGTATTTCTCTCTTCATTAATGAAGTAGTGGGAGAGCTGATTTTACTCAATGCTTTAGCTTGATTATGCACCATCAACATGAATGTTTTGTAACCAAGACTTAAAAGAAAGGAAAAAGAACATTTAAAACATCAAATTTAAAAAATAAATAAATGAATAATTTAAAAATATATTAGGTTTGAGAAAGACTTTTTGATACCCTTATAAATCACTATTGCAGAGTGCATAACGTTTTTAAAAAGTGCTTATTTTCGGTTTTTGTTTGTTTGTTAATGGGACATCTCTAAAAATGCTTAATTTTCTCTCAATAAAAATAGCTCCAAAAAGAGATTTCTTGCCTTGTCAACTGTTGATATGCATTACGCTAAATCATTTTCACAATGTTCCATTCAACATTTCCTCAGTCAGGGTGCGTAGTCAAATTATTCAACAAAAAATAAGCACCTTTTAAGCATTTCTCAAAAAATATTTTTAAGCACTTTAAAAAATATTAAAATTAGGCAGAACTGGAAAGTTTTTTTTTTTAATTGATGGTTTTACCTTGTTTTAACCGTCATGTAAAAAAAAACCTTTTGACATTGTTTTTGACAATTGTCAAAAACCATGAAATTTTGAATCATGTAAAACGAATGGCGTTTTCATATGCTACGGACTGACAATACGCCGAAATAGATTGGGGTTGAATTATTTGTGACAACGTTGAATAGAACAATGTGAACTGAGTCTTTTTGCATAATTCGAAGCGAAAATCAACATAGTAAAGGAGAAATCTCATTTTGAAAAAGGGAAAATTAAGCACTTTTTAAAAACACCCAATGAAAAAAGCACCTTCAAGGGCTTTTAAAAAATGAAAATCGAAAATAAGCACCTTTAAGCACTTCTTAAAAACGCTAAGCACCCTGTCACTTCATTTAACCAAGATCAATTTCGATATAACCATGGCCATATCGTAGTAAAGTTCTAATAATTTTAAACGTTGGATTTGTGGGTCCTTGTATGGCATTTACATTGAGATGGATTAAGCGGGGAGGATTCTTGCACTCACATGTGCAACTCGGCTGCATTTTGCGACAGATTTCCGATTTTATGCTTCATCTCCCGCCTTTTAAAATCAAACAGAAAATCTCACAAATTTTTGTTGATTATGGGAACCAATTAATTATTTCTTTATTATTTCAAAATAGTAGAAGAAAATTTTATTACTCTTTCTTATAAATTTCTTTTTTTCACTTTGTCACAGACAAACCTCACACTGTTCTATTTATAGATGAGTACCACAATCCTTGATTTGGGGTTCATTCACTAAATATTTCCATGAGTCTAGAGCAAACAACAATCATAGAGTCTAAACACTTCAACATTTTTCACTTGTTCATAAATTTATTAGGTTTTTTTAGTTTGCTTAATTATTTTTATCTTTGCTAATATGACAATGCTTCTGCTCAGTATACATTTATAAATGATTTTATTGAAATCTAAGGAACACAACTGATAACTTTATGAAATTAAAGATTAACGAGCAGTAATTTTGAATAAATTTTTTTACATAATTTAATGAAGTAATTATTAATTTAATGAGCAACTTTATATTGAATATATTTATAATTGTGCTTAAACGTTTTTAAGGTGGCAAATATAATAAAGTTCTTCCCTAGAAACTAGTTTTGAAAATGATAAATGTTTTTGCATTTTATAATATATATATAGAAAGGGAGAGAGAAAACATGGAAACAAATACGTAAAAGGAGAATCTCATCATGAGTTCACACTATATTATGTAAAAAAAAGTGTTTTCTAATATTGTATTAATATAGCCAAAGCAAAATATATCAATACAATAGTGTGAGGAGCAACAAAAAACTGAAACGTAAATAGAACTTATTAAGCAAAAAATGTGAAATAAAACAACCAAGCAAAAAATAGAAAATAAAAAAAAATCAAGAATATACGGAATAAAACTCAAAATGTAATAAATAAAGCAAGTAGAGAATTCAAATGTACATTTTATTAACATTTTTAAAAAGTGATTTAAAATGTTTTCATAACAAGTTCGCCAGATTACAATATATGAAAATAAAAGCGGAAATAGAGGATGATGAAATCAACTTATGCGTTCATACTTTTTACTAATACACAACAAAAAAATACAAAGCAATATACATAAAAAATTTAGTAAGATAACTCTTGAAGGTACAATGATGTATAAAGGCGAATTAGGAATACAAAATAAATATTTCATACACAGAGCTATTCTTTAAAAACAAATCACCAAAACCATAGGTCAACAAAAAATTTAAAATTTCTCAGAACCAGGGTTAACTTTTTCGGAGACATGTTGTGTAATGAAAAATAGCATAACTGAGTTTTGTTTTTATAAAATAACATCAAAAAAATCTTTATCTTTTGACTTAATATTATTTTAAACTAAATAAAGTAGACAAATGTATGTTTACTTTTAAATGTTTCTAATTAGAATGAACTTTAAAAACCAATTGGAGTACCAGACAAGAAATCAGATGAAATCTGGAAAGTACTATGCTTAACCATAGCAAATGATGAATCCACTGCATTCTATTTAGTGCTGAGACATTTTTATTGATAATTATCTTCATAATATATTTCTTTTGTTTTATGTGTGATTATCCACAAAATAATCAGCAACAGTACATTTATTATTATTTGTAGAAATATCTGAATAATTTCTAGAATTTTCCCTTTTCATTTTTAAATAAAATTTGTAATTATAAAGATCAAAAAATAGAGAAGATGCGTTTTTCCTGTTTAAATCTGACAAGAGGATATTAATTCTAAATGTTATGTTAAAAAAAACTTTTAATTTAATTTATTTATTAAAAAAAATATTCAGGTTTTTAATGCTAAAAATAGCAACTGCAACTCTTTAGCCACAATGGTGACCTAGTAGACTTTTCAACCCCTCATCATAACTCAAATAAAATATTTTGTGATTATTATCATTACAAAAAAGCAATGCAAATATCAAGAAAATACTATACAAACCTTATATGTATATAATCCAAACTAAAATATTAGCAAATTTAGGCTATAAATAAAGTTAAGTTCAGTTTAAAAAGTTCTCCTTATACCCAATTGCATGATGCATAGCCACATTTTTCAACAAAAAATCTCTTAAATTGCAATTTTGATTAGTGGGAAATTCTCATAAATTTTTGTGTTTTTACTAATTATCTTTACAATAGGAAAAATATTTTTGATCAAATTGATGGAATATTACAAGGGTCTAATTATTCATCACTCTGAGCTAACTTATTTTTATATAATTCTGAAAAAAATTATACTCTCAATATTAAATTAGTTTTCAGATTTATTGATGATTTAATTATCTTTAGTTTTCAAAATTATACAATTTTGTTAAATAATATTTAACCCGAATAAATAATATTGCTTCGTAATTATGACGATAATAATTTTATTTTTTTGGATTAAAGTACATAAAAAAGAAGAAATATCTGCAGTTAATTTATACGCTGAAAGAAATGATTTTGAATTTAATATAAATAAACTAATTACATGGAATTCTAGTGTTTCTAAAAACATTTATTTAAATACAATTTGTAATCAAATGAATAAGAACAAAAGAATTTGTTGTAATGTTTATTTACCGAAAAAACAAATAGACGAACCCTTCCAAAATTTAATAAAAAAACAATGGGTATCCAATTAATGTAATTAAATTCTACATAAAATTGTTGAGTGGATTGTATGTCATAATTAAATATTTCTTTGTTAACTAAACTTATATTTTTACCATGTGCAAATCCAATTCAGACAAATCCGTGCACAACGGGTAAATCATGTTTATTTATTTATTAAATAAATGTTAATTTTTTAAAATCAATAAAATTTTATATTTAAATATCAACCTTAATTAATTATAAATTTTAAATGATCCAGTATAATATTAATACCTTGCGCACATCCATTTTTGGGCCAATTTAAGGTAACTAGCAAATCATGTGAACGCAAATTTTTTTTTTTTTTTAAATTTTTTCTTGCAAAATTCATATGCCAAGCTATTACTATTTTTCTAATGAGAGTCATACTGATGATGGAGTATTGTACTTTTTGAAAAATCTTAGATAATGAATAGCAAAATTAAAATATTATTATATTATCACCCTAACATTGACAATGATTTTAATTGTAATGATATTCACAAAATAGGACCAAGTTCTACACAAGGCACAGTTCTGAAGGTTATAACTACCTGAAAGGTGCCAATTATCACATTTTTAAAAGAACTATGAGTAGTGAATTCTAAAAAAAAATTTAAGTTAAATATTTAGTTAAGGATATGTTTTGTTGTTTAAACTTCTGTAAATTCAATTTAAAACAATTTACATACACAGAAATTTTTTCAACTTTTTTGTTATCAAAATCACTTAGTTTTTATAAAAAATAAACATATTAATTAAAGATTTAGTTAAAAATATGTTTTATTGAACAAACACAATTTAAAACAATTTAGACACATAAAAATTCTTTAAAACTTTTTTAAAAAAAAAAATCTAAATTACTGCCTTAAAAAATAAACATATACTGTATGAATATATCAAAAGCAATTCAATTTCAAGCATAATTCAAAAAATTACATACAGAAAATTTCTAAATAAAAGGATTATATTCAATAAAGTATGTTTCCATGATTACCATTCTTTTTCAGCCCACTGTTCAATAGAGGCCATTCCATCCCGTAAGTGTTTTAAAATCTCTGGTAACTGATCAGGCTGCTTCGCCAAATTTACAACACGTATGACACCCATGACATCCCTTAAAACAATGGCAATTAATAGAGACCAATCCAAACAGCCTGCTTCTAATAGCAATTGTAGTAGATACCTGCAACAAAGAAGTCATAAAAATATGTTTCAGACACGTAAAAAATAAAGTCATTTCTGGACATTTTTTAGATAATGTTAAAAAAATAAGACATTTAACTTTATCTTTTTATATTGAGATAAAATGAGAAATATAAATGAACAAAAAAAGTTCGATTCTATAATTTTCATAAAACAAATGTCTCGAAGAGAAAAATCTCTTACCTTGTCTTAGTAATGAAAAAAAAAACTATTTTCAAACATATAAATTAAATAAACATCAGTCACGTGCACAGAGGAGGACCAAGCATTCAACCAGAGATGGGTATCTAATATATGACTAACAATACTATTTATTTCATTATGAATTTAAATTTTTTTAAACAGGTAAATATTTGTATCAAAAAAAATTTTTGGAGAATAAAATGTTTTTAAAACAATCAAATAAGTTTTAAGGTGGTTAAAAAGTGAGCAATATTACAAATAAAATTTAAATTATGTTTAAGGAAAAAATAAAGAAAATTATTTTGTTGGAAATAATTCATCTTTTACCAAGTCTTAATTTAGTTATGAGAACCACGAATATTGTAAAAAAATGGGAGAAACTTTGAGGCCAACTAACTACAAAAAATACAAGTAAAAATTATAATGACAAATGGACACCTATATTTATATTGGTATGACGACTATACACATATGCAAGTAGCTCCTACGAAAGATATACATACATGCATACACACATATATATATATATATGTATACATACATATATGTATATACATACATATATGTATATACATACATATATGTACATACATGCAAATATATTTATACAGTGGAACTATTGCCAATACTAAACTATGCCAGATTTTACGTTACCCATTTTGAGAATAGCCTGTTGTATATATTTTTCTAACAGAACAAAAAATTTTTTTTTCGTAAGATACTTGTTTATTTTCTATTTATAGCTTTTCTGGCATTCTTTCTATATTATAGTCTGTTTGTCTATGAGAGGAGATTTCCCCCTTGTGTCAAAATCAGAAGGATGGTGGATTGGGCAAAACACAGGAAGGGTCGTTAAAGGAAGTATGGGAGATTAAATCACAAAATTTAAGAGCAGAATTTTTTCCAGCAAGTTTCAACCTTTAAATCTTAGAATTACCCAATCATTTCAAACGCATTACACTAAACAACTGACTAGATAATAGTTTCTTTTTCCTTATTTCAATGACTTACAAGATGCTTCTAAAGCAAAAAAAAAAAAATAATAAAAAAAATAATGCTCTGGAAGCTCAACATTTCCCTTCTAGAGAGTAAGACAGTGTCCACTAAAATGCATTACAAATGGGTTTAATAAAGCTTCTCGGGGTTAATTGGATCTCTGTATCCAATGGGAACATTGGCCCTTCAGAATAAAATTTGGTAGCAGATCTTCCTAAGTTGATAACGCGTAGATATCAACTACAATATATATCCCATATTTTCAATTCCTTCAGTATCTGATTTTATGCCCACTCCCGATGATAGTTATGAAAACCAGCAAAAAATAAAATAAAAAATGTCAGGGGATATACCCACAACTGATCTAGAATTTGAAAGCATAAAAATCTCTGAAACATTTGCGAATGTAAATTTGCAAAAAATGATAAGTATCAAGAGGGATATTGTTGAATTTGTATCTAAAAGAAAAAAATACGTAAAAATTACATATTTTTTTCAGTAGTTCATATTGTAAGTGTGGATTTTTGAAAAATATACTTACATTTTTTTAAAACTCCAATTTAACATTATCCCGCTTTGTGCGTTTTTAATGCGTCTGATTTATGCGTCTTATTAAATATAAAATCGAGGCTTCACAATCGGTATATATATATATATGTATGAATGTGTGTATATATATTTATATANATCGTCATACACATATATATACATATATATATACATATATATATACATACATATATATATATTTATATATATATATACACATATATATTTATTTGTGAACTTTATTTCTTTTTTTAATTTTTTTTAAACTTTAATTTTTCTTCTACTTTATTAGCATAATTCCCTAGGAATTGTGCCAAAAAAACTCAAATTAGAGACGAAGAATTATCATGGTTAGGACCCTTGATCAGTATCAAATGCCAGTACCACACTTTTTAAGGTCAGTTGGGAACTGCTGATGCATAATTCCATTTTTCAGTAAGATATTTCTGTGATTACACTTCTCCTTTAAAGGGCTTCTAATAGAGGTGTTTGCCCAAGGCATCCACACGTCACTGACAATATACATAGAATTGATGACTGAATAGCGATAAAAATGAAGTGATAGTTCCTTAATTTCACTGTAATATATATTATATGCTACTCAGTTCATAAACAAAAAAAAAATTCAGATATAAAAAATTATATAACTATTCAGCATTGTATACCAAAACTTTTTTTGGATATAAGATTTAACAAATATTTTTTCTCAAATTTTTGAAATTTAATTTCACTAGCTTTAATTGTAGCCTGTTATTATTTTACAATAAATACTTTATACCATTTACAACTTATAAAACAATTCACATATAAAAACAAATCACCTTAATTGTACTTCAGTTTCTAATGGGCCTTTACTAATTAGATCTTCTGGAACATTTTCCAATTCCAGGGATGAAGGTAATGATGAAAAATTTTCTTCGTCAAATGTGTTCAGACTGTCATCTGTCCATAAAGAGCTGTTTTCTGAGACATCTAGGGTTAATAAGCTGCTTTCTAAAAGTAATTTAAAAACTAGTTTATACTCACTAAGTTTGGAAGTTATCTGAATTAGCAGTTTGTATGATTTTAAATTATAAAAATTACAGTAAAAAAATATATTTCAAAATTTACTGAGATTGAATATTGAAGAAAAAATATTGAATTAATTACATGCTTGTTAGGAATGAAACTGATATATATCCAGCTTTTAAAATGTTAAACTATCCGATATACAACTTTTTCTTTTATTTAACCATTTAGTTGTCAAAAATTTGGTGCAAGACATGCTTACTTTTTCCCTCACAGATAACTTCTTTTTAATGTCATCCAATAAAAAAAAACATCATTCCGTGTAACAAACTACAAATTTTCAACTCTGCTGCTTGTCTATTTGAAACCCAAGAAAATGACAAGGAAATAGAACACAACATTACAGGAACAAGCATTGAGACAAATCCTCTAGTGTGGATAATTTCTGAATAAAAATCCAATTGCCACTCTTTAAATTTTTTTTTGAATTTGTTGAATGTAATAAAGAGGCAACAGCTTAAAAGTTTTTTAAAATACATTGCATAATACTAAATTTAAACGAATTTTGTGATTTTGGAAGAAAAAAAAAAATTAAAATAAATCAGTCTTACAAATAAAAATTATTGAATTACCTGTCTGTTAATGTCTCAAAATTTAAGTATTCTTTGAACATTTAATTTGGTTCAGTTCTTACTAAAAGCTAATCTGAAGCCTAAATATTCAGTTGAAAACTAAAATTGATTTCAACATTTTTAATTAAAAAAGTTTTTTTTTATAATTTTGAATGTAGTCAAACATTTTTTTAAAAAAGGCAATTAGTGGTAGATCATCAGTTCACGATTGCAAAAATCTATTGATTATTTATTTTTTTAACTGGATTAAAATAATTTTAAATAAATTATACATACAATCTCTATCACATCAAAACAGTAAAATAAGTGGATACCACAAAATTTAATTATTTTTAAATTTAATTAATCAATTTTTTTCATCCTTAATTTATCTTAGAGCTCTAAAAATTCTGAACAGCAAATCAAGACAAATAAACAAATGAAGAAAAAATCACTTCTGTGAAATTTGTGCTAAGCCCAAACTTATTATATAAAATTTTTGTAACTTAAAAATGTAATTAATTACTTAAAAATTTAATCAAATATTAAAGGGAGATAAAAGGTTATCTGTCACTAATTTTATGAAATTAAGACTTGAATAACAACTAGAAATTTTTTGTTTGAATCTAATAATACAAAAATTAAAAACGCTGAATTTTTTTTTTTTATTGGGTGAAAATTTATCGATAAGTTGAATCTGGACAAATAAGGCAAAAATTAGTCCCATTTGTGTAACATTGGGATGAAAACCTTCAACTTTAAACAAATAGTAAGGTGAATCTAGCCATGTAGCCTGTGATTCTTAACTTACCTTAATTATAGGATAAATGCAAGTCCTATGCACTTAATGAATAAGTGAATTATCACTAGAATTGTTACCTTGTTAATGCTATTTATTTACATAAATTTACTCAATAAACTTGATAGCTAAATGTTTAGAAATTTGAATGTTACGGAGCAAAAACACATTTTTTTTTATGTTGTGGCAAAAATATGGAGCACTTTTCTTTATTGGCACTTTTATATACATAAGCAATTAATTACACACTTTCCACAAGTGAAATTATTTTTAACTAGTTTTTCAGCAGCCAAACAAGCAATGGGATCCATGTTTTTTTTCTCCTTGGTTTCAAAATTACAATACTTAATTTTTTTATAGTAAGTATTTAAATCCTACAAAGATTACTTTTAGAAAATAAATGTACAGAGTGCAGGAAAAAAAAAAGCAAATACTTTTAATAACTTCAGCTCCAATGATGGAATTTTCATGAACTGAAACTCAATATTTATGATTTCAAGACTTAATCTTAAATATGTGAATTAATTTGTGTAGATGATATTTTAGTTAATGAAAATAGAAACAAATACGTATTTTCCATGGAATAACCTACAATATCTATTAAATCATAATACCAATTTTTGATGGATTTTGATTCCTTATTCTCAAAATATAAGGGGCTGCAGTAGCAACAGGAAAACAGGGTCTTGAAAATTTGTACCCCTTATATTAATTTTAAATTTTGTGCTGATTTTGCTCTATCTAAGCTAATAAAAGGAAAATTTTTGCACACAATTATAAAACTTTTTTTATCCAAAGATAATTCAAATAAAAAATTATTTTACAATTATTTATTAATTTTTTTTGTGTGTGTGGCGATTATGAATAGCATGTACAACCATACAAACTAATTGAATTAAATAAATAATAATTAAGTACTTGATTTTACATTTTAATAACTGATTTAAGAAAAAGAATTTTTAAAAGACGTAGTTACCTTTTTGTTTTGGGGCAAGTTTAGCTTCAATAGTTTGGTCAGACACTCGATCCAAATTTGCATTGAGTTTACTGGGAGGAATTCCAAAAGAATTCTTTATTTTATCAGAGGGATTAATTCTGCAACCATTGTCTTGCATGTCCTTATAATTAACTTCATTTAGTTTATGATAAGTAGAATTAGATTTAAAACCTGACTCTGTGATGACAGATTTATAATCCAAAAAATTGTGCATTAAATCTGGAAAAAGAAAAATTTATTAAATCTAACAAATTATTATTATTTACATATGCAACAAATATTCCATTCAATTCAGTTTATTAGAGAAGATATTAAGTTATAAGCATTCGTTTTTATCATCATTACACAAACATTTTAACACAAGGACATTATTAAATACCATCTAAAAGGACACAGGTATTACACAGCTTGAAATTTTTTTTTAAATATTTAGCTCTAAGTAGCATTCTGTTTTCTAGAGAAATTCTCAATTTCTTCAATTAATATGTTTAATTCATTTTTTTTAAACTATTACAAATTTTAATTTTAATTGAAGCTTTTTTTACCAAATTTGCATTGAGTTTACTAGTAGGAATATTAATAGAATTCCTAATTTTATCAGATGAATGAATTCTGCAACCATTGTCTTCATGCCATAATTAAATTCAGTTAGTTTATGATAAATAGAATTAGATATAAAGTCTGACTCAATGATGACTGATTTATAATCCAAAAAATTGTGCAATAAATCTGGAAGAAAAAAAATTATTAAATCTAATAATTCCCTGTTATTTATATATGAAACACATATTCTATTCAATTAAGTTTATTAGAGAAGATATTAAGTTATTAAAATCATTATTATAAAAATGATTCTAACTAAATGACATTATTAATTAAAATTTGAAAGGGTACTGGTATTAACACATTGCTTGAAAAATATTTCGTTAAAGATTTAGTTCTTAAAGTAACATTTTGTTCTCTAAAGAAATATTTAATTTCTTTACAATAATAAGCTTAATTCATTATATTTTCGTTTCACTAATTAAACTCGTAAAAATCTTTATTGGAACTGAACTTAATGTTAAATAAAATAGATTTCAAGCCGGTATTTTTTCCTTAACCTTTTTTTCTAGTAAACTTTTACAAAACGAATAAAAGTTATAATTTGTAGAGTAAATTCTAATTTACTCTTTAGATGATCAGAATAACTCATTTTGATCTGATGGTATGATTTTATTAACTGAACTACAAATTTTAAAATTGGTTAAGTGAAAAATTTGAATGTAAAGATAGATTACATTTTAACTTTAGAGTAAATACAGCTGAAAAATCCCTTATATGGAATCGTCAAGACTTTGGCAAGTCCGTAAAATAGATGTTTTGGATTATAGGTAAAGAAACATCACAACATGCATCCGTCAATAAAAAAAAATAATAAACCATCAATAATTAACGTCAATTTCACACAGCAACGTTCTCTTATAGGTTAAAAAATAAATAAAGCTGCAGACGATAAGAACTTTCTCTTTCATAAATAAAGACATGTTTTTCTCTCCCTCCCCCCATCCTCCATTTCCTGTGCAGAATTCGCTGGGCAGATAATCAGAAAAAAATAATATTAAAATAAAGCCTCATGTTCTAAAAGTAAATTAATTCAATTTAATAAAAAAATAATATAAAACAAAGAACAAAATCTAGTAGATTTTGTTAAGAAAACAATTTATACCTAACTTAAAGGGAAACAAAGCTTGCCTGCAGGTGTTTTTTTCAAACTCTAATAATATTTAGCTATATTAGTATTCATTGCTTATTCTTCTTAACCAAGTTTTTTTTTTCTTTAACTACTCTCATCTTTTGAACACATCTTACAGTCTGTTTATTGAATAGATATCTGAAAAGCAGCAAGAAATTTTTTCTTAAATATCCTTTTTAACAGATTGAATATATATATATATATATATATATATTAAATATGTAACTTAAGCCATTTGTAATTTCAAAATTATCATTCATTATTTATATTCTGAAATAAAATAATAAAAACCACACTATATAATTATAAAGTTACATATTTACATTTGAACTGAGTGGAAATTTAAACTTAAAATTTTTTCCCCTTATAATATTAANTCCTCCAGAAAAGAACACGATCTGGTAGCTGGGTTCTGAAATACTTGTACTATTTGCTGGAGAGGGATTAGTGCTAATCAAGCAACGTCAAGCCTAGTTCCCATTCTTCGCAAATAAATTCAACTTTCATCTCCGTGACGTAAGAGATACAAGTATTCTCTCTGAGCAGCTCATGACTTGTGTACTTGATATATTATGCTGCGTGACCATGCGTGGAATGTTTAGCATTTCTTAACTAAATGTAATTTTCTTAATCGATCATTACGTAAATATAAAATGATTTCTTTAAAATCTTAATCGGTATGGATTATTTATTCAAATTATAATTAATGTCAAAAATGTAAGAAAACACTCAAAACCAGCAGATTAGACATTCAAAGGATTACATAGTGGTGCATTTATTGAAATGGTTGGTAAATATATACAGTGGAACCCGCTTAAGAAGTCTTTTTAAGAGACTAGAAAGAAATGACTTATTAAACGGGATAACTTCTTAAATGGTTGAAGGTTAAAAATACACAAATTTTTCGCTTTACCAATTGCTAAAATCGGTAATTTTTCTGTACCATTTATACTACCCCCACCTTAAAGTATCAAATGTTCTTTTTTTTTACTGTTTTTTCCTACATGGCAGCGTTCACCTTTTAATGCATAAGTTTTATCGGGATTGAAAATATTGAAAAACAATCCACATTTCTCCATGTTAAAGTGCAGTTCATACTTCATCAGGCTCTCCAACTTTCATTTACAGTGGACACAATGTCCAAGCGATTTCCCACATTCTTATCAGTTTCATTGTTCATCTAAAGTTTCACATTCCTTTGCTCACACCTGTTCCCGATGAAACACCTTTTGTGTAATGGGGGAGCAAGGAAGGCCTGCGGTCTTTGTTAATTTTGCATAGTTCATGTATCTGTTTATGTCACAGAAATGTAAAACTAGATAAGACATTTTAAGTATAAAGTTTAATAAAAATGAAGAAAATTGCAAGCGCGTGAAAACTTATTAACCAGGAAAAAAACTTCTTACAAAGGTAAATTTATTAGGTATATTATTAGGTACATTATATTATTAGGTTTTTTAAAAAAATAACTTCTTATGCGGGAAAACTTTTTAAGTGGGAACTTCTTAAACATATTTCACTGTATATATATATATATCCTTGAAAAGGCTTATTTTGATTGTAAAATTTGATAGACATTTCTGGTAAACAGACATCCGGATATGGGACTTAATACTATAGTGTATTTTCGTTGAAATACCATGAAAAAATAATGAAGATCATAATAAAGAGTTCAATTAAAATACAGGCACTGATTGTGGATATGAATTTCAAGCTAAATAATTAGAAAGAGTCAAGTTTTTTAAACTGAAATGGATAAAATTTTGCAGATCTTCAAATTACTTTCCAAGAAAGGATATTACAATAATAAAAATCTCCCAAAATTTTAGGTTGTTTCACAAGAAATGAACTTATATAATATTTTTTGAAATCACAGCAGACAACATTTTTTTTAAAAATAAATATTTTATCAACCTTAATGCACTTTTGTTGTAGATTGCAAGGCAATAAAGCATTATGTCATTTGAACAGAACAACTATGATTTAAAGAGAATGACCTGAAGAAAAAACTGATTGGATAACCCGTTTGGAAAAATTAAAATCCTTAAAAATAAATAAATAATAGTTTAGAGATTATAGATGCATAAATTTTATTTATGGAACATTATGCAACATAATTTTTCACTTTTCACTAAAAAGCAATAATGGATATATATATATATATATATATATTTCCTGGCAATTTCATATATAGTTAAAAGCTTTCATATAATAAAAAATATCAACTAAGAAACTAAGTGAAGGAATCTATTTAAATATTGTTGGTTATAAGAAAAAATGTTATTATATTAAAGTACTTCTATTAAAGAGTACCTTTTCCAACAAATATACATACATACCTGCATTTTTATTTAAGTTATTTGTACAAAGTACAGATGATAAGGGAAATGGCCATTGAAAGTCTTGATGGAGTGTAAACAAAGCTCGGAGAAAATCATCAACGTGAGCAGCCTGGTCCCTAAATTATTAAACAAATTGTTTGAAAATTAGAGATAAAAATACAAAATGCCACATCTTTATTGTATCGTTTCTATGTAAATATAATTTACAGAAAAATTTGAATGCAGTAGGTAACATAATTAATTTGCTTGTGCTTTAAATTTAAGATGAAAAAAACTATTTTTTTTTTGCATTTTTACAGCAAATTTCACTATTTAACATTGATATCACATTGCATAACAAACAGGCTTAGGACCATACTATTCAATAAAAAGGCAGTGCACGGAAAGAAAAAAAATCACACATTAATTAGTGATCAGTGGCAGTTAAGATTGAGGCTCAATTTCTTGAGACAGTCAAAATAAAGGGATTGAATCATTGAAAGGCAGTAAATACATGTCTTACTATTGGGTATATATATAATAGCTTCAGAGAACAATAATATAATTGCAATAAAACATTATGTAAATGTTAGGTATGTTAAATTTATCGAAAAATTACAGTATGGTTAAAATTAAAATATAACCTTTTGAGATTAAAAATCAAGATTCAACTTTGAATAATGCACTTTTAATTCATTCATTTATTTTTTTGGCAAAGGACTCTGAATTTGAGTTTTCAGTCAAAAAATAATTTACATATAGCTTATTTATCATTAACATATTATGAAAAAATTACCAAAATAAGTTAATGTGGGAATAATGTGGGGTTTCCATAAAACAAATCCACAATTTTTCATTCTTCTGAAAGCAGAAAAGTTACACAAAAGAGACATTTTAATGCATTTTTGACCAGTAGTTTAACAGCTAATGTTTTAATCTCAATCTTTATTTTTCCAGAAACCACAGAAGCACTACTGGAAAACTTTTCACACAATTTATACATCATTTTTTAAAAGCAATACTAATAGTTTGATGGATAAAGATCAATCTCATCAATGTTACAACACATTTTAATAGTAACAAATAAGTAAGAATTTAAATTATAACAATATTTGAAATAATCCTAAAACATGAAATAATTTAAAAGTGAAAATTGAAAAGCACGCAACAAATCTAGAACACAAAATAATAAAGTGAAAAATTAAGAGTAAGAAAGAAATGTAGATTTATTAAAATTTCTGAAGATTTAACTTCTATTTTAAGAAAAATCAGAAATCTTAACAAAACAAAGAGTTATAGGGTCTTTAAACATAAAAGATTAACAATAAGTTGAAAAAAAAACTTAAGATTTATAGGGAAAAACAAACAAGACACTGACCTTTCCTTAGTAAAGAATGTAACTAAATGAAAATCAAGATGAGCTGCAAAATATCCTAAATCTTTCAGTTTTCCACAACTGAGCAGCTTCCGAGCATGCCCTACTAATAGAGCATCTATGAAAAATTCATCCTGATTCGGCTTTTCCTTATGTTCAGATATTCTCCTAAAATAACATAAGAATAATTAACAGAAATTTTTCTATGTTGTTTGCTATGGAGAATTTGATATCTAATTGCTGGCAAAATGCAAAATATTGACATTTGTACTTACAAAAATGCAGAATATATATTAATGAAGTTTTAATATTTGATAGATCAAAACTTTTTTAAATACCATTTCTCTGATTTTTTTTTATCAATGCATTAAAATAAAGAAATCTTACTTATATCTATGCAAAAAAATACTTATCATATGCTTGAAGCAAACATTGAATTTTTTAAAATAGAAAATGCTAAAACAGATTTAAAATTTATTGGGAATGTATGTAATTTTTTAAAACTGAAGATTCCAAGTAAAAAAAAAAGTGAGACCTAAATAGCTAAGGGTTCAAAATTAATGATGATCGGTTGGACAAAGGCGACTGAAATTTGACTAGAATCATAATAAAAGAATTATCAGTGGTTCCCTAGACCAGCAATCAGTGTAAAGTGTGATATGCTGTTTTGATTTTCAGTTTCCTGTTTTGATGTTTTTGGACACAAAATAGCACATTACATATTAATTGAGACTTGTCTTCTGGAACAGTGGCTGAATTTTCTGAATTTCTACACCTGAATAATAGTATATTTGCAACATTTAAAAAATCATACCTTCTCCTAGGAATGTTATGTGGCTCACTAATTGTTCTTGTAATATCTTGATGTTGAATTCGTGACGATTTATCTTGAATTGCAGAAGCCAATTTTTGGGAAACAGTTGTACTTTGAGATCTAGTTCTACTTAATGAGACAGTTCCTAATACAAAGGACAGATCATCTTCTGTTGGACTTACAGGGGGTGTAGAATGAGGTATACCGTACTTATTTGGTAAATTAAAGGAACGAGGAATCATTTCATTATCTTTGGGGTCTGAAAAAGAAACATGCTGAATATTAATTTATCATAAAGAGTAATAGATCAAACTCACACATACAAATATAAAAATTTTGATTTATTTCAAGATCATCTTAGTCTTCAACATTTGTTGTTTGTTACTGGCCTCAGGATCAGGGAATGCATTTGTAAATTACTTGTTCAAAATTTTGAGGATGCTCAGATCCAGAGATAAGTTTTCTCTCAGTTTTTAGATAGGTTAAATCATCTTCATTGAAAAAATATAGCGTTGGCATCACAATTCCATTACGTAACGGAATCCAATTATAAATCGAGAAATAAAATAAATCTTCTACTTAATTACACCAGTTGCATCATTGAAATTAAAAATTGCCAAAAGATGATCATTTTTCCCATCAAAATTCAATTAGATTACTATGCTGGACTTTCTTTAAATTCTTATTTCCAGTTAAATATGTTTAACAATTAACTAATTTTGATATGATTTAGAAATCTTTGAGTTTAAAGTGTTTAGTTTTTATCATTTTACCAATGTACATTCATAGGAACTTGAAATGTATTTTTTTAATTTAAATTATAGCATTTATTTACCCAAAAAAGCACAAAGCATTAAAGCAATTAAATGCAGTAACTTGAATTAAATATAACAACAGCCAAACATGGATAAACAAAATAATTTTATAATTCAAAATTTATTCAAGGCAAAAAAAAATTTTTTTTTGTTCAAGAAAATTATGAATAAATGGAAGAAAAATAATTCCATAACAATTTTTAAAAAAATAGAATTAATAAACCCTTAAAGAGTAAATATGTAAGTCCAATTAAAATTAAAGGTGAATAAACTTACCAATTGCTTTTAAGAATCTCACAAGTTCATTTGCCAGCTAAAAATTGAGATATTCATGCTTTATTATTTTTTAAGGAAATATAAAATAAACAATATAAATAATAAAAATCTTTACCTCCCATTTGCCAGCTTCAAGTGATGAATCTAATAAAAATGTAGCATGCTGTTGACTTACTGATGACAGTTCCAAATTTTGTAAAATTATCAGATAAGATGCAGCTGTGTCCAACTGACCTTGATTTAAGCACGCCTGTAAAAAAATTTCTATAAATTTGCAAAAAAGTAACAGAAATAAATTAATCACTAATATTTTAATTTATAAAATAATTACTTGAAAAAGATTTTTTGGGTTTCCAACAGCTGAAAAGAGGTAAGGCCATAGTGCTAACTCTGTCTTTCTAGCACACTGAACAACTGTTTGAAGAAAAACTGGAAATTCTTGAATGAAATCAATAACTCTTGGTAGCAGAGCATCTGATAGAGAAAATGATTGAAACGATTAATTCTTTTTAAAATAAAATAGTTAATAGTGAATCATAAATAAACACAAGTTATACTATCAGAAAATAAAGTACGTTCAATAACAAATACCAAATCTGAACATAGCTACTATTGTCAATCTGAATGTTATTTTTATTTTATTTAACCTTATTTCCTTTATCAGGGGTGATTGTGAACCCAAGTCAAAATTTCAGAAAATTTCTCGAGTTAAAAAAAAAACGGTTTAAATTGAAAAATTAGAAAAAAATTTAAACAAGGTTTGTTTTCTCCTTTTTCTCAACATTTCTTACTTTTCCTAAAATGTATTTAAAATTTTACACATACCTATGATGACCTGGAGAAGTAATTAAAATTTACAAATATATCTTTCTTTCTTGAGTTTGTGATTATAACAACTATTAACTGATAAAAAATAAATATTAATCATGAATATAAGCTTATAAAGTATCTCTCTGGCTCTCCCTTACAAACAAATAAAATAAACTGTGTGTTTAAGTTCCACCTTTAAAAATTTGATTTCTGCAAACTTCTGTGATCAATGATTTTTTTAAACGTCTGGACTTTCGATCTCCGGAAACTTCCGGATCACTGTTAGCGAAAAATCCGGATTTTTCCGGAGCACAATTAGCCCTGCTTTACGTTTGTTTTTTTGGTTATACCACAAAATCCTCACCTCTTACTTGCATGATATTTTAAAAGCCCCTTATCTTTAAATAAAACTATAAAACATTACCAGGAATTGGATCAGATGAAGTTGCCTCTTCTTCAAGAATTTCATGTAAAAGTAATTCTAAGGAGTGTGGAAAATATGGTAGGGTTGAACAGCTTCGAGCAATTTCCCATGCATGGTACCCTAAACTAATATAATCAAAATATGTGGTTAGTTATTAAGAAAAGGATAAATAAAAAGTATTATATAATAAACTATTAATAAGTTATTTATTAATATATATGAAAAAATATGGTTTTTAATAACGCTTGAAATACAAAGTAAAAAATACAGTTTTAACAGCAAAAGAATAACAGAATAATTCTTTAGAATTTAAGTATTTATTGTTGTTGTAGTTCATTTTTACGTCGCACTAGAGCTGCACAATGGGTCATTGGCGACGGTCTGGGAAACATCCCTGAGGATGATCCGAAGACATGCCATCACCATTTTGATACTCTGCAGAGGGGATGGCACCCCCGCTTTGGTAGCCCAACGACCTACATGCGAAGTCGAGCACTTTACGGTAGAACAGTTTAACGAGGACCAATACCGTTCACCCTCGGTCCCTATGCAGACTAATCCAAGTGGTCCCCCACCCGCACACTGACCGCAGCCTGTGATGCTCGACTTCAGTGATCTGCTGGGAATTAACGATCACTCCACTGCGGGACTTTAAGTATTTAAATTATAAAATTTAATAAGTTGTTTCAAAATCTTAATAAAATTTTATCTTGCTAATTTTTTATAAAGACATATTTAATTGACATTCCTCTTCTGTATTTTCATCAAACTGAACAGTAATTCTAAAAGAAATTATCATCAAATTAGAAATAACTTGATTTGTATTTCTTTTGGAATTAAAGATGCCAGATATGATATAGCTTTGTCTGTTGTATTTTTTCAATTTTGCAATTTTAAATTTCACAAATGAGGATAACATATTTCCATAGACCATGTCTGTTAACTGCCAATTTACTTTTACCATTCACAATGCAAGTAAAGCTGACATAAGATAGTGTGCATTTGAGAAATGAACCTTCTCAATTTCACTGGGAGGGAGGAAATGTTCAAGAATTTTGGGACAAATAAGCAGAAAGAAAAAAACATGAAATTGAAGTACATAAAAAATAATTAATAATAAATTTACTTACTTTCTTTTTAACAGTTGCCTTAATATATGATGAAGATAAACTTGGCTCTAAAAACAAATGGATGCATTAAAAATGATAAAATATTTTAAAAATATATCTTTGTAATAAGGACAAAAGAAATTAAGTCATGTGATATAAATTACTGTAAATAATGACATTGAAATAAAAAAAGAATTTAAAAGAGTTATTTTTAAAAATAATTATCCTGAAAAAACACGAAAGTTTATTATTTTAAGAGGAGAACTGCTGCTGCGTATACTTGTAAAATTTTACAGAAAACTATTTTTATTAAATTAGAATTAAAAAATTCAACAACTTGAACACATGTATTTGCTAGCTAGACTTTTATTTTACTGACCCACTATATAATAGTTATAAGACAATGAAAATATATTTATTTTTTGTCGCGCTTTTTCCTTCAACAAATTATTTGCAATACAAAAGTGAGAAAAAACTGATTTGCAGTGTTGAGCATTCAATTAGCAAAAAATTTATCATGAAGAAAAAATTGTAAATAAATACAGTTTTTTAACTTTCAATAAAGTGAATGGAATTAAAAATTTTTGAATCTATCGGAAGATAATTATAAAAAACACTTAGAAGTAAACTGTAGTAAAAAAAAATTCATTGAAATAAAAAAATAAACTTTTTTTTACAATATTTACTAGTTAATGTGCACACTTTCTTTTCTTCAATGAGAAATGCTATAGATTATTGATATTAAGTAAATATTGCTAATTTGCAAACACAGTTCAAAACCCAAACCATTTTTACAGTAAACAGATAGAGAGAGATAGAGAAACACGAAAGAGATATGTTAATTAATTTTTTATAAGCAGACCTTAAATTTTATTTAACTACGTATGCGTCAGCAAGAATTGTTGTGTACTGTATCTTCTTAACAACTGTATCTGTATACTTAAAACTGTATTTTCTTAAGGTAAAGTAGCTAATATTCAGGTAAGCTAGTTGACATCTCAATTTAATTTCCTTCTGCATTTCTTAATTTAAAAAATTAACCATAATTTAAGAATTTTTAGAAATGTTTTTACTTAAAAATATTAACAGCAAGTTTTTTTTTGAACAAGCATATTTTTATGGTTTGTTTACAAATACATATGTTACAGTTATCTAATTTAAAATAAGATAATTGTTATTTATTTCTAAACAAAAATATTAAAATAAAAAAAACCTACAGTTCGAGACACTACACAAAATGGTTGTTTTCCATAGCTGTCTGCAGGGAGAAGAACTGTTTCGTTTTCAGCTCCAAGAATAACGGCATCTTCATAAAGAACAGCTATAACAATTTTTATCTTATTAGGTACAAAAGAAAATGAATAAATGAAAATGAAATTTTACAAAAGAGAATGAATAAATAATATTGAAATAAAATCATTGCAGTAATGTTTGCAGAGATACACAGCGGCGTTTAAGATTTAAACAGGAAGTTAAGCCAAATTTTTCAACAAAAAATAAGCACCTTTTAAGCAGTTAAAAAAAATATTATAATTAGGAAATACGCACTAATAAAAGAATTTTCTTCTTACTGTTGAAAGTTCTTCATATATATATTAAAAAAATACAAAATAATTTTCCAAGACTTTACATGAATATGATAAAATAATTAGTTTCTGACAAAGAGTTATTTTCTTGATTATTTTTGCCACCATGTAAACAATTTAAACTCAATTTTAAATTAATTCAATATTGAGAGGCTCGTTCTATTTTTAAATTAATAATTTTTTTACTTACTCATGTAATAAATTTAATTCAAAACTAATTCACAACCAACTAATAATTAATTTAACTGTTATGGAGATTCAAAGAAATTTCGAAGAAACATCATTTATAAATATTCAAATATAAATTTATATAATTATGTAATAAAGAGTTATCACTTGTAACAAAATGGATAAAATTAATCAACTGTTTTAATACCTTTTCTGCATTAATTTTTTAAAGGATTACATATATCAAATAAAAAGAACTATATCAATTTGTAATATATCAAAAAAAAATAACATTAAAAAAAAATTTGCAAAGGATATTTTCATATATATTAGAAAGGAAGAACATTACATATGGTAAAGCATCTACGATTAGTGGCACATTGAGAATGTGAGAGAAATGCAGTTGGCACAAAAAATTTGATTGCCATACATTTCCATAAACATGTGCGCATCGAGGGAGTGAGTTAATAAGCAGTATATAAATGCAGACCTATAGCAATCAAATTTTTTATGCCACCCACATTCCTCTTGTTCACTTCCTTAGTATGCAACTTGCATATTGCCTGCCATTTTTAAAATTTATTACTTATTTTGTAACATTTCCTTCAAAAAGGTTGAAAGAGTTACACATTTACTTTAAAAAAAAACTGACATTCAGAAAGAGTTTGATAAACGTTTGGGACTATCTATAGTGGAGTTAGCAAAAGAACAGATTAGCTGTTTTGTTTTCAATTTTAATTACCAACAACTACTTTTTTTTAAATTTTAAGTTATACACCTTTTCATTTATACATCAATTTACTTCAGTCCCCTGACAGATAAATAAATGGTGCTTTGCTGATCATTGCTTTGTAACTTTAAATGAACTAAGAAGATGATTTAAGAAAAAAAAGGAAAAAAAAAACTGACCAAGACTAAAACTATAATTTTAATCATAGGCTCGCTATATGCTTAGGTAAACTTAACTTTAAAATTTTACATGCATTAATGCCAAAAGTTTAATTTCATTTTCTAAGTAATTAAATATTTAGATATTTTATATGAACATAAGCAATCCCAATATTTTCTACAGTAATTTTAGTCTCATACATTACATTTTACTCAATATGTACCTAAAGGATAAATATAAACAGGAACTGGAAGCATTATTCTCTTAGACATAAAGTTGTGAGATCGTTGCTTTTCTCCATCTCTTGGAAATAGTGGCAACCAAACCTTTAAAAAAATAGAAAGATATAAAAATTAAGGAAGTTTTAATGCTGTACAAATGAAGAGATAAGCTCAAAACAATATTTGATCAATATAAAATTCATATTTTATGAATTTATATTACAGTCCTTTAATGCACTCTCTTAAAATATTAAATGTGTAAAACAAATGTTTAACACATCGTAAAACTTATTTAGCGCACACAACTTAAAAAACCATCCATGACAAAAAGAATTAAATTCAAAACATATTTATGTTTCAGTATGTAAATCTTAGTAAATTTAATGTCAATCATTGCTATATAAATATCAAAGTACATTTCTTAAAATATTAGTAATATAAAAAAAAAATAATAATAATAAATTCTACAATGGCAAATAATAAATCCTTAAGTAATTATGAAACCAAATTTTGGCATTCTAATTTTGCATTTAATATCATGTTATGTCCTGTTAATAATACCCGTTTAAATAGTTTTTTTAACTACTATATTCCTGCATCTTCATTCAGACATTCTACCATCATTTAATAAAAATGTTGAAGTTATTTATTTATTTTTTTAGAAAAAAAAACTATCTCATGATGATAATGATTTGTTACAATTTGGGTGAAATGCCTCAAAAACTATTATGCATCAGTAGAAGAAAATGTTGAAACTTCTGGTGTTGTCTATTTAAAAAATGGTTGCAGAAGTTGAACAAAGTATGTGACGTGGAAGAAGATGGAAGATGATAAAACAGAACCACACCAACATTTGTGAAAAGTCTTAATACCTTTGAAACAATAGGGAACTTTCTGTATTCACTCAAACTAACAGAAAATTAACATAATTTTTTCAATTATGAAGTCTATTACTTCTTTTATTACTTTTCATAAATTTTAAAGTCATTATTTGATACTTTATGTTGACCCACATTAATCATTTTCCTGTATTTATCATTCACAATAAATGGCCTCATGGAAAATGGTTTTACTGTATAAGTAAATCATAGTTATTCAACCCTTTTAATCCAGCAACTTTATTAATAAATAAAAGAAAGAAATTAATACTTTGGGAAGCAACTGCCTGAAACTGTTTAGAAAACAAACAAACATTACAGTATATTTCTGAATACAAGCCCATCCATGTATAAGCTGAAGAGTTTGCTTTTTATTTGAAGATCCTCCCAAAATTTAAAACTCGAATGTAAGCTAATGTAAAAAAATAAGGCATGCTACACTTGAAAATAAAAATTTACTCCTCTCTTGTAGTAATGGTAGATCTAGTAATGGTTGCACAGATGTTAAAAGCAGATTGTGTGTGGTGGACCTCCAGAATTAATAATTAGAAAATTATAGTATTCCTATCTAAATGTCCTTTTCATGCTTTTCTTTTTAATTTTTTATGATTAGGTATTCTGTTTTCAACTATTATATAATGTATTTTTATGTTTTGTTTGTACCTTTTGAGATATTTACTGATTATTGGTGATGCTTGACAAAAGGAGAAGCATTTCTTTCAGCCATGTCCTCCTGAAACTTTTCAAAGTCAGGGAAACAATTACAAGCCAACCCCCTAACTTTAGCTTTCAAATATTTACTAAAAATTCTCATGAACATTAGAAATATTAACATTAGAAATATAATACATCTCCTACATTAGAAATATTAATAAAAACAGGGTGAAATTTTAGAAAAGGTAACAGAAGCTAATGGGTCAGAGATTAATGGCCAGTTTTTATAAAAAATTTCATAAATATGTAAACTAGGCTTACGAAACTTTGTGCAATTACAGCACATAATAACCAAAGTAATTGTTGCAAGTAACAAATTTCTTACTACATTTTTTGGAATATTACAAGTTACAGTACACAAAAACACAATTTTCCATTTGTAATTCATTATTGATCTCTCAAACCTCTAAAAGCTTTCCACTTCATTGATAAGTATGAGAAATCACATATACTAAACACTTGTAGATTTACAAAATGATTCTCGTAGAATTTTTCGAGAAATATGAAAAAAATGTATTAGCATTGTAGTGTTTCCATTATTTTTCCCACCCCATATACATTATATATATGCTACTTTGACTTGACTCCAAGGTTGAGGAACACCAAAGTCTACTTCTGTGAATTAAGTCAAGACTAAGAAATTAAAAAGTAAGATGGAATTAAGTGAGCACTATAATTGTTCGAAAGGGGAAAAAAGTGATAATATCAGCTGAATATAGCAAAAGTGGAATTTAGTAAATATTAATCAAGGTGCAAATTTCAAATAAGTTAAATGCTAGTGCACTCAAATACAGAAATAACTGAGAAACATATAATTCACTACAAATGGAATCAACTGGGTCATGTTATATATAATTAACAAGATTCATTTAGATTTTATTAACTCAAAATATTACATTGTTTAGGTACAACAGTTTGAGGCATATGGCAGCCCATTATAATTGAAAGGGCATAACATATGCAGCATTTACAGACCCTATTATAAAGGAGGTCAAAGTAAGAACTCCTAAGGCAATTGTCGGATTGCAAAGGAGAATATGGATTTAAGCTAAATATGAGTCATAGCACACTGCATATAGTTTATAACTGACAAAAGGAAATGTTTGAACTAATCAAAATTACAATACAACTGAGAATACAACTGATACTACATTATAATACAACTGAGTAAAATTTTTTATTTTAGAAATGGTCCTGATAACTTTGATTGCTTTTAATAAAGCTTGTATTAAGAAGGCAGGTTTCTGAATACTTTAAAATTTAAGGATGGGCTGTAATATGATGATATTTTGCAGAAATAACTGAGTGGTCAAATTTGTATAATAATTTATCAAGTATTGCATTTTCATTTAATAACATATTCCAATTCTCCTTTTCACTATGGGGAAGCATCCAAATTGTAATATGTAACCAAGTTTATGATTCAATAGCTGAAGGGTTAAATGAGATTTTATATTCAAGATAAAATATTTAACACAACTAAGATACTTATTCAAATTTACGGTGATAGAACCAGTGTTCATTCATAGACAAAAATGTCTCAATGGTTCACAATTTTAAAAAAAACATACATTTTATTTTTATTAAATATTTGAAAATTTTAATTTTTCTTTAATAAACACACAATCCAATACTACATGTTGCTTTCTCTCTCCACAAAAGTTGTAAGAAAGTATTTGAGATCAGGTGTACCTACACGCATACCATGTGCACCGCAAGCGATCCACAAGGCTTCTGTAAGATGAGGTGTATCTTTTGAGCTGTGAGAGCATACCCAAACATTTTCAACACATGAAGCCAAAACAGTTGGTAATCCATATGATGGTACTTTCTGAAAAAGTGAAATGCAATACTTAAATTTTATTCTATTTAATTTTAAAATAACATAATTAATCTTAGTAAGCACCTACATCTTAGATATGTTCAAAATTTAATGCATTTACTTACATAGTTTATAACTTTCATATTGTCTTACATAAAACAAAAATTTAATAACAACTAATTGAACAGAATCATAATTACATAAGTTAACATAACCATGTAAATTTATGTAATTTCAATTCTGTATTGTGTAATTTTTTGTATTATGTAATTTAATTTTAATTACATAATTTTAATAATTAAGTCAGAGATGTCCTACTTTTAGCAAAAACGAATTCAGCTTTATCAATAAATAATGACTGAATTACTCCTCAGTGCTTAAAGACGTTATCAACTAGTCTTAAATAATAGAGAAAAAAATATCTGTATAATATTTTGCAATTAAAAACACAAGTTTTCAACATTTTATTTTCATTAAAAAAATTTAATTAAATTAGATTTCAAGGTTTTTTGTGTGGAAAGATTGTATTATTTGACCATTTTCAGTGTTTAATTTTAAAATAATATATTTATTTCATATTTGTGTTTAACATGCTTCAGTTGTAGAAAAATTTTGTAAGTTTTAAGTCACGGGTCCACAGATTTTTTGTTTTCAACTGATTTCTATCTTTAACTCTAACATATATTTCAGAGTATAAAAAATTATAAAATGTTATTTCCTAATAATTTTTTATTTTATTTAATGTTATATCATATTTTAATCACATTGCATTATAATATACTAGCTTCTAAAATTACATCTTACTTGGATCCTCCCAAAATTTAAAACTCGAATGTAAGCTAACGTAAAAAAANTATTACTAAATTTCCAAATTATTTAAATATTAAGAAAATTTTTGAATGAACTTTTTCAATATGGATCATTAAAATGGAAAATAATGCAAAAAGAAAATAAAAACTGTCAAAAAATTAAGGCAAAACTTTTATTCAATTTTTAAAAAAAGAAAAAAATAATTATTTATTGGTAAGCAGCATGGTACTTTTTCTTTATGTACACACAAATAAATTCTGCTGTTTTATTTGTCTGGGAAATAAAACTGTTTCAAAAGAGCCAAGAGAGTAAATCGTAAATTCAAACAAATTTAAAAAGAAAAAAAAAACAGTTAAATATACTTGTGTCTTTAGCAAAGACGGGTTTATTGCCTCTACCGGCGCAATGAATAAGTACCAACAGCACTTAAGTTTATACAGACAGAAAAGTTTCAATGGTAAACCAAAGGAATAAAAAGTTTCAGGCTAGATTATTTCTCTTTAAAGTTATAAATTTATAGTATTGTTTGATGCATCTCATAAAAGATTAAAATAAAAAAAATAAGAAACAACACAATTGATAACATTTATAAATGATAAAAATAAGCTAAAGAAGGTGCTGAATTAACCAAAATAAAATCACCTAAATAACTTTTAATCAAGTAATCAGAGTTTAACAAATAAATGTGATATCCTAATAGTTCAAAATGTTTGCACAATAAATAGTAATAATTATTGATTAAAATGAAAATTAGAAAAAAAAAAAAAACATAAAATTTCTAATTTTTAAGTATTGATGACACTAATAAGATATACACACATTTTTAGATTAAACTAAATTCGGATATTATCGCTAAGTTTTTTTTCCTCCTTACTTCTATAAAACAAGTCATGAGACATCTACAATTTTCATTCTTGATGTTCTGATAAATGTGACAAGTTAATTAAGAAAATCAATATTACTCTAAGAACTGTGCATAACACCACTTATACGCTTATGCTAACACCATAGTTTTGTCCGCAAAGACTATAAAATATTTAATAAAATAAGTAGGTCTACAGCATGGTGCTATTAATGATAATACAAAAAGTAATTAGAAATAAATAAAACATCATTACAATAACTACATGGAAAAATATCAACATCATTCAAAACTATAGAAAACAATGTTATTTGAATCATGCACAGAATTATAATAATATCAATAAGTTTTTTTTTCTTGCTCCTGAAAACAGCCACGAAACATCCACAATTTTCATCCCTGATTAACTTTGACAATTTACAGGGTATCTGCTACATTTTAGATTTTCCATGACTAATTCCAAGAATTTTTCATGACTTAACCAAGTCACTATTTTCTCGACAAAAACACAACAATAAGTTTAAAAAAGCATTATAATAACATTAATTGAAATGATAGGTATAACCAAAACTAATATACTATGTACCTTCATATTTATAGATTTTAAATTTTAAAAACAGGGTAAAGAAAGAGTTGAAACAATATAATAGCTGAAAAAAATACAAAAGCAAATAATTTTTTTTCCTGCAGAATTTTATTCTAACGATACTTTTCTTGTTCTTCGGAAAGGAAAGAAATACTGCTGATTTTTCTGTTTTCATTTCGGAATTTAAAAAAATCATCAATGATTGGTTTGCTTCAGCTAGAATTTTAAATTAATAAAATATTAAAAAAATAAATAATAAAGATTCTTAAATCACAGAAGTTTAAAAGATAATTCACTTCAGAAATGATGATTTTCCTTCCATTTTTTGAAGGAACACCATAATTTTTAAAGAACATGATAAAAACATTTTATATTCTAATAAAATAGGACTATAAGTTCGTTATGAATTCAGATATTCGGAACAAGATAAAATAGAGGGGGGGGGGGGGATTCCACTTAAAAAATTAGATCTTTCAGCAATCTAAATTTATGGCTTTCCATGATTTTTTTTAAAAAAATAGTTAAAATCACGACAAATTTTGTTCAATACTGAAATTCATGACTTTCCAGGTGTGCGGATATCCTGAATTTAATTAAGAAAATCAATAATGCTCTAAAACCGTGCTTAACACACCACTTACAAGCTAATGCTAACACCATAGTTTTGTTCGCAAAAGACTATAAAATATGAAATAAGTATGTCTATAGCATGATGCTATTAATGCTAGTACAAAAAGCAATTAGAAATCAATGAAACATCATTACAATAAATATATCAAAAAGTATCGACACAATTCAAAACTATAGAAAACAATTTAAAGAGTGTTATTTGAATCATGCACCAAATTAACATTTTTTTTATTATTTTAAACTCTTATCAACACATAGATAATTGTGAAAAATGCTTTTTAGCAAATGTTATAAACATACCTGAGTATTATTGTTGGTAATATCAGATGTCTTAGCAACAGGATCTTGCTGTAGTAAAAGCAATCGACCACATATGTTTAACAGTATACTTTCATCTCCTTTTCGTGGCCATCTCACTTAAAATAAAGATAAAAATAATTAAGATTAGATTATTAGATTTAAAATAAGATTTTTTTTTAAAAATAAGCTTTAAAATTTGAGAATCAATTACATGCTAGGGCCACATAATGGACATTCATTGGAATTTAGCAGCTATAAACTTCTAAGCAATATATTAAGGAATTTTTCTGAATACAATTAATACCTGTTTCTGTACATAAAGAAGTTAAAATAGCAGAAATCACACAAGCAGGATGGAACACTAAATTTGAAACATCAAGTTCTAAGGGCCTAGTGACTTGTAGCACACTACCTAAAATTAAACATTAATCACTTTTTTAAACAAATATCTTACTTATTCAAAATATAATTTTTTTATGATCATAACAAGGTAAACCTATAAACGAAGATTAAAATATTCATTTAGTACATAAAATGTAAAGAAATTAGAAACAAACATTTCTGATTTAGGAAAAATTGCACTCCTTATATTTGGTGATTGAGAAATTACTTTTTAAGCCTTCATTCTAAATTTTAAGACAAAATGTAAAAGGAAACAATATTTTTATGAAGCAAATGGCTAAATAATGGAGCTAAAATATTTTTTCCTGCTTTCTATTTTAGATTAAAACAAATTTTAAAAAAATAAAACAGAAAAATTAAAACTTATTTAATGACAATATTGAAAGATTTTAAAACTTTTTGTATTTCTTTTTTTCATTTTTCCAGAACAGTAAGATTAATTTAGTATGATTATTCAATAATAATTATAAAACGCAATACAAAAAGTTTCACAAGTCATTTAAAAGTTTTACTAGTTATTTACAGCTAGAGTTCAATTTCAGAGATAGCTCATACTTTCTTAGAGGTTACAAATTACGTAAAACTGTCCATTCATATTGTTTTTAGATAAGTACTTTACAAGTCCTGGAGATTGGAATTTCGGCTAAATAAAAGCACAATGGACTATCAGTAAATCAGTTTGAGGGAAAAAATTTTGGGGGGAAATTTAAAAATGTGATGAATCAATGTTTTGCCCCAAGGACCTCAATCTTAATTTGCGTGGGGAAAAAATCATTCAATAACAGAAATGGCATAACAAGAATAAATAAACATCAGTAGTATCAGTTAATGAATTAAAATACTGTCAGTAAATAAAATCAGTAAATAAAAAAATCCTTTAAATAAAAGCAATAAAATGCAAGTTTATACTTATACTTAAGAGTGCCAAGATTTTATATTTAAGTTAAATTATAACTTTATAAATATTTCAAATTGCAATGTTTACAAAAATATTACAAATCAATAAAAGAACTAAATCTTACTCGTTGGTGATGTTTTCCTTTGCAATAAAAATAAAGTCAAATGAGAATCAGCACAAAAACTCAGAAGTCGATCACCAAGTGCAGAAAGTTGAAGAACTTGAGAGTCCATCTTAACCACACGTAAAAATTGATTGTCAAGTTTACTTTCTTGAGGATAAACACGGATCTAACAAATGTACAAATTTATCACTTACACATTTTTTAAAAAGTAAACAAATAAAGTGCATTAATAAATTTGACAAAAGCACATATTAATTGAGATGTTTGAGTGTCATTTCTTCAAAAAACTATTTAGTACAGTACAATCATAAACTTTTTTAATTTTACATTTCTCAAAAAGTACCACTTAAGAAGGACATTTTTTCTCTTTTAGAACTACCAGAAACAATAAATGTTTTTAAGTTTAAAATGCTTTCTTTCATATTTATATTTTACTAAAATAGATTACTTGAATATAATAGATTTTTTTTTGAGAAAAATAATACCTTAACATAAAGATTTTATTTTACCTTAATGGTTTAAATCTTACAAAAAATTATAGAATTACTTGAAATTAAATAAGTGTTTCCAAAAAATATATATATAAATAAGTAATTGTTTTGTATTGTTATAATAATCATCAATATTTCATGACAAATATCACAAACTAATCTAACTTTTCTCAGTAACTTTCAATTATATATTTAAATAGTAAGGTACATAAACTGTGGTATAAGAAAAAACTATATTCACCTCATCTCTCAAGTCACGTAGATTATAGCAGCCAAGTATAATTTGATCTTCCCACCATAGTAATCCACCCATAGTGACAAAATCTCTTTCCTAAAAAAGTGAACAATGTAAATTTTAACATTAACTCATATTATAAGCAGAGTACTTCTTGAATAATGTGTGTTAATCATATGTAAAACTCCCATATTACCTGTGTTTCATTTCCAAACAATTTCCACCTTCTTTGTACTAGTGAATAATGTGCTAAGCCACTTCTACCAGCAACAGCCATACTCTGACCTTGTGAATCTATAGCTGTGTACTAAAATAATAAGTAAAAAAAAAACATCATTAATGCAAAAATGAGAATAAATTTTGTAATTGCAAACACAATTAAAATATTTATACAAAAGGTTTACATAGATGTAAAGAATTACTATTTAATGATTAAAGGAAAGAAAATGAAATGCAATGTCAATAAAATCAATAAGTTTACTTACTCTGATAGGCCAGTTATTAGAAAGGTAGCCATATGGTATCTAGAAATATTCAAAGAGATATAATTTTCAAAAAAATGCAGTATTATCTTTTACATATTAACATCAGAACAATAATAAAAGCATATATTTCAAATATCTTTAACATGAATTACACCAGTCCATGTTATTTCTCTTTTGTTTTACTTTCCAAGTATGATGATGTTGTTGTAGCAGGCCATTAAGACAAGGGGTACATTTGTTCTTGTTTTCCAGTGGCGCCATCTACAGCCAAGAATTCGACATCTGCCACATCCATACATCACACCCGTTCATATATCCATTCATTCATCTACAGATTGTAATTTTGTCCTGAACAAGAGAACGATCAATCTCCAATCCAGTCCCTCCCCAGAGGCATAATTTGTTATGAGAACATAGAAGAATTTGTGACTCGACAGATTTGCAACAGTTATCATTTACTATACAAGGAGTCTTTGGCAGGCTTGATTCGTACTACTGTTCTCCTGAATGTGTGTCCAGCGCCCTTCCAACTAGTCTATCCCAGCCACGACTTCTATTAAACTTGCAATTTAACTTTTTTTTAAAAAGCAATATAGTTTGTTATCTTACAGAAATATTTTAAGCCAATATTAGAAGTGACTATATTGACAATTCAACTTTATTTTAGTTTTCGTTTTAATTTGCCTAGCTACTAGACAGTCTACTTAATATTATTCAAGCAAAATACCTCAAAAAATTCTCATCATTGTTATCATGCATGCTAATTTGTAGCAATATTTTTACATAGCCACATTTACAAAGAAACATATTATTATTGCATAGTCGTAATTTGTTGATACGCCTTTAGTTACATTAAAAAAAATTCAATACTTAAATTTTATACACAACATTTAAACTATTGAATAAATAAACTCATTTACCTGCAAAAATATAAGGAGTTGTCTCAGAATTTCAAATCAATCACTTAATAAAAAATTATGGAATATTTGCAGAATAAGAACAAGCATAACAGAAAGTATGAGCGTTTTTAAAAAAAGGTAGGTTGTCTATCAAGTAGTTTTTAAGATTTTCCTAATTCCAAATTAAAAACTAAATTCTTGAGAAATTATAATTAATGTTTAAGAAATGCAAAATTATAAATTATAGTTATATATATATCTATAAATTAGGAAATAATGGTTGGACAATTTTGAGACACCACTATTTAGCCAGTTTTTAATATCCATGCTGACTTTGAGCTTCAGTCGGATTTCATAGTATGAAATGGAAAATTAACCTACAATATTTACTATTGTTCTTCTATATACTAAAAATAATTTGGAATTTAACTTTATGGATAAAGGCAATCAAGAATAAAGTAACCAATAAAAGTTTTAGCTGTTTAATAATTCAGCTTCAGCTACATTCAACATATTGCATCCCCCACTGGGCAAAAATAGACAAATCACATTACATAGCACATTGCATTGTTATTACAATAAATATGTACTTACAGGAATGATTATCCATTGCTTATTACCAGCCAGCATCTGCTCACGAGAGATTCCAACAGATATAGGAGATTCTTGTTCTAACTTGCAATCATGTGATACCGGTTTATTATGTATAATATCAGCGCCAGCACTGATATATAATCTGTCTTCAGCTTGCAAAAAAACATGTTCACGACCAGTCTACAACAAAATTTTCCCTTTTAGAAAAATCAAATATTTTATATAAAAATGCAGGTTTAGAAAAACTCAAGCTTACATTAAATTTTTAACTAAGTAAGAACTTTTATTTTTCTTAGAAATTTGCAAGAATCAGTCTAAGAAACATCATTCATTTTCTTTTTAAATTCTTTGTTTTAATTCATTTTAATTTTAAGCAAGAGAAAGACTTTGAATATTCACTAAACAAAATGAAAAAAAAATTTTTTTGAGGAACATAGAAACTAAAAATGTTGATTTAATTGTCAGTTCTAAATTCTTCGTGAATAATTACTTGAGACAGGATAGTTTTAGAAAAAAATGCAAATTGGAGAGAGAGAGAAAAAAGGAAAAAAGAATTTAAAAAAAAAAAGAGTTTTCTTCCAGAGTTTCATATAATTTATACACAGTATTTTCTGGTGCATAAGTTAACTTTTTGTACCCTAAACTTGCAATGTGATTTTGGAAGCAGACACATACAGAATTTTGAAAAATCTGTGATGCACAGAATAAAAGTGTAACCTATTCTATAAGATAAATAATAAGAAAGTAACAAAACTACTACACAGTCATGTCTAATTTAAACTCTTTAAACAAACAGAACATCAAGAGTTCATCAGAAAAACGAACATAATTAATTGAAAGTGAAATAGAAAAAATTGACTTACGTTCATAGAGTTTCATATTGTTTTTATGTATAAATTTATTTTATAAAAAAGGCATTAATACAAAAAATCTTTGCGTCGTTTTACTTATTTATCCGATATATACAAAACCCATCCTTTTATATTTAAAATTTGGGTTTGATTTATACATGGAACCAAGCTATACTGCAGAAAATACATAATTTACAAGTTATCACTAGAATTTTATAAAAATCAAGTATACAAACCATTCCAGCATTAACAGTTAAGGCACTTTTTACAAACTGAAAAATAACTACATCGATTTTAGGGTGTTTCACAGTAGGTAGTGGTTGATTTTCTTCTTTTAAATTAGGTTGCTTTCTTGTTAATGCCCATAACTGATAACCTTCAGGTCCCCACTCCTGCAGGAAAAATCATAATAATAATCAGTAAAATTCACAAAAATTACAATATTATTTGAAATTTTAAAATAACAATTTGAAAGATTTACAAACTATAAAATTTATAACTTCTAAATGAATATTATTACAGGGAAAGAGGACAAAATACCATTATTTTTTTAGTTTAAGTACAATAAAATATATTTTTTCCAACTAAATCCTTATTTTCTATAAAAATCTAACGTGAAAATTTTTTTCCCAGTAAAATAAATAGCTCATTGTTTTTTTTTGTTACTTTATTACTTTTAAAAACTATACTAAAATAACTTATTGAAAAAAATCAGCATTAATGTCAAGAAAATTTAAAATTTTGTTTCAAAAAAGTGTAACAAACATTTCTTTAAAAAAGAAGAAAAAAAAATTTATAACACAAATTTTAAATTATAATGCTTCATCCTTCTTTTACCATTAAAAATTTTTAAACAATATATCTAACATTTTAACAAAATATATATCGAAATTCATGATGCTCACAATGATAATTTTCATACAAACCTGATAAAGTTACAAAAGGAAAATAGCATTAGTTTGATTTAAATTCTATTTACAATAAGAATAAAAAAAAAAGGGTTTCTGTAACAGATACTGCTAACAGGGTGGCCACTCAAATCAGATTTCAAATTTCCCTGATTTTTCCAGGTTTTCCAGATAAAAATCTTAAAATTTTCAGGTTTCTGTTTCTTTTTTCTTACAAAGTGTAGGATGTGTACAAGAAAAGTGTCGATATTATATAATATTTTATTCAAAATGTTATTTTTTATCATCTTGAAAAAAATAATTTATTTTGACAATTTGGCACGATTTTTTATTTAATTTTTAAATGTTTTGGTACAAAATTTTGAATTAAAAAGCATATATTGACCAATAAAAGAGTAAAATTAAGTATTAATATATAGTTGGTTCTTAAATAAAAACATCTTTTTAAAATATGTTATAAAAGGTTAAAATGAAATAGAAAAAATTAGCATTAATGCAACAATCGTAACAATTTATCGACAAATATTGCTGTTAGCGATTGTTAAAAAATGCGTGATTGGTTGGTTTGCTGAGAAAAAATAATTCACAGATTTCTTTGAATGGGAGTAGAAAAGCTTTCAGAAAAAGAGTGCAATATAAAATCTATTATTATTAAATTATAACCAACTAATTTTTGGAGAATTTTACTAAGTTAAAAATACAAAAAACATTTTGTCAAAACAGAAAAAAAAAGTACCACCAAAGCATCGGAACAAACTTGAGCCATAAATGGATTCAGCCCAAGGACAGAATTTAAAAACAGAAGCTAATATCCTAATCCCTTTTTCAACCCCCACCAAAATCTTTCCTAAATTGCTCAGTCCCATAGCGGTCAAAGGTTTCTGCATTCGTTTAGCAACCATGGGAGAATTTTATGTGGCATTCTAGTTTAACAGAGCTGTAATGGAGCAAATTTTGATGCAAGCAAAGTATTGTTAAGGGGCCGTTCAAAAAGTACGTACATCCCGAAGGGGGGAGGGAATTTGCTATTATGTACGGTTTTGTACGATGGGGAGGGGGGGGAGGTATTATACAAAGTACGTACTTTATAAACATACACCAAATTTAAATTTGACTTTATCCTACACCCTCCTTAAGTAAATATTTAATTTTATTTAAAACATAATTATTTTAATTTTTATGAAAAAGGGGGGTAGACTAATAAAATGTACGTACTCTAAGGGGGTGAGNTGTTTTAATTTTTCTTTACTATATCAAGGTTTTTCAGGTAGGTGGCCACCCTATGCTAATGGCAATTATTTAAATAATTTTTGATAAATAAAAATTCAAAAAATTTGTATTTTTTAGCCTTTATTTTCAAAAACACATTCAATTATATTTTGAAAACATAATAATGCTTAATTAAATTCAAATTCTTATTAAATATTGGTTGAAACTTTGTTAGCTGAAAAACATCTTAGATCTACAGGGCTGAAAGTCCATATATATGAAGATGGAAAAGAGTAAAAACTGGTAACCAATAAATTTCATTTTTAGCTTTTTTTCGGAAATAATAAAAATATCCATTATTACCAAATTCTTTCTCTCAAAAGAAGGAAGCATATTCTTATCAGCCTATTTTTATGTAAAATAACATTACTTAAGTCAACTTATAGAAAAAAAATAAAGACCTATAAGAAGTTTGAAATCCGTATTAAGTTGTGAGAATTTAATGGAAACTTTCCTTTTGATAGTAAAGAATTATATATTATTATGGGAAGCTAAAAGTAATAAAATGCATGAATGTGATACGGAATATTATAAATGTGAGATTTCTAAAATGTATTTTTTCTAGTTTAATTTTATTAGTACTTTTCTTTATGCACAAAAGGTTTCATATATTTAAAGATGTTTCTGGTCATAAATTAAAATAACAATGATTTAGCAATTTAAAAAAAGGATGTTTACTTCAAAGAAAGATCGATATTTCAATATTAAAAATATTTTTATATTGTTATTTTTAACTGCATGGATACTGCATATTCTATAAAAAACGGAATATAATAATAGTGCATAAAATTTTTCAAAACATCATCTTATAAGTTAGAAATGGTAAGTTAAAGTTTTTCTAGAAGAGAAAGAATATATTATTTGTTTCCTATTCTAGAGCCTTCCCTCCTAATAAAATTACAAAGGAATTTTGAAAGTATAGTTTCATAAAATCCTAAATATACAATCAAACACAAAAAAAAGAAACTTATAAAAAATAATTACATTATTAAAGTACACTTACCATAGATATTAGAAGGGAAACATTTTTCATCACATCAGCAGACCTATAAAAATAAAAAGTATGCTTTATTTGTTATTTATACAATTCCAAATATAAATTTTTAATCTGATTAATAAAACAGAGTAACACATTAAATGCCTTCCTTTAATCCTCTGTTTAAAGCTCCATTTTAAAACAGATTTTGCATTAAATTACAATGTATTTATAGTTATGTATATATAGTAAACACTGTATAAGCAAAAAAACATCACTTTGTTAATGAAAAAATAAGCACTTTTAAGCACCAATTAGCAAATTATGGCAGAGGGAAACTCTCATGATTTCTATTATTATATGACTGTTAATATTTATCAAAACTCAGATATTATTTTCAGTTAAAAATAATAATGTAATCAGAATTGATAAATGAATTAAATATTAATTTTTAAAAAAGTGATTAACGAAACTGAATCAAAATGCGAAATAAAATGAAGTTATTTTCTAATTTTCTGGCAATTTGAAAATAAAATATTTTTAAAAAAATATAGATAAAAGCAAGGGAGGAAAAATATACTACAGTGATTCAATTATTTTCAAGTAACCAAATAGTATTAATTACCTCATATGCAGATAATGATGCCGGACAGCTTATTGTCATTTAAAAACTTATCATGCCATATTTTAATAAAAAATAAATAAAAAAAATAGTTAAAAATGAGAATACCAATTTCAAAGCAAAATATTTAATATAAATTCGGGATTTTGGAATAATACTTTTGATTAATATTTTCTGAAATATTAATTTTGAATAAATCAATAGTGGATCTTCTCACGGGAAGCTTATAGAAAAAATAAAATCCCGTATACACTGCACAGCAATCACGCAAAACATTGGGATAATTTAACTTTTAAATATAGATAGGTCACAGCATCTCTACAGAAAGAAAATTACCATACTATTTTTTAGAAAATGCAATTTTCAAAATTAGACATTAAATTATTACAGTAACTTATCCAGGCTAATCAGTAAAAATACAAAAAAAAATAAATAAATAAATAAATAAAAAACTTTATTATTTTTAAAAAAAGTTATTAAAAAAAGTTATTTTCTTTTATTTATTGAACCAATGATAAAATAAAAAATGCGTTATTTATACATTATATCATCAATAAAAAGAAGCATTTTTTAATCAATTTTAAGAGAATAGAAAACATTTTAAACCCTAGAAGAAAAATACAGTTTAATAAAAATTAAAACCTTGAGTCCTACTTTGAGGCTAGTTTGAGATAACTATAAGGATTAAAATGAGACAAATGTATAAGGTAATTTTACACACACTAAAATACTGATATATACTCTGAGATTACTGTTCCAACAGTAAAATTTAAAATTTCCTTCACCTCCAATTTTAATTACATTAATTAATACCATAAATTACAGTAAGTATTAGGCAATTATTTATTATTATGCTTGAAATATCAATTACCCATAATCCCAACCAAGACTACACATCAGTAAGGCACCAAACACACTCCAAATTGCAAAGCCTCCTTTTTCCCATGTCATAGCAAGAGCTCCTCCATCAGGAGTCCATTTCAAATTTGATACGGCTCCAGCAGCTGTTTCGACATCTATTTATGTACATTAGAAACCTTTCATTAAAGCAAACAAACAGAACCAATAAAGGTGAGAAAAACTTAAATTACAGATAATAAGAATGATTAGTTTACCAGGAAAGTCTTTACTGGATAATACTAATTGATGTGTAGATTGTAGAGCACCTGTTAAATCGTCAATGCAGAAAATGATCCCTTGAGCACTGAAATTGCATTAAAAAAAAGCATATAATTAAGAAAAGCCTAGTTTTAAAAAATTTTAAGTAACAAAAAATTAAGAAGTATGAATAATCACACTGCTATAAGATTTGTAATATAATAGTTGAGTATTTTCAAAATCTCAGTCCATAAAATAGAATTTTCAGGATAATATGCTTCTAAGGTAAACAAAGATCAAAACAAACACTATTCAACAAAAAAAATAAATAAATTTAAAAAAATTAACTACAATCTTTAGGTAAAAATAGTTTAATGACATTTAATTAACTAAAGGGATTCGAGATAAAAGGTTCGATGATTAAGTGGTGATGATTAGTTAGATTTTCCATGAACTGGGAAATGAAAGGAACGACAATTCAAGCATACATTAAAGATCAAATTTATTTATTTTTCTGTTAATTAATTTATTCCTTTTTAAACAAAAAACAAAAAAACATTATTTGTACAAGGAAAAAAACTGTCACAGATTTGCATAATAACATCATTTCTATTTATTTGTTTAGAACTAGAAATAGCCTTTAATCTAATTTTCTAACAAGATATTCAAGTAAGATTTTTATAAGATTGTAATTCCTCTTATTCAAATAAAACAATTTTAAGTCATAACAGAGCATATATTTTGCTTTTTCATCATGTTTTAATAAATAATAGATCTCGCAAAACCATCATATCAGTATAGAATGGAACTGCTTTATATAAAAACCTGCTTTCTTTGCAACCACTACATGTCTATGACTGAAGACTACCTCAGTATATGCTCTAATATTCTCAAAAACTTTCTATTTTATAGCACTGACAATTCCTTTGGATATTGTTTTAATTTTTCTTTACTATATTGTCCTGCTTGTCATGCAATAATTGACAGAATACAGGCAAAGGTTAAAAATTCATATATTCAGGCATATATTAAAAAAAAACTAGCAATAATATAATTTTACTCTTGCAAAAGATGAAAAGAAACAGCCATACAAAGGCTCACATATTTCATTCTCACAAAAAAAAATTATGAGAAAAGTTACAACAGTTATTTCAAATTTCAAAAGAAAAATCATTAATAACTCTGAACTTAATAATAAATAAACTTAGCAATTAAAATACAAAACACTATCGATAGTGTAGATAATTAAAAAAAAAATGAGGCATACTTTGTTTGCCCATAAGCAATGAGTCGAAACCTATGATTCACAGCTGTACAAGTAGCATTCTGAACATCATTAGCAAAGATTCCAAAAACTTGCTGCAAGAAATACAAAATAGTTACAAAGAAAATAAAACTTAAGACTCTTATCATAAATAATAATTACTGAAAAAAATCTACTTAAAACCATATCATATTTTTAAAAAAATTATATAAAAAAAGCTTGATATTGATTACTAGTTTAAATACGCAAAACAATAAAATTTTACTTGAATTTATAAAAACGTGTGATTGAATGAATATCATAAATAAAAGCATATTCTTTTACTACTTCAGAATTTCCGAATTTCATGTCTTTTGTTTTTTATTCTCAAAAGTTTTATAAATATTCTATTTTAAATACTTCTGTTTTAATTCACTGCCACTGAAAAAAATATTCCACCAAAGTCACAAATGTTGCGAGTTTAATAAAGGCATTCATTTGATAAAACCTCTTTGAGCTATATTGTTTCTATCATCAGTTATTTGAATATATGTACATCAGAAAAAACTACATTAAAGTTTTACATAAATTAAATAAAACTACAAGTTTTGCTTATTTACTCTAGGCTCCTAAAACAGAAATTCACAAAACTATGATATATGTCACACCACAAATTATGCTTCACATAAATTGTAATATAAATTACAATTTAAGTATACAATTTATGCACATTACTTCTTTTTTGTTAACAATTTAAGTTTCATTAAGTAAGCATGCATACATAATTTTATATATAACTAATTAAGGCTTCTTTTTGAGAATTCAGTGTGCAAGAATAAAAATAATTGGTCATTAAAAAGAATGGTAATGGATAACAAATGAGAGTCGTTTATATTTGACAATACTCACAAAACATTTGCAACTGTCAAAAGATTTGTTGTAATACATTAGATATAATTCTGCTCCAGGAAAGAGCTATGAACTTTCAATACTAAAAATTAACATCTAAATATAAGGTGAAGAAAATATTTTTTCTTACTCAATACTATCAAAACACTTTATACAATAAATTTTTATGTGTACATAAACTTTTAATAATTTACACAACAAAAAGGAATCATTACATACATGAGGCTCAAACTTCAATGTAGTAGCAGTAATAAAACAGGCTTGACCATTTGATAGTACAACTGAAAACCCTCCTATGATGGGAGAATATTCCATATTTTTTATATGGATTTGTGCATCATGAAATTTGGATCCTTAAATGGAGGATGGAAAAATTAAAGTAAGATTTATGGTATATATTCATAACAAAACATTAAAAAAATTAATAAAATGCAAAGAATTTAATAGTAACTAATTAAAAAAAACAATAACATCTCAATTTTCAATGCAAAAATTTGAACAATGTTTACACAAAAAAATTAAACATTAACATGATTTATATTGTTTTAATTAAACACATACATGAATTTTAAAATTGTGGTAAGCCAGAAGTTATAGCTCGTAAAATGACATTGTCAAATGGTAAGGAACTTAAAGGTGCTATACATTATACAAAAGGTGGGGAAACAAAGGCCTCCATGAGTTTCTTGTGTGACCTCTAACTCTTTTATTAATTGATATTTAATTATATAGATTATAACAATTTGAAAATTAATAGAAATAAATAATGTGCTACCATCTGTTGAGCATGACATAAATTAGTTGTGGTGTAGTTCTAGCAATTTTTCAGTCTGAAATTATTGCTATTGTGGCATACTTTCCAATTTGCCAACATCCAACAACAGAAAATCTTTTGTTCTTATTTTTGGCCATGGCTCTCCCCTAATAAAATACACTAACACTGTGATGGCGGCTGTTCTGACTGACAGGCAGTACCTATTTTCCTAACTAATAGCAACTCTCAGCCTGTATGTTGTGGAGTTGGTGGTTTGTATTTATCTGTATATGCTTGTAGCAATATATGCAAACATATGTAGCTATTTATTTAAAGATTATTTTTTACTGTAAATTATATTTCAAGAAATGACTTAATGTTTTTTGCATAATTTCTACGTAAAGCAATAAAGTGAACAAAACTATAATAATTTCAAAAAAGTCGCATTTAATTTCAAAATATGTGCATATCAACTTATGCGGCCTCTTTTACCTATGCCTAATTTAAATGTGGCCTCTCACAGTAAAAATATTCCCTTTTTTCGCACCACTTGACTGAACGACTTTTTTAAATGACTGACAATTGAAGTTGGATAAAAGTGGAAGAAAAAGTATGATATTCATCACAGAAAAAAAAGGATTAGTAACATTTTGTTCCAAATCAAAGCAATGTTTGCACAGCACAGCATGAAAATCACGAATGAAAAGCCAAAATTTTCAAATGCTATATAATATTTGCTAATCAAATAAATAAAAAAAATTATAAACATTTAAACACAACAATACAAAACAATAAATAAAATTTTGGTACCAATTTTCTTGGTATTCGTACCTGTGTCACATTATTGGGAAGTTCTATCCCTGGAGCAACAACGGCTCTCTTTTCTTTATTTACACTAAAATACTTGTTTTTTTGTTGAAAATACCAACTGTTAACTCTTCGGATAAGGCCTTTAATTTTGATTAAGTGCTTTTTTATTGTTTCTCTGTTATGATTTCATTGTTTTTAATAAAGGTTAAGAGAAATATTAAGTTTCATTTAACTTAGTATCCACACTTCATTAGTATTCAAATTAATCTGTTCATTAATCACTTTCTGCTTCTATAAAAAGTTTGTTATTTTGAACTTCCTATGTTAGAACATTAAGCTTTATTCAAATTAAATATCAACCCTTTTTTTCATTTAAACTAATTTAAATCATATCAGACAGAAAAATAATACTTTCTTGCAGAAAACATCTTCTATTAGCACTTTGAATAATGCCTCCAATTATGATTACCTGGCCGATAAATTAAAAAAAATAATTAATTAGCTAAAAAGGTCTATTGCCACCAATTTTTTCAAAATCCATATGGTTTTTTGCTCGTTTCTAGGCATTTCTACATAGTTTTTCAGATTTCGATGTTTTTAATACAGTATTACTAAAACACACTAATTTTGAATTGGAGTAATTTTTTAAGTGTTTAGATTTAAACAATTCCACTGTTCCGATTTTGCAACACTTATGATCGTTTTTTCAACCATTTCCACATATTTTCTTTTTTCATGAAATTCCAATATTTTTAATATGACTTTATTATGACACAAAAGTTTTTGAATTTGAATTAACGCTTTTGACGCACTTCATTAGAGACAATTTCATCCTAAATCTGTCTTAGTTTCTTATCGAATTCCATTATGTTTACCATGTTACAATATGCAAATTTGAGTAATAATGTTTTACGTGCTTGATTCTTGACAGTTCTATAGTAAATTCCTGTCGTTTCTCATATTTTTTTTATTTTTAAATTTCTAATGTGGAAATCTTATTTAAAAAAAGGATTCTAAATTTTATTCAACACATTTTAAATGCACTTTGTACACAACGATTTCATCGCAAATACGAATAATTTATCGTTTTCGACCATTTCAACATAATTTTTTAAATTTTATGAGGTTACTACAATATAAAAATTTTTTAATTTGAGTTATTTCTTTTTGATATGCTTGATTCACCACGACTACATCATAAAAATCCAAGTTGTTTGTTGATAATTTTTTCAGTAGGTTATATAATGTTTTTTTAGCCATTACCATGTGTTTGTTGAAACACATGGTAATGACTGAAAAAAAAAATTCTAAAACTTTTAATGTAAGCAAATTTCAAATTTGAGTTATCCCTTTTTGACGAGCACAGTTTTCAACAACTCTATCGTACATTCACACCATATTCTGCAGTTATCATTGTTCCACATAGCTTTTTTAATGTTGATGTTTTTAATACAATGACACGTGACTATTATGGCACGTGAATTTCGAATTTGCGGTATCACTTTTAATCATTCGGTTCATAACAATTACGTCATAAATCCACATTGATTTCTGAACGTGCTTTTGTTTAGATTTTTATTGTTGTTTGACCATTTCCATATAATTTTTTTTAACTTAAATATTATCAGTTTAATATTATTACAACACGCAAATTTTAAAAATTCATATCATTTTTTAAGGATCTTCATGATCCTATTTTAAATTTTTTTCTTCTTTTTGGGTGGTTGTACATTATTTTCTTTTAATAAATTTCAACTAAAGGTTCTTCTTTCAACCTTTTACTCTTTAAAAGAGCACAGGACTTCACTTATGTTTCTTTACTTCTCTAATTTTTCTTTGGACAACCACTTATTGGTTTAGCTTATATAAGTCAACGGACTAAAATTCAGTGTGTATTGAGCACAAATTAATGAATAGATATGCTTCACACATTGAAAGAATCTTTTGAATTTAAATTCTTGTTACACAGAAAAACTTACCTCTAGATTGCAGCTGATCTAAGCGAAATGAGATATTGCATAAAATTAGAGTGTAATCCTCATCTAATTTGGCATCCCATCTTACCCGCCAAAAATGACCATCTAGAGTGGTAACCATAAGCTCATCTCGAATACACACAAGACTAAAAGAATACAAGACAAATTTTCTTTAATTGGTTAAAAAAAAAAATTTTTTTAAATTATACAGCTAGATAATTTTTCTACTTTAAATTCAATCAATATGAAATATTTTTGTGTTGGAAAGCTATCTCATGAAATTTGTTTTCATTAATTAAATTACATAATGTGAAAAAAATATATAGATTAGGGGAGCACAACCTTCATAGAAAGGCCACAGTAAAACACCATTTGGTTTATAGTATAGATTATAACAATTTGAAAATTAATAGNTAGTATCAGTTTATAGGTTAATGAAGAAAAAAAATTCAATTTTCTCTTTAGAAAAATAATTCTATTCCTTTAAGTCTAAATGAATTTTTGCATCCTTAATTTTTAAATAAATTCTTGAACTGCAAGTGTTTTGGCCACAGAACATTTCTGAAATTAAAAAAAGAAGTATTTAAATTTTAGACATTGGAATTAGCATTTCTACATACTGGAATTTTAAAGCTATAATGTTTTATCTCCTTTAAAAAAAAACTGTTTTCAGTTAGAAAAACAATTAGCATTTTTTCTTATACAAGTTATTTAGTTTTTAAACTAGTATATAGAGAATCATCTTTCAATTGCAAAATGGCAAGGCTTTCAATTAGGCCTTGGAGACCAAAAAAAATTACTTGTTTTGTGTTAAAAGAAAAAAGTGCAGGAAGAAACTGAAAATTTCTGCCAATAGTACAATTAAAATGCCTTACTGAGACTATTCTAAGTAACTAATGGGGATTATCTCGAAAAGGTTTCACTGTCGACAAATGCATGAAATCATAAAATGATATTTCCAAAAAATATTAACCTGCATATTAATGAGTCAAGGCATAAATTGTTCACAAGTTCTAGTGAAAGAGGTGGCACTTTTTCTTTCAAAAACAGCTCATCGCTTTCTCTACGTAATCCAGAGACCCTATAAAAAATAACATGCAAAATGTTTACTTAAATGCACTATATAACAATACTACAGTTTTTACCAAAATAAAAACGTTGAAGTTTATTTTAAAAAATACATTATAAACAAAGAATGAAATTAAATGGATTTATTCAACACTATTTAAAATTAACTAATTGATAACCAAACATATACAACCATACAAAATTTCCGTTTGATAAGGGATTAAACTAAAATAATACGTAAAATTGTTACTATTAAGAGAGAAATCTCTACAAAATAAGAACTTCATTTCCTTATTATTTTACTTCTTTACTATTTTTTTCCTCATTATTTTATTTCTTTAAATTTTAATATTCTTGCATTTTAGAATAAAAATTCAGAATACTGACATCCTTTAACCATGCCGAATTTTGACATATACTGTAATTTTTAAATTTTTATGATCTTTACTGTAATTTATTTTCCTATATAAGATTTGGTAGATTAATTTTAGTTTTTAAAGAAATCATATCAGAAGTCTTAATTTATAAATCAAAATAAATTTATAAGGGAACAAGTGACATTTCCAAATTGATTTAAAAATCATTAATTTAATTATTTCAAATCATTTTGTTACAAAAATTGGAAATCCTCATATTACTCAATTAAAATGTTTTTCTATGTGAGGTACAATATTAAAGAAACTTTTTACCTGTAGACTCTAAACTAACTCAGTTTGATTTACAACCAGTTTGCTTTTCTGTGTTAAGAACTGTTTTCCTTGAATATTATTCAATAAAACTGAACTTGGCAAGAAATTTTTTATGAATTACATAGTGCAAATTTGCCCAAGTCGCCAATGAGTAAAAATGAAATTATGCTGTACTTTTTCAACAAATTTTCACTAATTTTAATTATTGTTTTGCAAATATCTAACTAAACAAATATTAATGATTGATAACAAAATATTGTACAAAAGCATTAAAGTGTAATAAAAGAAATATATTACTTGCTATCCAACTGCTCATACAGAAATTTCAAAGAATCATCAATATCAACTCGATAAAACATCAGATAGTTGAGGCTAGTCTGAAAAAGAATAAGCAGTTAGTAATATTAAACATTAACTACTAAAAAAACAACAGAGATGTTTTTTATAACCAACATAAGGTGACACACAAGTGTGTTGCAAAGAAATTTGAGCTGTATTATAAAAATTATTGAAATTTCACATTATAATTCACCAGTTTACTATGATTTTTGTAAAACTTTATGAAATAAACTTACTGATAACATTTAAAATGTTTAAGAATTTATTTCATAAAATAAAAATGTTACCGATGTAAAACTGGTAGAGTTCTCTCTAGGAATAAAAAAAGCAGGGTTCTTCCTCATAGAAAAGGGCATTTTGAGTTTGCAAAGGGTACTAAATTATTACAAAGATTTATCAAAATGAGACGGAAAAAAAACTTTATCAAATCTACAATATATAAATTAATAATATAATATATATAAATTAATAATAGCTGCACATAAATTTTTTTCATAAGAAGTGAACTAAAATTATTTATTGATATAGACATGAAAGCTTTAATTTAAAATCTATAAATGAGATCTATAATTTAAACAGAAAATTAAAATTTAAATGTGAATTTTAAGAAAAAGTGTGCTTATTTTTTTTTTTAAAAAAAAAAACTTTAATATTTAAAAAAGAAAAACTTAATTTAAAAATTTAACTAGTTGAGAACAATCCAAACAAAATAAATATTTGTATAAGCACAAATAATTTTACCATTGTGCAATTATTATTTAAACAGTGAATTACTTTTTTAAAAAATGTTTTACAAAGGCAGGACAAGCCGCCGTTTGAAAAACACTTAGGACAGTTAATACTGGTAATCTTTAAAAAATGAGGCTGAGAGGTATTTAGATATTTATGAACTATTCATGAATCAACTATTACCAACTGTTCATAAAAATTATTTCAATGCAATAATAATCATCAGTTAATTTTTTTTTTATTGTCAATTTCTTTGAATTAAGTGAATAGTATAGTTAAATGTGGATAAAAGAATTAACAATTTCGATGAAAATACTTAATTTTGTTATCTTTTTAATATTCTATCTGATTTATTACATTATAATGACATATTTTTTAAAATGCTAACTTAAAATTTGCATTGCGAAAAAATTTACTTTAAGTTTGAATTAACTTAAATTTAAACTAATAAACTAATTAATTTAAGTTAAACTAATTTAACTTAAATTTAGTTTGAATTAACTTAAATTTACTTAAAGTTACGTTACTTAAGTTATGTTTACTTAAAGTTAGTAAAGTACGTTATTAAATTAATACACTAAATCAGAAGGAAACTCCAGGATAAAACTAGAAATAAGTATCCAAGCTTTATAAGCTGCTGAGAGCATTTTTAGAAGAAATGAATGACTTGGAAGAAATAAATATATTTTTTTCACTTGCTTTGTAGTCCTGATTTTTATCTTTCATTTAAAATTCATCAATGACTCTCCTTAAAACAGGACTTCTCTTTAAATAATAAGACACTAGTTTGTTGTGTGTAAACATATACAAGTTAAAACATAATTTTTTGTATTAGACTGATTAAGATTCATAAGCATTCAAAAAAAAATATAGAACAATTTTAAAAATGTTGTTAAACAAATATACGAATAAATGATAAGTTATAACAAAATTAATGGATAAAAATGTCTTTAGAAATTTTCATCTTCAGACCAAAGCATAAGACAAATTTTATGTGCATATTTTATGTTAAAATAAATCCTAAAATCATGCAATAAAAACATTTACTATTTTTTTCATTAAGCAAACCAGGTTTGAAAGAAAAAAAAGATTCAGATTAGCTATTTAAAATTTCTACAAAAAAATTTACTATTATTCCATATAGTTATATTTAAACTGAAGTATTTATATAAATAATATAAAGTTAAGTATTTAAAAAGATTTTTTCTTTAAAAAAAAAACTATCTTGGTTTTCTTTTTTTTATAAAAAAGATTTGGTTCAAACAACATTAGTTTAACCCTGAAGCAAACACATCATAGATAACACAAAAATTGACAATACTAGGTTTCACAATTGAAGTGCTTTTCTCTAAAGCAGAGAGTTTTATTATAACAAAGTGTGATGATTTTACTAATGCTTCCTAATGCTTAAAAGGAAGGAGATGGTCTTTTTAAGGACCAGGCTTCAGAGACATGCAACAGCACCAAAACTTACATTATTGTGTTAAGTAAGGGAACCCTCTACTATATTTGTCTGGAGATGTATAAAAACTGTGCCCAATCTTGATTGAGAGCAAATAGTTCAAACATCAAATTTTAAAGCATTTGTCATTTATATGTTAAATAAAAAGAGTCATAATAGTAAAACATTATCGCAAATATTATATCACATACAGTTACAACAATCATAAGAGAATCCGGTTTCCATTCTGCTAACTGATTTTTTCCAAATTCTTCAAGTGATGATTTACTTCTTCTAAAGCAAGTCACCTCCACGCATGGCTGTAAAAAATAAGTAGGTAAAGAAATTTAAATAAACGAGTGACAAATATTTCAACAACTTGTTGTTAAAGAGAGATATAGAAGCAATTCAATAGTTTGGTAATGATAATTAAATGATGTGACATTTAAAAGAAAATTTCTGAATAAAATATTATTTCTTTAAGGTAAGATTTTCATGCAATATTTTTAACATATGGCTTGTAATATCCTACAATGAACACTTTAAAAGCAAAAATAGCTTTAAAAGAATAGTTTAGAATAAAAAAGAATAGTTATAGCTTTAAAAGAATAATTAAAAAAAAACCTGCCTGATATTATTTTGTAATATTAAAAGGAAATCCTAATAATAACTCGAATCCTAATAATTTGAAACTCTTTAAAAGAGTAACAGAAAAAGTAAGGAACTTTATTAAGGACAGCCTAAAGATTAATTAAAGAGATTAAAGGAAATTTATTATTCTAACAATAATTAGTTAAAGTGAAATAACCTTTTTACGGAAACTGCTCTTTATCATTTATTATTAATNGAGATTGGTACGGTAGTAGATTTTGTCAAAATAATTCCATGGTTCATGAATAAAAGCTTCTTACAGATTTGAGTTCTCACGTACATCTATATATATATAAATATATATATATATACATATATATAACGTAGTAACTACTTCACCACTCGGAGGAAATAAACTTTGCTACAGAACTTAATTTACACCTATGTGCAAAATGGTTTTAAATATAAAAAATTGGCTTTTATAAAACATGAGGAATCAAGAAATACTTATTCATATTTACATGAACCAATTTGTTACCCCCGTGGCAGAATTTTTTAGAACTATCTACGAAAAAACTCTCTAGCACTAATACCTTTCTGCAAGATACTATCAATAACAACAAACATATAAGTTACAAATTTAAAATAACAAAAGCACTGTCTTTGCAAAAAAAACTATAGTTATATATTATTTTAATTGAACATGTAATAATTTTTTATTCTAATATTAGGGGTGATATTCTTGCATTTTGTTTGGGGGGGACACACAAATTATTTTCTTCTTCGCATTTTGTAAATAATCTTCACACTAAAAAAATGATTAAAAAACATAAAACCTTAGTAGTAATTACTGAAAAAAAGATCGAAGACAAAATCACGAGAATCAGATTCCTCAAACGCGTGTTTCATTTCGAGATTAGGCTGTTGTAATAAATAATATGTGGAAAAAAAATATCGGATTTTAAAATTAGGGAGAAATTAATAGTAATAACTGCCGAAAATTCGATACAATTATTGCCTTAATAAGTAAATACTCGAAGGCACGATTAGAATTTTCTATATTGTTTTAAATATTTCGTGATATTTAAAATCCACGAGAAAATCAATAACTGCTGAAAATACAATCAAAACATTACATTGAATTACGATACTCTCGGCATAAATTGGCCGCATCAAAAAGTGATTATCTAAATGCGTGATTCAAATATTTTGCAAAAATTTCTATAGAAAAGAAAAGTAATATTTTTGCTTTTCAAAATAAGTCTTTCTGCAAGAACTCTGTAACGTTCTGTGACAATGTCACCGTGTCGCTGCGATTCTGCCATGGGGATTTGTTACTAATATTGGTTTTTTGTTTATAATATTTAAAGTAATAAATACTAGGAAATAATCCAATACTAACAATTTTGTTAAGTGTTTAATGCTTCTTATTTTCTTTACGAAGTTAAGTACATTAAAAATATGTTCCCCTCCTTTGAAATAGCATCAATGTGTTACGAGAATACATTCGCATGTGAAAGTGTGACCTAAGTGATAAATTATTAAAATTCATAATGGCTAATTTAAATATTAAGTTACATGTGATTCTGAATACTTAATTCTTGTTAACGCTCAGTTGCAGCCATAGAAGCATTTTTAATTGGGTCAAATGACAGACCGAAGATTTGAACCCATCGAATTTAAAAAAATTCTTTGCATTAGAATTTTGTTTCTTTAATAAACTAACATTAAAAGCAGTTGCCAGGAATTGCTACAAAATATCGTTTCTTTGCATAGCACTGATTGGCCTACCTTTTAAAGAAGGTACCACACTACACCATAAATTACGAAAAAACTAGCAACTACGATTTCATTAGTGGAACACACTACTTTTGACCACTACTTATAAAAAAGGCTCCAAAAATATATGCTTTGACGATTATTACAGAAATGCCAACTTGCTCCGGACAGCAAATACATATTTTAAAGTGGTAGTTTATCAATTGTGATTCTTGGTTTAGTAAATTCAATTTAGTAGACTTTTATCCACCACTATTTCTAAATAATTTGTAGGCTTATATAATTTACTACTTTGAAGTACTTATGTCATGCTATACCTTTTAANAAATTAACTTTGTAGTTATTTACCGTTGTTTTTTTTATTATTTTGGCGTGTCCGGAGCAGTTGGCATCTCTGTTATTATAACAAAAGTTTTAACGAGATTTACTAATTTTAGTTTTCAAGTTCAGTTCAATAATCTTGATTAAATTTAGCTTGGAAAGACCTTTAGGTTATCCTCTGATTGTCTCATCATTATCTCGCTAGCTTCTAAAAAGTCATCAAAAGAGGTATTAAAAAAGGGGGAAGATTTCCATATTATGATCTAGAAACTGAAAAATCATCACAGAAAGGTACCAACTCGAAAGATAAAACTCATAGCCAGCCCCGGGCAAACATCTACATTTTTTTATTATTTTATAATTGCACATTCAAAACCTATTTGGAACCTAGGCGATTGCAGTTGACGCGACAGATCATGGTACAGAAATATCACCCACAAAATTACAGTAGTAAGAATAGAAATACGTCACAAGCATTAAGATTGTTTTTTAAAAATTCAACACAAAACAAACTTGCTTAATATCGTTATAGCTAGAACAATTCAAATAGGTTTATTTATTTATTAGAACTTTTAAAAATGTCTTAATCAGCTAAAAGAAAAGTATATAATAAACAAAACATCCTATAATCAATGAAAAACATGAGGTATCAATAATAATAGTATAAAAAAGCTTCTTAACATACATCAAATTTTAAGGTTTGAAATAAACTATTGCACGTAAAATGCTTTAGTTTAATGATATATTGAGTCCTTACCCTTATAAACCATATACTTATGTAATCGTCACCTAAAATACAAAATAGAGAACGGTCTCTATTACAAAATACGGACAGTGGCAAAGAGTTTGGGCTACGAGTTTCTAAATATTTTGGCCATCCAACTGGAAAATACATGTTAATAATGTATCATTTAAAATATTAAATGTATTTTTTTATCACGAAGATACCCTTCTAATTAAATTACATGATATTTACAGTTTTTCATAGAAACAAGAAGTACTAATCAAATTATAAAAAAGTTTTGCATTTGCACATCAACAACAAATCACACGGTTACAACTAATTTTCTTTTTAATTTTAGAAATTTCTTCAAAACTGGACAAAAGGTTACAAGCAAACTTATAAATCCTGCTGAAATTCTTCTTTCCATAATAACTTCAACTTAAACTTCAAATATATTGTCTATTTTATTTCAGAGTGTCTATTGCACCGATTATCGGCGCAGCAAAATTCATTTTGCTATCGTACCGATCAAATTTTCAACCAATCATAGAGCGTATCTGTCCACGTGACTCTCCGATTTTTTTTTCAAAAATAATTTAGCTCTGTTTATTATAGTCAAGGCAGCTACAATTTTTGTAGCATTTTGATTATCTTCATATGAAGAATAACAAATAGCCATTCATGAATTTGAAAAAGAAAAAAGGACGATCTTCTGGAAGAGAGAAGCGAAAACTTTACAAAATGCTTCAAAGAAATTTAAAAAATTTGATAAGGCTCCGCTGGAATTGAAATACACATGGTGGAAGAATTCATTAAAAAAAATGTNATCGCATGTTATATGTTTATATTATATATATATATATATGTATATCCTTTACACATTTACGTCTCTCAAATGTTATGTATTTTTTTCTTATGTTTGTTTATTTTTCAACTCCTTTAGTCTTCATTCCGAGTTAAATTTTTTAAGACATCATACAGACATATTATATGAAGAACTGTGAACTTTTCAAAAGAACCAACCGGTTGCTCTTGTTTTCTAATTCCTGCTGCTTTTCTAAATTCATAAGGATATTTCCGGATTGTGATCTGAGGCCGCAACTAATCAATAATATCATAATATAACAGTGAGCATTTTTATTAAAAAAAAAGACTTTAATTTGATAATTTTAACCAGATGAAACTGCTGTTGAACATGAGTATCATTAGTTTTATCTTAAGCTAAAATATTCTTCTTTATTATTAAAAGTCTGTTTTTTTAATTTTTTATTTCACAATTATGTGTTTTTCCTCATTTTAACAATTCATGTCTGTATCATACCTGCCAACTTTCACTCTTTCGGAGAATGGATTTTCAGAGTGGTTGTAAAACAATAAACGAAAAACAATCTGACTCATAAACATATTTATATTTTGATCCCGTTGAAATTCGCTTGCGCAAGGATTATTATGCTTTGATATATTTATTGTAATCATTTATATGTAGTGGTTGTCAAACTCATTTATAATTTTCATTATAATTTAAAAAGTTAATTGGAATAACCTGAGTATTGCTCCCACTTTAAATAAGAAAATAAAATCTTCCGGAAGAGTTGGCAGGTATGCTGTATAATGCTTGATTAAATTATCTTTTGAAAATGCTCTATTTCTGCACTGGCTATTTGAATGCCTTTCAAACAAAAAGTGAATCCTAAGATACAGTTGGTAAATTAATGATTTTTTTTAAGAAATCAAATTATTGACTTTGGGCATAGTTTGTGTTATTATTCTATTCATTTCAAAAGCAAAGTTGCAGAATTAATTTTTTCTGTGTTCATAATTTTTGGGCAACGTTTACTTCATCACAATTTATACCTATTTAATTCATTTTAAATATATGTTTATTTTAGGCAAATTACGTTATGCAAATAATTCAAACTACAAGAATGACACCATGATTCGAAAAGAGGTAAGTCTTTATAATTTTATATTAATTTTATAAAATTTCACAAGTTAAATTATAAATCAACTTACATATAATTTTATGTGATTAAGTACCTATTATTTTAAACTTCAATATGTGAAAATAAAGTTTTTATAAAATTGTAATAGAGATATGTTAAATTAAAACTACAGCAGTTCTTAAATTTTTGTTTTGGAGTTGTGTAAGTATGTATATATTAATTAAAATATTGGGTTAATCGAAAAGTAGATTCGTATCTTTTGGACAGTAAAAAAGTAACATGCTGAAAATTCTGTTTTTCACTTTCCATATTTGAAAGGGTACCAACCAAAAACTTTTGCATTGATTCAATTAGAACTTCTTCACAAGCAAACCTTGCCTTGCTACATCAGCTTTCAAAATAATGATATGGCTTCAGTCTGAAATAGGCTGTAAAAAATATAATTAAGTCCACTGTTGGAAAAGAGCGAAATTACTTCCCAAACAAGCCTATACCTCTAAATTTCTTAAATTTTATGATTAATCACTTTCTTTGTTATTTATATATTAATAAGCTACATTTTTTCTGGGTGAACTATTATGACTTCAAAATATTACATCTGTCTGATACAGTAGGAATAACTAATTAGCAAAGTAGTGTTACCCTTAAGTTTTACAGGAATTTTAAGAACATTAAAACTAGAGCATGTTTACATTTTTTTAAAACATATTTTAAACTCAAACCATGTTCATATGATTTCTTCACTAACCAATATTTGGTGCATAGTGCAGAAACTAGGTCCATATGTTTTTCTGACCTAGACTGTGTGCCTACACATGCCATTATTATCTTAGTATCATCACTATGCTTGACTCTTACTAATTGCCCACTAGCGTAGATCTAGTACATCATTAACATTTATAACTAGACTAAAAATATGTGTATGTTCTTTCTGTTACTGTCCTCTTATACTTATTATTAGGTACAAATTTCTGTTTTTTTATTAGGCTTATGTTCATAAGTGTGTAATGGAAGAGTTGAAAAGAATTATTGAAGATTCTGAAATTATGAAGGAAGATGATAACTTATGGCCTCAGCCAGATAGGGTGGGTCGTCAAGTAAGTGATTGAAAAAGCCTAAGGGCAATACCACATTAAAAATAAAAAAAATCATAGTAAATATTTAGCAAAAAATATGTCATTTTAAAAGAAAAAAGTTGGAGATTTAGTATTTGTTAACTAAGCTATATATATTTGTTGTATTATATTATCTGTTACTTAATAAATTTATTTCCCTATTACAGGAATCAAAATCCTCCTTTTTCCAGACTTTCCTTTATTATGATTTTTATCCATTTTTTTTTTATATTCTAATTAAAAAAAAAATTTATATCTCGGAAATGAAAGTTGTAGTTATGCGATTATGGTGGCATTTTACTACAGCAAGAAAAAAATCGCATATATTTTTTAAAATCTTTTGTTGCGTAAAAAGATTGCTACTGCCAAAAGAATTACGCTCTTGATTTTAATGGAAGTAAATGAAAATTGATTTTGCGTATAATGAATAAAATAATTGTTAGGTGTTTTTTTTTTTTTTTTAATTATTTAGTTGATTGTTTTTGCATTTTTATTTTCAATAATTTAACAGATTAAGGGATTGGATAAATTGCAATTTTTCATAATTTCATTCATAATTATATAATATATTTTATGCCATAATTTGGGTTTTTGACAGTAATTTTCAAAANGTCCTTGAGAATTTTATAATAAGTCTTAAAAAGTCCTTGAAAAGTACTTAAATTTTATTTTTATAGTAGAGCATGAACCCTGAATACTTCTTATTTATAATGGCTGATACTTATCCTCACACCAAAATTTTGAGTTTTTGACTGTTGTCAAAAACTTTATCAACACACCAAGTTTTTGACATGACAGTTAAAACCAAATGAAACCGTCAATTGTCAAAAGCGTGTCAACCCTGATTGGTTTATGGTGAAATTTTTTCCAATGGAGTGGGTCAAAATAAGTCAGTACTCAAATTGTGATTTGAAATTTGTGGTATGCTATGAAGTTGTATTACATTATTTAGGTTTTTAAAACTAAATGTAAATATGTAACAAAAACTGCTGAAAATGCTATGGTCCAGGGCTCGAAAATCAAGTCGGTCTCGGCGGTCAAAAATTCCCCACGGACAACGAATTTCTCGAATCCGACGTCCGCACTGATGGCCATTTTCCCTTTAATGTTCATGATACATTTTCAATTTTTGTTATTAGAATTGATGTTTTCTCTGTCTGGGAGTACTGCAGAAGTTAAAAAGGCTTTTGAGCAATGAATTTTTAAAAAAACAACAGATTACGTACTGGACTTAAACGCAATTATGAACATCTGCCTAAATGGAAAACCCCTTTCAGATTTCTGTGCAGAAACCTCTGTAGATCATTGGCTTGATTGTGGAACTGGCAAACGTCATATCTGATTAATTAAAAAAATGTAGCACCCTCGGATAAACTGACATTCCAGATAACTTTACCTTTGTCATTTAAATTATTTCATAAAATAAAGAAATAATTTCATAAAAGAATTACTAGGTTACTATTAGTAACCTAGTATTTCTTTTATTACTGTATAATGTAATCCTAATATTTATAATCCTAGTAACTAGGTACTAATTCATTGTGCAATTTACATAAATGTTTGTAATAAATAAAAGAAAATTATATTTTTATTTATTTAGAAGCTGCGATGGGTTAGTTTCAAAGGAGGACGGGTACATTGTTGGACAAACCGTCCTCGGTACCGTCCCGGGTAAAATTTCTGAGTTTTTTCGAGACCTGCTTTGGTCATAAAAAATGGGTAAATGCTGAATTCATCGCGAAATTGATGAAAATTAACTAAGCTCATTACTATGCATTATTTTGAGTATAGTTTATCAATACATTTAAGTAATATTTCACAAATTAAAAAAATAATGATTAAAGTTGAAATAAAATTTATATTAAAACCAAAATAAATTAATTTTTCTTCCATGCTTCATTGATTCCTAAAGGGAAGTATAACATAAAATCATAAATTTTTTCAGATTTTTTTTAAAATTGTGTTTTTGTGCCGGTATTTACTGTATGTATAAATATAATGGTAAGAAAATTAATAAAAATAATATATTCAAAAAGTTTTACCTTTTAATGTTTTTTTTCTTCTTCATGAATTGGTTTCATAATATCACAAATACTTTTCATACATTCACTCTAAAATAAGAAAAAGACTTGGGTGTACAAAAAGCCGTAAGCTTAGTATTTTATTGCAGGATATTAGGACACAGAAATTAAATTGATAGTTATTGTTTTGTCATTTATTTAATAAAATTTAATTAAAACAACTTTTTTTGCTCATTTAACATAATGCTCATATTTACTTTTAAGTTCAAATTTTTATTATTTTTGATTCTAGGATTTCCAAAATTAAGGAGAATAAGACGATTATCAATAGCGTATACATCAGAAATTAAGATTTAAAAAATTTATACCTTAAGTTTGTTTTGGTCAAAAGTTGCCAAAATATTTCTATTCATTCATCAATATATAATAAAAATTATAAAACAAATTTATCAAACATTTTTCTTAAAATGATTGAATTTATACTTTAATGATTTTAAGAGTATTATAAGACAAGCTAAATTTCATGCCAATTCTGACTCTGCATTGTAAATTTTCAGTAACGAAAGATTAATATTTAACCTTGGAAGCAAATATACAGGGCGGTTCAAAAATGTAAAGGCAGGTAGAGGGGGCCTAAATAAGCATATTTCATACAGAAATACTGGTTTAAAACGATAGAGAACACTGTTGCTTACTAATGTACTACAATCCATGTGCCGCTTTGAATCTTGTATCCCTGTTGGTCATTGCTCTTTCAAGCAGCTATTGTAAACAGTAATTGATTGTAATTTGTTTGCAAAATGTGTGATGTATAACAATAAAGATGTGATAATGCAGTGTAAAAGCACTAGTGCGTAAAACAGCATTAATCTTCAGTGAGTAAAAATTCAAGTTAAACAAATGAAAACAATGATTTATGCACAGTTTACAATAAAATTACAGTTTCCATTCACTGCTCAGTAATAAGCAACATTATCATAGCAAACGACATTAAAAGCAACAAAGTTCTCATTCAGCTTAATGCTGAATTTCTACACACAAATATTTTTATGACATATGTTTATTTAGGTTTTTTTTATTTTATAATTCATTATATCTTCTATTACAATATTCTTCCCCTCTGAAAAAGTCCTGTTCAGTATGTGCAATTAAGTGAGGACTTCAGAATCAACCATGAGAAGCATCTACTGTATAACTTATGATGCCTTTTTGTTATTTGAAGTGTTTGTTTCTAACTGTTACTAAATAAGATTGCTACTATATTTATTACTATATATTTTTCCATTTATTTTATTTTTAGGAGTTGGAAATAGTAATGGGGGATGAACATGTTTCTTTTACAACTTCCAAAATTGGATCTTTAGTGGATGTAAATCAAAGCAGGTAAAATTCTGCTTTTTTTTTCATAATACATTTTATTTTTGTTTATAAGATGCTTAAAAGCATTGTCCACATTGTTGTTGGCTAGCAAGGTGTTTGATTTAAAGAAAACTAAATGTAGTAGTAGACTCAGCCCCCCCAACAAAAAAAAAATCACCAAATGCAAGCAATTGAATTCATATAATTGTTTTGTGTGTTTCAAAAGAAGCTTTAGAAGATTTTATTCAACTGAAACAACTAATGGTACTCAACTTTTTTTGTTGTATTTAAAACAGTATTTCTAAAAAATTTCAAAAATTAAAATTTTTTGAATTAAAAAATTCAGCTATATTTAGTTCGGTATCAAAAAGTTGACTGAAACTTAATTTCTTTTAACTATCAAAATTGCAGGCTTACCTCATCAAATATATATAAATGCTGTAGCTTAGTTCCTTTTTCTCTCTCTCTTTTCTATCCATAACTCGTTTTAAAACAAATTATCGATGCAGCTTTGTAACAATTAAACTGTCACCGCAGCATATTTAAATTTTTAGGACTATTATCTAGTGAACTGTATTAGTGTTACTTTAATATGATTCAAAGGCAAAATGTTAAAAATTAGGAACAGACCATGTGGTTCATATGAGTTTTAAAAGTGCTAAATTTTACATCCCAAAAGTTAAGTACTCTTAAAAGTCTTTATTTTTTCGTCAAAGGAAAGAGTATTAAGAAAAAAAATTATACTTTTATATTTTATACTGGCTGAAACAAATTTAATCAGCACTGAACACTACGAAATCACACACAAAACTGAAAGACAAATGCTGACACAATTAACAAAGCTATAATATTATTCCAATAAATTTTTTTTCTTTCCAAAATTATGTCCTTCCTGGGGAATCAGCGTTATTTGATTAAGCAAAACTTGCCTTTTGCTCGGGATGCAGAAACAACTTCTTGCTCTGAACCAACTCTTGATATTTTAAATTTACCACAATCAAGCAATTTTCTCCTCCTTCAAGAAGCCATAATGAACTTATTTTCACAGCGTCTATAATAAAAATGCAGAGCATGGTATTGGCGTAATTTAAATAGACACAAAATTTACTCATAAAATTGCCAAAATTAATTAAGCATCGTTTGCATCGAAAATTGCTTAATAGTTTTTTGTTTCTCATAAATGAACTTGTACCATTGCTTTATTTATTTTACTCAAAGGTGCAAAGCTCCTAAATAAATTAATAATATTTCTCCATCAGTTATGCTTTTTAATACACATTTTTTATTACCCAACAAAATTGTTGAACATAATTGGTGTTAAAAATGGTATGGAAATTTTTTACTTTTCTTTTAAACAAATTAGTACTATTTCTCCATTTCTTTTGTATTTTAGTATGTAGTTTCTTTTTTTTTTTTATTTATTATTTTTTTTTATAAACTAGTACCAAATTCCAAATATTTGACATCAGTAATAGTTTGGTGAATTTTTAAACTTCTCTTTAATGAATTAAAGGGTTGGAACAGCTGCTCAAATTGCTCCAAAATGAATAGTATTTATTGAGCAAAAAGTGCAAATTGTGAACAAAACTCAGTTTTGTTGCACCTAAACTTATATCAGTCTTCATTTTTCCCTTGTGGATAACCATGTTTAGTCAGATATAAATAATTTCATTTTTACTTTTTTTTAAAAAATGAAATATTTTTAATTAGGGTGAGTGAGTGAAAATAGGCACAAACTAATTAAATCTTTCTTTTTTAAATATGCACCCATCCTTAAGGGAAATTTTTACTATTATTTTATGGTTATTATCAATGACTTTTGTTTATCTAGTAAATTTTGAGAATTTTCAAATACCGAAAGATCAGGAAAATGGACTTATTTTGGGATTAAGTTAAGTGAAGTTTAAATAATTATTCTAAAGAAAAGTACGAATTCTGAAATTTTTTAATCTTTGATCGGGGTTCTTTGTTATATTATTTTTCCAAATAATTTAGTGTCGTTTGTTGTTTGGCTGACAGGTATTTCTTCTTATGTTGAATGTTATATTTTTGCTTGATTTTTTCTTCTTTTTTATGTAACATAAATTTTAGTTGACTCTTTTGAGTATAGAAAGTATAAAACATTATTTAAGAAAAAATATTTTTAAAAAATTTGTTAAAAGAGAACTGAAAGTATGGCTGCTTGGAACTTAAAATGTTTCTCTCGTGATTGCTTTTCAAAAAAAAATAATTTAAAAATAACTGCAAGTATAAATTTACATAAAAATACTATGAAATGATTCTCCCTTTTATTGGTTTCTTACCAATGACAGTGAAACATGATTGTAGCTGTTTTGTTTATTAAAGAGCATGTGCGATTTGTTTGTCCAATAAAAATGCATGAAATACTCCTCATTTTATTGGGTTTTTGAACTTAATTTTAAATATTGATATATATACATGAATTTTTAAATAAGACAACTAAAAAATTAATAAATTTTATTTCAAAAGAATTACAAAAAAAAAAAAATCATTGAGTTTTCCCTAAATTGTTGATTGTAATTCAGATTATTCTACTTTTTTTTCCATATCATTGAGCAGAATTTTGTTACTGTTTGCGTGTTCGAACTTTGTTTGTTTAGACAACCTTTTTTTTTTTTCCCCCCTCCTTGGTGTTACTTTATCAATAAAATTTATTTGTCAATAGTACATATTTTTTAATATCTTCTCTTTAAATGTTATCTTTTAATCGTATTAAAAGAATTTTAAATAAAAAGTCTGTTCTTTATATAAGCATGCACAGTTTCTTACTATCTATGCTATTTTATTTGGACATGTTTATGTTTGTTTACAGCGACATGCAGGGGTGTTGGGATGCACAAACAAATTTCCTGGTTAAATGTCCTTAGAAAAGGGGGAACAAAAAAGCCCCAATTATATTTTTAAAAAAAGAAAGTATTAATTTATAAAAATTTAAATCAATATTTTAAGTTCATTTTTAATGTATAAATATAAACAGAAATTATTCTATGGTGAAAAATGTATTATTTTCAGCAAAATATTCTTAAGATCATATTATTCATAAAATATTTTGCTGCTACTTATTTAACAGAAAAATATTTCACGATAAGAATGATAGTAATAGATTATAAGTTTTAGTGACTTAGGTTGTCAAATGGTGACTGGAATTGATTGTTGGGACTGTTCCACCACCTCTGCACACCACTCCTGTTTACTGATGCTTTTTGTAACAAAATATCCTTTTTTTTTAAAATTTTAGGGATCAAGATGGACTGCGTTGCTTTTATTACTTAGTGCAAGACTTAAAGTGTTTAGTGTTTTCTCTGATTGGCTTACACTTTAAGATTAAACCCATCTAAACTCATAAATTGCATTTTACATAATTATTCACAGTTATTGATTTGTATTTTCATATTGTAATCTCATTTCATTAAAAGATCCAATACAAAAGTACTGTGTGTATCTAACTTTTTCTTCATTCATTATAAAAATTGGTATAAGTTTGTCAATAAAGTCTTTAAAAATGCTATGTTATTTGTACATTAATTTTTTGCATCATAAAGCTCTGATCATAAATCAGTTAACAAAAAGCTTTAAAAATAACTAAATAAAATATTTCCTCGGGCTATTTAGTTCTCTTTTTATTCTGCTTACATTTTTGAACTCAATTTCTTTTGTGAACAAAAAAAAATATCAAATGAAAGAAAAATGGTTTTTAATTTATTCGTACATAGAAAAATTTAAAAAATAATTATGTTTAGATTTTATATATAGCATCTTATGAAAAGTAATATTATCCAAACTAGTTGATAAAAAAACTGAGTGTACAAAAAAAAATATAATATATATAATTAGGAAATATGAAGTAATATTTATATATCAACAATAGAGAATGAAATATTTTTTTTAAAATTTATTTTTTAAGAAACAATTACAAAGTGCAAAAGTATATTCAGTCACCTATGCAATGCAATATAATGTCTTTTAAGATTCTGTCTTGTAGTAAAACCATTGGGGCATTTGGTACATTTAAATGGCCTTTCTTTGGAATGTACAAGTCTATGATTTTTTAAGCTTGTTCTCCTCTTGGTCGTGTAACTGCAAAAGGCACATTGAAGAAAAGGCTCTTTTGTAGGAGTTTTTGTTATTACTTGATGATAATTGTATGACACTGAATTGTTGCAGAATCTTGTGTACCCTTCCATAACAGATGAGATGTCTGCAAACAAAAACAATTAAACTGTAGTTAAAATATATAGAAAATGATTTGTATAATCTTCAGTTAGGAAGATTTGGTCGATTGTATCATCATAATGCTAGCAATCACTATATATTTATATCTGCTTATAAAACTAAGTTATTTCTTTAAGGCATTCATAAAGCAATTCAACGAGAATATTCAGTGCACTGTTCGAAGTGATTTTCTGATACTGGCCACATATTTTGTTTTTAACAAAAAGACCAGAATGTTTTTGTTTTAGAACTATGTATTACAAAAATTAGGGAGTGTTTTTTTATTTTTCTTGCATCCATTTTTCTTCCTATTTTGTTCACTGAAATATATTTTTAGTTTGAAGATATGTAGATGACAGTTGTCCAATATTCCTTTTAAGAGAAATCAATAAGCATTTAATTTTGGAACTATGGAATAAGAGGACATTGAAAGAAAGGTACAAAATAAAAAGGAGGGGGAAAAAAGGATTGCAATCTAAAATCCCACTTACATTAGTTCACAATTTTAACACCAGCTGGGCATGAATTGCTTACAGTACAAAATTCAATCTTGTTAGCTAGTCAAAAATTTTGGTATTATCCTGTTATTCATGCCTAGCTGCAACTGTCTTTATTGAAACATGTCACTGTTACCCAATTCTGCTTAATTGTTTCTTCTGATTTTCATCATACAACAAGATTAACAATTTTAAAAGTTGCTCTAGGAGACTATCTACAAATTATACAAGACTGTAAGGAAAATCTTGCAGTTTAAAAATTATTGGGTCTCTTGAATAAAGCTCTAAATTTGTTTTGTTAAAAATAAATTTTTAAAATTTTTGTATTGAAGTTTAATTTGAAACTGTTGTAGCATTTCTGCTCATTGTAAACTTTATTTGAAAATTTTTTTAGAATGAAGTAGGGTTCAAAAATTAAATTGCCAAACATGCCATGGGCAAAAGATTTCTATAATACATACTTCATGTAAAGATTTCTATAATACATAGTTTAAAACATTACATGCCTGAACAAGCATGTGAATATTCAAACAAATATTGATTAAGCGCCCTTTAAATTTTAATTATAATTTCTAAGATGTTGGATAGAATAAATGTACAATTGTATCAATTATATTTTATTTGACCTAAATATTATATTGAATTAAATTATTTAAATAAGAGTTTAATCCCCAAGTCATGCTTATTTTTAAAAAAAACTTGCCCCATATGCTACATAGAAGAAAATAATTTATTAATACGAAAGTCTATAACATAGTTTGAAAGTAACAAGTGAAACATTTCTTGACATACTTAATAATTCTAATAAAATCACATTTGTCATAAAAAATGTTCTGCATTACTAACATATGAAACAGAGCCTCTAAAAACTTTTAAAACCAAGGGATAAACAAATGTGATAGGATAAAATTATCGCCTTAGAGTTGACTCAGGATAAAATACAAACTTTTAAATCCTTTTATTAGGTGGCCAACATTTTGTAATAGAAAATATCGATTACAAGCCAGATTTCTAATAGATAAGAAATAAATTAATATAGTAGATAGAATAAATTTATTGTCCTAAGTTAATTCACAGTGTGAAGAAGGATAAAATGCAAACTTTTAATTCCTTTCATTAGGTGGCCAACACAGTACAATAGAAAATATCAATGAAGCACCCCTGTAGTTCACAATAACAGTTAGCCACCATATTAAAATGATTTTAAAATCTGTGTTTATTCTCAAGACAGACTAACAGCAATAATTTTGCTTTAGCTTGAATACACACGAAATTTTTAAAAAAAAAATTGGTAATGCAGACACACAGACATGTTACCAATAGTCACTGACCATTGTTGTTGGTAGCTTTTGTATTGATATTTTTATTATCAAACCATATATTCTTTTTTAAATATAATATTAGAATCTAATTTAGGTATATTTTAAGGATCAGAATCTCATGTGGATTAATAATAGCTAAAAGACTGCATTACAAGTAATGTTTTTGATATATATTTATATATAATAAAATGTAAAACTAAATATGTTTGTTCTTTTGAAGAACCAAGTATTTTGACTGGATTTTGTAGAATGAAAATTTTTATCAGTTATCTGTGCATTGCCAATAAGTGTCTCTTAAGATTCTGCCTTGTAGTAAAACCATTAGGGCACTCAGGACACTTATGAGGTCTCTCTTTAGAATGTACAAAAGAATGGTTCTTGAAACTTGTTCTCCAATACGTTGAATAATTGCAATAAGAGCACTGAAGAAGTGATTGCATTCCTGTAAATTTTTTCAACTGATCAGCGAAACCAATCGATGTCACTGAATTGTTGAAAAATCTTTTATATCCTTCAGCATTAGGCAAGATATCTGTAAATAAAGATGTTACATGTTTAAAATAAAATTTTAAGAAATTGTTGCTAGAAACTATACAGAAGGCACTTAAGCAGCAATTACAAAGTTACTATTTGTAACTTTGTAGTTGCATTTAGTTTTAGTATATTAAGAATTGTAGCGTTCTTTTTCTATTGCATAATCAAACCTATAAGTTTTTCACAAGTTAATGTAAAGGACCTGGCAAATTAATTTTGAGACCTGATACCATGGCAGAATTTACTTGCTGGATGAATGAATAAATGAAACATATTTATTAATACAATGCAAAATAAAATCAAACACAGAAGAAACAAATTAAACAAGTCACTTTTGGATCTCGAGGTCCATGTCAGGGACTACAGAAATGAGTTTATATATTATAATAAAAATAAAAACACAAAAGAGTTAAAATACAAACATAATCAATGTTTGAAGAATGACAAGACTGATATCAAAATTATAACTTTGAAAAAAGATAAAGGATGCATAAAATTACAACAAAAAATATCTTCATTAAGTAAAAAATTTTAGGAGTTTTTTTTTTAAAAAAGTTTATAGAAATTCCTTGATAAAATTTTTTTAATAATCTGGACTTTAAAAGAAAAACAGTTTCATTTAACTTGCGTCCACCTTAAGGTTATGATTCATAAAAAGGCTAAATATTTTACTTGAATATTTTCTTCAATTATCTTATTAATAAACATTAAATTAGATATTTACTCCAAAAAATAAAAACAAAATCATTAAACTTGCTTTAATGCAAGAAAAATTCAAGTTTAATAGGCAGCTACTTCATTAAGTGTTTTCTTCAAAATCTTTGAAATAGAAATCGTTTAGGTTTTTATGACTATTATATAACTTATTGTTTAATATATGTAGAATCACCCTCTAATTTTTAAACTATTAAAATTCTTTGGCAAGTTTGTACAAAAATGTTTTGTTCAGTTCTTTTTATTACATTAAAACTGGTTTGTTGTGAGAGAATGCAACCAATTCTTGCCCAAAACTGAGTTAAGAACTGTAAATTAAGGGATTCAGTTTAAATTTATTGTTTTTTATCCTTTTAAATAAGATATGTTTTTATTTAAAATAAATAAAATACAATTGCATATCCTGTACATATTTTTCAGACCATGTTTTCAACTCTGGAAAGATTTAAGTTTACATTTGTTAAAAATCTAATTCCCACTCATATGTTCCCAGTAATGGAAATGCTTCTTTTGCTTTGCTTTTAAGTTAGTAACTTAATTTTAAAAAAACTCACCTGTCTTAGTATAATATCAGGCAACAGGAAAAATGCATTTTCTTTTAATTATTGTGAATTGCCAACGTGCAAGTCTGCAATTACAGATGTTGCAGACAAATTTAAGTTAGGTTTTATAAAATTTACTGCAACATACAATTTTTATTTGGTTAGTTAATTAAGACAAAGAATAAACTAGCATTAAATAAAATTTTACACAAACATGTTTAATTCGTGCGTACAAACTGGGCACAAATTTTGCTAGGTAATACCAAAAAAAACAACACTCATATAGTATTCAGAGACAAATTATAGAAAGATGCACTGTGATTAAAAGCACCAAGATCTTAACTGATTTGAAAAGTATTATCAAAGAGATGTATTCTTAAACATTAAAACATGTAACACATCTTAAACATTTGTGCTCACCTACACAAACTGGAAAAGGTGAGAAAGCTTAGCATCAAAACTTGTCTTGTTACCTGATATTGATAAAATTTATGGAGGTAAATGAGCTTATCATCAGAACAAATAAAACCTTGCCCTAATAGTAAATAAAATTTTAAAAAGTCGTAATATAAGTGTCTGCAAAATTTCATAATGGTAGCATATTAAAAAACTTCATGAACAAAACTATTTTAATTTTGTGAAAAAGTGCAAAAACAGTGCTTACATAATAATATATGTAGACAAGGTAAACATTACATACATTATAATACATTTTATATTATAAAATGTATAAAACAACAATTTATAGCAGTATTTGGTTAGGAAGTTTCCTTTTACTGATGTTTTAAAACTTCAAAAGTTTCTTGAAATCCTGAAAAAAAATATGATAAAATTTAATTATAATAGCAAATAAAAGTAAAATTAACTTTTTTTAAAAGAAAAAATTATTTAAATTGATAGATTAATTGAAGCTAAAACACATTTTGTAAAAATAAAAAATGCTGAGTCATTTTGAGTGTAAATTGAGAATTTAAATTAACAATATGAGTATATCTATAATTGTAAGTTCAGATAATTTGAATTTTGACTATATTTCAAAAGTTGAACAAGATTAAAACTGCTTCCAACTTTAAAATTATTTGTAAAAATATTAAGGTTTTATTGTTAAAAAGAGAACAAAATAATCAAGGATAGTTTTATTTACCATATTGCAGCTTAAAATAGTAAAATTAAAATATATATATATAAGTTTCAAAGAAATGTTTATCATTTTGAAATTCAACACTTGAACATATTGATTTTTGTATATGTGAAAAAAAATTATACGGATTGCAGAAAGCAACAATATATATATATAAAAAAAAACAGAAACAGTTGCTTCCTTATTCAATAAAAACAGACATTTATAAAAGTACAAAATAAAACAATTACATAAGTACCTAAATTAACAATATTTAAAAATAAATTGACTAGGAAAAAATTATCTAGAAATAGGTTTCATTCAAAAAATTGTTTAAATATTGTAGAAGTTCTTCATAAAACACAAACATTCTTGATTACAAGTAATCATCAAAATCATTAGCTCAAGAACATTAATTGTATTAGTATTAAGCAATATCTTACATACGATAATTGCACAAAAATATTAACTTCTACAAATACTGTGTTTTATGTTATAAGTGAGAAATGTGATTTATTTTTAAAATCATTTAGTGTGTGTGTATATATATATTTGCAGAGGTAAAAAGTTAACTAACCAATAACTGAAAGATATCACTAGTCTGTACACATTTTCACTCTTCCAGTTATATGTTTCTAAAACATATGTTTTTTTTTTAAAGTTAATAAAATTTAAATCAAAAATTTTAATACAGAGAAATAATGAAATATGATAATTTGTAATATGCTCATACTAAATAATCTTTCTTTTAATAATAATTAACCTCAAAAACTAGTGAACCCACTTTCATAAAACAAAAGATGGATGCACTTATTTTCAGAAACTGAGAAAATTTAAACTTATTTAATTTGGGCACTAAAAAAATTAATATATGAATTTTCGCAACAAAAAAATATATATATATATTTTGCTTTGTAGGCAGCAAAAAAAAAAAGGACTTTAGGATGCTTTCAGCCCTTACCTCAGATTGGAAACCATTGTACAATACAAACTGCCCATACATTTTTACCTGCCTTTACCAATTTTTTTAAATTTAAATATTTTATCCTATTGCTAATAAATATGATAAAATAACACTTTAAGTATGCTTGACCCATTAATTCTTAAGAGTTAAAACATTTTTCTTTATATAAAAATTGAAGTGAATTGACTAACATATAATGATTTGAAAGTTCATAAAAGTTTTGAAATGGCATTAACACAACTGTTGACTATCACATTAGGCAATACAATTAGGACTATTCAATAATATATTTAAAAAACCTAAAATAATTTTTGGAGGCAACAATAACTTCAATTAAAAATGAAACATTAAAAAGCTATAGATTAGAGGATATATGTATATATGCAGAGTGTCTGAAAAGTATAGAAACAATCAAATATCTCTAGAAATGTACATCGGATCAAAATGACGTGTGAAATGAAACCTAACTCAACACTTCGAGGGGGAGGAAATATCCTGAATTGAACAACCGATTTTTTGCAAAACATGTTAGATGATAAAACTTAAAATTTATTATATTTGAAAAACCTATCTGAGACCAAACTCATTTATTCATCCCATCCCCTGAGACTAAAACAAATCCCAAGCCTAATTTAAATTATTAGAAAGGTTATTTCAAAAATATCAAAACAAAATTACTAGTTCTATTATTTTGATCTGACATGTTTATCTCAAAACCACCATTTACATACGTCTTAAACACCTGTATGTTCACAAAAACAAACTTACATAATGTTAATGATACAAGAATAATATTTAATCTTAGTGAATCTCTTATAATAATATATGTAAAACCGTATACTATATAAAACCTTTTTGAGATGTGCCACTAATATGCAACAATTTTTTAGAATGCATATTATTCCGAATTCTGAGGTTTTTTTAATTATGGTGATTAAATTATCATCTTAGAATGAAAAAAAGTTCAATATTCATAAATCAAAACTTGTCTCTATCCATTGTTAGAGAAGTGGTTAATTTTAAGCCTAAAATGCATCTATGTAGAATCACTGATAATTTGTAATTAATTACTGATAATTTTTGGACAAATTTTAATAAAAGGGCTCCATAATATAAGCTTTGTCATGAACATCCAAAACATTATTTTCATTTTTCTATATAAATGATAACTCTTTTTGATATAATGATAACTCTTAATTTATACATAAATTAAGAGTTATCATTATATCAAATGCCAAAAATTTTCAATACAACAATCATGAATGCTTAGAAAATAAAAACTTGACATAAAATTGCAGTTTTCTTTCTTCAGTTAGTCATCCAAAAAACACTATTATTCAAATTTCTTTTAGCAATTGGCAAACTAACTTTATTACATCTGGATGAACAAAACAGTTAATTATCTTTTCTGTAGTTATTTCATGATCACACTGCGGTTTTTCTGAGCTAATTTCATTCTCTTTAGAATACAGTTTCAAAATAGATGTTGACTTGACAGAAATAATGTTCTGAAAACTAAAAATGTTGTCATTACATCTTTCTGAATGAACATTATCTTCTTTTTTCAATTTTGGAACTTTAGTTTTGCTATCCTGAGCATGGCAATTTGAAATATCCCCCTTATTTTTCAATTCTTTTAGAGTTGAAATAATGTAACCTAGAGTTTCATCAGGAGATACTAATTCCTAAATAAAATAAATGAAATAAAATTTACAAATCAAATAAATTTATAACACAATTAATAAATTTAATTAAACTTACTGCAGTTAGCAAGTTATTATTAAATGTCAAATAAATAGCACATTTCAATATACACGTTTAAAACTGATGTCCAAAATAGTGCGAGTGCTTTGGAATTTTACACAATATGTAATTATAACTAAATTACAAATATATCATTACTCGAAATTTGAATAGGAAGAAAGAGATTAAAATTTAAAAGTAACAATAATCAGGAAAGTAAAAAATTTATAACAATCAGAATGTATTTAATAAATTGCATTTAGTAAATTACAATTTGATTTCATTTATTTAACGCATTTCACACATAAAACTATTGTCCCTCCCACATAAAACTATTGTCCAAATTAGTGATAATGCTTTGGACCTCTTTTGGTTCCCTACAATATGTATTATTAGAAATTAACAAAAATAATATTATTTAGGACATAAATATGAAGAAAGAAACATCTACGAAAATTTCAGGCTTTAAGCATTACAAGTGCTCTTATGATTACCACTGAGCCCTAAGAAAAATCAGACTACAAATAATTTGATAACAATTGCAATACTACATTATTAATAACATAGCTGCTGACAACATGTACATAAAAGTTAAATTATTGCAAAATCCATTATTCAAAGAATCTGACAATAACCTAATTTCCTTAAAAATAATTTCAATTAAAAGATACACCATTAAATTATTTCAGCCTCCTTCTAAAAATATTCAGAGTTAAAAATGCATAATTTTCTTTTTAATTTTATTTTTTAAGTTAATATACAAATTTGATTTAAAAAGAAAACAGAAGTAATAGAAATTCATGCCTCTTTAGGATTCAACCATATTTCTCCCTCTGGTTCATAAGAAGATATCAAAGCAGTCATAAGAACTTTTGTAGCACTTTCTGCAAGATGACTACTGGAATCTGATTCCTTTAAATAAAACACACACAAATATTTATTGAAACTTTCTCCAAATTAAACAGAGAGTAATGATTCTTCATAGGAAATCCTCATTTTATTTATTTTAATAAATTTTTAGAATTTTATAAACTGAGTAGCTTAGTTACATAAACAGTTAAAACTTTATAGAAATCCTGACTCCCATACAGGTTTTAAAATAATAGTCATTTAAACAGTGAAGAAAAAAAAAATGAAATAAAGAAGCAAATTATTAGCTATAAGAGTCAATGTACAATCGATAACTTTTCAACAAAACTCATGATTAGTTTAAATAGCTATGTAATCGTTTGGGTGTGCATGCTAAGAGTTAATATAACAAGAGTCAGGTGGGCAAAATTTGACCTAAATGGTTAAAGAATGAGGATTGATCTCGAACAGTGCAAAAAAAAGAAATCCATTGTGATAAATGTGTATCATAAATTTTAGACTTAGTTTGAATCTAATCTAAGAAATTTGATGTTCCCTTTAGGTAGAAATTGCAAACAGATCAGATATGCACAGTTAGCAATATGTCGCATTTAAGCTCTGTGGCACTAGAAAGTATAAAATCAAACTAATTCAGATTTGCATTAAAAAATAATTCAATACAATCAAAATCTTTATTTACAATCATTTTCCCACACAGATTTTTAGAACCATAATAAAATTGAATAATAAAAAAAAAATTAAATTCAAATTTGAAATGGACTAGATTTTTATCAATAACCAAGGAAATCAATATATTTAAGTTTTTAAAGCTGAGAAAATATTTTTTAAGAAAAAAAGTAAGTGATCATTATTCATGTTTTTTTTTTTTTTTTTTTTTTTTTTTTTTTTACAGTTGTCAAGGTAAAATTAGGAACTTTTAATTCTTAGCATAACTAAGTAGGGGTTTAGTTTGACCTATTCCAGAAACTCGACTATTGCAGAAATATTTGTTCTTTTCCTAAGATAAAAACTAATATGTATAAAATTACAACATGAGACTCAATAATTTGTTTTCCTTTGTTGCAATTAATAACTTTGAATTATTCAACTATGCATAACATTTAAATTAAACTTCAGGTTCATTTTTTAAAATTTTGTTGAAAAACTTTAAAAAGTAACTAGGTTTAAAGCATTGTTGTTGTATTTTTACTAAATTGACACAATTTGTTTTATTTTTAAAAAAAAACTAAAATAATAATTATTTTTCAACTATTTTGCAATTAACAAATTAAAGAGGTATCTGGTACATGATTATTTGACACAGTTAAAAATACAAAATGTAGATTTAATTAAATGCACTTATGCTTTGTGTGTTAATATTTATGTGCTTTTTTACTTGTATTTACACTAAAAATAATTTATAAGTAATATGAGCTCAACTTAATTGTATTATTTAAAAATTAAATAAAATGTAAAAAAATTAATACTTTAAAAGTTTGATGTTCTTAAACATATTAATTGAGGGACCATTAAAAAAATTTAAAAGTTATGCCAATGCATTTAACAGTTATTGTGAATAAGGTTTAATGGCATTGTTGCTATAATCACTTTCGGACAAAACATGGTTGTTAACCTAGTTCTTATATTCATCCCCATGTAAATATTGACACACTACCTCTAGCAGAACTCAAAGCTGACTCTCAGCATTTAACCATTCAGGATATTAGAGCTCATAGCTTTAACCTTTAACTTCATCGAGAAGAATACCATACTGACTGCACAAACCAAAGATTAATCTTTCAATAATTCATCTGGATGCACCCACTCAGCTGCTGCTCAGAACATTGCAGCCAATTAATTGATCAAAAGAGAAGAGAGCAAGAAACGTACATCCAGCTATATTTATCTTGCTATCTAATTAACATATAACTAATGCCAACCACTTAACATTTAAAATAAACTAAGATTTGAAAAAGAAAATATAAACCAACCACCTGCTTATGACGTATATTGGAGGAAAAAAAGTTAATTAATTACGTTTGGCAAAAATTATAACAGATTTGCTCCTCATGAATAAAAACGAAACTATCAAAAGGGTAAAAGTAAAACCTCTAAAGTAGACAAAATCATGAATTTTAACCAGTAACGCAAGTCAATTGACAGTTTTGAATTTGCCAATCAAAGAAAGGTTTCTCAATTTGATCCTATTTAAAAATTCTTAAATGAAAACTTATTATTATTGTCAAAAAATATATATACTGAGTTGAACAACAACAAATTACAAATGCACTTCAAAATTTAAAAAAAAAAAAAAAAAAGCTCTGCATTGTTTTCAAGCATTACAGTACAGAACTGATATCATTCTAATAGATGAATAATAAGAAATCTAATAAGAGCAATGAATTAAGAATAAATATTTTCATTCTCTTAATACTGAATTTAAGATTTTTTTTTCTTTTTCGATTCTTTGTTATCTTTAATAGAGGACTACTGTATCCAATTGTGGTTTTTTTTTAAACTAAAAATAAAAGGAACACAATAAAAATAAAAGAAATACAGTACAGAACCCGTTATCCGGAAATCAGAAAACCAAAAATCCGGAACGAAATTCAATAAATTTTCCCGCTATTTTTTTTAAAATTTTTTTTTTTCCTCATAAGATTTTAGGATTTTTCTTTCTTTTTTGAAAGATGTTTACCCTAGCATCATTTTGGAAATAATCATTAGTGTATTACTTCGTTTTTTCAAGATTATTTCCAAAAATTTTTTTTTTTAGTTGGGTTTAACAATAAAAAAAACGACTTTTTGTAGCGATTCAGAAAACCGGAAAAATCAGTTATCCGGAATAGCGATGGTCCCGATCGTTCCGGATAATCGGTTCCCTACTGTACAATTAAAAAAAAAAGAAATATCAGGGGGAAATAATGCAAATAGAGAGTTTGACATCCATTTAAAAAATAAATAAATAAAATAGGAAATACCTCTTCTAACAAACTTTTGTTCACAGCTCAGGTTTTCTTTTAGTATTATGTTGAAATATTAAAATATATTAGTTAAATGACCTATTATGATTTTAAACAATTCTTCATAAATTTTGAGATTGGTTAAAATAGCTTTTTTAGAAAATTTGACATAACTTTTATAACATCTTATCTCATAAACAAATTACATTACGAGATAATTTTTTGATATTGAGTTAAATTAAGGCTTTTATAATTAGCATAGTAAAATGATAAAAATGTATTAAATTTACAATTTGTTATTAGACCTTTAATTGGTTTAAAACAGATTTTTATGATGAACATTTTAATAACATTTAAAGCTTTTTAACAAAGTTTTAATTTATGGGACACCATTTTTCCTAGTTTTACAATAATGTGTGGGTCCCAAGATCCCAGGTTGAACAATATTCAGTGAAAATCATGAACATATTCTTCTAATTGTTTTAGGAAATATTTATGATTGAGATATGCTTACCAATTTGATCCAGGTATTAACACTCACAGTGACAGAATCTAAATTTAAAACAAAATGCCACCATCCCTTAGGTACAAACAAGACTTCATCATTTTCCAAAATCACAACATAGGGATGAGCTTTCTAAAAATTAAAAGATTTTATTAAATTTGTAACTTCACAAAAATATAACATACATGTGACCTAATTAGTATGAAAAACACTGATATGGCATAAAGATGGCAATTTCTCAGCATATTTTGAGATATTAATGCACAATAGTGCTAAAAAATTCAATTTAGTAAAAATACTATAAATATAAGTAACATGTCTGTTATAATTAGAAAAAGTTCAACAGTATAAGCAATACAATTTTATCAGAACGCATTCTCAAAATATTTACAAAAATGCCACTTAAAGCAAAAATTCAACTTTTTGGAATATTTTTGCTTTCTAAATGATGGTGCAAATTATTTTTTTTCTGATTAATGATTTATGCAGTTATAGTTAAAATAAATATATTTATAGTTAAGAGTTATATTTACAGTTTATTTAAAGTTCTAGTTAAAATATTAAAGTTATAATATTTAATTTGAGTATACCTTGAATATAAATATATTTATAATTAAAAATTTAATTAAGCTAATATTTAAATATAATATAAATTTATATATTACATAAATTTATATATTATATAAATTTATATATTATATAAATTTATAAATTATATAAATTTATATATTATATAAATGTATAAACAGTTAAGTTAAATTATAAAGTTAAACATGTTAAAGTCAAGTTATAGATAACATTTAATTGAAAATTATAGATAGTTTCTTTTCTTGAATTGAAAGAGGCATTTTAAAATTGTGTTTAATTTCAATATACCATTAAGGTAATTAATTTTAACATAATGATTATATTAAGATAAAACACTATTTTTCTCTTACCTTTTTCCATTAAAGAAAGCTTATAAAGTAAAAAATTAAATAATTAAAAGTTTATTAATAAATATTTACAGTTAGAAAAACCTTCACAAATGCAACTTTTTACTGAATTACGAAATAAATGCTTTGATAATAAAACAATAACTGATCAAAATTAAACAATTTATGTCTGTTGAATAAAAAGATACAAATAAAAATGGTCTGAAATGAAGTATAATTTCCGAATATTTATTGAATAAAAAAACTTTTAACTAAATACCTTAAAAAGAGGATGTTTTTCTAGATCAGGTTCTGCAACATTAACTGAACTAAAAATGCTAGATTCTTCATAGGGTATTCTAGTTGGATAGAGAAATTTAGCATCCTCAGGTGGAAAAAGCACCCATTTTTTTCTAAAAAGAAAATATTATTTTGTCATTTTTAAATAAATAAAATAATTAAAAGTTTTAAAAAAATTGCTTTTAGAAACATTTGGTGCACACAATAGATAAAATTAAATTTTGCACTTGAACAGTTGATAATATCCAAGAAATAAAATGATGTTTCAAATGTTTATAGAAAAATTTTTCATTTAAAAAAATAAAAGGAAATGTAATTTTACAAGAGTCAAACTTAATCATAATTACAGAATTCAAAAATATTTATGATTGAAAGTTGGTAAAAACACAATTAATAACTAACTAGTCTGTTAGTTCAGTAACTAGATGAATTTTGTTAAAGTCATGTTTAATGACTTTCATTGGTAGTTATAATTTGTTTGCTTAAAATTTAAAGCTTAATCAGGGATAAATATAACTTTAAAAATAACACTTTCATAAACTGTGGCTTGTAACAGACAATATTCATGATTCAAAATAATTTGTTTCAAATGTTTATATATCATTTTAAAAATAATTAAAAGAAATTTAATTTTTACACAATTCTAACTTTATCATAATTACAAACATGGTAGCAAAATTTATTGAATCAATTTGCAGCATAACCATTCATAAGTCAAAATTTGTCTGCAAATCAATCAAGGGGGAGGCTATTATTATAAAAATAAGGTTATGCAATCGTGTGAATTGCAAAATTTAAATTCGCAAATTCAAGGTAGATAAAAATTATATACAAGAAATGCATGATGCTTATATTTAGTTTGAAACACATAAAATTATACTTAAAAAAGATGATGGAAGAAATCCATGCGCCACGAAATGCTGTAAAGGAACGAGAGTAGAGCATAAACATTGGATCATCTCCAATATGTTTAGTCGAACTGTTGGAAGCCAAAAAGAAGTTATACCACGTAGATAAAATATCCATATCATTCCCTCAAAGTATGCAAAGAATTTTATAATATTTCCATTTTTTCTGTAAAGATCATGCATGAATTTCTGTTATCACTGCTAAGTCAGTTCTATTGTAGACGAATTGTCACATTATCCCTGCAGAAATTGTTTGGGGAAAAATTAAAATCTCTCTGAAAAATCTTGCCCTTCAGTGACTACGCTACTGAAGCATCACACTGCCTGATTATTTTAGGATTTTAAAAGGGGGGAGAAATGATTCCCAATTGAAATTTCAGATCATGGAAGGTTTCTGTTATTGAATTTACAGAGTTCAAAAACATTTATGATAGAATGTCAGTATAAATACAATTAATAATTAATTTGTTTATCAAATCAGGAACTAGAAAAAAAATTTAGAGCTACATTTAATGACCTTTGTTTGTAATAATATCATTTGTTAACTTAAAATTTAAAGTTGCATTAGGGGCAAATATAATTTCAAAATGAACAATTAATATTTGCAATATGTGATAGACAAAAAAAAAAATTTTTTTTTACTTAAAATGAAACTTAAATATGTACAAAAAGCTTTCCAGCTTAACCACTGTTTAAAAAAAACTAATAAGTGCAGAACATCAGCGTTCTGCCTCATAGTAATTTTCCTCTACTGAACCAGCTAAACATTTTGTTGCAAACAAGACAAGCAACTTTCCTCCAAATACAACCAAGTCATTACCTATGATGCCATGCTTTGTTTACAAACACACAACATGGTGGTGAGCAATGCGCATCAGCTGCTGAACTTTCTCAACAAGTTGGTACCTATGGATCTCAAGTACGATGGCAAGCTAGCTGCCACTAGAGATAGAACTTCAGTTTTTTATGACGACAGCTCAGTGTCTTAATTAATCAATGTGCCACCGAAGTTCTATAATGTGAGACAGTATTTCAGAGGCAATATTAACCATTTCAGAATGAATGGCTTTGAAATAAGCAATTGATACTTTTAAGGTAGCAAACCAAAAAAAAAAAAAAATTAGATTATTGTAAATTAGTTTTGAACAAAATTAGCAATTACAAAATTAGCAATGAACAAAATTAGATGAGCAGAGAAATGATGATTTAGATGGATATTAAATTGTTTTTAAACACATGCTGAAAATCTGAGAACTTTTCAAAACTATCAGCACAGGTATTACTTCACTATTTTCAATCAAATTTTAATATTTTATCTACGTAAAAACATTTGCATTTTTTACAAATTAGTTCACACAAGCTTATCTGATAGGTAGAACTTCTTAAATTTACAGTGTGTATATGAATTTAATAACAATACATACAAAAAAGTATTCTAGACTATGAAATTCAAGAACTCAAAATAAATTAAGCAAAAAATATAACAATAAAACATTTACCTTCCAAAAACTTGAGCAATTAAATTACAGCCATAGGAATCAACATGACAAGGTGTATTGGCACCAGTGCTACCTAACCAAAAAGTGCTATCTTTTCCAGTTATCTCTGGAAATCCAAACTGTCCCCAGTTCATATCCTATCTTGAAATAAAATGATTCATATATTAGAAGAGAAGAAAAGCCCATTTTTGATTTTGAAAAGTGATTGACTTTATAAATAGATAACTAGTTTTATATAAAGCTCCTTTTATAAAATTTCAAAGTTAGATTTCATCAATTAGCATACATAATAAAAACTGGATGTATTAAAATATTTATTATTAGTTTTATCTGTTTTAATTTATTTTAATCAATATAATAAAATGTAAAAGCAACAATTTAAAAAACAGTTTTTATAATATCTGTCCTGTTGTTTGGGTAGCTATTCTTTTAATAAAGTTAATCACTATTTATGAAAATTCATTAAATTTTGTTCACTTATACACTAGGCCTACTTTATTATACAATATATAATATTTATAATATTTATGAGAAGATTAATACATAACTTGTAAAATAACCAGGGTTGGCAAGTTTTTGATAAATGACGGTTTTAACCATCAAGTCAAAAACCTTTTTTTGACAACTGTCAAAAACTTGAAATTCTGGTGTAAGGATAATTATAAGCAATTATAAATATGAAGTATTTTTAAATAAACATAGAAATAAAATTACAAGTGATCAATCAATTATGTTTTGAATTATTTTAACATTAAACTCTTTTTGTTTTGAAAATTACTGTCGAAAACTCAAATTTTAATGTAGAAAATATTAAATAAATATTAATTTTAAAAAATGTGTCAAACAGGGGTAGCAGCAAAGTTTTTTAAAATTTTAGGGAAATTTTAGGAACTTTTTTCAAAAAATTTTAGGTAAATTTCAGGGGTAATATATGATTTTGCTAGGATAAAAACAGATCACACGGTAGTTTATTACATAACAGAAGATTATTACAATTCATCCACACATATCATAAATAATTGCAAGCCATAAAATAAAGCTCTGAAATTTATTAAGTCAAGAATGAAATCTCTAAAGTGTAAAAATGAAATTTCAACTTTACATATTACCTATCAGAAATTAAGTGCATAATTCAGGAACAGGCAAAAGTGAGAATAAATCAAGAGAAAAAATAAATTAACACCAACTTGGATTTTTATTTAATTTTTACCTTCTTAATCAAAACTTTATTATTACTTTACTTTATTAAGAAAATTTATTGTGTGATATTATTAGATTTCAAATCAGTTAGAGAAAAACAAAGTTAGAGAAAAACAAATTAATCATGATCATTTTTCTAAAATATTCTTGATATGATTTGTGAGATTCTTTTACTGCCCTCAATAGTGTTGTGGTGATCTTCAACACTCCTCCATAATTTCGAATGGTATCTTTGATTAGTCTAAGCGACATAATAGTATACTCATGGTGACTCACATTAAGCATTGCTTTATTTATCGAAAAACCTCTCTCAGGATCAGAATTCCCATGTGTCAAAATTAAAAGTTTTAATTAACGTAGTTAAATTCTTATATTTTAGATTATTGCTTTTTTATTTATATTTAGCCTATAACTAATATTTTAGGAACACCAACAAAATTTTATCAGATTTTTAGGAATTTTAGGGTTTGCACATGCTTTTAGGAATTTTATGAATTTTAGGGGGAATGCGACCCCTGCGTCAAATTGCAGTCTATCTAATTGGTAAATTTGTTTAATTATTGAAAATAAAAATACAAAAACAATCATCTCATAAAAAAAGTCCTTCGATAAATATTGTTCATTTTTAATATAAACATTTAATGCACAATTAGTCACATTTGTTTCATAATTTCAAAAAACTAACTTAGAATATTTAAAACTGATTAAAAAAAATCTAGAACAGCCAAATTAATCGACTAATTGAAATTTTTCTAAATAGTAGATAAAAAGAGGAATAAAAAAATGTAATATTAAATATAACACCATATATAACAAAACCATGTTGGTTTTGTTATATACCATATTGAACTATAGATGCCTAATTGAACTAGACCATATTAAGCCATATATAACATATTGAGCCATATATACCATACTGAACTATATATGCCTAAAATGCTGAATCCATTCAAATATTTATCATACAAACTGTGTTTTGCTTTAAATAGGCTATTAATTAGATACTTTTTCATGACTACATTCTTGATGGTTCTGACAATGTTACTGGCGTTAAAAGTGAAAATTATCTATTAGAGGGAAAAGAATTTTTCAAATACTCAATTATTTTATGTCTGAGCAGAAATATAGGTTTTAATTCTTACATGTTATATTTGTTCATTAATATTTAATGAAAAAAATCAAAATTAAGTTAACCTGTAACATTTTAAATTCCTTGGAAAAAATAATATTCATATAATTGTAGCTGGAGTATGCCCAAAATTTTTCCTTATTAAATTTATAAAAAGGAGTCTCTGGGGTTGCTACCCCATGCTGCCAGTCAATGAATTGAGAAATAGTTGCCTCCATATATTGAGCATCTCCTTCCCATGATGTACCTAAAAAAATAATATTAATATATTTACATAGCTGCCATTAAAATGAGCATCAATGTGTGAAATATATATATATATATATTTCACACATTGATGCTATTTCACACACACATATATATAAACAGTATAGGACCGACGAAATTCCGTATTTCAGAATTTGCCGAATTTTGGATCTCTTTCGGAAATTCTAATATGATGCCCATATATAATGATAATTCAATTATACTGTGAATTTCAGAAAATTAATTAATTTCAATAAATTTAGTTAAGTTTTGATAGTAGATTATGAAGGGGGCGAATTTGAAACTGTCCAATCTTAAGAAATTTCATTAATTAAAATAATAATCTATATAATAGAAATAACAATATATATATTTTTATAAGCTAGCGAAATTTTTTAATAAGCTAACAACTAAATAGGATTTTAAAAAAAAGCTATCAATTAACAACAAAATAAAGAAATTAACAGTTAATAATTAATAAAAAAAACAAAAGAGTATAATTTACATCAAATAAAAAAAGCACCAATTGGGATAGAATTCATTTTATTGAATGTGAATTATTGAATTCATTTTATTGAATTAGAATTCATGTGGTAGTGCCAAAGTCAAAAGGGTGTGGCTAATTTATGGTCAAACTGGAGAGGGAAATGTGAGGATAAACCAGTAGAGCACCTGCACAGCTGTCAAGATTGATTGATCAGTTTCTTCCAACTTGCATTTCTTTATTTTGTTCATTGGAAATGCAGGTGTTTTTACTTTTCCCTTTCACTTCATTTTAATTTTTTAAAAGATAAAATAAAGTTAATTTCTTCAACAGAATAAAATTCCAAATATAAATGATTTTTTTCTCTTATTAATAAAAATTTCTTTTAAAAAAAATAGATCGGATTAAGTGATGAATTTCAGGATGCTGAATTAGGGGTTCCATACTGTATTCTAGTACTGTAATAATAGAATTATCCAATATGACTGACAAAATTTTTAGGATTGCAATATTTGATTTCAATTTCAGTATGTGACAGAAGTGGCACCAATAAAAATGTGCCAAAAGTGGTTGGCGAGAAAAGAAATCATCTTATTTAAGGTTAAGATTCCATCATTAAGGTTCCATCTTATTTAAGGTTAAGACTTTGAACCATTAGGATTGAAACCTCTCTGGTAACCTCTCATGGAAAACAAATTATTAGATGAAAGGTTATTCAGGACCTTCATTTTTTTATTTTATGCAATGCAAATTTTTGCTTTACCAACCTTACATCACAATATTTTATATATTGATATTGTTATTATAAACACATATTGTAGAAAGATATCCAAACTATTGTGACATATTGTTAAAACAGGGCACACTTATAAACTAAATCTTTCATATGAGAGTCCTATTTTATATTTTAACAATAATTGATTGAAAAATTCTTTGAATTAGATTATTAACATATTAGAAAATATGCAGTTTCAGGAAAAAATACAACAGATTATTTTTATTTGCACTTAGCAATAACACACACAGTGAACAATTACTTAGAAGCAAAATTATATCATATGATAAATATCCTTTTCAACTTTTGCTGAACTAGAGATATAAGTACCTTTACAGGAATTTGAAACTATCCTGAAATCAAGAAGAACATCTGTAAACATTTCTCGAAAATTTTTAATGGAATCAGAAAATTTTATCCCGGTTTTTGTCCAATATTGGCCTTTAAACACTGTAGGGACATTTAAATATTCTTCTACAGCTCTCCTAACTTCAGAAGAAATAGGAAATGGACCAAACTTATCCTCCATCTAGAAAGGAAAGAAAAAAAAATGCCATAACAGTTTTTACTGATAATCAAAGAATCTTCTATAGATCAATTATTTAACAGATTTTAATATTAAATGAAAATGAGATTTTAACTAAAATGTAACTAAATTACTGTCAAGACTAAAATATTCGTAAGCATTAAACACATTTTCTCTAATAGGAATTTGAATCTGTTTTAAAGGGATGTAAAAAAATGCAGAAGCATTTATTTAAAAAACTGCCTAGGCAGTGATGCTTAATTAACTGTTGTAATATGTACTACTGGTGTTGTTAAAGGTACCAAATATACCAATAATAGATTGTAGTTATAGGCTTTCGAATATTGATAAATAAATGTATTTTTTGGATTTAAAGAAAACATTTGATTGTTGTCAGCTTTAACTTGACTTAAGAATGGGTCAGTTCCCCAGTACGAAGCTTCTGGAGTTCGTTCTAAACTGTTCTATCGATGTTGCTCAAAAACAAACTGAAAGTTTTAATAGATTAATCTTAAGAGAAAAGTGCAAATATTTTTTCATTGTTTTTTGTTAAAAATACATAATTTTGTGCTGAATTCACATACTTTAAAAACAAACTTTTCATAATTCTCAACATTGCACCTACTATATTTTTAGTCACTTCTTCATCAAAATAAAATATACATTTAAAAATTGAAAATTTGATTGGTGTTTTTAAACAGGAATGATCAAACCACATTCAGTAGGAATGTTCCCTAAATTTGCAAAAACCATGGACAGCAATTTATTATTCTTCAAGATTTCAACTTTTTTATAGTTTAATTTTCTGAAAGAAAGATTCAAAACATAGATAAAAGAATTATTATTAAATGAAGAATAATGAGTGACGTTAAAATTATGAATTGAATCAATCAAAAGTTATGATTATCAAACAGTTGTTAAATGATTAACAACTGTTCACCTAAACCATAAACTTCTCAAAAGTTAAAATTGGAGGGCTCCAAGAACTCCATGCCATGGATTAGCCTTATTAATTTGCTGATTATAAGTGTAAAAGTCAAGTCCTTTCTTTAATAAAATTAAAGCTACTTCTATTCGTAACCAGGAAAATAACTATACCTAAATTTAAAATGCCCAATAAAATAATCATAAATATTGAAGTTTCACGCTTTTACATTTCATGCTTTCATTTTCATGCACACATTTTCATGCTTTTGAATCAAGAACAGTGAATTAAAAGTAGCATTGACATCAAAATAGGGATCACATTTTCAAACCGATATTTAAAAATTCAACTAATTTCTAATAATTAAAAATATTACCATCAGCTTCTTTTTTATGAAAATCAAAACATTAAGAACGAATTATTTAGATGGGAATTAAAAATTTGAATGACTACATTTGAAGACAGGTAACACATTTAATATTAGATTTATAATTTTAATAAAATTAATTTTTTAAATAGTTGGAACTTCCAAGAATTTTATGTGCTTGAAATGTTGCTTTTATATTGCTTATTATTTATGCCTTCAGGTGTTTGTTTCTGCTCAGCTAAATACCGTCTTCATTATGCTTAAACTCAGACAAATATCGTTCTCCTCAATAATGGGTTCTTTTCCATCAAAATATTTGCACTGTAAAAATAAATATAAAATTTAAATATTAAAAAATATAAAACATCAATCAAAATGAACTTTATAAAGAAAGATGTTGCCATTGAAAAAGAAGCAAAAATCAGCTTTGAATCTTATTTGCTTTGCAAAAGTAGGTAGCCGGAAGTATACTAATTTGATGTAAAAACAAATCTGACTGTCATAAACAAACTGACGATAGAAATTTGATAATTAAATAATTGCTTTTAACATGCCAGAATTTCTCCTATAAATTTTATACTCAGAAATAAAATACTTTTAAATTAAAATTTTGTTTTACATCTTAAGAAAATGAAAACATTCAAGTTATTGACGCATAACAAATCTTTTAGTGGTATATTTTTATTGATATTTGTTGAAGTATTCTCTTTAAATGCTTCAAATTTAGTGTGTTCATTTCTTTTTAATCTGTTCAAATGTGACCTCATGTTTCAAAAGATCAATTTAGTTGTTCCTGTTTTATTTGTTTAATAAAAAAAAGTTAACTGGAACTTATTTTTAAAATGTCATTATATAATTCTCATTATTATATTTTGTAAAAAATTTTATTGCCTCAAATTTTCTGAAACACTTATCTCTTTTATAGAGGAAAGCTTAGTGATCAGTTCAAAAGATGACCAGGGCCTCACTGTTGGAGATGTTGTTGAGATAAATGCAGCTGAAGGAGAATGTGGGAGGTACTAAAACATTTTTATTCATACAAATCTTTACGTTTAATTTGAAAATGAAGTAGTAAAGAAACTTAAGTAGTTTGCATGTTAAAGAGTTATTTTGAGTTCACAATCTGTCATGCCAACTACAATCGCTGAGGCGTCAATTGGGTTTTAAACTTTCAATTTTGTTTATTTAAAAAAATTTTGAGGTTTACTCAAGAGAGACTACAAGGTATACTCTTTGAGTTGGTTTGTGTGATGTTTTTTTTTTTATTAGTTCCTCACTGGTATCTGCCTGGAAGTTTCCAAGACTTGGCCATTGTTTTGCTACAGATCACGATTTGGAAATCTTCACTAGACTAAAATAAATGTGACTATATTTTACTTGCTAACTGTGGTTTTCTGGCCAAACTTCAATAGTGTATTTCAGTCTGCAGAAAGATTTCTGTAATGGTTACTATGCTAAAATATTTGCCAAGTTTTTGCGACTTTTGGGTATTGGCTCACATGAAACTAGAAAAAGAAAATAATATCTCAGAAGGGGACCAACTCTCAGGGTATAACTCAGACAAACCTCTACTTATTTTTTTAAGTTTAAAATCTTTTTGATATCTTAGTGATTGTAGTTCGCAAGAATAGGTACCGATATGGAACAATTCAACAAATTCCCCATTTTAGCAATCTATTATTATAATGGAATCTTAATTATCTGAAATCTTTTTATTTCTATGGGGCACTAAGTCCCAAAAGCTCTTAATTTTCTTTTAAATTTTCATTTTCTTCACCTCAGCTTTCTAACAGTTTCTTAGCTGATGAAAGCTCTACCTTTGCTCCATATCTTTCTTCTGCTTTAATTCATTTTTAATTAACTATTCAACTGTGTAAATCTTTTATTTTCATTCAGAGTGCTACATAATATTTTGGTTAAATATTAAGTTTTGATGTATATTTCCTTGCATTACATTTTTTGATTGTTTCTTGCACGTGTCATCTATTTAAGTCTTAAAAAAGAAAAGGGAAAAGCATTTTTTGTACAATTTTGTTGGTGGCATATCTTAGGTGTATATTGCAAGTACTTCATTTAGAAACTATTCAATCTTACTTGACTCGTAAAGATTAAAAAGACTTGCATGAATTAATTACATGACTACATCTTTTGAAAAGGTTGCTGATCAAAATTCTGATGGTTTTATGAGAATGTTACAGTTTTAATTTAGTGTAGCCACTCTCAGATTTTTTGGTTACTTTTTACTCTTTGAGTGAATTCAATCGAAAAATTATAATTTCTTACTTGAAACCTTTTTTTCACAAAATTTGTTAGCTTTCTGACTTTTTATATTTATTTAAAAAAAAATTTCTTTAAAGTGAGAAATAAAAAACACTTTTTATCAAACTAAAAAAAAATTTTTTAATAATTAGTTTAAAATTTTCAAAATGCAATTCTTTTTTGAATGCAGATTTAAATTTGTACTTAAAACTCAAAGTAAGAATATTTTGCTTTATGTGTTCTGGGTGTATTTGGTTTTAAGGTTTGTATTCGGGTTAAAACTATGAGAATTTAAATATATAAGTGGTTTAATCGTAAGTTTTATTTCTGTGTCTATATCATGGTATTGTATAAAACTGGCAGATATTATGTAAGAACCATTGAGATTTTGCATTGAAGCATATATATTTTTTAAATTTCATGCTTTTAAAATTTTATCAGTGTCTTTTGACTACTAATGTAATTCTCATGTATTCTTAATTCAAATTCTGTCTTCCTACATGTATTATTGTTGCTCTGGAAATTTGAATGAAAAACTCGCAAATTTTTTTTCTTGAAACTGAGTATAAATCCTGCAAAAACGCAGTTCTATTTATATATATTCAAATTTTCATGTGTTCAGATTAAAATAAAAGTATTATTTAAAGACTTCCCTTATGTATAATCTAGAATCTTTTTTTTTTAACTCAATAACAGTTTTGACTTAAATAAAATTTTTTCCATAGCCCTATTCTTCTGCAAGTTACTATTGGTCCAGAGACACTGCAAAAAGGTATGTTGATTCGATGAAATTTGTAATTCTTTAGATTGCTATTCAGGAGATGCGCATTTAAGTCTATCTGAACTAGTATGTCTAACTTTAGGTAATTTTAGCTATGGGTAAAAATAATTAATTCTTCAATTTATCTTGCATTTTATATGATTGATGTGGACATTTATTTACTTTATTAACATCAAATGGACTAATTCCTTATAGAGCATAGTTTCTAAATTGAATAATCTGGGATAAAACTGGTATTCTGTTTTGAGAAACAATCGAGTTGTACCCTAAATTCAAAGCAATGGTTAATATAACATAATATTGAAAGAAATGTAAAACCATTTTTGAATTAAGCCTTCAATGTACAACTTGCAAAAACACTGATCAATATTATAAAGTTGATGAAAAATGTTGGAAGTAAAAATAAAAGGCTTAAAAGTTAGAAAGCTATTTTGATACTTAAAACAAATTAGTATTATCATTAATTCTGAAACTAAGAAAGAGTACATTCTGTTCCTTAGAATTAAAAATAGGACCAATTTAATGTCCGTAAATGTCTTTTTGTGCTTTTAATCATTGTTTTGTCACTGTCCTGCTCTTGCATAAAGATAACCCTTCTTTCTTTGAATACTTGTAAAAATTTGAATATTAAATAGCTGGTGTATAACAAATTAAATAATCTTCTTTAATCCACAAAAACATTAATTAACTAGTTGGCTCCTATCATCAGTTTTGCTTTGCTATTCAAGAATGTAAATGAATTATAGTTAGTCAAAAATTTGTAGAGTGCAATTAAATTATTTCCTTTGTTCATTATTGTTTAATAAGTTTGACGTATAGTAAATTAAAAATAGTTTTAAAAAATATATTTTCAGAAGAACTCTATCAATTTTGATACAATTTTGTCACATTAATCTAGCCTAGTTGCACTGTTAAAGCTTAATTTTAAAATTTGTTCATTAGACCAAAAGTTATTTAATTTTAATCTTTTTTTATTGTAAATAAATAAATAATGTATGAATTTTTTTAAAGGTTGCATTAGTATTGATCAATCAATTGCTGCAAATTTTCAGTTGAAGCAGTACATGGAAGTTACCTTAAAAGTCATTGATAATTTGAAAGTAAGATTTCCATAATAGTTTGTTTAAATTTTGAATTTATGTCTATGTCATCTTTAAACTGTTAAATGTTTATTATTACCAAGTCTTTGTCTATCTGTTAATTTTACTTATAAATTTTAAAGTTATTATATAGAATTTCTTTTTAATTTGAACATATTTTAGGATATTTCACTTGATTCAGTAGAGTTAACTTTTAAAGATCAGTATTTGGCAAGAAGTGATATGTGGCGATTGAAGACATTTCTGGTATGGCATGTTTGATAGTGATATTTATATGCTTATTTTATTTATTATAAAAATTTTCTGATTATAAAAAATATATAAGTTTGAATTTTGTTATACATAAAATGTAGCACAAAATAATGAATATTTTGAAAAATGAATTTTTTTTTCCAGCATTTTGAATAATAAATATTTATTTTCAAATGTATATTAGTTAAAAAATAATGAACTAATATTGCTATTTACCATCCTATTGTTATCTTTCAACAATTGTAGTGAATGAAATTATAGTAAATTAATTAAATTCAAAATTTTCCAAAAGATATTTGAAAGATAACATTATTATTGTTTTTATTTCAAAGCTAAATTATTAGACACTTTTTTTTTAATTTTCTTTAATTTGAAACAAATTAATGTGTTTTAAATAAAGTGAATAAAGAGAAATATGTAGAAACATTAATAAAATTCTCTCTATGTTTCTAAATATCGTACCATTTTTTTAAACATTTAAAAGAAATTTCTAAAAGAAAAATATCAGGATTATTATAATAAAAACAAAATTTTTCTGCAACATTTCATTTTTTTAAAATTAATATTAAGTTAACAAAAAGTTTAAAAATTTTATTATTTATATACATAATATTACTAACATTCACACTGTTGATAATCATTGTCTGACTATGACATCTTAACTATTGTATTTATTTTTATAAAGTCAGAAAAACAATTCTGGCAGAAAACAAAAATTATAAAAATTTAGGATATTGTATTTATTTTAAAACATGATATTTATTTCAGATTAATAAATGCGTATATCTCTAAGCATATCTTTTTTGTGAGAAAAGTTATTTTTAAGAAACAATATTTTTTCTTTAAACAATTTAATATCTTTCAAATTTAAAAGAAAAAGGAGAATATGTGGAATCGTTAAAAAAAAATTTTTTTAAGCTATATTTCTAAATATGTTATAATTAATTTTTAGAACATTTAAAAAGTCCAACTTCTGTGAGGCAATCATCTTCTATGGATAGTGCTATATTTACTTTTCGAAATAATTTGCATTGATATAGGCAAGACAAAAACAACAAAATAAATTTAAAAACAATTAAAAAATGTCTGTAACATTTCAGCTAGTAATTAATATTATTGATAATAAAAAATATACAAATTATGTACTAATATATGCTTAATATTAGTAATATGCACACAGGTGTATTATTGATAGGGTATTATACTTTTCTAATCATTGTATGATTATAACATCTTGACTATTGTATTTATGTTAATACATGTTTTTGTTTCAGATTAATAAATGCCTGTATCTTGAGAAAAAGTTAGATATTTTTGGAATCAGGTACTATTTTTTTCTCTTAGTGTTAAAGAAACCCATTTTAATGTGTCAAAAATAATGTATTGAGGTGTATGCATATGCAATAAAGTTAAAATGAAACAAAATATTTTTCACAATATATTTGAAGTGTTATTGAATAATAATTTGTAAATGAATAATTTTTTAATTAATTTTCTTTTTTATCCTTTTGTTTTTATATTAATTAGCCTTTGAGTGTAATGAATTACTATACCTGTTAACTGTGTCTCTACTTTCTTTTATTCTCTTTTTCCTTCTCCCACATCTGCTATATCAATTTGCGAACTTTACTCCATTTAATAAACTAGTTTACATAAATACAGCAATTAAAAAAGAGCTGATTTACTGCCCCTGGGAGAAGGTGGAAGATTAAACGAGTTAAAAAATACTTACTGAAATTAATTTAATTGTGAATGTGTAAACGAATATAAAAAAATCCAAATCTAAATTAATCTAAATCTAAAATTTTAATTAATATTAAAATTCAGAAAAATTAATGTTTACAGAAATAATTTTTTTGTTACTTAATTTATAAAACTTTTCGAAATTTAAAGGTTTTTTTTCCTTAAAAATCTTAACATTTGTTCTAAATTTTAAAGAAAAAAAGACCTAACTGAAATTAAAATAGTGTGCACAATTTCTTTGATTTTAACTAAGTAATAATTTTATTTTTGTTCAATCTGGTATCATAAAAGTACTATAAGCAGTAATTTTTTATTTTATTTTAAATATTACATGTATATTTACATTATTAGGTTTATGTAATAAAAATTGTTTGAGCTTCAAATTGTTATTGTTAATGGCTAAAGCATATCTCAAAATAGTCTTGCACCAAATTGAAATCAACTTAATGGGAAACAAATATACTCCAATTAATTTTTAACGAGAATATAGAAATCCAGAAAATTTTCTTATTGAACTCAAATTGGCAAGATTTTTGAAAATAAAGGCTATATAACAAAATTTATTATTGACTTACTTCTCATTACTTTACTATGTATTTCAAGAGGGAAAAGTATGTGAGTTTCTTTTGACATATGACAAATCATAGTTTAAAATTCAGGAAGCTCAATTATTTAGTCAGGAATCTAGTAAAATAATTTTCACGAAACCGATGAAAAATTTATGCTCATAACAAAAGTTTCATATTTCCTTTTTAATGGTTAACCATGTAGCTTCTTAAAATTTTCTTATCCTGTTTGTTAAATATGTGCTGGCATTTGAGGAGTTAACTGTATATATTAGATAAGAATATAAATGTTTTAAATTAAATCACTGAATACTTATTAGCAAAGCAATTTTAATTTTTATACAGGTGTCAAGTATTTGAAATGTATATTCAAGGAGAAAAGGTCGCATCTGGTATTGTTACAGAAGAGACCAAGATAGTTTATCGCTCTGCTAGCAGTATGGTTTACCTGTTCATACAAATGAGTTGTGAAATGTGGGATTTTGACATTAATGGTGATCTCTATTTTGAAAAAGCCATTGATGGTTTCTTACCAGATTTATTTTCAAAATGGAAAGTGAGTTTAGATTTATTTTAATTTTTTTAAGATTAAAGTGTAACATATGTTGTATTATGTTTTTTTTTTTTTTTAAATTTAATTCAAATTATCTCTTTTAATGAACTACACAACAATCATCAACTTCATGAACAATCATACTAAATAAGCATTTACTCTTTTTACATGTTTAATGAAACTATTTTAATAAGATGCACTCTAAACAAACATTTGTATGTTAATGGAAACTATATTTACATTTTATTACATAATTATTATTACTTAGTCAATTATTTAATATTTGATTATGCTTTATTATCTAATCAAATGAGTTCTTAATGTCTGGCTCAAGAACTTGGTCTTAAACTAAAAATGGAGAATATAAAATTGCAATTTTGAAATAAAGCCTCTCAAAAGAATACTTGGTTGTATCAAAGAAAATAGTTTTTGTCAAAAATGTTTCAGATTAGATATTCATAGAATTTTAATTTTAGTAGTTCCCACCCATAAAGTCACTCTATTAACCACATAGAAGAGCATTCATTTTTCTTTTGCGCCAGATTATTGCACTAATCCAAGCAGCTATATTGTTCACAGTCAGCAACTCTATGCATTTTTTTCTTCAAAAAATTTTACTTAGTTTTTGCACTGGTCTTTTCAGTTCCCTAAATTTTTGGTTATCATTTATAAAATTTTATAGTCACTAAGTTTACAAAGTTCAGAAAAAGAGTCTCTGCAGTGTTTGTTCAGCTATACTGCAGGTTTTTTGTAAATCAGTAATCATTTTTTAAATTGTTTCATTTCTACAGGTGGTTATTTTTTATCCGTGTTTTGTCCGTTTTAAAATTGTGGAAATTATGAAGCTCAGTAATGTAAATTCATTGATAAATAAAAATGGAAGAAAATATTATACTATAATTTGAATTTTTTTTATTTTGCTCAGAATTATCAAACAGCTCTTGTACTCTTTGTATTTTATAGTTATTCTGATTTTATTTATTTCCAAAAATGAATTTACATATTGATAATTACTTATCAATTGCAATTAGTTTCAGATGAACCTGTATACATATACAGTCAAACCCCGCTATAGTGAACCTTCAAGGGACCGGAATTTCGGTTCACTATAACCGGGAGTTCACTATATCCGTTACGCAGGCAATTTCACTAATGGTTCTCAAACTCCTCCTTTTTATTGCATTATATTCATATAAATGACTGAAAAATATTATGTAGTAGCAAAAAATGTGTTATTTTTCATTAATTCAAAAATTAATAATCTTTAGTTGATGAGCAATCCTCAACATCAGATATGGTAACACTTCCTGACTCTCAGATAATTTTTCCTGAATTTCTGTTATAGCTCCAGAAGTCAATGNCATATATATATATAAAATATGTACACACACATTGTTTTTTTTTTTTCCTTTCAGAAATTGCACTGTAATCATGACGTTACTATAGTTTTATTTTCAAGAACTTTTTACGATGCACAATCCATTGATGAATTTCCTTCATACATGAGAGAATGTTTGCAAAGAGACTATAAAGGAAGATTTTTTGAAGATTTTTACAGGTTTTAAGTTGCTTTTTTTTAATTATCATTTCCTATTTTAAAAAACTTGATGTTAAATTCTTTACATGGTGAATAATTTTTTAATTTATCAAAAGTTATAACGGGATTGTTGTAATTTTTATCATAGTTTAAAGCTATCATTAAGAAATATTATTTCTAACTAAACTTGCAATACAATGTTATTTTCAAGTACCTGTAAGAAATCCTGGATTTCTATATATTGGAAGCTGTCATATAGTTAGAAAGACATATATGAATACAATTATTTGCTATTAAGGAAATATTAACATGTATTTTATACTTATAACTTTGCTATTATTATTTTTTATTAACACATACTTTTTATTTAAACTTTTCTTTATATTTTATTCTTTGTTCTAATTTTACTAATTTAATTAAAATTTATTTTGCATTTTTTTTTCAATATTATTTGTATGCATCATATTATGTGAAATGTAATTCATATTTAACATGGTGGCTGTCAGAGTAGATGATTAATCAAAATAACAATGATTAATCGATTAATCAAAAATCACATTATGTTAAATCTTTTAATTATTGTGCTTCTTTGGTAAGTTTGTAAAAAAGTTATCCTACTAGGAACAGTTTCTTTACAATTATTACAGTATTTTAAAACCTATAAGAAATCTTATTGCATGCAATATTGGAAAAAATATTGCTTTTCTCAATGACTTGTGTTTGTAGTGTGGGAGTACGTAGAAGTAATAGCAGCAAAATTAAAACTTTAGTACAAATTAAATCCTTTAATAGTTAAATCTTTCCTCACTTTGTTATACACTCACTTATTATTTGTCTTTCCAATATTATCAACTATTTTGTTTGGGTTGGAAAGAGGTGTATGAGGTATTGTTTATGTTATTATAAAGAAAAGAAAAAATCAAAAATATTAAAAATTTTGAAGTTTAGTTTATAGCATCTACAGAAAAATTTAAGTTTCTGTTGGAGCAATGAATATGTTAATATATGTTATTGTGAACTACCAAACTATTTAAATGCAATTTTCAATTTTTTTTAGTCTTCAAATTACATGTTTAGTGGATTCTAGTAAATTATATAAGATAGAATGATTAGAAATTTAAAAAACAATATATTTCAGAGTCTGGATTTTAACCTTGGGATTTTTTGTTGACATTTATTATTTAAATTTGTCATAACATATATCTGCTAAATCATGTGGACATAAACAGAAGAAAAAAAAAAGAAAACGCTGAAAATAATACATACAAAATCTATTTGTTGAATTCCACTTTTGTATTTTATTGTCAATAAACTTCAAACAGCTTAAAACTTAATATTAATTAACAAAATTTATATTTTTGATACTAATTTATGAACTTCTTTGACTACTTTTTATGTTTTTACTGTTTATTAAAATTTAAGCTGTATTTTATGTACTTTTTCAATCTATTCCTAGTTTCTTCATCAATTTGTTCATAATGAATGTATGGTTTAATTATGTATTATATTTTGCGATTTCTTTTTCAAGAGTTGCTGTGCAAAATGAGCGATATGAAGATTGGACTTCAACTATTATTTTATTGAAAAAATTGTTCAATCAGTATCAAGATACAGTGTTAAAGTATCATGAAAAGGGAGGCATTGATGTCCCTCGTGCCATTAATTCTACATCTTCACAAGGAAATTTTTTAGAAGTTTTAAACATGTCATTAAATGGTAATTATTTATGTTTTATTTATACCTTTACTACTAACCTTAATTTTTTAGTACTGGTTCTGCAAATTTATACTAGAGTATCTTGTAGAATACCAAATTTCTATTAAATTGTTTTTCTATTGAATAATGTACAAGACAATTGGCTGTTAGAAACTATTTCTTGGCTTTTTGACCAGTATCTTTCAACCTATGTTACTATCATTATCTTTTTGTATTCAACTGTACCTGAGTGAGTCAAATTTCATCTGATAATTACACCAACATATTGAATCTTGTATTTGTAGAAGGAAAAATATTTCTTGTATTGCAAAAAATATTAAGGAAGTATTAGCTCTGTTTGAATCTTTATTTTAATTTATATTTGTCTAACTTTGATCAAAATGCTAGAAAGATTTTAGTCTAATTTTTCAGGAAAAATAGTTTTTTTCCCCTCAATTTTGCCGATAATCATTAATTAGCCTAGTTTTTCAAATATAATCGTTTGTGTTGAATTTGTAGTAACTAAAAATAAAGGCAAATGAAGATATTTTGAATATTAAAGCAGCTTTAATTTTATTTTTCTTCTACAAGGATTTAAAAACACTTTTATTTCTAAAATGGAGGAAGGAAATAACTTTTTTTTAAAAAACATAGGCATTATTTAATAAATTCAACTACTAAATTTAATTAGTTCCAAAATTTCTTTGGGAAATCTATCCTCTTGAGACATATTTTGAAAACCAATCTTTTTTCTTTTTTAAAAAGTTGTTGTATTTATATGAGTTTTTGTATAAAAAAGATATGCAGTGGCCAACACAATAAAAATTGAAAACATTTTGTCAAAAAATCTGTAAATTTAATCATGGTTTCTAAAAATTTGCTTCATAAAAATATTTTCTTGGTTTAAATAGTACTGTAAAATGTTAATTGCCCAGAGTTTTTTTTATTTTGATTATTTTTATTTCATCTTATTGTTCTGTACATGTAAAATCTCAATTGAACCTTCAATATGCATTTGCTGAACAAATCCAACTCTCTTAAGTATTAATTTTTAAAAATCTGTATAAGGGTTTACTTTGAAGTATTTATTTTTAAATTGTGTTTGAAAATTATTTTAAAGTAGCTAATTAATTTATTTTAGCATCAAACAATGCATGTGTTTATTGTTATTTCTTTTCAATGTCTCCACCTTGAGGCTTTAGTATTAATGATATATGAATAATTATTAAAAATTACCATCAATTAATAGTTTACCTACTTATCAGCTTTGTTGAGTTTAGCAAGAGTTTTTTTTATCTGTATTTGTATCCCTTATGAAATATTCTTTTAATTTTTTCCAAATCCTTTTTATAAATAAAAGTTGCTTTTGTAATTAAAATTGAATATATATTTCAGTATTTGAAAAGCATTTCATGGATCGAAGTTTTGATCGAACTGGACAGTTATCTGTAGTCATTACGCCTGGTGTTGGCTTCTTTGAAGTTGATCGTGAATTAACTATTATCACAAAGCAAAGGATAATTGATAATGGTAACTTTTTTTTAATCTTTGTATAATGTAGTTTTATAGTTGTATACATTAAGTTTTATTTTTCATTGTAAAAAATTTTATGCAGCAATCACTTATAAAAAGTGGGAAAAAAAACCTTGTAACAATGTTGAATTAAAATATTTATACCAGTTTCCTTTTTAATTTTTAATGATGATCATACAACAATTTTTATCAAACGATTGGTACTTTATTTACATCACACTAGAGCTTAACAATGTTCTATCGGTGATGGTCTGGGAATCATCCCTACAAACAATTCGAAGATAACAAAAGGAATTATCAAATTAAACTATTTAGCAAGCGAATTTTATAAAGTGTTAGTTATAATTATACAAGTTGAAAATTATTAATAGATACATAATGCTCAATTAAGGTTAAAAATTAGTAATTACTGAAACAATGCATCTTAAAGAGTTAAATTTAATTGGTTTGTATAATTAAAAATCCGTGCATTTAATTACAAGAATTAACTACAGTCATTTCTACTGATAAGTAACCACCTACAGTATTGATTTCTTGTCTTTCTAAGTTACTATGTTGAAATCAAATTAGAATTAAAGCGCATTTTTAAGTAAAAATGTGGGCTAGCTTCTTGAAGAATTGTTATTTTTTGTAATTTATTTAAATAATAAAGGCAATAATATCAATTTTGGGTTGCAAGTTAGTATATGTAATGTTATTTTTAGAAGCTTGTCAAATTCGCTGTGTCATTCTGTCATAAAATATTTTATTTGTGAAATTGGGAAAATTTCTCTTATGAATTCAATGACTATAATCTTTATAAAATTTAATGTAAATAAAATCTATTTATTGTAAATAATGTGAATAAAATCTATTTCTGAACCTTAATCTTGTTACTTACAGTATATGTTTGATTATAAATGGTGACTTTGATCTACATGGGATGATTCTATCTATATCTTGTTAATTTTCTTAAAAGATACTTTTGTTTTGATTACTATTGTTATTTTAACTTGTAAACACGGTCTTACTTAAGTTGACCCTTGACTGTTTCAGTTTTTATTTGGAATGAATTAACTTAAACTTTCAAAATATTTTTAACGCATGTAATATGTTTTTCTTTACCCGTTTTATTAAATTTATACTTTTGAGAATGATTAATTTCTGGAAAGATTATGTAACCAAAGAAATTCCTTATGTAATATATAATTTTTTCACATTCATCATAAGTTATGTTAGCAGTTATTAAGATGTAAATTTTTTTATTATAAATTAAAATGTATAAATAAAAATAAAAATGTATTTTAAAGTAAAAATGTATAAACAACCACATATTTGAATAATACTTTAAAAATATTTTGATTTAAAAAATATTTTATAAAATGAATTAGACTTGCATTGCAGTCAATTTTAAAATATTTTATATCTACAATAGGTATTGGAAGTGATCTTGTATGTTTAGGCGAGCAACCTTTGCATGCCGTTCCTTTATTTAAAGTAAGTCTTTTATTCAAGTAATCTTATCAAACAATGCACTTGTTTAGGTTATAATTGTTTTGTTTGTGATCAGAATTGTGATTAATGATAATTTATCTGTGAGTATAGCCTTATATCTGATTAAAAATAAAAGTTAAAAATTTTAATTAACATTAGATACTTTATTGTTATTTTTTTACTTTAAAATAAATTGCATTGCTGTTTACAAAATTTTTTAATTGTATTTTTACTATTTTGAATTGTATCTTTACTCTAAATAATAGAAATATAAAATACTGCCAGCAACTTACATTTTTTTTAATGTAAATAAATTTTTGATACTTTTTTTATAATGTTTAATAATGATCAGGAGATATAATTTTTATTTAAAATATTGTATGTTTCAAGGGATTTTAAGTTAGTATTATTTAAAATTGTGGTTGGTTTATTTTTTGTATACTTAAACTTGATTGTTTAAGTTGAGCAAATGTATGTTTTTGTCACTTATTTAATTTGTGAACCTTGATCTCATAATGTAAGTCTGTTTATAACTTAATGTTTGTCTATAGTACAGAAAATAAGTGCCTGCATAATTTTTTTAAATGCAAATACATGCATAATTTATATTGTTTTAAATGATTAATTCTCATTTTAAGATATATTTTATACACTTAAGTATATTTATCTTCACAGAATTTACTAGACTCTATGAAATATATTTTTACTAAATTGCACCATTTAAAGTAATAACTTCAGTTAGGAATTATCTTTCTCTTCTTTTAATAATTTTTAAAAAAAAAATTTTACTCTTAATTTTATGATTAAAAATAAACTTAACAGCTATAAGTTATATATCTTAATTTTAAATTTCTTCCTTCCTACATTAAAATGCATTGAACTTGTATTGCAATACAGCTTGCTCTTGGAGAAAAACTGCTCAATACATTTCATGAAAAAGTTAAAAAATTTTAATGTTATTTTTCATCATAATTATAGTATGTGAAAAATATGTATAGTATTTGTAAATATAATAACTTTGCATTAAACTTAAGAATTTCCAGTTAGAAAAAAATAAAAACGTTACTATAAGAACTGTACCAGTTTTGTATTTTAAATTCTTATTTTGCTATTTTTTATGCTTGTTCTGTTCAATTTTAAAAGTTTTTTTAGCAGTAAATTTTTAATAAGTCGAAAAGTTTTAAATCGAAAAATTTAAAAATGTAAAAGGAAGTTATGCATTTAATTTTCAACATATCATTAATGAAATATTTGTTATTTTTTGGTATAGTTTTATAACAAACAACTTCCTAGAAATGCACCATCTGTAGCAGATGATTACAATATGCCACATTGGATTAACTTAAGGTAACTTATTAAATACTCTTTAAAAAAATATTTTTAAACTTATACCTAATTTTAGACATTCAGAGGTATTGGAAGTTAAACGGCATTTCCTTCTACAGTCTTTCAATAATGTGCTGAGGTATAAATAAAATCTTTAATGTTTATAAGAAAACCAGGTATATGAAACTGTACTTCACTCTTCCCTGATTATTGTCTTTCTTTGAAAGGATTGTATTATTTATTTATTTGTTTGAGGCTCATTTTATCTTTAAAATATGCATATTGTTTCTATTCGATGAATCTCCAAGCTATAGGCAAAATGCATCTGACATTGTTCAAAGTTTCTTGCATTTTGTCCCAAAATAAAGTTTAATGACTCTTACTTACACATGCTTATTATTCAATTGTAGTTTCAACTAGATGGTGCTCTGGTTATAAAAAAATGTCAGCGTACATACTAAAGCACACTTACAAACAATCGTCAGGTCTTTGTTCACATTGTTGATATAAATTATTGTTAGATACTTTTTTGAATTGACCTCTTAAATCACAAAAAAATATGCAGAAAAGTAACAGAATGTTACCTTAATACTTTTTTCATCATTATTGCTGCAACATAAAATGAAGATAAGTACAAAAATTTATATTTCATGCTTTGCCTTTACTAGATGATACTTTATTACTACAACAGCAATATTTCTGGCTATGCTAATCATTCTATGTTTTGAATCGTGATTGAAGACCGGAAACCTTTTTTTAGATAACCTTAATATTTTTACGTGTTCCTGTTTTAAAAATTAATTCAAGTGGTAATTATATTTTTAATAAAAAATAACTAAACTATTGATGTTTAAATTGTCTCATTTGATTTGTGATATCTTTTGTAAGGTATGAGTTTTAATGTAAATTTTATTTTTGAGAATATTTTAATAAATTGGACACTCACTCCTTGTTAGGACACTCACAGTATATGTTAGATTTAAAAAACAATATCTCTTTTTTTTTCATATTAACTAAAATTGTATTTTGATTTGTCTTTACTTTTTTAAAATAACTTTAATTTAATTTTTCAATGTCATTTCATTTTTATTAACTATTTATTTTATTTATTTTTTCAGTTTTTATTCCATTAAAAATCAAAATATTTACATAGATTTTGTGCCCAGAATAAAATTACCGACATTCCGTGTAAGTATATTAAGTTACATTTAATAAATGGGTGGTGTTCTAAGAGCTGGAGACAGTAGAGCATACTCTAAATAATTTGTACTTATAGGGTGAAAAGTTTTTTTTCTATTAAAAAATTTTTGTTTCGAAGAAAACATTACAATTAAAAATATAGTGTGTTACACATTAAATAATAATTTTTATCTCAAGTAAAAGTTTATTCATAAAAATTTTTTATTTTCAGCACTTGTTTAAATAAAAAGAGGCTATATGGAAAGGGGTAATCTGTAACATTTAAAGTAATTGAGTGTTTTCAAATATTAGAGTAGGACAATGGTTTTATCAATTCAGAGTATGTCCCAGCTGACTTCAGGATTATAAGAACCACCCATTAATTCACAAGTTTTATTGCTCTTAGTCTATTATTCAAAATATCCTATTTTACAGCCTGAAGCAATTAAGGAAAGAGGAAAAGGAGGCAAGTTACTAATTTCTTAATCTATGTCTTTAGCTCTTTATTCTTTTTTTTTTCATGCTTGTGTCTAATAATTGTTGATTTTTTATAATTTTAATTTTCATTTAACAAGTTTTTTTTAAATATTGGTATAAAAATATTTTTAAAACCTTTTTTTGTTTTCTCAAACGTAATTTTTTTTTTTTTTTACTGTTTTAAACCTATGTTTTTCTCCTTACCATTTTGTGTGGACTAACAAGGCAAAGAAATTTAAAGATACAAACAGACATACATTAAATGAATAATTACATACTTACTTTTAAATGAATATGAACTTTTCTTTGAATAAAATACTTTCAACTATAATGCTTATAAATTATTGAACAGAAAAAGTTATGTTTGATAACCTTAAAAAATTAGACAGATATTATTTCGTATATGTTCATTTATATGTTTGTGAATGTATGCTTTATTATAGCATCACAATCTAAAAGGTCTCGCCATGCAAGCCAGCCTGATCCGTCTTTTCCTGTTTTATTTGATTATGATGAATATGATCGACAAGTCTTCAAAGCCCCTGCTCATTCTTCTTCTGTTCGGTTAGAAAATTCTTTTTTCATCATTCAATGTGCTATCTGAACTTGCATTATTTTGTTTTATTTTAATGTTAAATTTTGTTTGTAGGCAAACTCTTAGTTTACAAAGACCCAGAAAAAGAAAAGAAACTCCACCTCTTTCAACATCTTGTGTCTGTACCCACAGAAGTACTGAAGAATTCAGTCGATTGACTTTGTCAGAGCCTGCTCCATTTCCCTATCAGTATTCCCATTCTCATGCTTCATCGGCAGCTATTGCTATTCCACGTCAGTCACAGCAACCTTCTCTCATACCCTCTTATCAGAGTTCCATTGGTAAATAAATACAATGTTTGCTTACTTTTGCCATATCTTTTTCTAAAAATTAAATATATTTTGAAATTATTTATAATTAATTTCATTACTGTTATTGTATATTTTGTTATTCTTTTAATTGGAAATAAATATTCCTAAAAATTAAAACAGCTTACTTGAACTCAACTGTGTCCTGACTGATTTATAATAATTTTGTTTTTCCTTGTATGGACTTTATAAGTCTTTGTTAATGTACTAAAATTTAAAACTATCAAAAATAAGTTAAAATATTTTTCGTAACACGTTTTATTTCTATTTGAATTTTCCCTTCTTTTTTTTTGGATTGTTTCAATCTATGTAAAGCTATGCTTGCTATTAAAAGAATAAATAAACTGGGAAATGTTTTTTATATTTCAAATATTAAGGCTTAAAAAATAAATTTTATCATTTCTAGTCAACTGAGTAAAAATAAAAGCAAACTTTAAAATATTTTTGTTACTATTGGATAGAATTTAATTGTATATCTATGATGGCAGTACAATATATGTTTAAAAAAATTATATCTAAAAATTATTTTCTTTTTAGAAGCTGATAATATGCCCAACAAACAAGCTATAAAGGAAGAACTAGAAACTGAAGTTACTCCCCAGCTTCGGACTATAATTGGTAGTGACCCGTCATATGAATCTCAGTCCAACAAACAGTGTTTAACTAGACGTCTTAAAGCCTTAGTAAATCCTTTTAATCCTTCACAAATAACTATCAAATTAACATCTAATCGAAGAAGATGGACTCATGTGTTTCCTTTAGGTAATAATTTATACTTAAACTCTTCTATCAATTATTAGAAAAAGTTTCAAACAAATGAATTAAACATAATTTTTGCATTTGTTTAAGCAATAAAAGTGAAAAAATTCATCTTTCTAAGTAATTTTAAAGAAGATTTATATTTTGTCTTTCATACGTTATTATTATAATTATTGCTATTTGAAATGTGGATTAAAAAGATATATTTTGATGCTATTTAAACATATGAACAATGCTTTACAAATTTACGTCATTCTAAAGAAACCTAAATCCTTTGTTTTACTTTTACATTGATTAACAGTGTCACAAAAAGTATAAACTATATGGAATTATATAGCTTTTTAATATTTATTTTTTTATACTTATATTTTAATATTAATGCAGAGACAATTTTTTTTTTTTTACTTAATCAATCAACTTTTACTTAGACAGTTTATTTGTTGCTTCAGTATTTTAACTTAGTTATTTCAATCAAATTTTCAAATTCAATATTTTTGTTGCACAATGTTTCTTTTCAGAAACTAGTACTAATAATACTAAATCATTCAACAGTTTAAATGTACAATATTCTTATAAAAATGATACCTTTCACTATTATTATCTTAAACACTATTTTGTTTTTAATAAATTTTTTAAGGTAATTTCCTTTTTGAAAAGCTAAGGTCCACTTACAATTATTATTTCATAATCATAATAAGTATACACTAAAATCTTGCTATCGAGCTTACTGGAAACTATTTAAACTCCCGATATTATAAGGATCAAATTAAAATAATAAAATGATTGCATAAAACTGCACTAGGACTTCTTTCTAATAAAATTAACACTAAACAAGACTATAGTTTTATGAAAAATTACTTATATTTTTTACATCTGTTGTCTCTTTCTTTTATCCTTACTTCTTTTTACTTTTTAATTGTTTGCTCACAAATTTTGAATCGTAAAAATCACTTTTTTCATTACCAAAAAAATAAAAATAATTAATCTTGATAAATGATATCAAATTAGAAATTCTAAGAAATTGATGATTTTTTTTATTTTTTCGAAAACTTTATCAAAAGCAAATTAAGCCTTGATAGTTAAACATTTTTCAATTAATTTACCATTATTTTTGAAATATCTTACAGTTAATAAATGCATACATTCTATATTTCTTTATTTTAGTTTTAATGCATGCATTCTTTATTTTCTATCAATAATTCTATAGAAAATTTAATTATAAGGTCAACTATCAGTTAATGTCTCTAGGTATATTTTACGTTAACCCAGCACTATATTGCAGTCAACCCAAATTTCTTATAGAAATTTTTTTTAAATTCAATTTAAAAAAATCTTAGAAGAAAATGTTTTTTTTTTTTAAAATTATCTATTGGCACAGAATAAATTTCCTTATAACTATAACTTGTAAAATAGTTGTATGATAGAAAATAGTACGATTTTTATATTGTTTTGCTCAAAAAGTTTAATACCATAAAGAGTTAATAGTAGTACTTCATGTATTGGAGCTGTACAATGGGCTATTGGTGACGGTCAAGGAGTCATTCCTGAGGTTCATCCAAAGACATACCATCACAATTTTGATTCCTTCCAGCGAGAATGACTCCACTGCTTTGGTAGCCCGGCAACTTGCACTCAAAGTCTAGAACTTTACGGTAGAGCAATTTAACTAGAACTGATACTGCACATCCCTGGTCTCTTCGTAGAATGGTTAAAGTAGTCGCACACCTATTCACTGACTTTGGTGATCTACTGGGAATCCTGTCTTCAGGATCATTCTCACTGCATGCAGTTCACACACTTCTAATTGCTGTTAAGGGAGAATGAGAATCTGATTGAGGAAAAATGTTTTCCTACGAGAAAGTCATCAATAGGTTCACATTTTTATTGACGGCTGAACCTCAAGCAGTGAAAATGATGCTTTACAGTTCACTGGGGGACTTAGAATTTTAAGAATTTAAATTGGTGCATTTTAAGCTGAATGATCAAACCAGAAATTTATAAAAATCATGAATAGTATGTAATTACTTGTAAGATTTTAAATTTTTTATTGTATTTTCTTTTTCTGATAGAGATTTTAAAATATTTGTAAAAGAATTATTAAATAAAGAATAACGCGGTCAATTGAAAATTATGAACTTTTGATCGTTCAAAAAATCTGCAGTTAAACGATTATTTACTTTTGAAAAGTTTAAAGAATATAACTTCAATATTTTGATGCTTGAAAGCCTGCAGTTTAAAATGCAAAAAAGGACAAGGATAATACTTAGAGGGTTGTTAAAATATTTCATTATGGTAACATTATTTCATGTCATTCTGTATATGAATGAGGTGTAGTCTGCTTCAACTTAACTTTTTATTGTGAGAAAATTCAATGTCTTAAACATTTATTCTCTTAAATGGTTACTTAGGAAGATGCATCGTTTTTTTCAAATTTAATTAGTTAAATGAAAAATTTTAATTCTAAAATATATACAAAATATTTTTTCTCTCTTAAAATTAAAAACTAATGCAATGTTTGCCAATATTTTCAATGACTTTTGATAGGCTATCCTAAATGACCTAATATTTTTGAAATATAATCCGTAAACCTGTTTTATATAATTTTTCCTTTTTATTCATTTGGAGGTTATGCTTTTTTTTTCTTCTTTGCTTTTATAGGTAATTTCTATAATAATTTTTGCAAAAGCCTTTTTGCAAAATATTATATTTTACACCTGTTGTCTCCCACCAATATTATTTTATTATTAAGATAGAGCATAGAACTCTTTCAATTTTATTCCCGGATTCTTTTAGATTGATAATTTTATTTTAAAAATGAACTTNGCCTTTTTGCAAAATATTATATTTTACACCTGTTGTCTCCCACCAATATTATTTTATTATTAAGATAGAGCATAGAACTCCTTCAATTTTATTCCTGGATTCTTTTAGATTGATAATTTTATTTTAAAAATGAACTTAAAAAGAGGGGGGGGGGCATTTTCATACAACAGCTGTACTTTACTTACGCATAGCTGCCAACTCTACTGAATTTTACCAGTTTCTCCTGGTCTACTGGTTTAATTAAAAGTCTCCTGGTTTCTGTACATTTTAGACAATTCCCTAAAATTGAATACTTTTCCTAAGAAAACTTTTTTGTTTAAATAGAATTTTTGTACAGATTATTACTTGCTTGAATATTTAAATAAGTATCAATAAGATAATGACGCGAACCTCATTTATATAGATCAGTTCAAAATTTTTTTTGTTCTAAAATGTTCAGTTTATTTTAATTCAGAACTCTCTTTTTAAATTAAAAAAAAATCCTTTAACTATCTTTGATGAATTAAATGCCTATTAATGTTTGAAATCATGAGTTAACATAGTACATAATAATTCAAGTATGTTTAATGTCAATCATAACTGGAAGCAGTTTTTCTAATTTGATGACTGTGAAAATGCCTAAAATTCCCTTTGTGTAAAATATTTAGTACATTATGCAACAGTTATCATGAAATTTATATGATTTCCTAAAATCTACTGGATTTTTTCCCATCCATGTTGGTAGCTATGCTTCCAAAATTGTTTGCGTCTAGAGCATAGATAGATTACCAAAGTTTTTTGCAACAGTGCTCAGCCCATTATTCAAAATAAAAACGTTCATCACCTTGCTCTAAAAAATAAGTAATAATAATCCTTTTTATTTCTGATTGTTGAAATTGTCGCTTTATAAGAAAACTATTAATTTTCTTGTTTCTTTATAGAAATTAACTTTCAAGTCTTGACAGTTTTTCAGTAATTTTTATTGTTAATATTTGTCAAGAATTGTAAAATTTTTTGACAACAAATAATGAAAATGTATGTTTTTAAGGTATGAGAATTTTTTACTCAAAATTGAGAAAAGAAACAATTTTGTTTTCTTTAACTTTTTAGTGATAACATTTTGTCGTATGCATAAATCTCTGCTGATGTCTTTAAAGCTGTTATGATTACCTTAAAAACTCCTTTTTATACCGATTTTGTTAAATATAATAAAAATTAAACTCTTTTCAGTATTTTTTTATGATTTTATTTGATGAGTTAAGTTTTTATTTTTCTCTCAGTGTTACTTTTTATTAATTAAAGTATTAGCAAACATTTTTACCAAAAAAAATTAGCGCTACTCTTGTTATTAATAAATGAAAATTCTATAAATTTTTTAAGTAATATTATTTATTTTTAATCAGAACCTTTATTTTGAGAGTATGCTAGGTTCTGTTATACTTTTGCACAATTTTATCTTACATTTCTCTTCCTACAGAAATTTTTGTTATCAATTATTTATTTTCTTGTTTAAACTTCCCAACCAATTTTGTACACATTTATTTTTTATGGGATATGTGTGTTATTTTTACAAATGTTTAGGTCCAACTGGAATATTTATGCAACAACATCATTACCAAGCGATACCACAAATTAGTGCAGCAACTTTAATTTCAGTAGAAAAAGCTTCTCATAGTTTTAGTTATGAACTAGATGGTGAGTTTTGACAATAATCATCGTGCAATGTTGTTCACCAGCTTGAGTGTCGTCTTTTCCTTCTTGCTTGCTTTTTGTTTTATATTGCTTTTTGCTCCAAATGTCATGTTATATATCTGATCTTTTCAGCTGTATCAGATTTATCATTTTCATTTGTGAACTTTTCATTTTTTGAACGAATGTTAAAGAAATAACAAATTTTAAAATAAATGTTAAAACATTGTAACAAATGTTAAAAATAACAATTGTTAAAGTAATGTAACAAATCTTAAAATAATATAGCAAATGGTAAAGTAGCATAGCAAAGTTATAACAAATGTATAAGTAATGTGAGAAATCTTTGAAAGAAGAAAGATTGTGAGAAAGTTTTGAATTCCTTTCCTTTAAACAAAAATTCCAATATTAACATGCATTTTTGTTTATAATTTTGTTAAAATGAAAACTTAACCTACTGTATTGTACTAAATTCACTGTACTTATTGTCTGCTTCCTAACTGTAATAAGATGTGTGGTGACATGTGGGAAAATATTTTGTTGGGAATTTGTTAAATATTCTTAAAAATTTCAAAACAAAATTTGTTGTTTTAATATAATCGATTTCTTTTAAAAACTACTTTAGCTCCAAATGAATACAAGCCTAGTCATCTTATGAAAAGAGAAACACAATCCTCTACCAGTAGTATGAGTTACAGTTTTGCTGAAGGTAAATCCTTTGTTAAGATTTCTTTCCTTTTTTTAATACAGTACCTAATGTAAAATTAAAAGGTATAGAGTTAAATGGTAATTCTTTTTACTTTTGAGAAGGTAGGAACAAAACATGGACGTTTAATTATAATGTAATACTTTAGCAGTATCTAAATGTTTTAGATCATTTTTATTTATCATAATTTTCTTTTTAAACTTAAGGACGACTATCCAACTCAGGTGGTCGAGTGTCTTCTGGTATCGCAAATGATAATATGTCTTGGTTATGTAGCATAACTGGAGATCAAGAATGGACACCTGCTGTAACTACTGGTTAGTAATCTCTTTCAAAACGAAATATAAAATCTGTTTGTACTCATCATTTATGTAATTTTTTTTCTTCAAAATTTGTTTGTAGGGGTTGATTGGAAATCCCTAGTCATACCTGCTTGCTTACCAATCACTACTGATTACTTTCCTGATCGAAGAAGTTTGCAAAATGATTATGTGATTTCAGATTATATATTACTTCCTGATGACATTATAGCTGAAAATGCTGTTCCAAAGTATATCACCTTCACTATAAATATTTATTATATTGTTATGTATATGCATTATTTAATTTCAATATACATAACATGATTTTTAGCTTTTTGTTCTGATATTCCTGTTGATTTTAGCATTTGTTCAGAACATCTCATTTTCTAAAAATAGAAATGAAAATTTTTAGAAAATAGATTTGAAGAATCGAAAAATTTGGAATTTTGATAATCTTTTTATTTGAATTAATAATACTAGTACAACTCACAAAATTCGATAGTTACGATTAATAGACCGTCTACTAATTATATACAAGCTTACACACATGTTTAATCCTTTTCAGAAATTCAGGCATTCTATGAAAAAGATACTCAATTAATAATATTTTACTATCAAATTTTTATAGTGATAAATTTAGAGGTCATATGGTTACTTATTATTTTAAGAGAATGCAGTAGCAAATCTTGTAGGATTGTCTTTTGTAGTTACACAATTATTGATTCATCTCTTTCATGTGATTTTAAAAATTATTGATTCTAATCAACAATACCGTAATCATATCATAGAATTTTTAAAAGGAATTGAGGGATTATCCATTAAAATTAATTTTGCTCAAAAGTGTTCAGTGGCATATTAACTGTATTTTCATTTTAAGCCTACTTTATAATTAAGTGATTAAGGAAATTATGAACTTAAATACAAATTTTAATTACATGTTAGAAATTTTTTTTAATGTCCCTTCAGCTTTTAAATATTGAGTACATACTGTATTTTTATATTTATTTACTACATTTAGAACTTTTTCAGTCTATTTTGAAATACCTAAAATAGCATTAATTTCTTGCATTAAAAAGTTTTTATTTCATGTACAGTTTTAAAATTGTTAAAAAATTTAATTGATTCGTATCAAAATTCTGAGTAATACCTGTAAAACATAACATAGTATTCATGATTGACAAGCGTGACATTTTTGTACATGAATTTAGGTTAAAAATTTAAGAATGGGAAGATGAATGAAACAACAATATCTTAATTCTTAAAATCATTCAATATTGCTTTTTTAGGAAAATAATGTGTTTATAAAAACTAAATTGGAAAATTCTTCATAATACAAAATTTTTTATAAAAATGCTAACAATATTACATGAACTTTTGATAAGCCTTCTGTTTGTCCTGGGCCAGATATATTGCAACACTACTATTTACACACCTACTATCAACTCACCTTATGATTTCACCTGGCACGATTTAATTTGCATTGATTTAACCTCTTTTTCTTTTTTTACTAAATTATTTGTAACCCTTATAATTAATATCCCAGTGACTTCATTTTTAACAAAAATCACAAAGATGAATAGACTAGTTGTTTTCAAAAGTTAATTCACTCCATAGCAAGCTCTTTTTTATTGTCATTTTTTAAGTATATTGCATACTAATTAATTCTTTGTGAAATGTTTTAAGGTTTTATAAATAAAAAAAATATTAATAGAATTTTTGAATATTATTTTTAGAATTTTTGTATGCTATTGCACTTTTTTTTCTTCAATTTTTGATATATTGCAGATATTTTCAAAATGATGAGGATTTTGGTCGGCGTTCTTTAACCACTTCAGAGGTTTATAAAGAGTTAATTTGCCAAAGATTGCAGCAAGTAATTGTTTTCTTAATAACTACTGGTATTGATAAAACTATGAAAAAAAATTTTTACTTAATTAATTTTTCTTTTTGTGTAGGGCTTTCAAATCATTCTTATCCCAAAGCAACACATATCATACCCATTCAATCAAGTTAGTTCAAGTCCCCAATATACACCACTTTTGTATAAAGGACAACAGAGTGTTGAACAAATGGTAAAATATTTACAATGTTTCTCTCATTTTTCTAAAAAAAAAATTTTTTATTATCTTCTTTTAATATAGAGCACCACTATATGAAACTCAGAATCACAAACCTTACTTTAAAATGTAGGACAGAACTGGGTTGAAAGTTACTGATGATTATAAATTTTTTTTATCAATTGTATAAACCAGTTTCCACCAATGTGCATTACTGTATTTACGATATCTCTACTTTAATGTGAAATAATAAGAGAAAAATATTGTGAGGAAAAGAAGCTGCACTGTTTTGGTAATTGCCACATTAAAAAACTTATTTTTTTAGCTTTTTTTTGCATTTAATCTACCAGTTGATTTACTTTCTTTGAATAAAAAGGGATTTTTAATATTCAGAGGCAGCCTAGGCATCTTTACCCTTTCTATTACTCTGATTTCCTTCTTTTACATTAAACTTGTTTTATTTTGCTGTTTGGTTTCATTACAGTGAGTGTGTAAACTTTAATAAAACCAATATTCAGAGACACTTTTGTGTTTTTATAGCTGCCCTCAGCTTTTGTGTCCTTTTAACCGCTGTTTCCACCTTTTAGCTATTAAACTCTACATTCAGCTTGTGTATTATTATACTCTACATTCTTTTACATTTTACTTTTCCAGATTGTGTGCCATTAAACTTCATGTTCTGTCAGTTAGCATTTATTATTTTTTTCTTTCAAAATATTAAGTTTCATTTTTTTAGAGATAATGCTACATTTTAGTTGTTTGAGCATACTTTCTTCTCTGTATTTTATAAATTTGCAAGGAGTTCTAGGAATAGACCAAATATTCTGTGGGCATAATAGCTCTTTAGTAGTAGTAACAGCACTATAGCTGCACAATGAGCTATTGATGATGGTCTAGGAAATATCCTTGAGGATGATCCGAAGACATGCCATCGCAATTGTAATCCTCTATGGAGGGAATGGCTCCCCACTTTGGTAGCCCAACAACGTATGTACAAAGTCTAGCCTTTTAGAATAGAACAGTTTAGCAGGGACTAATACCGTGTACCCTCGGTCCCTATGCAGGCTGTTTAAAGTGGTCAACAACCAGGGTTGGCTTTTTGCTGGCAGAAACTGGTTTTTGCCATGCCAGTGGCAGAAACAGGTTGTAACCGGTAAAAACCGGCAAAAACTGGCAGAAACTAAAAAGCTTCTATATTAGTTCTGGTAATTGCTTAATGACATTTTGTTTAAGTAAACTGAAAAATGTAACTGTAACAAACTTTTTAATTCATTGTATGTAAATATATATTATTTTGTTTATATTAAATATAAAGAGTGCAGTGCAGTATATCAAATATTTATATTAAGTAAAGAATAAAGTAATGTAATGATAAATATAAATACTAAATTTTAGTTTATTATAGTAAACTCTGAAATTCAGTAATTATTATCATTTAAATCTTAATGTAACTGAATAGAGCTACTTTCAAATAGTTTTTTTTCTTTTCAAGACATAATTTGCATGGCAACAATCCAATTATTATACCAGTAACAGTTTTAATCTTTGCTGTATGTAAGAGGTAATATAATTGGTTAGATTCACTGTTTCATAAATGTAAATAGCAATTTCACTGATCACTTTGTTTAATATTTAAATATTTTTTCTATGAATTATCCATTGTATGTCAATCTCAGTACTTAACTTTTATGTCATTTTCTGAATTTCTGCCACAAATGTGGCAGAAAAGGGTTTCTGCCGTGCCAGTTTTAACCGGTTTCTACCAGTGGTTTTAACCACCACGGCAGAAACTTGCCAACCTTGTCAACAACCATCTCACTGATAGCTGCCAGTGATGCTTGACATTGGTGTTCCACTAGGAACTGTGTCTACTAGGAACCAGAACCAACAGTCTGTTGCAAGGTAGCATTTAATAAAACCTCTCTTTTTTTAACTAGCTTTGCAGTAAAATAAGAAATATTATTAAAAGCTAGCTAGATTGCCAAGAACAGGCAAACAGAAAATAATTTTTGATATTTATTTATTTTATAATAAAATATTTAATTATTAATAATAACAGACAATATTTTTACTATTTTACTATTAATTTACTATAAAATTTTTAAGAAGCAAAGTGTCAAACAAATATGTCACATTCACTTTCTTTGTATAACTGGTTTATTTTAATTCAATTATTATTAATTTAAGCAAAACAAATTATCTAAAATGTACAAAAAAAATTAAATATATCTATGCATTTGTTTTACAGGTTATGATTATTAATATAATATAAATAAAAATTTAACTTTCCTGTAAAATATTTTTACTAATAATACTGGATTAAAGTAAAATAAAGCATTCTCGCCCTTCAGCAGTTCATTGCAAGCCAGGTGGGTTATGGAGGTTAAGGCTCACAATTTCATGACTAGCGCCATAATTGTGGCAATATGAACAGAACTGGCACAGGCTGCTTTTATTTCCCAGTCAAGCTGGTATTGGTTAATTTGAAGCTTGGTAAGCTTCAAGCTGCCACTGGGGATTGAACACCAGTTCTTCACAAGGATAGTTCTTTACCTTAAATAGATACCTTTGAGCCGTCACGGCTCAATAATGCTAGTTTGAGTTATGTATTTTTAGCTCAAAAATGTATTTTTTAGCTATTAAATTTGCCTGTTTTATACCTTTTAAAATGATTTTAGCTCATCTGTTTCACTTTATTAACTTAAACATTTTATTTCAGGAAGAGTATTTACTAAGCATAGGCAGAATTTTCCATAAATTGTCTTTGGAAGGATCAAAAATAACAGTCACACATTACAGACCTCGGTGAGTATGACTTATGCGATGTCTTTATCATTGCTAACAACTTAATATCAAGAAATAATTAGCATTGCTGAAATTTGTTTTCTGATCAAAATATGATTAATCGAAATTTCTAAATTTGTGATAGTCTGTAAGAGTGATTTGTTAAATTCATCTAATTATTGTAAGAGTCCATAAGAGTTATTAAAATCACTATTTTCATGCATAAACTGAAAAATTTTAAAAAAGTTTTCCTGAGTTACCATAGGCGTCTGTGAAAGTATGAATCTAATTGACAAACAGAAAGATACTAAAATTCTAACTAGCAAGCGTAATATAATAACTTTGTAAATATAACTGCCAACTCTGAGGAATTTTTCTTTGCTGCAATGAAAGTTGTAAGTTAAGAAAATATAGTAACAAACCACAGATGAAACCAAAATTTTCCAATCATTAATAAATTAAGTTTTAAGAATTGAAAAATTGCCTCATCATTATTAATTTTTTATTATTTATTTTAGAGAATGTATTAAAATTAGAAATCACTGTGACAATTTTAAACAATACATATTTTTTTTACTGATGCATGTATTTAAAAATGCATGTGGTAAATATTTTCTTTTCCATGCTTTGATAAATAGTTATTTCACAATTTTTGCAGAAATTTTTTTTTTTTGGTTTTATGAAATAAATTAATTTATTGTCTCTTGTTAAAATGCATCTTTTAATCTTACACCTTTACCTGCCATTTGTTTTATAAAAAACAAATTTAATTAGTTTTTGTCTACTTTATGTTAATATCTAATCCAACAAGATTTTTTTAAGTAACCATTTTCATAAATAAAATATAGTCTTTTGTTACCACTTAAATTTATCTGCACTTGGAAAGAATGAGTTTATTTTTATTTTCACTTTATTTTATACATTAAAGGTATATATAAATTTGAGTTACAGTTTCTTTTTAAAAAATTAAATATTTACCAAAAACTCAATTTTTTGCACTAATAAACACTGGTAAAAGTGAAATTATTAAAGCTTTAATATTGTTAATGTACCCATCAAATGTTACATTTGCATACAAATAGAGTTCCTACTGCAGTACTGAGGCGCGTTTGATTTGTTAGCTACCAAGGATTGGCCCTAAAATGAATGTGACCAAGGTAATAATATTATACTAGATAATTTAAGGAAGTTCATAATTACTATGGTTGATATTTAACTATACAATTTTAATGATTTTAGAAAATAATTAACATTTATTTAAAAAAAAACTTTTTTCATTAATCTTTATTATTTTCCATGTTTTCTCTATATTTTTAACTTATTATTAATGTTAAGTATTTTCTGCTAGTATTTTCTGTGTACTTGCAGCTTATGAGCATTAAAAATAAAACTTATTAACTTTCTTTGTTTTTTTCTTTTTATCCCTTTTGTCTTTATTGTGTTATATAAATATNCAAAATGTGTTATAGTATTTCAAAAATCTATTAGTATTGTAATAAAAAGTTTAATTAAACGTTTTTCACTTTGATTTTTTTTAAAAATTATTTTATCTATATCTATAAAAATCATTATAAATAATATTTTAATTGTTTCATAAAAGAAAATAAGATAAATAAAATTTAAAGATGTAAGTGCATAAATATGAAGTTATAGTGATGTATATAATATAATTCAAGTTGCGGCCATTAATTTCCAAGACTTTTAAATTTAACTCTGGGAAATATTATGTGAATTGTATGCCCTTTTAATATGATTAAAAGTAACCGTCACCCTCCACAATATACTTCTGTAATTATCTGTAAAATTTATGAATTTTGAAGTCATCTTTTGAAGTTCCATTCTCTTTTGACTTGAAGGTTTTCATAATGTTTTTAACATCCAAAACCATCTTTCTTTGACATTTAAAAAAAAAAAATTTGAACAAGAAAGGTCTGCCAAAGATTTGTCTGAGGAGTAAAGTGAAAGAATCATTTTCACACACTCTGAAACCGAAGAATGTTTGAAGATTTTAAAAATAATCCCATGTTATAAAAGAAGAGCATTCCGAAACAGGACTTTAAAAGTTAAATAACTTTTACTGCTAATTACAGAAGTGTATTGATTCAGGTGTAGACCCGAATAATATACACAAACATGAAAGCGCTGTTCTTTGAAAACTTGTTTCTTTGCTGAAATTTTTTTTAAATTTTTAACTACAAAAATCCACCTCTGCAAAGAAAGTTTATCTTTTTCGAATTCCCAGGAAACAAAAAAAAGATTAATTTTTATGCTTTTCCCTACTGATGCAAATGCGATTTCTATTTACAGGATTTAAGATCAAGCATTGTCTTCCATATTTCCACGATTTTATATCAAATATTGCATTTTTTTGTATTTGCTGGCTTTAAAAATCACTATTATGATTCATGTTCAAGTGACTTAAAAATTATGCATCAGAATTCGTCTTCAGGCGATTTTAAAATCAAACATCGAAATTCGTATTCGCACAATATTAAAATCAAATATCAAGATTCATATTTGCATGATATTAAAATCATATATTGAGATTCATATTCCACAATTTAAATAAATAAATAACATCTCTTTCATCAATACTTTCATTAAATGAATAAATGCTTCCTACATATACTTTTTACTTATTCAAATTAGAGTGATTTTAATTAAATTATTTAAAAATTGTTTTTGCACTTAGCATTTTTGGATTTCTATTTTCAGCTTTATTGGTTATTTACCAAACTCATCCCTGTAGTATGAATCAATATAAAGTTCTATAAAAATTGAGCATTTTCAAAAAAATTCGTGATTTTCTAACAAATTGCATCAAAATATGGTGATGAAAATAGTTTCAAAAGTTAATGAATGTGTGCCAAAAGTCTATTAAATGAGGTTTTGTATTCCCAGAAAGTTTTTTTATTTCATCTAAGTCCGGGAGGTATTTCAAAACTAATTTATCTACTGGTGGTTCTGCATATATATGTGGTTGGGCATAAATAAAACTTCACTTTATTTTCTATCTTTAATTGCCTATTATGCAGGAAAAGCCATTAATTTTAATGTGTCTAAACATCCATCTATATAATAATAGGAGAGAGTAAAATAATAGATAAGAGACCCTTTATATCAGTTTTCTGAATCGAGGGAAGATAAGCTGGAACCATTTGCTTTGGACATTTGGAAAATACTTGTGCGCATTTCAGCTACAGTTATATTAAAAAAAGTGCAAACATTTGAAAGCAGTGAAAATGAAAATGTCAAAACACCCAGTGGATTAAATGGGCATGGATTTCACATAATATTTTCAGTAGTTGGATCAGTCTTGGAAATAAACAGCCCCATCCTATATAATGAGTTATGAATTTAGTTTATTTTTAAAGATTAAACAATCTGCATAAATGTATTTGTGTAATTCTATTATTAACTAGTTTCACTTTGTGGTTTCTGGGTGATTTTTTTTGTCGCTTTATTTGTTACAAAGTATCTCATTATGTAACCAAATGTTTTTAAATTTAACTAAGCAATAGCAATTACATTTGTAAATCATTTTAGTTGAATTCAAAATGCATTATTCAAAGTGTTAAATTGGGAGTTTGCAATTAATCTATTATTTTTTTACCATTGCAGTCATCCTCACAGAGAAATAAAAATCCATTACTGTTACCGTTTTCATGCTCCAGATAGTGATACATATGGTGTGTCCTGGGTAGATTTTACTAGTGAAAGACTGGAAAATTATAACTGGAATTACTTAGATCATTATATCTGCAATCGAGGAGAAGGCGAATTTGAATTGAAAGAGGTTAATTTTTTATGTGATTTATTATCTTCAAAAATAATTTTAATTGAATTTAATCTATGCTCACTGCATAAAAGTAATAAAACTTTTTTTTTGAATTTGACTTCTATGAAGAATAAAAATTGATTAATTTGTGTTATGAAAAGTTTTGATTATATGTTATAAAAGTTTCTATAGTTTAAATTTTATTTCTAATGTCAATCTTAAAAAAGCTTCAAGTAGTTTAATTTTTTATACCATAAGATTTTATGCTGATATTTTTATATGATTATAGTTGTGATCGTTTAAATGATTGTTGCTTTGTTTGACCCTCAAATGCCCAAACTGTACTTATAGTTGCCACCTGATTATAAACTTTTCATTCTTTCTATATAAAGTATTTTTAATAATTTGAAATTTGTTTGTAATAAGTTTGCTTTGCTGGGTACAAAATATTGACTTAATTCTCAAAAACGTTTCTGATTTCTGACATAGTATTTTTTACAAAGCAATTTGCACTTATATTGGGTGTTTATAATTAAAATTATCAATGTAGAAACTGTTATGGTTGACATAGTTTAAAGGAAATTAGTATATAGTGTAATATTCCTTTATGAATAAATGTGGTTGGTTCTCATGAATAACTATCACTTATATGAACACTTTTTTATTTAAACATGTATAAAAATAATATGAAATGAATGGTAAGTTATTGACATGATTTTATCTGACTTCACAAGTCAGTTCCGAGAACGATTCTCTCTTATTTTAATCAATTACTTTATGGAGGTCAGTGTGCGAAGCGCCCTCTGGCGAAGATGTCCGCACACTACATATAGAATTATATGTACCATGGGAGAAAGATCTACAGTAAAAGAAAATTGATTCACATTTTACCCACTAGGTGAGAAAAGAATGTAATAAAGGAAAAAATAATCGCAATTGAAGACACATAACTTTATTTAATTATTGCATATATTCAACCAACATTTCATTTTAGTCCAAAATGTGTTATAGCGTGTTCCTGTTACCTGTTGTACTTGCTTTGTACTTGCTTTGATTCAGTTTCATTTGAATCCAGTTTCTCCTCCATCACAATGACTTTTATGATCAACTTTTTCAGTTCTTTCTTCTGTAATGACATGGTGTAGAATGATTTTATGGCAGTGATTGTGTGGCGTAACTACCACTATAAATATTAAATACCAATTCACTAGTATATAAGACATGTTAACTTGATTCTATCATGAGGTACCTTTTGATAGATGAAGGTTGACATAGTCCATTTATAATTTCCTTCAATTGCTCAATCTTTGAAAGTTTCTTAATTGTATTAAAATTTTTTCTTAAAAATGAAAAGTGTTATCTACCAGCCAAATTTTTAATTGCACATTTCTCTTTTTCATGATTAATATAACATTTATACCAAATTCATCAATATTTGTCTCTCAGAATCAATACTATGTTGTTCTAAACTCAGTAGCTTTTATTATATAGTTATGCTTCCGTGTATATAGTTTTGAGCTTTATAAAGTTACTATGATTATTGAATTATTCTGTATAAAAATTTTCATTAATTATTTTAGTCTTTAAAGTACTGGAGGTTAAGGATGTTACTACTACCAGCTGGTCAACCTGAAACAAAAAAAATCATCGAAGGACACGAGCGCTGTGACTTATATAAAAAATTTTCTGAAGAAGAAAAACTTATACAGCGGAAAAATGTTTTAAACTTGCTAGAAGTGATGAATAAAATTCGTAAAATACCCTCGAGAAAACCAAAGCTAAAGGTACTGCTAAGTTTTTACATTATAGTATAGTTGTAACATTTTAACTTGTGAGTTTTTTAAAACTTTTATTCAATAGATACGCCAGTTCTTTAAACACCCCTTGTAAAGTTTGCTCTCTGAAATAAAAAAATAATATAGTGTGAAGAAACTAAAAATTATTACCCATATATTTTCGTAAAAAAATTATGTTAAAGCTAACTTTTCAGTTTTTCACAAATTACTATCTTTCACCATTATATCAACAGCAACATTATATTTTGTTTTCCTTTCAAAATTATATTTTGTTTAATAAAAATTAGAAGAGAATTCTTAAGCAGCTTTGTTTTTAAAATTATTTGCTTAAAAAGTGTCTGCTTTTTTTCACATTAATTAATATCGAATTGAATTACTTTCTATATATTTCAAGTAAGATAGTTTTCCTATAGTATAGATGTATTTCATATCTATCTATACTATAGATGTAAGTATTGATATGTTTCAAGTATATGTAAGTTGTTATACAGTGCACAAAATAAAAGCAGAACTTCTCAAATTTTATTGAAAGGAACAGATTTTCTCATACAAGAGTGCAGTTGTAATGGTTCTTGGGAATGATTTGAAAAAATATACATAATTTGTGTGAAAATATTTTAAGTTACAAAATCAAATACGAAAGCATATTTTCTCAGAATAAATATACCTTTTGGATTCTTGACCCTGAGTCAATGATAGATAGTCACAATCTGAGAAATTTGGCCCCTTTAATTTGATCAAGAGAAATTGCATCCTTTAATGTTAATTTTACCTATGTTATGTTATCTATGTTAATGTTATCTATTTAAAATTGTTAATATAGTAAACTTCTCGGCAACATTTCCTTAGTTGGAGTAAATTAAGCAAAGGTATACTTAATTGTTAAAAAATTTTACATTCTTATAAATTATATTGTTTTATATTTTTTTTAGGCATTCATTAAATTTTTGATTAGGATCTTTTAGTCGTAACTATTAGCAGTAATAATTTTAAAAAATGGAGCATATATGTTGATTTATAATGTGAGTCATGCTATTTGAAAATTCTAATTCACAAAACAATTTACTTCATAGTTTTGAAAATGCTGTATTTATCCACTTTTTCTGGAGAAGGGAATATCTTTTTTCTTTGGTTCTTAGATAGAACATAAATGTTCAAAGTTTTTCTTGGTAATGCTTGAAAGATTTTATGCATTCCTCACTGTTTAAATCTGTGTCTCATACTAGTTATTTTGACACTCTGTGTAATGATAGGTAGGCAGAGCAGCTCCATATTTTCTATGGATCATAGAGTAACATTGTATGATTAAAAGACTATATGAAAATTTAGGTACAAAACTAAATTTCTGCAATCAAATCCCACCACTGACAATTACATATTTCACAACAGGAATATTATGTAAAACTTACCAGCTATTATTATGGGCTACATTAAGTTGCTAAAGTACTCTAATTGCACAGTAGCTCACTCTATACAAATCAGTTATTTTTAAACTGACAAACTATCTTAAAATAGAAACACTTTCTTCTCGGTCTTAACAACCAACAGCCCTGACCTTTTATAGTGCTCTCAAAGATCAATGAGTAATTGCTTTTTGCCAGTCAAGCTTTCTTTACATAATGGTCATGTTACTTGGGGAACAAAGTAACCCCAGTTGATGATAGTTTAGTTATGCTAGTGGACGATGCTTTTTTTAAATCATTAATTTTACCTACTAATTAATTTTTTTTTATATTTAAGACTTTTATTCATTTTTTAAAAAGAAAAAAGAAACTTCAGTTGCTGCTAGAAAAAAATTAATTAATTATTAAATATCATGTATTATATGAAATTACACTAGAACTTATCCAAACCTCTTTCATTCGGATATATCTGTTTCCAAAAGACATTTCAATTCCAAAAGAAATTTTTTACACTTGCTTTTTTTTCTAATCTACCTTCTTAATTCTTTTTTTCCCTCCTTAATATGCTATCATAATTTCAGACTCATAAGATTATTATTTTTATTAATTGTTTCCAATGTCGTAAGTATTGTATTATGTAAAAAAATAATTTGTAATAATTGTTTATTTTTCATTTTATTTTATAATAGTAAAAAAATATAATTCGTTTTTAATTTATTTTTTTTTATTTGTGCACTGTAACTCCCATTATAAATATTAATCACAATCTAAGCAAAGTCAGGATAAGAAATTCTACAACTGCATCAGGAGGAGGTAAAAAGGAGTTTGACCCTGAAATGAATGAGGAGAAGCTATTTGAACGACATATCTATATATTAGGTTTTCAAAATGGAAAACACTTTTTGAATGACTACATAATGTCATTTTCTATGAGTAACAAATAAACATTTTGTTAGTTAAAGATGACTGTTTTGATTTCCTAAAAATATTTGAAACTTTTCCTTCTTTCATTCGAAAGAAGGAAAACTAGTTTGATTTCCTTCAACTATTAAATTTTTATTAAAACTAGTTTGTTTAACCATCATGCTTCATTAATTTTGCAGTTTTTTTCTTTTAAGAAGATTAAAAAGCAATCTTACTTTTAAAATCTGAATATTTTGATATATTGAATTAAGTCTGTCCCAGTTACTGTTGGTAATTGAGTACTACTGAATTTAATATCCTAAATCGACTCTTTTAATACATTTATCACAATTAAGGAATTTTAAAATAAATTTAAAAAATTAAAATGAAAGGAAAATTAAATATCTTTCTATGTATTAGTTTGTGTTACATTTTAAATATGAAATCTGTAATTAATGTTTTGTGATTTTTTAATAAATGGTTTTTTAACTGTATGTAATAATCTTATTTTAATTTTATATATTTTTTATTTGTTAATTTATTGCTGTATTTTTGTTAATTGTTATGTGATTTTTATTATTGATATTTTTTATTTGAAATATTGAATTTTTGTGTTCTATATTTATGTATTAACTTTGTAAAATTCAACCCTCCATTACTGTTGAATGTTACTCTGCGACCTGTATAGTACTTATCAAAACCTATTTCTACTCCTTTTGCACAAATTTAAATCTTTGCATGTTACATTTTGTATTTTCTGCTTTTTTTTGTATTTTGTCTCTTGTTATGAAACATTTTACACATCTTTTTATTTTAGCTGTCCTCTCACTGAAATCTTAATTATTTTTTAGTTGAGTGCTAATTTGTTTACTTTATAAATCAGATATTTTTGTTTGGAAAGAATTTTAGTAATATGCCATTTTCCTCATTTTTTAAGAACTAATTATCTTCAAAAGTTTTAAATTTGCCTAAATTTCATATGAAAATGTAAAATTGAGAAATTTTTAATTTATTATTTAAGTTCAAATTTGAAAATTTTTTCATTCTATGTTTTTTTCGTTTTTTTCTTCACAAATATAATTTTTAATGCTGTGCTATACTCTAAAAGAGTTTTTTACTTGTACAAATCATTAAGAAATTTACATATAATTTTTAAATTACAAATTATACTTCAATATGTCAACATATATACAGTCATACCAACCTTAATTGCATATCTGGTAATGAAATTTCCCATTTCTGTGTATGAAAATAGAAAAAAATGTTTTTTTTTCTTTTTTAAATTTAAAAAAATTTTTTACTAGTTAGAATAGAATTTCGGTTTTTCAGTTTAGATCAAAATACTGCATATAGTCACTTCAATACGGACTTCTTATCTATTTGCTGCTCCGAACAAGTTTCAAGGGGTAGTTTGAGAATTCATCAAGTCAAAGGGGATTAACCCCTCTTTTACACACTTCACTCACCCGCCATTTTAAACATGGGAAAGTAAGAAATAGAGAAATGTTAAGTTAATAATGTCAACAGAATTTCTTTGACGCCCAATGGCTGAGTGGTAGCGCTTCACGCTCCCGTGCCATAGGTCCTGGGTTAAATCCTCGGGTCGGGCAAGGTTGACTCAGCCTTTCAACCCTTCAGTGGGTCGATAAATGAGTACCAAGCATGCTTGGGAACTAAACACTGGGGGTTCCGCGTTCGTCTGACCACCTGACCGGAACATCTGCTCCTGCACCCCAGAGCCCAAGGTCAAGAAAACTGAGCTGGGCACAGTAGGCCTTGGCCCTCTATGGGTTGTCCTTCCACTGAGTTAGAGAGAGAGAGTATTTCTTTGGAATGAAGTAAATAGAATTATATTTTTTAGCATTGATTGATTTTAATATAATTTTAAATGTCATTTATATTTTATGATCTTAACTGTAACAGCACTAAGTATAATTGTTTATTCGTCATTAAAATGACTTTATTCCCTCAAAGCACCATGTCAAAGTAAAATTTCATAAAACATAGCAATTAAGATTGACTGATGCACTCCCCATTTATTTGAATACAGTTAGCCGGAACAAATGGTAATTGTTTAAGAGGGCAGACTGTATATGCATAATCTAAACTTTCTTCTTTTTTCTTTTTATAAGTTTCATGAGAGGACAGCTTTTGTTTTTGATAAGAATTGTTAATATATTTATTTATTTAATCAAAATGAGCACCTTTCCCTGTGATTTTTAGCTGGCACACTTGCTTCCTCCTCGTCGATCAAGTGTTGGCCAAGCTAGCCTCACGACGTCTGGAGCTTCTTCATTTCGAGAAAGGTTAGCCAGTAACCAAGTGCATGATCGTCCTAGAATGCGTAGCAATTCTGCTAGAGGAGGAGCTCGAGTTGACCTAGTATTGCCATCCGGTCGTGTTTCTCCTGCTACAGAAGTAGATGGAAGGGTACTGTGACTTTTTAAATTTGCATCACTAGTCTCCATGTTGCATTGCATGGATAGATTAGAATTGCATAGCATAGAATAAAATTACGTTGCATAAAATTCAGGGAAAATTACATTTTTTTTTACATAAAAAAATTCTTTATCATTTTCTATTGTTTTCCTTTTTGCAGCATTTTTTGCCCCTTCTCAAATATTTTGTTTCTCAACTGAACAAATTTTCTTCTTAACATTGTAGACACTTATTTATGTACAAAACACATCCATTTAAGTTATTTAGCTTGACGTTTCTTAGTATGTGTTTGTCTTTTTTTATATATTAAGAGAATATTTTCTAACTTTAAATTTCTATTGCTGCTTTCAAATATATATTATGCATATAGGGAAAACGTTAAAATGTTATTTAAACTTTTCCTTACTCATTATTTATTACTTTAGAAATGCCTAATAAAGGCTTTTTTATACTGTATCATATGTTTATCTAAATTATCAAAAAATAAATTTTAGTTATTAAAATTATTATTCAGATTTTATTATTCCATTTGAATTACTATGTAATTCTTAGTTGCTTCACTTTTAACATTTTCATTTTATGTTCATTCAATAATTTTCTGAAATCAATATATTTTTACGTTTTAACAGTAGCTTTGTTTTATTGTGTCACTTAATTTCACCCAAACTTTTTTGTATTATTTGTTTTAAATGTGCCCTTGTCTATTTCGTGTTTTAATTGGTCATTTTTCTAACCCTTGCAACCATCAGCTGCTCTTTATTTGTGAATTTTTATGCTCTCATACCTTCTAGACCTTATATCTGTTTGTGTTTTTATGTTGAATGTTATGTTCTTCGTAGCATTATATATTTTTTTAATTGAAAAATCAAGCATATTTCTAATTAAGGTATTAATGATAAATTTCTCATAAACCATCTTAACTTACTCTTATTTACCAGATTTATTTCTCAGTGAGATATAGTAAATAATTTTGTATTGATTCAATTTTTGAAATTTATGAAAACTGGAGAAATGCTTTGTTCTTATGTTGAATTTTATATTCTTAGTTGGGTTACTGTTTTTTTTTAACTTAAAAATTTTCAACTAAAATTTATAAATTATACCTCTCATTTGTTAGTTACTATTTTCTGAAGCAAAAATTGGAACTAAAAATTTTGTCAAGACCCTTTAGCTTTCAGTTTTTAATTCTGGAATTTACAAAGGGTAAAGTTTTTCATAATTTAAATTTTTTTTAAAACTTAGATTATCTCATTGCTTATAACTTTTGTAGAAGTAGAAAGACTTATTTCGCATTAGAGCTATCAATGGGTTTATAAACAAGAAAGTTCTTTACTTATGAGTAAGATTCAAACTCTAGTAAAATATTCTTCCTTTTTTTCAGTTGACTTTTCAAATGCAATCTTCCACATTGACTTTCTGCTAAACATTTATATACATGGTGTTAACATATTATCATCCAAATAATTGCTAAAAATGCAAAAACAACTAAGGTACACCTAAAAGTTTTTAAAACTAATGTTATTATAAGTTTGAGTTTTTATGTAGTTTTTTTGTTTGTTTGTTTGTTTGTTAATATTCAACTTCTTGTATTTAGATTACAATCTCAAAATCGGAAAAAGCATTAACAAGTTCCTTATCTGCGGACAATCCAGTTGACTTGTAAGATAACTATAATTTCTTTTATACTTACAAATAAAAGTTCTGCTAAGCTTCACTTTATTAACAACGTTATAATTTGATTTTAGCTTTCCGGTTGATTGCAAAAGATTAAATGAAAACTCGCCTGAAATTGATATCATACAAGCAATGAAACACCCCCAGTAAGTAAATCTACTTATTGTAAACTTGCATTAACTATTTTAATAGATTTTGTTGTTTCAAATTAAAATTATACTTTAGTATTAGTAGAAATTTTTTTGTATTTGAAATTAATGTACTCATACATGTGATTTAATTCTTTTACTTGTGAGGTGATTTTTGTCTTTTCTAGATCAAATTTTTAATATCTTAACACACATTTTTCAATGATATTCTGTATTTTTTTCTTCAGTGTATCAATTTTATGAGATATTTCTTACAATTTTTAAGCTTTGTTTTGCTAAACATGCCTTACAATGTGGGAAAAACTTAAATAAAAAAAATATTCAGGATTTTTATTAACCATAAATATGTCGCAGTTAGGTATGGAACAACATGTGCTGTGGGTAAAATAAAAAAAGCAAACACCTTTATAACTTTTGTTCTAATGATTAGATTTTCACTTAGATCTTTTAAGGACCTTAAATATGCTAATATAGTTGTGCAGACAATATTTTAAGACCTGAAATCAGCCAAAAAATATACTTTCTCTGAAGAAACATACCTTTTTTTAATTTTTGGAGTTTTAATGACCAAATTTCTTGGATTCTGGCTGCTTGCTATCTTATGAGTGTCAGGAATCTGAATCCATCAAAAAAAAATCTTTATTTAAAGGTATGCTTATTCAAAAATAGTACAGATATTTCTCTTCTTATTAGTCATAATTACACTAAATTAATCACATTATTATTACTTATTTTTTTTTAAAAATTTAAATGAGTAATATAGAGAAAAAAAGTGCAACTTTTCTAATTCTTGAGTAATGATGATGTTTGTCTTCATCTTGGCACTACAGCCCAGAGCAGACCAATGAGTTTTTTCTATCAGATGCATGTTTTTTCCAATGAGTCATTATTAATGTTTTTAAATTTTTCTCAACATTATCAAGCCATCTGAGTGGAAGTCTTCCCTGCTTCCTGATACCACCTAGCTTGCTCAAAGTTAACAGCTTTGTGTAGTTGTTATTTCCTGAACTAAATAAATATCCAATTTACCTTATTTTGTTCTATTTGATCACTTTTTTGCCTGGTTGCTTATATCTATTATGAAACATAAATTATAAATTCATAACAGTAAAATTAATAAGTAATTTTAAAAGTTAATTTTATGATGGAACAAATTCAGGTATAAAAAACAAAAAGGAATATAATGTGTCTATTACAAGATTGACCAAACTGCTGAGCATTTGATAACTAACAATCTAATATTGCAAGATCATTGCTTAACTATAATTTTACCGGCCAAGGGCAGGTACTTTTCTTTAATCAAAATCAACTTCTACTCTAACAGGTATCTTCTAGAGCTGTTCAATTTTTTATGAAATTCCAAAGATACCTGATGGCCGAAAATATTAAAACAGTTTAAATTTATTTATTTATTACAACTTTATTTTGGTATTTGTTTGTTTTAAAGTAAATTCTTTTCAGGGATGGATTGAATTTTATTGCTAAAGCTGGATGGTCAAATTTTACATTTATTAGCTTTGAAGCTGTAACATGGTTGATAGAACATGTTGAGGGTATCCAGTTAGAACAACAAGCAATAACAATGCTGCAGGTTAGTTATAATTTTGTTTTTAACAAGAAAATTATAAAGAGGCAGGTAAGTAGTGAGAAAATTTTGGGGGGAATATGTCTTGTTATCTTTCATATATCTGCCTATTATTTGTTTTAAATAGCATAATAAATAAGTAAAATTTTTTTCTTGTAGAGTTTTCTAGATAAGTACTTAATTTCTCATATTTCAAGAACTACTATACAAGATTTCGTTCATGGCTTCTTTTTGTATTACATAGTAGTACCAGAAGATGATGAAAAATATGAGAGTAAGTATTCATTCTGATTCATTATAAAATATGCTGATAATATAGTTATGAAATCAAATAATTTTACCGTTTAAAATGTTACATTTTGCACAAAAAATGTTTATTCCTGAAACATAACAGGATGCTAATTATAGATATACTTTTTAATATATGTTTATTGATGTATGTTCTAAATTGTTATTCTATAAAAACTATTATGAATGTTAACTGTTTCAGAAGTTTTAATGATTACATTTGAAAAAAAAAAGATTGTTTGCTTTGTAGTAAGAAAAAAGAAATTTTGGGGTGGTGGAATGATAACATTACATAAATATGGTACTGACTAATCACAAAATCATCACAAACGTTACAAGTTAGCATAATAATGAAGAATTTTTTGTCTTTAAAGCATCCCCATAAATTTAGTCTTTCAGGCTATTTTATGATTAATCATACTGCTGAATATATGGTGAAACGGTGGACTTTTTATTATAATCATTATTGTTTGTGAGTTCCTTTTCTAAAAAAGAATGTTTTTAAGAAATTAAAGAGACCTTTTGAAAAAAAAACTGCAATGAAGGTTCGTCTTAAACGTAGAGGAAAGGATAAATAAGACATAAAATTGTGTAATTTTATTTTAACTTTTGATTGCCTTAAAATTTATTTGAACCTATAAAGCTTGTAATATTAAACTATGATCTGTATAACAAATGTACTGCCATTTTAAAATTTAAAAAATATTAGTTATTTTCAGTTAATGGGATACCCGCAAGTGACATGTGGGTCTCTCGATGCTGATTGGTTGTTGAAACATAGAATTTGTTTACGTTAGCAACTGTTCTTTACATTCTATTTCGAGTAAGCCAAGCCTGTCAATTATCAATTCACTTAAGTGACACATTCTATATTCTTACACAGAGATTCTTTTACAAAAATTTCAATTCTTTCACTAAATATTTCTTACTTAACACAAAGACAGACATGGAGCTATGTAAAGTATTAATAAACTAATTATGCATCACAGTTGCCATGTACGCAAAACAAAAATATAGCACGGTTATAATAAAATATATAAATAATAAATCTAAGTTAAGTATAAGACATACACAAGAAAGAATTATTTTTCAACAAATTGATGTGTAATACAATGCTGTATCTAATAAACTTCATGTTAATTAACATTCTAACTTATGTGGAGAAACTTAGCTCAACTTAAACACACCATTTTGCTTAAAAGCGATCAGCTGGTGCTGTCATCATAGGTCACATGTGTAGGTATCCGTGATCTTCTTCTTGAAGTGAATAATGCAATAGGAACTAAAAAGAGATTATTGAACAAACAAATAGATTCTGCTTTTTTTAGAATTGCCAGTAAAAAAAATTTTTTTTCAATAAATAAATAAAATGTAAATGATGTTTTGAAAAATTTAATTTCTTATTTTTAAAAGTTGTCTGTTTACTTGTTTGATTTGTGTTTGCATTTTTGTATCATTTTCAAGACTATGATCTAAATGAGTACAGTGAAGATGCTGCCCTTTATTTATTGCAAAGAGAATGGATGGAGGTTGAGTTCAGACCTGCATTTTCTGCAGCAGCTGAAAATGAAAATTACAACTTTCCGTCTGATGAAGATATCTGGAGCACTCCTTACCTGCCTAATTCTAGTAGTTATTTTTGAATATTTCTTAACAGAAATTTGCCTTTTTCTTTTCTTTTATTATTTTTAAAGTGAGGAAATTTAGGCTAGTGTGAACAACTACAATGATTCTGTTATTTATCTCTCAAAATTTCTCTGTAACTTTTGATCAATTACCAAAGTTGTGTTACAGTTTTTTATGTGATTCATTGTGTGACAAACAAGAAAACTTAACAAAATATGAGGAAAAAATCATTCTTATTTACCTTTTAGTAGCCACTTTAAACTATTTTTATTGTTAATGTTATGCTATCAATGAATACTCTTATTTCATATTTGCTATTCATTTTTGATTTCTAATTGTCTTTTTAAAAAACGAAAAAAAAAATGACTACTGGACTGTAAGGGGGGAGGGAAAAAAATAGTTGTAGGGCTATTCTAAATATGACAATGTTAAGCTCTCTGTGATTTAAAGAGGTTATTTATTACAACAACACTTATTTGGACAGTTAATGACAAAATCAGATTAAATTTGTAAAATATATAATCTATTTATCCTTTTTTTTTTCAATTTTAAATTTGATTAATTCTGTAAAGTTTATTATTTACTTATAATTATTTTTGTGTCTTACACAATCTTTTTTTTTTTCATACTTAAGATTTTTATTTCCTATGGTCCTAATAATTAAATTAGGAAAATACTAACAATAAATTAAAAAGTAGATTGAATACTCAATTTAATAACTTGCCCATACTATCTCTATGCCATGTGTCTAGTGCATATTAAATCAATTACAAAAAGATAATTACCAAAGTTAAATTTCAATTTTAAAAATAATATATAAGTTATATTAAAAATGAGGACTAGTAAACCTATTTGGCAAATTTATTAAAATTATACACACTATCCCTCTTTCCCCTGATGTTTAGAAGTAATGGGAGTTCTGTTAATGGTATTAATTATTTCGCTTTCTTTGAACACTTTTCACTTAATAAAGCTAGCTGCATTAAGTTGATTCATGTTTATAATAAATTATCTAAAATCTAATAATAATAAATGTTACATTAGTTTAAAAAATTTATTACTCATATATTGCGTGATGTACTTTTTATTATATTTACCTACGCGCAAAAATATAGTCGAAATTTTGTAAAAGATGTATAATTTTATGTAAGTAATTAATGAAAAGGTTTTTTCCATAATCTTTTTGTAGTAAATCAACCTCTGATCCATCACCGCTTTTTGCAGATAATTAGGAATTTATTTTTATTTTAAATAAAATGTTGCCAAATCAATGAACATTTTCTTTTATCAAGAATAATTAGTTTAATCTATGAGTTTTTAAGTTTAATGCTTTGACCCATTGTAATGATTCAGATAATTTCGTTTCAAATTGAATTTTTTTTTTTTAAGAATTCTTAATTTAAAAAATTTAGAATTTCTATCAAAAATCTTGTATTTCTTTTGCATACCCCCACTTAACGTTCCATTTTCCATATACCTTCATTTGGATATCCAGGATGCAAAGCGTTTTTAAAAAGAGCTTAAAGGTGCTTATTTTCGATTTTCGTTTTTTAAAAGCCCTTAAAGGTGCTTTTTTCCATGGGTGCTTTTAAAAAGTGCTTAATTTTCCCTTTTTCGAAATGTGATATTTTTCTTTACCATGTTGATTTTCGCCATAAATTATGCAAAAAGAAATTGTCCTATTCAACGTTTTCACAATTAATTCAACCCTAATCTATTTCGGCGTAAAGCCGGTCTGTAGTGTATGAAAGCAGCATTTGTTTAACCCAGTGGTCGGCAACCTGTGGCTCGCGAGCCACAGGTGGCTCTTTTGATGTAAAGTTGCGGCTCTCCAGTTCCATACGAAAAAATTAATAAATTGTNGCACTTGCTTATACTGAGCTGGATTCAGTGTTAAGGATTTTTAACTCTCATGTGCAACCTTGCTGCATTTTGCAAGAGATTCTCAATTTCAGACTTCATTTTCCACCCTCTGTAAATAGAATCAAAAAATCTCATTTTCCGCCCTCTGTAATAGAATCGAAAAATCTCTCAAATTTTTGCTGATTACAGGGAATTGTCAATTTTTTCTCTCAATTAGTGATAGAAATTTTCATTTCTCTTGTTAATTTCATCGTTTGTAACGTGCCATCGTCTTCGTCACTGTAAATAAAACTGGATAAAACCATCAATTGTCAAAAACTTGCCGACCCTGTCTAATTATGATATTTTTCAAAGTGCTTAAAAGGTGCCTATTTTTTGTTGAAAAATTTGGCTACCTGTTTTAGACATCCTAGAAAAATATATTGAATGTAAAAAGTGAGATATTTTAAAAGCTATAAAATAGCCAAGTTGAAACATATAGTTAGTTTATAATGAGTGAATAAGATAGAAAAATTTATTTGTATTTTAAAAGATAATAATATCAATAATAATTAAGTACGTTTATTTTTATTACCTAATTATCTTATTAATTTTCTAGAACTAAGCCTCAAATGTTCCAATATACAAATTGATCAAGGTACTAAAAGTGGAAGACAAGAATGGGGTCAGTTACGTTACCAGAATATGTACAGGCCTTATGAAGCTTTTGAATTAGTAGTTGAATGGATGGTTGCTACAGGCAATAAAGCTGCTGAAATGGTAAAGCTGACATTGCTTTATGCTTTATTTTTTAGTTTTTTTTTTACATAATTTGAAAAGTATTTTTTATTTTAATTACTTGAAGGAATGATTGAAATTTTACAGTTTGTTATTTTTCACTTAATTTGAATTTTTTATTTCCAGTTAAGTTTTAGTGTAAGAGTTGCAGTTAACAAATATTATGATCTTCAGAATATTTTATGTTCTGTTTATTATTTTTTCAATTGCATTGTTAAATTGACAAATTGTCTGATTCAATCATATTACAACTAAATTTTGATCATTAATCTCTATCTTTTTATTAAATCTTGCAATTGTGCTCATATATTTGATCAGAATAATATAAGCAAAAATATTAGAAAAACTATTTTTGTTGGCTTTGATTAGAGCATGAATATTGAAAAAATATTTATGGTTATATAAAGAAATAGTTAACTTTTTCAATGTCGTAATTTTAATGTTTGGGGGAACTATGTGAAAAAAATATGGATTTCAAAGATATTGAAAATGGATTTTAGAAATATTAAAAAATTGATTTAGAAAGTTTCATGTTGACATAACCTTAAAACTTGTGACAATTATGCATAACACGAAATTTTTTTATTTAATAAAGAAATTAATAGAATAAAAAAAAACAGCTTTATTCGAATAATGGTAAACTTTGTTTTTTTTTTATTTAAAAATATCTCAATAAAAATTTTAAAAAAATGCAAAAGAGAAAAAAAGAAAATTCAAATAAAAAATAATTTTTGTATTCAGCCTATTTAAAAGTAACAAATTTGAAGAAAGTAATATTTTATTGCAATTTTATTTCATGCGTCACTTCAGTTTATTTAGCTTTTATATTTTTATTTATTGTAGAAGATTTTAGTCCAGTTTTAATTTTAAAACCTTTAATTTGTTTTGTTATTGAAACTAATTGAAATTGGAGAAATAATACATTTTTACATACTTTTAAAAACTATGTTATTTCTTATTTATAAAGGAGAACATATTTTGAATTTTAAATGTTTTCACACTTAGACTTCTAATTACTCTAGGTTCAAAGCTGGGCTAGGAAATCGACTCAGTTTGGTTTGCAGCTGGTACCGATTCCCAGTGATCCCTTTGCTTTACCCTTTTCTGATGATTCTGATCCTTTAAGAGGACCCATATTCATACCATTAGATTTAAGTTGTTTTATTGACACATCTGTTCAAGCTCTTGATGGTGAGTATGATATTTTATACGAGCAATTTCCATTGTTTAATAATTTGTGAGAAAATAATTTCCATGCTTTTAGCTTTTGAAAGATATCTTTACTTAGATTACTGAAAAGCAGTTTTGAGTATTTTTCTAATACTTAAATACCAGTTTGTTTACCCTTTTATGTGTGTCATGAGAGACATGCCTTATGTCATATTTTGTTTCTTGTTTAAAATTATTGTCAATCCTTTTTTTTTATTTATAAACCTTTTATTTACTATATTGTTGAAAAATAACTAATTTGTGTCCTTATTAGTAATGATAAAAAAAATTCATGCAGTTCCATTCTCAGAGTTGCATTAAAAACAAATATTTCACATATTAATACCAGGAGCAAAATAGATTAATAGTTTTTTAAACCTGTTCATAAATTTCATTTTTGTAAAAGCAATTTTAAAAAAAAAATGCATAAAATTTGGTTGTTATGCAAACACATTTAAAGTTTTGGAAAGAATACATCCTTTTAAAGTACAAAAAACATTTTTAGAAACGATCAAAAACCTGAAAATTGCGAGTTTTGACCTAAATGGACAGCTGATTTTCCTTTTTAAACGAGTACTTAAAATTAATTTTATTTCACAATATTAAACTTCATAAGAAATCATTATTGTAAATTATAAGCAATCATAAATTGGTGAATTACCTATTATAAAATGCAAAATTGAATGAATTGATACTTCGATATCTTTTACATTATCTGGAAAGAGAATTACCTTTCTGCTGAAATTATCAATATACTGTAATTGAATAATATTCATGAAACGAATATTTCTTTTGAGGTATTTTCTAAATTTGTCTATTGAATAAAATTTTCTTATTATCATTTAAAAATTTTGTTTTTCGTGCTGATTTTATATTATATCCAAGTATAAAAAGTCTTGAGTTATGATCCAATTCACAAGTATCAATGTTTTACATTCTGTAACAGAGGTTTATAGGATTTACATAAAAATAGAAATGAACGATCTACGTATCAAATTTTAAGATACAACCAAAATTTTAGGTAAGAGAAAGTATAAAATTACTTTTGAGTCAAAGAATTATGTAATTGAATAAGTACATGTTTGTTTAATAAGCATTTATTTTTAAATTACAGAATTTAAATTTTGTGTATTTGAATTTCATTTCATTCTAATTTTGACTCCTATTCCTGTATTTTTTATTATATATTCTTATATTTTTCATGTATTTCCAATTCATATATTTTTGTCTTTAATTAATACTTCTTTTATTTTCATGTTTTTTTATATTTTTAGGCCCTTTTTCAACTTCAGTTTTTTTTTATTTCAGAGGAAGGTTTATTAAAATTACAAGAAAAAATTTTATGCAAATTTGGTTTCATTCCTTACCGGAACCCCACCAATCCTGCTAATCCATCTTCCTCTCCTCCTAGATATGTACATGTCAGTGGTAGCATGTTTGTTATGCTACCGATTCGGCGTAGAGAATGTAAAAAAAGCAATGGCAAAAACCTATTACGGGTAAGTTGAAACAAACTTAAGTATCACAAAAATTTGCGTAGGTAATTTTGCAATTGTAAAAAGGAAAATTGTACCTTTTCCACTAAATATTTAGACATATTGTTATCAAGAACATTCCTATTATTGCAGAATTATTTCTAAACTTTTTAGGTTTTTTAAATTTTCTTAAAAAAACTAAGTTTAAATATGTTTAAGTAGTTTATTTTAAGTGACATTTGTTTTCTCAACACTTTCACTATCAACATTTATGAATGTTGCACTGATACATTATATGAAAAAAAGAAGAATTATGTTTTTTTGCAGGGCTTGCCAAAACTCTAGCTTTTAAGAAGAAACTTAACTCACATTTGTTTAAAAAATTAATTTTACCATCGAAAATTTTTTTTCATTTAAATTTTGCGTGTATACTTATATACACTAAATATAGGAAAAAGATATAGTATATGCTAAAAACAATTATCGCTTTGTTATTACAAAAAATGTTAATAAAACAATAAAAATTAATTTTCCCTACATAAATTTTTATATATAAAATTTTAGCGCTTATAATATAAAATGTTTAACTCTTATTTTCTAAAAATTTCAAATATACAATTTAAAATTCTAATGAGCATATAGAAATTCTCATTAAATTAGAGACAATTCAGTTTTTTTTTCCAAAGTTTTATTGAAATTAATCATCTTAAGGTTAGAAAATATAGCAAATTTTTAATACTTCATTGCATACCCTTTTGCTTTTATGATTCTGAAGGAGCTCTGCTTTTGTAAAATGCTTTCTGCCCCAACTTTCCTTAGGAAGAATTCCCAAAGGTATTCTATTAGATTCAGGTCAGGTGATTGACTTGGCGAATTCAGAAATTTATCCTTAGCTGTAAACCAAATGGTCACAATTTTGGAGGTGTGATTAGGATCATTACCTTGTTGTGAACTTAAATGTTTTTATTAATATACTGAAATGTATTTATTAATATACTATACGTGAAATGTTTTTAAAAACATATTAATCCAAAGTCCCATAGATGTGTGCAAGGAAGCTACACCATTATGATGGAAAGCTTCCCAAACCATTTCCATGTTTTACTGTTGATAGTTGGTACCTGGGATCCATTCTGGTGCCTTTTGGACAATGAATAAAATGTCAATTATTACTTCCAAACAATTTGAATTCATCACTCCAAAGGACATTCTTCCTATCTTAAGTTGTCCATGCTTTTCACTCTTTTACAAAATTCAATTAAATTATCCTATTCTTTGTCCCGATGAGCCGACTTAGATAAAATGAAAAACTTTCTGTGAATGCAAAATCTAAATTAAAAAACTTTCTGCGTGCATTGATTAACTCTTGTAACTAGTTTCAATCCTCATTTTAGCGAAATTCGTTTGAAAATAACAGATGTTTTAAATACTGTTTAATTTTTATAGAACTCTATAGTGTTTCATTCCACAGGGATGAGTTTGGTAAAAAACAAAAACTGAAAATAGAAATCTGAAATAATTGAAAAAAGTACTTGAAATTTGAGCAAGCAAAAATATATGTATATGTAACAAGCATTTCTTCACAGAATGTTATCAACGTTTTAATAAAAATATGTGAGATTTCATTTCTTTTTTAAATTGTGTGAATATGAATCTCATTGTGTGACTTATAAATCACGGGAATACGAATCAGGATATTTAATTTAAAAAATCGCGTGAATATGATTACCTTTTGAATTCGAAAATACAAACTTTTTTTGGAGAGAAGGATTTTTTTTTAGTAATATTAAAAAAATTTCTGCTATGGTGACAAATTTACCGCGAACGGCGTTCGCATATTTATATACATGTCTGCGGTTGAAAGGTTTTTTACAGGATCCTGTGCATACAATCCATTTCATTCCAATGACATCGACATCTTATGGTGTGTTTACTCACTGTGAGTCCATGTTTGGTGGCCCTCTCCTAGCATATTTGATTAAAGCTCTTGTTTGAGTAAACAATCTTTAGAGTAACATGTCTTAATGTTACCTTTTTCTTAAGTCTCCTAATCTTAGAAGATTATGCATGATTTTTCCATTCTTTCACTTCTTTGCTATATGGCCAACAGTTAATTTTAGAATTCCATATTTGATCACGATAGCTGAATACGAAACTTTTTAATCAGTTTCTTTAATAATCAGGGTGCATAGCATTTTAAAAAAGTGCTTAAAGGTGATTATGTTCGATTTTAAAAGCCCTTAAAAGAGCTTTTTTCATTGGGTGTTTTTAAAAAGTGCTTTTTTCATTGGGTGTTTTTAAAAAGTGCTTAATTTTCATTTTTTCAAAATGATATATTTCTTCTTTACCATGTTGATTTTCGCCACGAATTATGCAAAAAGTGTGGTTTTCTCATTGTTCTATTCAACTTTTCGCAATTCATTCAACCACAATCTATTTCAGTGTACCATCGGTCCGTATCATATGAAAGTGCCAATTATTTTACTTTTCACTTTCGCAAATGGTTGTGACCATTTAATTTTAAAAAATTGTCTTTTAATGGTTTAGTAAAAAGAAAACATAATCAATTTATAAAAACTTAATTCAGTTGTATTAATAAAAACTATATATATTGTTATAAAGTTATCTTTTTTATATATAATTTAAAACGTGTGTATAGATTTGTATGTGTGCATATAATTGTAATCCTTTAGTATTTCTTCCATTGTGGTTAAATGTGTTTTAAAGTTTATTTTCATCATCGAATTAGTTATTAAAATTTTAATTGCTCCAACTTATTGTTCAGATGGTTGAAATCCAAAAATATATCCTTATAACTCGTGTCATTCTTTCCCCAATTTTTTAATTTTGCGCTTCAGTTTATTGTTTTTTTATTAATTTATAATACAAATAAATTACAATACTTAGCGGCAAAAGTTTTTCTTTCGGAAGGGTATTACTACCCGTACCTATTAAATACTATGTCTTACAGTATTTTTATTTTAAAATTTAATTGTCACAGAGTAATTGGAGTGCTAGAATTGAGTCATATTATTAATTTGCAAAAGTTAATTCCAAATAATTATAATCTTCTAGGTCAATAAGCATTCTATCACTTAATTTTAAATGTTGTGCTTTGCGAGTACTAGTTTTTGAAATTGGTAGTATTAAAAGCAACTGTACCTTCCGAAATTAAGAATTTAGGTTTTTATACTTTTGTTTGAATAATTCATGTTAAAATTAAAATTTTTTTTAAATAAATCAATCAGATATAAGGTTAATTAAGAATGTTTTTATTAAATATTTTTCAGGGTATAGACTTACATCAGATAAGTAGTCCACATGATGAATATATTACCCGTCATTTTAGTGGAGTGCAAAATAGAAGACTTTCTGCTATGAATGCAGAACATGATTCTAAGGTAAGCAGATTAGTTTTTTACAAATATATTAATTCTATGTTAGCCATTTTAAATTCCCATCAGTCACCAACAGCCCATTATGTAGCTCTAGTGTGACGTAAATAAAGTACCTACCTTAAATTCCCATCAAGTATCAAATTATTATGGAGAAATACTTTAATAAGAATATAACTTTAATTTGATAAATTTTCTAGAAAAATATTTTGTTGAATAAATTTTAAGTCATGTTATTCAGACTAATGGCAGTATATGTTATTACATATCTTCTGATGAAATTTGGTGGTATATTAATATGTAGTTAATGTATAATAACTTTATATTGTTCTAGTAAATCAGATTTTTTTTTTTGCTTAAGTTAAATTAAATAATGCAATATCATATTCATTATCTCATTTACAATTCTTTTACTTAAAGAATTTTTCTTCACTAAGTAACTCTTACAGAATACCTATGTTTCGAAATAATAACTTTTTTTTTAATAATCTGAATATTTCTTTATTGCTGCTACAGCTCTTACAATTTTTTATGATTTTCTCAAAGATTCTAATGATCATGATAATGTAATCCACTTTCATAAGTGTCATGTATTCAGTACAGTGTAGTCGCTTCTGATTTTTGTGATTTTGAATTTTATAACTTTTATAAAAACTGAGAATTTTTATTATTTTCATTCAGTTAATATTTCTTTTTTATCATTTTTAAATAAAATCTTTCAAATTTAGGTAGTTCATGCAATAATTTAAATTTAATTTGAAATATATTTTTTAATAATCTGTGTTTAATTTTAAATAAAATAATCTAAGTTACTGTCAATTAAGTGCATAATGGTGTCATTATTCTTTGATATTTAACCAGTGGATAAAAAAAAAAATCTCTCAAAATTTCTATCATTCTTTAAGTGGTATAAAACTTTATTTTTACTCTTCATCAAAGTTTACAAATTAAGATTAATTTCTTATGTAATTATTACAAATTAATTTTTTAAAATTATATCAATTGAAATAAATAAGTTATAATATGTATTTATGTTTGCTAATTTTCATATAATATCTAAATTAAGAACAGTACTTTAGTCTTAAAATATGCTGTTTTGAAATGTATCTAAATTGAAATGTACCTCTTTCCATAGCCATTAAATACTATAAAACTTACCAAATGTATTATATTTAATATTATAATATTAATTACTTATAATATTTAATGTTCTAAGCAAACATTCATTTAAATATAGCAGCATACTAAAATACTAATGTCTTTTAGCATTTTAAAATTTAATTATAACAGAGCAATCGTATTGGCTAGAATTCAATTATGTTTTAAATTCTTAAAACTTAATTCTCAACAATTATTATTTTCTGGCAAAAAGAAAAAACAATACTGTATTGCTTTATTTTGCTATGTGAGTAGTAGATTTTGATGTTGCAGTATTTAAAAAAAAACTCTTCTTCATCTAATTTTCGTCTTTCTGTTTGAATATTTTAATTACTTTACTTTTATGACTCTCAGTCATATAATATTGTTCTTTTTTAAATAAAAAATATAAAATTTCTGAAATTGATTTTAATGAAATTTCAATTGAATTGAATGAATAATTTCAGAGCTTAGACTTACATCAGATTAGTAGTCCACATGATGAATACATTACCCGTCATTTTAGTGGAGTGAAAAATAAAAGACATTCTGCAATGAATGCTGAAACGGATACTAAGGTAACTCTATTAATTTTACAAAGATATTTATATGCACATTCTAAGTTCTTATTTTGTAACAAATTACTGAAAATGAAGTCAAAGTGCTTAATAAAATATAATCTGCAAGTGGTGGCTAAAATGAATTATCTTAATAAGTAATCCTGCATATTTTTCTATCAAATCAAATTTTGATTGAAATGGTGCAATATCATATGACATGTCCAAATAATATAATATGAATTTGGATCTCATTCTTTAATCTTTCTTCATTGTGTAACGAATTCTTGATAGCTTATGTCTTGATAGGAGTAGTTTTTTTATAATCTGAATAAATACATTTAATACCCCGAAAAGTCCTTGAATTCTGCAATAAGATCCTTGAAAAGTTTTTGATTTTTTTGGGAGTAATTTTCTCTGAATAGTAGTAAAATGTACAAAAGAAAAGAAACTTCAACCGAAACGATTGTAATTTTGATTACTCTCACTACTTTTGCCATTTTTTTTTTTTTTTTTTTTTTTTTTTTTTTTTTTTTTTTTTTTTTTTTGCTGAAGAATAATTCAAGGTTGAGTCTGGAAGTCTGATCTGTAATTTTAGAAAAATTCCCATATACTTATTTACCCCTCTCTTGTGATTAGATTGCAAAATACTAGTAGTGTGTGGGAAAACCAATAGTGAAAAGAAAATATTGAATGAAACCATGTCTAGTATTAGCATTGTTTTAACCACATGCAGCATGCCATCCACTAATTTCGAAACATGAGGTTTTTTTAAACTTTTTATTTTATTTGCTATTGTGTGATAATATTAGTTTTCTCCAAATTGTAGAGAAGGGAAGAAGCTTGCTGAAATTCCAATATTTTTTCTTTTTCCAATCCTAAAAATCTGGTATTTTCTGATGTATGCAATATATAGTGCTACCAAATGTGAAATGGTAAAGAAATTTGCACCAGCACAATTCTCAAAAAGCTTTCATGAGTAAATTCTTGAAGGAGAATACATAATTTTTCCCTCCTACTTTTTTTTTTTTTTTTGCCAGATTATTGATCATTTTGATGTTAAAAAAGAAGTCAAAATCTTGAGTAAATAATTTCTGATTTTGTACATAGTTTTAGTTACCACTTGATATGCAGTGTTTCTTCAAATTTTAAATATAATCTTTGTGTTAACTTCATTTAATTTTTTTTATTGTGTATGTTCAGATTTTTATCTCTAACATGTCAAATTTATTCTGTGAATTATGAATCAAACATTTTGATTCGCATGAAAGTGATTTATGAATCTTGTATTGAAGATCTCATTAAAGTGATTTGTGAATCACTCAACAGGGTTTGCATTAAAATGCTTTGTGAATCATACAAAGTGATACACATTTAAGTGATTTCTAAATCATGCATCACAATTCTCATTCAAGTGATTTACGAATCACGCATTGGGATTCATGTTAGAAGGATTTAAGGATAACTGTTTGCGATTCTCATCAAAGTGATTTATGAATCTCATTTAGAGATTCTAATTTTAGTTACTTATTGAATCGCATTATGCATTGCAATGATTACCAGATTGGGCATCAATTTTTTCATATAAATGATTAGGAAACTGTGCGTTCAGTTTTGCATTAAAGTGATCAAAGAATCACTCAACGAGATTCGCATTGAAGTTGTTTGTGTATCACTTATCATGGTTTATGACTTGTTACTTTATGCATTATTCAAACTGTATCTTCTGCTATTCATATTGTTTCAATTTACGAAACCTATGTTGCATTTCAATTTGCTAGTCATGTTGTGATACATAATTTACGCAGATCTTAAATGCTTACTTCACATTTCATGTAATTTGATTTACATGTAACATATCGTGTTGTATATATATACAATATTAAAATTAGGCATAGTAAATTGTATTTACAAAATTTTGCGATTCGTGATCTATTTTAAAGAAAATAAATTTTCGAAATCTTAGTTTGTTATCTGACAAAATATTGTACTACAAAAGATTTTATTATGCCCAAAATATATTACTAATATTCTGAGGTAATAAAAAGATTGTAATTTTAAAATTGAAACAGATATGCTAATTATTATTTTTCGATTAATTCTAATATGCTTTCTTAAATTTCTCATGTAAAGTTTTACTATTACCAGTTTTTAAAAGTTGGCAAGTATGCTAATGTTAATTGGACATTTTTTGTTAATCATCAAACTGATTTAAAGCACAATGTACTATCAAACCATTTCCATTGGTTGCTGAGGGCTACACATATTAAAAAATTGCCTCAATGTAAAATTAGTAAACTTTATAAACGCTTCAATGTAATAAAATCTGTTTGACATGTATTTTAGCATTACTGAGTAAGTCCTTGAATTTGTTTTTTTAAAAATGAGTGGGTACCCTGATATATATATATATACACAAGAAAACACGAAGAAAGTTAAGAAAACCAATAAGTTTCATTTATTGCTCATAAGCTGCAAGTAAACAGAACTCATTAGATAAGTTCAAGATGAAGATAAAACAAAGAAAAATTATAGACATATTATGAAAAAAAGGGGGGGGAATAATAAGTAAACAAATAACATACAACAGCTTAAAAAAAAAGATGAAATTTTATTTAAAAAAACCAGAGAAAAAAAGAGATATCTTTTCATCAGCTCACCCGATTATATCCGCAAAAAAGAGAGAGGATATAATCGTGTGAACTTTTTTTTTCTGGTTTTTTTAAATAAAATTTCATCCTTTTTTTTTCTCCTTTTAAACTGCTGTATGTTATTTTTTTACTTATTATCCCCCCCCCCCTTTTCATAATATGTCTATAATTTTTCTTTGTTTTATCTTCATCTTGAACTTTTATATATACAGTGCCCGCCGCTAATAAAATCACCGGATAATAAAATCAGCCGCTTTATAAAATCAAATCGGCAAGAACCGAATCGTTACAATATTAATACATGTTAAAAACATCCTTTAATAAAATCAATGCCGCCGCTTTTTAAAATCAAAGGTGCAATATTTCAGCTTTTTTTGTTCTTATTTATAAAATATTATTTTTTCGAAGTTTAAAGATTTTTTTAGAAGAAGCAACAGTTACTCACAAACCTGTGAAACAGGTGTGGTTAGCACTTTCCTGTGATATACATAGTGAAAAAGAGTTAAGGAAAAATGTGGGTGGTAAGCGGCGAGTTCATAGAAATAAATTTATCAATGTTAATTCCTTGACTTGAATGAAGTTTGGAGAAACCTATCTCACTCAACAGGGGGTCGAATTCTTATCTTACTTTTTATTGAATGAACCATAGAAGGGAGAGAAGTTTCTTTTGTTATCTATCTTAACAGAGAACATGAATAGATTTCCAAAAACTGTCTGTGTGCATGTTCCATATTATTTTTAAGCCGTTTGAGTAAATTATAGTTAAAGTTAGAGCATATATCATTTTTAAGTTCGTTTGGTGTTAAATTTTATCAGCATGCCGAAAAGGAAGGATTTGAGTCTTAAAGATAAATTCGAAGTGTTGCAAAACTATGATAAGCTTCCTTAATGTAGTCAACGTGAAGCTTCAATGGAGATGGAGATGGGGCTCATAACTGTTTCGAAGAAATGATCAGCAATGAAGAAAATGAAATGGACGAGAATTTTTCACGTTACGTAGCTATTGACGATAACCTGCAAACATCAGGAGAAAAATCTGATTCTGAAATTGTTATAGACATCAAAAATTGCAAAGTTATTTCCCATCAAGAAATGGAGGAATCAGACTCAGAAGATGAAATAAACTCATCAGTGCCATCTTCAATGGAAGTCAGAAAAGCACTTAATGTATTGCGGCAAGCCTTAAAACAAAGAGGAGGAATATCGAAAACTATAAAAACTTCTATAAACTCTCAAATGATGTTGAAAAGTTAATTTTAAATACTGCAACTCAAGCAACCATTGATCGGTTTTTTGCAAAACTTTTGTAAATTTAATCTTATGTTGGGTTTTACTTTATTAAAATAATTAAATTAGCTAAAATAAAGCATTAATGTGGTCATTATTTCAAATTTAAAAGTGTGTGCATTTAGAATAGATCGTAAAAAAAAATTTTTTTTTCTTCAAATGTTGAATCGCCTCTTAATAAAATCAAAAGAGCATAAAACGAAAGTGATTTCAATAAACGGCGGGCACTGTATGTATATATATACATATATATGTGTGTGTGCTTTGGCTAAGATTGTTTTGAACCTTTAATTTTAGATTGGTTTCCTGTGGTCTTGGAACTATATGATCACAAAAAGGTGGAAAAACACTGGTACAGTTGATGAACACTTTATGAGAAAAGTAATGCATGACTTCAAGGCTTTTTGTGCTAATCACGATTCCCGCCTTGAAGATTTTTGGAAGTATTCAGAAATGTCTGATTTTAAAGAAGATTCTTCAATGGTTATGGATTTAGAGTCATGATACTATCATATCATTAGGTGAGTTGTGTTGTGCTTGCTAGCTAGCAATAGTAACTTAAAGTTTTAGCCATTTATAAATGCTATTAGTTGTATATATGAATAAAAATGTCTTAAAAAGATGTTTAAAAAACTTAAATAATGCAACTAAGTTAAGCTAATAATCATATCTAAAAGTTGTATATTAGAATTTATATATTTTCCTTTATGTTGTCCACTAAGCTTCTATGCTCATATAGAAAAATACACTTTCTATCTTATTATATATATGCATTATCGGGTCAAAATTATGCAGCATTACTACTATGACCATTAAAAAAATAGAGCATAAACAAATGGAGTTAGGCCCTTGTTTGTGATGGGGTTTCACCTTATTAGTTCCTAGATAAGGAAATACATATTAAATTGTTTTACCATTGAAGAAAATTTCCTGCTTTTGCAGTGCACAATGTAAACGTATGAATGTTAAAACTCACCTATTCATGTCTTCTCTATTTGTTGTAATAAATTGGACTTTTTAATTTATATAGTATTTTATCATGACCACCTTTTGTACATGATTTTAGAATCCTGATCAAAAATGCAGGAAAAAATTATAAACACTAAGGTTCGAAACTTATTATTTAAGTTTGAAAAAAACAAAAATGTCATTAAAATCAAATGAATCACTGTTGAAGAAGGAATGAACGAAAATGTCAAAACCTGTTTTGATTCCATCATGAGGAAACAAAAAAGGGTTGAAAGGAAATTATTTTAAAAGCACCAAATTTTCACGAGGCAAACAAATTAGTTTTGCTGTTTTTCATTCTAACTTCCTTATTTGTGATGTTTATTTATTTTTTTAAACTTCTTTCTTATTAATAAATTACACTTTATGTACATATTTTTGGCGGGAGTATTAGAAACATATATATTAAGAGTGATCACTATTGAACACTGTCTATACTCTTTTATGAGAAATATTAACTAGTACTTTTGTGTTCATAGATTCCAGCAAGTTGAGAAATTCCTAATCAAGTGGCTTTCCCAATATCGATATTGTGATATTATATGTTACTTATGTCATATTTTAATGTTATAATGTATGTGTACATAATTCTATTGACTTTTATTGTAAAGTTTTAACAATGCAAATTATTTTCATAATGTGTGCAGACTTAAAAATTATTGTAAATTTTTATACTTAGCCTGTAATTATTTTATTAATAAAGAGTTTTTAATAGATTGGATGATTTTTTATCAATCAATTAACGATAAGGTTTGATTTTGTAGGAATTATATATTAGTTTTAAATGACTGTAACTAATCCTATTATAAATGATGGGAATTAATTCTATGTTTATTAATAGTAAATCGTTAGTAACTAGGTCATTTGTACTGATAAAGCAAATACAAAGCAGCAAAGTTACAAACAAAAAAAAGAAGTTAGTATTATATAATGTTTGAACTTTCAAAGATAGATGAACATATTAAGTGTTGGGTCATGTACCAAAAAAGAATTACCCTGATTAACTTTAGTTCTAATGATATCGTTACACTATCAAAATAAATAACTATAATTAAAAAATTTTTATTTGTTTTATAAATACCTACTAAATACAATTATAAAGTAACAATACTCAAATTTTGTTTCATTGAAATGATTACATTTGAATTGTAACAAATTGGAATTGCATGTTGAACAACCTAATGCAATTCATAAATGCAGAAATTGAAGAACAAATTAATTTTGTGATGTTGGAGTTTGGATAAAACAAACCTAAGTGTACACAAGGTTACAAAAAGAAGCAATGGCAGAAGAATCTTACAGTTTATAACACGATTACCACGGCCAATTTGTTGACAATAGCATCAACAGGATTGGCACTCAATTCTGGAGAGAGAAAAATTTCCCCGTGTTTTCTCTGCACATATTATAGACAATATATTAAGAGGAAAGAATTACTTTGCTCTTGTATAAACTATATTGGACTAACTATACTAGTTTTAATTGCTGGAAAAACTTGAGAGTAAAAAAAGAGCAGCTGAACATACTTAAATAATGCTGCAGTAAATGAAATAGTTTAGTATAGCTGAAATATCTTCCTTAAGCATCCCATAGATTGCGCTTTGAGTGGTCACCATTTTTTAAAAATGAAATACAAAATTCCCTACATTTTCTCTGTTTGTAAAGAAAAACTCAGAATTTCCTGCATTTTCCCTGTTATATTTTAAATTCCCTATATTTCTCGGGTTTTCCCTGTGGAATAGCAACCCTGATCAACTACAGCTGTAATTAAATGTATATTTTCTGATGGTAAGCATAAAAGTTTTGAATGTCTTAAAGCACAAAAAATAAGTTTTGAAGAAAGACAAAATATTGTAAAAGAAAATTGCTATTTTGCATGTCTAAGTATCGTGCACACAGTTAAAAGTTGTCAAGCTGCTTTAAGAGGCATAATGTGTTCTAGGAAGCATGTAATATTGATGTGTAATAAGCTGGCCACAAAAAACTTTTGCGAAAAAAGATGTTGTTGTTAATTTACGTCGCACTTGAGCTGTACAATGGGCTATTGGCGACGGTCTAACCAGTGATGCTTGACTTCGGTGATTTGCTGGGAACCGTGTCTTAACGATCAGTCCACTGCGGGACAAAAGATGAACACAAGAAGAGAATAATAACAGCATGACTCGAACAGTCAAAAAAAGAAGAACGCAAGTTGAGGATAATAACAGCATGACTAATTTTAATAAACTTAGTACTAGAGTATTTCTCCAGACTTCGAAAGACATGCTGGTATCTTTAGATAAAAAAAAAAAAGTGCAAGATTACTTTTGGATTTGGCATAACATAGATCTTACATTTAAAAAAATGTTGCAGGCTTTTTGAAGGTGTTGTCAGCAAAAAAGAGATAAAACATGACTGCTGCAAATTGTTGGTAAAGAATTCGAATAAAAAATTCTTTTGTAATTTCGCTACCTCGGATCAAGAGAAAATTTGTGAAGATATTCATCCCGTTTGTAACGGATCTTGGATAAAAGAACTGGAAGTGGATATTTTTTTATCTGAGGTTAGTGATAGCATTGGATCAATTGATATACTTTTCAGAGCCGACATTATGTAGAAAATGTTGATCAGCAAAAGAAAGATGCTGAAATCTGGTCTTATAGCAGTTGAAACCCACTTATGATGGACATTAATGGGAAAAGTACTTGAAGAAGATACCCCAAAGGAAAGCTCAGCTTTGGCAATGACCGTAACGTCGATGTTTGTAAATGATATTGATATATCTAATTTATGGTGGTTAGATTTGATTTGATTTAATAATCCTATTGAAATGAAGTCCAAGCAAGAAATTGACCTCTAAACGAAAGAATATTTTTTAGAGACTGTGAAAATTAATTACAATGAGCAGTATAAAGTTTGTTTACTTAGAGCAGATGACAAATCATTGTTATCCGATAATTTACACTTAGCTTGATAGAGACGACTTGAATACACCACTTCAAAACTTTAGTATATGATTTTGTACCAGAAATACTAAGATATTTTCACAAGTTGGCTCAAAGAAGTTCCACCAACTGAAACTGAAATGCATAGTTAAGGGAATTATCTGCTTCTTAGACCTGTGCTGAAACCGAGCAGTGCTACTATTCTGATTCGGCCAGTTTTTGATGCATCAAAACTGCCAAATCACCCGTCCCTTAACCAATACTTAGAATGTGGACTGAATTTCATTGAACTATTCTCAGACCTCCTGTTACAATTTAGAGAAACAATTCAGTGTTACTGGAGACATTAGAAGAGGTTTCTGTCAAATAAGCATTCAGAAGGAAGACATGGAATTTCTTCATTTCTTACGGTAGGAGAATTCATATATTCAAAAGAGGCATTTTTCAGGAATCAGAGTGGGGGAAAAAAATGGTAGTGATTTTTCTATTCTCATTTGAGAATAATGAAGTAAAAAATTTGGTTTTCTTTTCAGCAGAAATTTTCACTCTAATTTTTTTATGCAGTTAGTTATTACTAAATTATTTCCACATAGTTTTTAAAATCCAATATTTTAAATATGATGTCATTTATTACAACTGAATCATGAAATATAAACATGCATTTAGTAACCCTTTTTAAAATTCGATTTGCGTTAATTCGTCGTCGATCTTTTTTTTTTTTGGTAGTTACTGCATCGGATTTCACGATTTTTTTAATTTTTTTTTTAATGTGATGATGATTTACAAGATGCGAAAAGGAAATAATTAGCATGTTTACCCCTAACAAAAGGCGAGAATATCGCCCATAATAACATATTAATAATTATATTATTCCATTATAATATTCCTATAGGAATCAAAATGGTTTAATCACTCCACTACCACCAAATATCTACCGAAATATCGTTAATCTAGAAGAAGACTGAAGGAAGAAGAAAGGTTCCAGAGAGACTGAATTTGTAAACTGTATTTGCAAGCTTAAATTAGTCAAAAGGTAGGAGGATGTTAAAAATAATGAACGGAGAAGAAGCTAATTATATTTTATCAGGTGTTAATAAGCATGAGTTGTGATAGCAGTCAATTGAGTCACGTGAGTTTTTTTGTTGTAAATATATGAAAAAAATCAGTTTTTGTGTTCCATGAATTATTTTCTCAGATTAATAAAATTGTTAAGTTTCAACACTTGACTGTATGTCATTTATTCATCAGTTTTTATTGGATTATACCAGGGGTATTTGTGAGCCACACTCACAAATCCTGAAAATTTCTTGAAGAAAATCATTAGTGACGCATTTCAAAAAATTTGTTTTTATAAATTTAAATCATTGATATTTTCACAACATGAAATTCTAATTAAATTATATGCAGCATAATTTAAATTAATAATTTTGCATAAGTTTACTTTCATCTTTATTATACTACAAGAAAAATTACCTACAAAAGAGATGCCAAGTATAAATTCCAGTTTAAATATTTTTAAATAAGATATACAAGAATTTTTATACATAAATGTGATCAATAACTTCTTGAAACTTCTGGATTTCCATCCGGATTTCGAAGAATTTCTAAATTGGGGTTAGCGAAATATCCAGACTTTTTCCGGAGCACAATCATCTCTGATTATACATATTTTTGCCGTTCTGTTATTTAACTTGATTGGATTTTACAATACCCTTTGAGTTGGTCTCCTGTGATTTTGCTTTTAGTTTCTTGCGTGGCGCTGCTCGGAAGTTGCCGAGGGATTATTCTGCAGTAGAACAAAATATGGAAATCTTCCCATGGAAATTAGCTATTCAATGAGAAACCTGTCTAGATCAAATCTCTGCTATCTTAAGGGTCGATTTCTCAGATATTGTACGGAACAGAGTATACTTTTGCTTCTATGATAGCATATGAATCAGTTGAACTAGGGATTTTTCAGATCTTGAAACATCTAAGAAATCAACCATTGATAGCAGAGGTTTGGTTTAACCACGCATTTGTTAAATAACCCTACACGTCTCTATATCAAGGGGATATTCACGTTCTACACGTTCATGGGGATATTTCCGTATCGTGATCTGTCAAGCCAACTGCAATCGCCAAGGTGACAAATAGATTTTAAACTTGCAAATTTAAAAAAAAAAAAAAAAAAAACATGTAGATGTTTGCCCGGTGATGGTTACGAGTTATACCTTTCGAGTTGGTCCCTTTCTGTGATTTTTTTTTAGTTTCTCACTGGGCACTGCCCGGAAGTTTGCAAGACTTGGCGATTATTCTGCCACAGATCACGATACGGTAATCTCCCCTTTTTGATAAGTGTTTTAAATTGATGTTAGGTGTAGGAATAAGATGCAACAGGCCAGATTTTTTAATAGATAACCCGCAGGCGGATATAGCTTNTTGGTCCCTTTCTGTGATTTTTTTTTTAGTTTCTCACTGGGCACTGCCCGGAAGTTTCCAAGACTTGGCGATTATTCTGCCACAGATCACGATACGGTAATCTCCCCTTTTTGATAAGTGTTTTAAATTGATGTTAGGTGTAGGAATAAGATGCAACAGGCCAGATTTTTTAATAGATAACCCGCAGTCGGATAGAGCTTATAATATCTGCCTAAATGTTTTCTAAGTGAAATAACAGATGGATTGGTCAACCATAAGCAGCATATCTGAGAAGCTCTGGGGAGGAGGAACAGAACTCATAATCCCTCCTTTAAAAATTATCTGAAACCCGAAAACATCGTTGCTGATATTTTAATTAAGAATTTTTTCTATTACCAGACGTTGGAAACGGTATAGCATAGTGCGTGGCTTACAACTGCTACAGGAACTTTTGAAACGATTTCAATGTGAAATCACGTAGTAACTTTTTTACGATCGTCACTCGAGTGATAGAGTGTGGCGCTTGTTTATTTTAAACTAAACTTGAATATCGTAACGAAATAATAAATATTTTATTAAAATCAATCCAGTAATTCTAGAAATAATTAGTAAATCTGTGAACTCTACATTTTCAAATAGAATTTTTTCCATAGTTGATCAATGAAGTTTTCGAAAATGAACGGTGATCGCAACGCTCGAATAGGCCATCTGGGGAGAGACCGATTTCATGTCTTTGGTCCTTCTCCCTTCATTTAATAAAAATATTTTTTAAAATTTCCATGATACTTTCCATTAAACTATGTTTAATGTAGTTTTCAGTTCCATATAGTTTTAAAAATTAAAAGATAATAATCTATTTGAAAATCAAGACAGAAACTAACATACTTCCTTCCTCTACGACTCTCCGCACGATAATTATGAAAGCATGCAAAATGTTGCCATAGGTTGAGAGTTCTGCTTGACGCCACCTGCAGCCTATTTCGATCACTTCAGTTCTCAAATTAATAAAAATTTATTTTAAATTTTCAATCTATTGATTATTTTAAGGTAAATAGTTATAAAATGCTTTTTAAAAGAATGCAAAATCTTGCTTTATATGTTTATGATAAATTTAAAAAAAACTAGAAAATTTAAAATAAAAAAGATGGCATTACTTTCAACGCGTACTTTTTTGCTCTCTTGTGGTGCGCAATTTTTTTGTTTTGTTTTTTTCTAATATTTTGTAGTATTAAATTTCGGCTTCAGTTTTGTCACATAAATTCTTTGTGTTTTCGAATTTATTTTAATTTTTCAGAATTAGGACTCCCATTGTTTATAAGTCAATAAATGTCAGAAACTCTAAGTCTGTAAATAATGTTATTAAATGTATTGTTTTAATATGATTAGTTTGTATGTTTTTATTTGTGAATTAATTTAATTGTCATAGTAAAGTATCTTCCTGTTTTGAAAATTTAAAATTCTTATTATTCAAATTTTTTTGCCTTTTATTTAAATGTTGCTTAAATAAGGATTTATTGCAATGTTTTAAATTGCTAAAATGTTTTTATGTGTAAATTGTTAATTGAAATTCTTGACTTATTAATTAACATCAATACTGTTTCAATTTCACGTTTATTAAAGATATTTGACAATCAAACACAATTAGCTAGAAATTTAGAAGAAAAACTTCGTGCATGTCAATCCATTTTTCTGTTTTAATTATTTGGTATTGCAATGTTTATGTCTGGTATATTTTGAGTGCCTAGGCCTGTATTCACTTATTTATATTATTTTCTGTTTCAATGAAATAATGTCCTAAGTCTGAAAATTAAACTGTGCAAAATGAAAAAAATTTAATTATTTAAAAAAATTGAGACCCTTTGTTTAAAAACAACTGTTATTTATGTGCATTATGATCATGAATCTTAAAGAGCATATTAAAAATGTAATGTAGATATTTTCATATTAGTAACTGTTTGGGCCAACTATCAACAACATCAAGGTGTTAAAGGTTTTTTTCTTCAGCGTGGAGATAGGTATATTAGAGAAAAAATATGTAGTAGTTTGCGTGGGGATGGTTATTACAAGTTGGTCTTCTTTTATGATCTTTTTTTTTCTTTAATTTTCTTGAGTGTCACTGCCTGGCTGTCACTAAAACTTGTACCCTTATATTTTATATTTATATATTTAAAATACATTTTTATTTATATAAAATAAATGGATTTTTAAATTTTAGGACAATGTGTTTGCATACTCTCATTATTCTTTTAAATCGGCATTGCTTTTGATATTCCCATGTTGGTACCTGTTCACACAAACTATCTGACCATATTTGCAATAATTTAAAAGGATGTATAGTGACTTATGAAAGATGAGTACTGTAACTTCATGTTTGTACTCATTTAGATATTATTTTTATTAGTTTCTCAGGTGTTGTTGCCAAACTTTTGCAATGATATTGCTCTAAGTAGTGTTATAGAATTTTTTCGAGAATGATGTCCTCTCTTTATTTTTGGTTATGACTTTTAATTCGTTAACAGGATTATTTTTCTCTGAATGTTATTTGATAAAACATAAATAGTTCAGATTTTGGTTTCTGGCATAAATATCAAATTTAGTAAGCTGGATACTCTTAATCAGTTTTTCAGAGGTTAACTATAACAGATTTTACCGTTTTCTGATAACCAACTATTATAGTGAAAATAGTAAGTGTAACATGTAGAGCTGCAGTGGCTTTGGGGATAGAGTGTTCATCTCTCAAGGAGACGACCCAGGTTCGAATCCTAGCAATGGCTGGTATGAATAGGATTATTTTTTTCTGAATGTTGTTGAGTGTCAATTAAGAACATATAAATAGTTCAGATTTTGGTTTCTGTCATAAATATCAAATATGATAGGCCGTTTACTCTTCACTGGTTTTTAAGAGGTTAAATTTAAGATTTTAACCTTTTCTGCTAATCAACTATATTAGTGAAAATAGTAAGCGTAACGAGTAAAGCCGCAGGGGCTTAGCAGATGGAGTGTTTACCTTTCTATTAGGCAAACTAGGTTTGAATCCTAGCAGTGGTTGGTCGGTATGAATTTTGCTTTTGGCTTACACTGACCACATTGCTGATATAAAATATCCTCAATGGTAGATAGATTATGGGTAAGAATCCCCTTGACCTTCGCCTAATTGTGGAAGGTTATTACTGTGGTTTTCCTCTCCATGTAATGCAAATACGCATTAGTTCTACCTGAAAGTTCTCCAATAAGGCTAATTTGTTCCAATGCTTGATCTAGACTCTCCCTTGTTTTCTGGATTGGGTTCAAATTTATAAGCTAAAAAGTTGAACATTAATAGTCGTGAACTCAAAATTGGGTTGGTTGTTCAAGGCTGATCATAAAATTAAAGTAAATAAGTGATGAGTAGTTGACTTTAGCTATAGGAATGCAAAAATAAAACTGCATTTCTGTTTTAAACTATAATTTCAAAAGATACTATAAACTACTATTTGTATCGAGTTGTTATTCTGTGTCAGATAAAATACACTTTTGTTATTCTTTCTCCTTTCTAGAATCAAAAAGAGGTTTATATTTTAGCTGCAAAAAACATTTTATGTCTTATATATTTATGGAAAAAATCGTGTTAATGAGATAGATATTTTATTAATCATCAAAGATAACTAATTGTTTAGGCAAATTAACCTTTTATTATTATTAATGATTCTAGACAATCATTTATTAATTATTTTAGGCAAACTAATTTTTTAATTCATAATGATGTATGATCCAATGTATATTTATGTATTCTCATGTTGTAATTAGCAGTGATAATTTTTCTTAAACAATGTGTATTTTTCTCTGAGTGTATTTTAATTAATCGGTTTATCATCTAATTTATCTAACTGCTAAGCTTTTTGTTATTTATTTAAATCTTAAAAGACATAATTTTTTCTAGCCACCTTTTTTTCGGTAGAAGGCCATTATCAGAATGAAAGAGAAAAAAAAGATTTCAAATTTTTTTAATTCTTAGGCTGTTTATGAGATTTTACGTGGAAGTGGGAATTAAGAAATTCAATTAAGATCATATTTAAAGATACTAGCAAAATGTAGTGTTTTAAAGTGCATATTAATTGATTAAGGATTTTATTATGTTTATAATGAGTAAAGTGTTTGCTAATAATTGTTTGTTATAATTGCTGGTATTGTACAGCACCGCTATTCGGCGTTGTTTCTTTTAATAGTTTGGTTTTTACTAAGTTTTTGAGAGAGAGAGAGAAAAGGTATAGTACTTAAGCAGATATTATAATTTTAGTTTATTAAATCTTTGCTTGTTACTGTTAAATTTCTAGCATGGCAATGCCATTCATGCTTTAGACTCATCTCCATGTCTTAACAGTACCTTAACTATTAGTGGTAAATTTTGACTTATGACTTAGGATACATTGTCTCATAAAATATTTAGAGTTTTCATGTGACAACCTATTTGTAAGCTTTTTGTAATTCTCATTTTGTATATTTATCTAGCTCTGAATAAGATTGTTTTATCTGTATCCTTCTATGAGTATGGTTATAAAATACTAGAATATAATTTTTATGTTTATTTTTAAAAATAATTTTTGGACTTATAAGTTTGGGCAATTTTGTATGCAAATTTTGGACTGTATACTGAATTATAATTAATGCATATTAGAGTTAATGCATGCAATTGCGTTCACAATTTTTTTCTTCTTTCTATTTTTGAGCTATGTCAATATATTTTGCGTTATAATGTCACGTATCTGTGTTTTTTTTTTAAAGTCATACAGTAGGGAACCGATTATCCGCAATGGGCGGGACCATCGCTATTCCGGATAATTTATTTTTCCGGTTTTCTGAATTGCTACAAAAAGCCGTTTTTTTTATTGTTAAACCCAACTAAAAAAAAATATTTGGAAATAATCTTAAAAAGAGGAAAAAACGATGNTAAACGATGAAGTAATATACTAATAATTATTTCCAAAATGATGGTAAGGTAAACATCTTTAAAAAAAGAAAGAAAAATCTTATGAGGAAAAAAAAAATGTTTTTTTAAAAATGGCGAGAAAATGTATCGAATTTTGTTCCGGTTTTTTGGCTTTCCGGTTTTCTGATTTCCGGATAACGGGTTCTGTACTGTACTTATACCCTCTGAGCATACCACCTAAGCATATCCAAGCATCTATCCCCTTTTTCCAGAGCTATCTTTTAACAGCTATGGCAGGAATGCCATGTTATTTTGACATTGATGAGACGATGTGAACAGCACCTGAGCTAGTACTCATATCTCTAAACTTATACACCTCAATCAACAAAAGGGCTTTCAGGCAGGGTAGATTTAACATGTACCTTGCTGTAGATAAATGCCGGTTTTTTAATTAGCTGTTAGGATCGAATTCAGCTCTCCTCCAGTGGAGTGAGAGAAACCTTTATTGATTGTTCCACCAGAGCACTTTAAAAATTAAAGGCTAAATTGTACTGAATTTTTCTTGAAAAATTCGGAAAGAAAAAATAACTTGTGCTTTAAATAACTTTTAGAATCAATGTGACATTTTTTAAATTAAGTTCCGAGAAATGTTAGCACTTTATTTAAAAATATTCATAACTTAAATATTTCTTTAAAATAAAATTTTATCTATATCTTTTTAAATATTTATTTAAAATTGCCAAATTATTTTTTAGTGTAGACCTATTAAGTTCTTAACAATGGCTATAGATTTTTTAAGGAGGGCTGAAGTTCACTATGTTTAGTTAAAGATTGTTATTGTTCATTAATATCTAAATATAAACACTTTTATCCTGATAAATTTAAGTCTCTAACTTTTAGTAGTGTTTCAGAATCGGTCTAAAAAATCTTTTTTATAACTTTTGAAAGCACCAAACCCAATACAGTTAGAAGTTGTATTGAAATTTATATTAGTCCAAATCATTTATGAGGTGATCTAATTTGTTTTCCTTATTCCCTACAAAACTTATTCTTTGGAGATAGGGCTTTTTAATTTTTGTAGGGGTATACTTTACAAATTGTTATTTTACATAGTAAGCTAAGCTCTTTCAAGCAATTGTTATATGGATAATTATGGTCTTTGAACTAAAAGGAATTTTAAAAATTCCAATAATGTGGCTGTGAATATTTTGAATATGAACGTTGATTTAAATAATTTGATTGTTTTTCATGAAAGAGTTACTGAAATAAAATATATGATGTTTTAATTTATTTTTTAAGATTATGACATTAAATTTTTTCTGCAATTCCTGATTAAATTTATTTCATGTTGATACTTTGAATGATATGTTTACTTTGAATAATTATATATCTTTTGTATTCATAACTATTTAATTTAGCTTTAAAGCATGAAATATTAATTAATATTAACTAAGATAAAGATTAAAAATGAGTTATAACAAGCTTCTTTTATGATAATTGTAAGTAAACATTTTAAATTTTATCAATTTTCATTTAAAATCTTTGTGTGTTAGATAGTGAACAAAATTGAAGAAACTAAGTGCAATTATTTAGCAATAAGTATTATTAGTTGAATCCCTTGTACACATTTAAAAAAATAAATATTTTCATTTTATTTATTTTAGTTTTTATACAGAATTTTAAAATCTATATCATATTATTTAAGTGTCAGTTTGAGTATTCACAGATAATAATTTTTGATTTTACAAATTAGTGTGCTATTTGCAATTGTAAACTTAGTATGTGATTTGTAGAATTGTATATGTTTAATGTGTGATTTGTTAATTTAATAGTATTAATGAAATTTTGCATGGTATTATTACAGTTCTTTATATAATTATAAAATAAGATTTTACTGAATTTATTTACTTAAAATATTAAAGTACTATACTTATTTTTTTTTTAATTTGAGAAACTCATTAAATTTATTTTTCTTTTCAATTGTTGCTTTTTAGCTCTTGACTTATTTAAAAATATAGATTTGAAATTAATACTATTATTTAAACTGTGTTGCAATTATAAATTGTTTAAAAATGTGTTTTAGTGTTTCATATATTTCTTTTCAAAACAGCTCCCATTTTTTTCATATGCATTTGAAGGAGCCTATTTCTTCACAGGCTGTTTTTTTTTCTTCGTTTCTTTTTTTCCCTCTGTGGAAAAAATTTACCATCCATGTGATATGGATTTTCTATTAAGTGTGTGGTTTTATTAGTTACATTAATGATTTTATAAATAAATGGTGTTAGATTTTACATTATTATAAATTTTATATTCTGATGTATTTATTGGTGTTAAATTTTAAGAGAAAGAAAATGACCCATCTTCAGAGATCAATTATAATTAATGCTAAATCTGTACACTTTAATATTTTTAAAATCCAGTTTTCAAGCGAATATATGATGCCGAATGCTATGTGTTTCTTAGGACAGTGTTATATTAAAAGTTTTCTTTAAAGTAATATATATATTTAAGGAAAAAAAATTTTTTTGTCTCAATTTTTTTCATTTCAAACAACAAATACTGCCATATGTATGTACCTAAGCATAGCATGAGGGAGGAGGACGCACTTTATAATTTTAGAAAATTTTTGTTCTTTTTTTAAGTTTTGAAAATAAATGCATATTTATTTTATGTATATTTTTATAAAAAATATACTTATCAAACAAAAAAGTGCCCCTTCTCATGCTATGCCTATATATATGTGTAAATCCATTAAGTGTGTTTAATACTCCTCTGTTTCAGTTTTTTTATTTTATTTGTATACAGGATGTTCTAAAAAGATGGGAAAAATTTTAGGAAGTGATAGTACACACCCAGACAAACAATTTTTATCAAAGAATGCATGGTCGAAAGCAAAACCCAAAACCGCTAGAGGGCGTCAAAGTTCATGTTCTTATATGAGGCAAAAACACACAAAGAAGGATGAAGTTAAGTTATAAAAGCAAATTTAATGGCATGTGATTACAATAAGTGTTCAAAACAGTGGCCGGCAGCGGCTATGCTGGTACAATGGCAAAGAAAAGATAGGCGAACTTTCCCTGCAGCGGCCGAAAGCTTGGTGACAAATAATGTAGCGCAGTAACTCGCAATAGGAATGGAGTTTTCTCGTTTGCATGAAAAAACTTTCCAAATGCTCCAGCACCTTTGCGTTTTGTTTTCGACCATGCATTCTTTGATAAATATTGTTTGTCTGGGTGTGTACTATCACTTCCTAAAATTATTCCCATCTTTTTAGAATCACCCTGTATATGCTTAATTTTTAAAATTATTTCAAAAATTAAACTTTAAATGAACAAAAAGTAAATTTTAAATTAAACTTTATTAATTATATTCATGTTGAAATATTCATATATAAATAAATTCATAAAGTTTTATTTTGGTATGATGTGATTTGAACTTAGTAAAATAAAATATTATCGTTATCTTCAATAACTTAAAACTATCAAAGTGTTTATTTATGCTTGGTGCATTTATCTTAGTTCAAATTGACTATGAAAAGTCCCAAAATGTTCTGAACCATAACTTATTTTTTTGGTAGGTGAGAAAAGGTTCAATCCTCTTTTTAAACACTATCTTACTAAAGTCAACTAGCTTAACTTTTTTAGAAGTCACTTTGCTTAAGAGAGAAAATAGTTAGTGATTATATTTTTAAAACTTGTTAATATGAATATTTAAAAATATTTTTTACACTTATTGGTTATATTTCCAATGTTATTAAAAGTATTTCATTATGTAAATTATTTATCTTCTACAAAAGCTACATGCATTAAGCTAATTAGTATATTATTCCCAAAATACTTGTATAATTGCTTTTAGCTTTAATAAAATAGTACTATTATAAATTTATTTGGAATGCATATGGAAGAAAACTTCAGTGTCTAAAAATACATATTTCAGATTGATCTTCTTAGCCTGTATTATATTATTTATTTATCAATCAGTTAATAGTAAATCTATTAGTGTATTTAATATCTTGTTTCAAATTTTAGGTGTAAAGCGTTTTTTTCCTCGTTTTAATGAAATTGATGCAGAAGATCCTAAAAGACCTTATAAGTGTCACCTGTGTCCTTATGCAGCTCATACTCGCAGCAATCTTAAGAACCATATAAATGCCCACACTGGTGAGCGTCCTTATAAGTGCCAGATATGTGGGCGAGGTTTTACTCAAAAAGGTAACATGAAAAAACATGAACAACAGCATGATGAGAGATATCCTACAGGTTGTAGTATTTGTGGAAAATCTTGTGACAATAAACTTTCTCTGCAGCAGCATATGGCCTTACACTATGTTGTGCAGTAATCATTTATAAAAGTTGTGTCTTATCTTTAAAACAAATGTTATCAAAATATTTTTAATCCCATTTATGAAATGTAAATAGTGGAATAGAATATCATGTTCTTCCTTTCTTTTAGCTTTTTATTTTAATTTTAATAATAATGATTTCAACAAAAATTCAATTTTAAGTAAACTTTTTGTATTTGTAACTTTTTTTTATATGCGAAACATTTTTTCTTTTGAATTTTATCATTATTTTTTATTATCTAGCTCCTGTGCCTGATATTAAAAATACTTTAGAAGATAATTATACTTACAGTACAAATCACTTTGAGCAATATGAGTAGAAGGAATAATATGTAGAAAATGTTATTTATTGCTTGATTTTAAGCTAGTGTGTTTAACATACTATTTTTATAACTTTATATTTCATTTGAAGAGAATCAAAGTATTATTTTAATATATTTACACTATTTTAGCAATTATTCATATGAATCTGTCTTGTAGGGACTAAAACATGAAATATTAACTTGGAAAGAATTTGTTAAGTAAGAATCTTTACATTCTATTTGGATATTTTACATATATTGAATTTGCATATATTTAAAATAATCTCCATATTACCTTAAATTAAAACATTATCTAAAATTTCAATAAATGTTTTCGATGACAACATTAGACCAGTTACTGTATTAAGACATGTTCAAATTTAAAGCATATTACATAGGTGAGTTCAAGGAATTTACTAATGGAAAAGCAAATAAAAAATTATTGTAGCAATAAATAAGTTTGATTATAAATTAATCTAAACTAAGTAAAATACTTCCGTAGTGGCCAAGAGGATCTTGAAGATATTCCACATTTTTGTGACCAATACATGATGGTGGAAATGTGATTAACATTGCATTCCCACCTTAATTTCTCACACTACCAGTCAATCTGAAGCTATGTGTGCTTCAAGCTGCCAATGGATATAGAACCTGGATTCTTCGCAATAACATCTCAGTGCCTTAATCATTTTGCTATTGCAGGGCAAAAGGAATAAATGAAATAAATACAAATGACCAAAGCTTTAGCTATTTAAAAACTCCTTTCTTTAATATAAAAATGTAACAAATAGAGCTATAAACTAACAAAAGTCACAGATTTTATCTTTTAAATAACTGAAAAAAAGGATCATCTCCACTTTAAGGCAATGTGTAAAGTGAGTTTTATAAGGAAACTTATTTTTCTTCCATCCTACTGGAACCATTCAGATTGCTTGTTCAAATGTCATTAATGACAAACTATCTACATGCCGAATTTCATTGATATTATATTATTGATATAGACACTTACCAATGATAATCAAACTTTCAATTATTGTATATTATTTCAGACAGTGCAGATTTACAGACATAAGCTAGCCTTTTGTATCATTTAAGAAGCAGCAGTATACTAACCGTCTACCCGTAACTGCTGCTATTTTTCTTCTTCTAATAACTTGATCTACCGTTTGATGCTTTTAAGAAATAGAAAATACAAGCTATTCGTTACTTATCAAACTTAAGTGCAACAATAACTTAGATGACTGTGCATATTTGATTTGTTCTAGTAAAAAGTTAATATAATTTACTTTTACAACTAAAAATGAGTACAATATTTTTTAGCAATTTTTAAATAAAGTAGCATGTTTAATAGTTTATTAAATATAGATAATGATTTCCATATAATTATCAAAATAAATTTTTACTTTAAATCTTTTTAAGAATTAATCAGATTTTTATCATTATCATAATAAGAATGTGAATACCTTAATAAGAAGAAACTTCAAGAAGATTTCCATTTATCAATATAAATTTAACTGTAACAGTGAATATCAAAAAAGTGTTGCGTTTGACTTGAGTTATTTTTTATCTGGGAATATTTCTAAGCCCCTCACAGCTGTATGTTGTTCATTGTGGGTCTAATTGTGATTATTGTAGATTATTTAAAGTGAAATTAATTGAAAATTTTTACTACCCATTTATATGAAAATAAAAATAAACTTATAAGTTTAACACTTAGTATTCTTACTTAATTAATTATTTTTGTTAATATTTCAAGCAAATTCTAAAGAAAAAATTGTGTACTTACAAATAAGAAAAATTTTAAATTTTCCTTAATTTTTTTTTATTGGAAATAAAAATCATTTTGATAAAAAATAAATCTTTCATTGATCCTTTCTTATTTTATAATCATACAAAGTGTTATAATTCATCTTTCCGGGAAAAATTTTAAAATATGAAAAATTTTATTTAAAAAATTTTAAGTTTATTATGAATATTTTTAGCTAAAAAAATTTTTTTATTGAAAAGAAAATCTTTCATTTTGCAATATTTATAGATTTTTATTAATTATTGTAATTGCCATGATTATTTATTTTTTATATTAAGTTTTTATCTTTGCAGTGTGTTAATAGTTAACCATATTGTTTTATAAGAGTTAAGTTACTTTTGTTGTAAAGACTGTTTTCATAAAAATATATTTTATGTATGCCTTGCTAATAAAATGTTTTAGTTTTTAAAAGTTAATTTTTAGAATTGATCATGGGGTAAGCGAACTTGTTTTAGTTATGCATTGATTAATTTTATTGTTACACTATTATTTATTTTATATTTTGTTTCCATTTAAGCAATTGTAGGCCTATATGTCAGAAAAGCTACATGTCGTAAAAGCTCACCTCACTATTAAGTGCCTATTAACTATGTATTTTTTTTTAGCTTTAGAAATGTTTTTTTGCAAATTACCTCTTACCATTTTTACTGTAAATGTATTTATTTATTATCACTCTTTCATTACAAAAAGTCCCATTTATTTGTTCATTTTATAATTGTCTTCTTTGGTTATTGTTATAATTATTATTTTGCTGCTTGCAATATAAATTTCTTGTCACTAATTAATTTACATTTACCTAAAACGTTACTTAGATCAGTGTTGCCAGATTGGGCTATAAGTAGTATGTTAGGCTACTTTAAAATGTCCCAACTCAAAAATTCCAGCTCACTACTTCTTGGACTTATCTTCTTTTGAGGGGTCCAAATATTTTGTATTGACTTTTATAATTAATTTTTTGTTGTTATAATAATTACTTTTCCCAAAATGGGAGCTGCATATTTTTCTCCTTCTTGCACAGTTCAAAAGTGTTTATGTTTGCTTCTTTCTTCACCGGTGAAGGGAACTATCCAAATAATTTCTACAGTCATATCCATATAATTTTCATGGAGTTTTTGTTAAATATAATTTTTCTAAATCTTCAGTCATTTTTATGTCCTACATGGTCAATTTATTGAATATATAGTTTTGTTTTTATATTTCGTGTGTGATTATAATTGTCAAAATAAAAATTGATAAGTTAGATTAAGATTTAGAATCTTGGTTTAAGTCGAAAATTTATTTCTTTAGCTTTATTATAATAGCCTAATCATAAATAATTCTACATTTTAGTATTGGTCATAAAACGTACATTATAGGGATTTAAAAGAAGAAAAAAAATTGAAGCTTGTGATGCTTGTACGTCTTTGTGTAAAAGATGAAATGTATGTATTCTCTATATTTCATTTAACTTCCTAATATGTTTAAAAAAAACGTATTTTATTAACTTTAATTTTTTGCAAAGTGTTTGAATTTGCTACTTTTTGAGCTCTTTCTGTTTTGGCAACACTGATGTAGAGTCTTAGTTCTAAAATGAAAGACTTAAGTAAAAATATCTCCTATTAAGCTTTTTATTTCTCATTTATATTTTACAAGCAAGTTTTGAAACAGCAACATTCTATAGAATACTTAAGCCTTTTATAGAATACCTGGTATTTTTCTGATATGAGTTTCTTTCAACTCTTTGTAGAATTTTTGGACTTTCTGAACTTTAGTAGAGTTCTTAATATTTCAACAACTAAACATTTTAGTATCGGTATAAAATGTACAGATTATACTACCTTATGTTATTTTACTCTATTATTATTTTATTCTTTTTACTTATGATTCATGTATAAAACTTAACAGAATTTTCGCTTGTCAATGTACACAAGGAGTGAAAAAAAAATTAAAAAAAAAAATAAATAAATAAAAAAAAAGAAGAAGAAAGAAAAACTTTAAGTAAGTTTGTAAATAACTAAAATGTTTTCTTTTTTTACAAAATAATTTCAAATGCTTTTTTATTCATATTTTTACAATTCGAGTTGAAAGGTATTTTCAGGCATTTTGTTCCTTACGCACTCTCATGTCTGATTTTTAGGCAAAGTATGAAATATTAGTTTTAGTGTGTATTTTGCATAGGTATTGTATGTAATGCCAGGCCATTTTATAGAATTTCTAAGGCTCGTTAAACTTTGAAAAAATAGAAAAAGAACAGATTGGTCTTCAAAAATACTAACGGACAACTTACGACTATAAAATGCTTGGACAGTATGGAATATGTTTAATAGTTTCTTATCAGTTCAGTAATACCTAGTTTGAATGATCAGTTATCGAACTTCTATGAAATGTTTAGGTCTTAATATTATTGTTAATTTATTCTGTAGCATGCTGTGTATCAAACTTTGCTTCCTATAAATATATTTTATTTTTTAGATTTTTAATGTTATATGAATTCTAGATTTAACAGGTTGCTTTTATATTTATCTTAGTTTACTACCTCGTTTTCTAGATCTCTTAATTTCAATTACTTTAATCAGTCAAATAGCTAACTGTGACTCTGGGCTAGTGGTTCAAAAAACGCATTCAGCAGAGTCTCAGTGTTCCATGGAAGAATTAACAGGGATTCCGGGAGTTAAGATTTTTTTTTTTTAACCAGTAAAATTTATATCATATCGAATCAATAATAAAAAATTTGTTTATTTTGGTTGTGTAAATGAACTTATTTATGCAAAATGCCCAAAAAACAGTAAAAATTAAGAAAAAAGTGTTTTTTTGAGTCTACATTTATTAAAATTTCCACGATAAGTATTTCTCATTGAACTTTTCAATTCAAAATATAGTTATTAATTTCAAAAATAAAGAATTATGTTTCTCTGATTACTGTTTTCAACTTTTATAACAGTTCTTTTTTGAAAACTATAATTCCATTTTCAGCATGTACATACAAAATGAACAAATTAATATATTTAATTTCTTTCTTTCCTTTTTTGGAATTTTCACAGCTGCTAATGAAATTTTTTTTATATAAATTTGGGGTTCCAGCAAAGGAAACTTGGATGATTTAGGGTTCCATAGTTGAAAAAAACTGAGTCCCGATGCTCCAGAAACTGTCTTGTGATAAAAAAATTAGCTTTTACATTGCAATAGCGATTGTTCATCTATGTTTTTAATAAAAATCAGTATTTAACAGGTTTTTTTCCTCATCTTATTCAAATTTTTGACTTACTCTAAATTTTTTTTTGTTTTAGTAATTACTTATCAGCTAAAATTTGAAAAAAGTGTTTTTCAATTATATTATTTATTGGATTGCCTCATCAAATCTTACATTTTTCTCGCATAAATAAGACTTTATGTTCATGATCTCTTATAAAATTTGAAATCTGCAAGGAAAATGAGATTACTTAGCTATACTGCAACACCTGAAAAATGATGTAAATATGTTAAAAAATGACTGAGCATGTAACAGCAGCACATATGTTGCATGTAACTGCAGCACATATGTTTTCATATGTTGCATCATTTTCTTTTTCATGTTTTTTTGTGTTAGCTTTTTCTGTAAAAGGAAAAAAAAAATGTGTTGCTGTAATATGCATAAGCAATTTAACTAAGGAATTTTATTTATTTTATGAAGTTATGTGACTAAGTTGTTCCAATTGCCCTTATTTACTATGCTCTCATAACTTGAAGTTTCCTTTCTATAGCAGAATGCATAAGTATATTAATTACTGATAATATTTATACACAAAAGATAATTCTGACCGAGAGAAATACCAGTTGAGAGACCAGTTCTCATGTTGAGTTGAATTTTTGTATACTTGTACTTTTTTAGAGTAAAAAAAAATATATATAATTGAAACATTATGCAAGTAACAATATCAAGTTAGTATAATATTATTTATCAATTTTAAAGAGGAATCAGAAACATTTTTATGAGAGCTATTAATTTTATACTATCAGTCTTTATTCTGGTATTTTAGACTAAAAAATACTAAAATATTGAAACATAATTTGCCATTTCTAGGCTTCTAAATAATAAATTCTAAAATATTAACAAATATTTTAAAAATTATTTCATAACTAGTCTTGTTTTTAAAAATAATGTAATAAAGAGTTTTATAACCACACATTGATAATTTTAAAGAATAATTGTGAAAGCTAAGATGAGAATTTTTGCTATATTTTCCTTCGTAATTTTAAACTAAATCGAAAATTTTTGCGTATTAAAACATTTTATATTAAATGTTTTTAATACTAGTTGTAAACTTTGAAATATTTGATAATTATTTTACATTTAGATTTTTTATTGTGACAAGTACTTGTATGCAAAAAATCAGCGCAATAAGTGAGTTGTAGTTTCAATATCTAAACACTTTTAATTAGATGTTACTGAAAATTATTTTGATCTAAAAATAAATCTGTAATGCCTAGTGTAACTTTTATAGATTCTGGTTTTGTTTTGAAACAATATGTTCCTTCGGTGCCAAATTTATTTTTCTGTTTTATTTGGATATTGTTAGTCTTTTTCTTTACCAATCAATTTTTCAAACGTGTAATGATTTTGCTGCATAAAAGTATTTTAGCTTTTTAAGTGTTAAAATAATTTTAAATATCAAAATTTTGAATTATATCATGCAAAAGGTTACTCTACATGAGTGATTCTTTCTAGTCCGAATGCATTTACATTTCATTAAATATTTTATTTTTTGTCTCTCAGGTAAAATTTTGCTCATCGTCAGTCTCATTTATGTTTTTTGGCATGATAGTCTCTTTTCTGTTATACTTGTTTTTTTCTTTGTACATTTGCATCATGAATCTTATTCAATTCTAATTTTACTCTCAAGAATTGCAATTTAACACTGCTCTGAAAAAAAGAAAGAAAATTTTATCTATAATATTCAAAATTGTATTATAACTATTTTTCATATTCCCACTATGGATTATGTAAAATTGCCCTTTTTTACTTCATTTTTCAAAATACATACAGGGTGTTTTATAACCACTGCCCTTAATACATGTTTCTTAATGCTTTTAAAAAGTATGGATATTATCGGCACGCAGTCAATATGTAAGCTAGGGAGAAACACTAGTAATGAAAGTTAGATGATAAACATAAAACAAGTTTCATTGGCTGTGGAAACTTAAAAAGTGTTTTTAACAATCAACTTCTTTCTTTCTTTCAGTAATCAAACAGGTTTTGGTGGTTCAAACTCCACCTTCATATAAATTTTTACAGATTGAAAATGTAAGTTTGTTAAAATTGCAGTTTCAGTTTGTCCTCAAATATTAACGATTTTTCATTTCTCAGTAAACAAGCATCCTTCTGAGTTAAGTTTTTACCAAAAAACTAAGTCGAAAAACTGTATTTTTTCTTTCTTCTACAATTAATTAAGTTT